CCTGGTATTGCTGCTTTGTTTTTGTCCTTGGGCCGCAGGGTTCTACAACTCGAATGGTGTCGAAAGACGATGCAACTCACGGTGCAACCTACGGTGCACCCTCTGTGCTATCAGATTATGTCTTCAGATCGTTTACGCACCGTCGGATCACATCGGTCGGCGGCAGCAAGTCAATGCACTGTCGGTGCCATCGAATTATGTCTTCAGATCGTTGCACATCTCTCGGCGGCAGCATAGACTTGAATATATATTGACACGGTAATCGCCGCCCTGCAGCAAGCAGAGATGTAGCAGAATCGGCCTTGAAAGGTGCGCCTGATATAATGCCCAAGGGGATCCTCGAATGCAAATCCAACACACTCAGCCTCCCTGGGTATTACTGTCTCGCCTCGGTAACCACACCCTCATAATCCCGCGACTTGATGTACTCAAGCGTCCGGAAGAAATGACGCTTAGGATTCTCCAGTGACTGAGCATTGCCCTCCGAGTTGGTGGTGGACAAGTTCGAATGGATGAGCTCGATCAGCCCGTTGAGGTACTTGGTCGTAACCTGCGAGAAACCATCATTAGTCTTCCTCACCACTGAGCATGCGGTGAAACATACCGTCTCGTTTTGCTGATCGAAATAGTAGACATATCGATTGAGGATCTCGACAAACAGCTCCACGGACACGGCAGTGTCCATGCAAGCATCAGCGACACGCAATGCTCGTTGCAGGCACTCCAGCACCCGCTTACCGTCGCGGTAGAACTGTGTTCGGCCGTCAGCAGTCAATCCAGGCAGATCACCTTGTCCACCACTCACGTTCTTGGGGTCTTCCTCTCGTCCAGGAATCTCGGTGCACCACCAAAGATGGCTTGCCAAGTAGACTGCGCGACATTGATCCGGCTTCTTCAACAGCTTGCTGCCATGCAAAGCTGCCTTCGTGATGAGCGTGTCATAGTTTTCCTTGCCGAATCCTCTTGACATCTGCAATGCGCCGGCGATGATGCAGACCGCCTGGAACTGGGCCCTGGAGTCGCTGATACTGTCCTCGTAGATGGTGAACGCTTGCGCAAAGAACTCATACGCAAATTCCTCAAAGCCGCACTGGTCGGCAACTTGGCCGCAGGAAACAAACAGGCGAAGGCACAACTCTGCCGCGGCAGGGTTGACGCGGGTGTAGAGCTGCGAAAGGGTTTGGTGCATGAACCGGTACAGCGCCGAAGACTGATTTTGCCAGTTGTCGTCAAAGTGCTCGCGAGTTTTGAATTTCCGGGCGAGTTTTAACGACGCGGTGATAATAGCCGGAGTCGTGTATTTTATCCGTTCATTACCAGCTTCATACGCCTTGCGAACCTGTTGCAGCAGCTTGAGTTGGGTGTCGTTGTCCGGCCCATGGATGAAATGCACTATCCTCGCAAGCCAGCCTTGCTCCTCCACGGTCTCATCCGATTCACCGCCCCGCTGGCGGTTCAGTCCAGGATACCCGGCGGGTTGTTGGATTCCCTCTTTAATTATGACTTTCAGGAGTGACATGATACCTTCCAAGTGTTGTGTGGTGGTGATCGAGACTCGATTTCGCAGGATATTCTTGGCCACTTCTCCAGCAACTGCCCGCCTAGTGGCATAGGTTTGTGACGAGTAAAGAGGAAGGTAATTGGGCAGAGCCAGTGCTGTGAAAAGGGAGAAATATGTCCGAATAGGCGAAAGTAGGAGATTGAGCATGTTGGCTTGCGTCGCCGCGGAATGGAGGTCGGCAGAATCCATGTATTCGGCGCCCTTCTCCCGAGCATAAGCAAGTATCTGGTCGAGATACTCTAGCCGGTCTGGATAGATATTCCTGCGCATGTTAGCTCGGACATCTTCAACAGTGTTCACGTGGACATACAGCGCCAGGTTCGCCAGCGAATTCAAGAGAGCCATGGTATCCTGAATGGGGAGACCCCTCGTCTTCACGAGATTGACGACTTGGTCGTAAAAGATTTCGAACAGCTTGACCTCTCCTACACCAGCGGCCTTGTCGCCATTCGTCGCCGCGGGGGCAGACGGAGTGACCGGGGTTGCTGCTTGTGAATCGGCTGTCTCAGACTCTGTAGGCGATTTTAGATCTGTGCCGTTCGTTGCGGGCGTTTCTGGCTCAGCGGCAGGAGGCGCTGGCTTCGAGTCTTGATTCAAGTCGATCTTTTCGAGCATCCGTACTGCAGCGTCTTCTTCAGCTTTGCGCTTGTCCTCATCAGATAACCCCTCGGCGGATTCCCTTTGCGCGTATGTGGAGAGCCGGTCCATCAGACCTATGACGATTTTCTTCATGTCGACATGTGGGTTCAACCGGGCGATGGCGGAGAGCATCTGATCAAGGGTGTGGAGGTGATACTCGTCGGGAAACACCTTGGTAATAACTGGCCATTCGTCAACACTGTCCCGGTCCTCGGTGATATCTTCCTACCTTCGAGTAGATACTCTTGAGCCAAGACATCCCGACATTGAACGACCTGTTCCAGCAGTGGAGCAATGATGGTAGCCTTGTATGTCTCCAAGTCGACCAGTTGGCTGAGTCTGACCAAGTTGCTGCCCACCAGTAATTCCAGCTCTCGCCGCTCCTGGGTTCTCTGCTCTCTTTCCCTCGAATGCCCCTGGTGCTGCCACCGCACCCACAGCTTGTTCATCTCTACAAAATTCGTCAGGATAAAATTGATCGAGTCTTGCAAATTGCCTTGCGGGCCATCCTCTTTGCCTGTCGGCAAATAATCTCGTGCCTGTCCCATGAGATAGTACCGGAGGAAGAGGCCTCGAATTGGATGCTGTACGCCGCGACTCATTTCCATCATGTCTTTCATGATCTCTTTGACCGGTGCATCCTCGACGCCCATATAGACCGTGCCCACCGTAATCATGAGGTACAATCGGGGGATGATATTGCCTGCGTATTGTACAAGTTCGTAGAGGTCGGCGAGGTGATTGACAGGATGCGAGTCGCGGAGGTATTCGGACAGATATCGGAGAGCGTCGAAGACGGCCATGTAGAGCTCATAATATTGTTTTGGGCCCAGGGTAGGCGTGCGCAGTTCAGACACCAGCGTCGACCTACAGCGTTGCAGCGGCACGTCAGCGCAGCCGATGTGAACAGAGTCGAGCGGTGATCTTACCCGCACTTCAGAGCGTCCATGAGCTTCCCGGGCGTCTCGAGACATTTGCGCATCTGTTGCGACTGCTGCCGCACAACTCCCAGGGCTTCCTCGAGTAAGCGTCCCTGGTCCTCCGCCGTTGTAGGCGATGGTGCCGCCATGGCGACAGCGTTACCGGCTTGCAACCAGCAGTGAACGAGGCTGTACTGGACGTAATGTTGGCCAGAGAAGGTGATGTGCTATAATTGTCAAGTCTTCGACTTGGCCAACTGTTCAAGAAAGTAATGGTGCAGAGAAGATGTCCAGGGCAGAGTTGCTAGGCATCGTCTAACGGACTTCGCGATACTGCATTGAGCTGGAAGGAACCTGCCGCCGGATTTGGCTTGGCAGGAGATCGAGCACGAGACATTCCCCAGGACCACGAATCCTTTTCATTGGCGGAACGCTTATAATAAGAATGACTATTGTATACATCTATTAGGTCTGTTGCCTCCTGCTCCCCTCTTTTGTCAGGAGATGTACCGAATGCCCACCAACGCCGCGCTAATATCAGATGTCGTCCCCCGCCTCCGGGGAAAAGCCATTCGTCAAGTCATAGATAATACAAGATTGCTTGTTTCTTTCAGAAATCATAAAGCCGTCCAGGCAGGTCTATGTCAAACGCCTGAGCCCAATGTTGTTGTTGGTGACCTATAGGTGGACGCGAAGTCCATGCCCACTACCGAACCGAACTGGTAGTTGCCCTTGATGACGTCCAGCTCCATTCGGTGCTTGAAGCGGAAGGTATTGTGGTTGTGGGCGTCCAGCTCCATTGTGAACTCGAACCCATCGGCGATGGAGAGGCTGACGACTCCGAGCTCACGGTATAGTAATACCACGTATGCCACTGTCCATCATCGTATGGCTTCGTCGAAGGAAGGGACTGCGTCACCGTAATTGTGGCAGTAACTGGCTTTTCCATTGTCGTGACTGTCGAGGGCGATTCTGAAGGATATTGTCGACTCGATGTCAATGCCTCCAGCGTTACCGACACCACTTCTGTAGTCGTCGAGCCGGGCGAGTAGTCGGTGACGGTGGTGGGGGATGGAGTTGTCACGGCGAAGACAATCGTCGTCGGTGCTTCGGATGCAGTCACAACGATTGTGGAGACTTGGGTCTGCATCACTGTTTGTGTGTGTGTGATCGCGTCAGTGACAGTCGCTGTTGGAGAGCCGTCGTCTGTCGTTCCACCTCCTACTGCAACAACGGAATACGAGGCAGGTTTTCTTCGCTCTATTCCATCGGGGATGACTGGTCGAGCACTCGAGAGGCACAGTAGTGATAGCATGAAAAGCGTGAGGTATGATTTGCTTGACTTCATCTTGCCTAGAAGAGTCAATGGAAGAATAGCAGAGCGCAGGTGAGCGAGACAGCGTGATGTCCAATATCAGTGTTGACGATAACACAAGAGAAAGAAACGCATAGACGGAGAAGTGCATCGACAAGTACCTTTGCATGTCAGCAAAATCGCAGAGGTTGGTTATCATCATGGGTCTGGGTGCGGGAATTGTGTGCATGTGCGCGGTAAGGTGGTGGTGTTGATGCATTCATGAGGAGGCTGGGTTTCTAAACAAGGTCGAAGGGTCGAAAACAGATCGGCAATCTCAGGCGCAGCCTTGGCAACCACGAGGCTGGGCAACCGCCACACCTCATGATTGGCTGAAAGTCGGTGGCTGGGCCAACGCTGGGCTTCGACCATGCAATCAAGCCGAACGGTGCATACTCGGTATGCTGCCGGGACTGTTTCGAACTCTTTTAATTGTTTCAAAGCGCCTGGCCTCCATGTCCCAACAGCCCTCGAGAGTTCGAGACCGTAACCGAATGACCTGCGTCAACTGCGCCATACTCACGTTTTAGCCGGCCTTGGCCTTCGGTTTCCTGATCATAACCCGGTCTCCATCCCGCATCCAGCCCACGTCTTCTGCTCGGACAAGTTCATCCCAGCTCATTTCGCCGCCAGTGGAGCTCCGAAGGATCCATCTAGCGTCGCAGGAATAATATGCTCGACCGATGGCTTTGAGGGCCATTCTACGCTGCGATTCGAGATGCCAGTGAAGGATGGCTCGGACGTACCCGTCGACTTTATGTCGCACGCGCCAGAAAGCCACCCAATTACCCATGACAATCGATTTCAAAATGCTGTCCACTACTCTGCTCCTGAACCCGATCCGCACTTGACACTTGTATCTCAACGCGTATGCTGAGGTAAGGTCATTCTGTCGAATCGCAGTGTCGAGAATGAGGTAAGTAATCATCTCAACCAGCTCAGATCTCGGCAAAGGATGCTCAGAGGTGTGCAGTGTAGTCAGCAGATGTAGGAGAGATGGGTGATAGCCCTCTGGATGAAGTGCTAGGATAGCCGCTCTGATATTGAACACGTGCACTCGTTGGGAGAAGACGGGGTTTTGCGCTGACGCAGAGCTGGCAAGAAGGCCTTCTCGGAGTTTCCGCAGTGCTAGGATAATGGTAGACAGCTCGGCTGAGGCGGACGCCGAGGGACCCACGGTCGCCGGGGCGTGCACAGGCGCTGGAAAGTCTTGTTGATGAGGACTCGGCGCTCGGACGGGGGGAGGATGCGTCGCGCTGACAGCCTGGTTTCTGACTGGAGCTGTGGTCGGGAACTGAGCCTCTTCTACCGATAGCGATGCGAAGGCGCTATCGAGGGCTTTGGCGTGCTGGGTGCAGAATTGCATATAGCGAGCGACAATTTTGTTGTAGAAGCTCTCTTGCGTCTTGGGATCGAGCAACCTTTCCGCCATTAGACACATCCGATTCCGCCAAGCAGCGGCCTCACCTGTTATCACCCTTTGAGACGAAGCCCATGCTCTCGAGCGGGTCTTGCCTGACTGGACGCAACCTGTCCCATGGTGCTGACGATTTCCGCCCAAGAGTGGGAGGTGCTTGTGCCATTCTTTACAACGTCAGGGCTGTACGCACCATCACGATCGGAACAGAACTGCAGTGCCCATTTCAAGCGTCCTCTGCTCTGATCTATGCTCCTGCCTTGAGCTAGGTCGCTGCTCCCACCGCTACTAAGCTGCTCGTGGCTGCGGTGGCTGCGCGTGGATCTGCACATGGGCAAGCGAGCGTGGGGAGCAAACGGTAAACGACTCCAACGATCATTATCGATAAGGCAATAGCGGGCCGAGCCTCTTCTTGGCATTATATTCCACTCGTCACGTGGTATTCATTCTCCCAACACTTTCGGATCAGCGGATGGTTTTCCTGGATTTCGTCTCGTATATATGGGTACACGGCTGATTTGTGACACGAAATGACAAGAACACATCCAAAATGTCCGACTCAGATCCTCAGACCTCAGCAGACTCTGGTGGACAAGAACTCTCGGAAAAGGCCGAGGAGCTCTGGCACAACCTCGTCCATTGGAACGACCTTCCGCATTGGCTCCAGGACAACCACTACATTCACTCCAGTTATCGTCGAGCGTCCTACAGTTACTCCAGGTCCTTTCAAAGCGTTCTACATTGGCACAATGAGAGTGTCAATATCTGGAGCCATTTGATCCCTGCCACCTTGAGTCTGCCCTGTGCGGCTGCTCTCTACAACGTTCTGAAACCACGGTACGACCACGCCTCCATGGCCGACGTTATAGCCATGGGTTGCTTCTTCGGCGGTGCAGCTGCTTGCTTGGGGATGAGTGCCTCCTACCACACTTTGTCAAACCACTCCCCGTCTGTTGCTCGGTTCTGGAACCAACTCGACTATGCAGGCATCTCGTTGCTGATCATGGGGTCATTTATTCCGAGTGTATACTATGGCTTCTGGTGCCACCCAGTCAAGCAGTGGACATACTGGATCATGGTGAGAATAGAACCAATTTTGGGGCTGTGTAAGACTCACAATCGTGGCAGATATGCTCTTTAGGGGTGGCTTGCACCACAATGTCGGTCTTTCCACGCTTCAGAACTCCGGCATGGAGACCATACCGAGCGCTGATGTTCGTGGGCATGGGCATCTCAGCGGTCTTCCCGGTCTTCGATGGATTGGCCACATTCGGTTTAGAAGATATGGGAAAGCAGATGGGTTTGTGGTGGCTGATCTTGCAAGGTGCGCTGTATATCCTTGGGGCCGGTCTCTATGCTGTGAGTATTCACCTCACTCGATACCAAATTGATACTTACTTGAGTCTACCAGGCCAGAGTCCCAGAAGCATGGCACCCCGGCAAGTTTGATACAGTGGGAAGCTCGCACCAGATCTTCCACATACTGATTGTCCTGGCCGCACTGTCACACCTCCAGGGGCTCCTCAAAGCCTTCGACTACCGCCATGGTATGATGGGTTCCATGTGTATATAAGAATCTACCTTCAGTTCATAGTTTGAAGTCGGCATTCAAGTATGAACGGCTTGCAGTCCTTTCCTGTTGGTGACTAGCGATTCGAGATACCATTGACGTCTTCAGATCCCTGGACCTGTCGGACGTTAGGTCGTATATGGTCGCAAGATTGATTGTCAAAGTTCGGAAGGAATAGCCAGCATCGACAAGCTCTTCCAGGTGCTGCCTGGCGTTTAGGATCTGCCCACGGTACAGATTTGCTACAGCGAGATTCTGCTTTACCACGGCTGCAACAGCTGGATCAATGCTTGTTTCGTTCTCGGAGAGCAACTTCGCAGCTTCATCGAATCGACCTTGGGCGACCGCCAGCAGTGAGTGAAGGACCATCTTTTCGGGTGAATTGAGAACGGTCGACTGGATGAGCTTTTCGGCGCGGGAGATATCGCCCATTTTGATCCTCAGCAAGACTATCCTCGAAACCCACAGCGCAAGATCTTCATCTTCGCCCGGCTTCAAACTCTCTAGCGTCCTGGCAGCAGTATCCAGATCGCCCATCTCGATGAGTGCATTCACCACCCTAATAGAGACTTCGCGCAGTCTCTGCGTCCACAGCTTCCTCTGTTCCAAAGTCGTGAGTGGAGAAGACAAGTGCTCTCTACACTCCAATCCGACGTCGTAGAGCGACGACACACCCCTCCGGGGGTCAGAGAAACCGAGGCTCTGAAGTCGCAGTGCCTGTAACCGTAAACCAAATGGCATGATGTGCTCCGGGACTTTACGTGACTGACGTTCGGACCCGTCCTCCTCGGGTTCCTTCTCCGGATGTGGATCATCGTAGTAGAAGCCTGAACTCAGGTCCTCTAGCGCTTTGGCCTCCTGAGCAGCCATCAATATATTACCAGAAAGCTCCAAACAAGAATATCGAATCTCCATGACTCGAAAAATCGTCTCGGCATCTGTAGGTCTAATGGTACCAGAGACTAAGATTGAGCCAGCGAGCTGCGCGGCACGGAGGAAGTCGCACTGTGAGAGTAACGAGTCGAGTTGTTGCAGGGATGCGCTCAGTGATGTTTCCGGACTGGGAGGTGGAAGGAACGGTTTGCGGAATGGACCGGGCACTTCGACCTGGGAGAGGGCATGATAGATTGAAGAGTCAAGAAGAAAGGACAGGTCTCGTTCCTCGGCTGGAGTGGCAGGTTGTTGAGCCGCAGGTGCAGGTTGTTCCTGCTGTGCCGTTGTCGACGACTTTCCAGTTGTAGACGTCTGCGCCAGTGGTTCGCTAACCTCGCTCTGCAGCGACACGAGCTGTTGAGGCTGCTGAGACGCCACAGACACAGCAAGCGGGTCTGCTGGCGCGTCCAACGGTCCCTTGGTCGTGCGTCGTGGAAGGGCAGCGCGGCTTGACGGTTTGCGGCTGTGTGACGCTGACGCAGAAGCCATCTTTGTGGTCTTTGGGTGTGAAGAACATTCAGGCGTTTTGAACAATCATTCTACCGTCTTCTGCAACATACTCTGTGCCTGTCTCTATGCACCGCAAGTGCTACGCAAGTATCGTCAAAATCTCAGGATCCTGGTGATCATGGCAAACATGACTCCTCTGTGTAAGATGTTCAATTCGACAAGATTGCCGCCGGCTCAACTTCGGCATTTCGATCCCCCCTGAAGCTGCGGAACTGACAATTGTTCACAGTGGGAGTCTCGCACGACTACCCACGAGCAGATCCCCAGCCTGCGCGACCACCGGCCAACAACTTTGTCTTCCTCGAGACACTCAATAACCGGCAGATTGCGAACTTGGCCGGCGACCTCCTCGCCAAAATGAGTGCAAAGCGCGACAAATATTCAGTGATCCTGCCGACGTACAATGAGCGAGAGAACCTCCCTGTCCTGGTGCAGATGTTGTCGGACACGTTCACCAAAGAGTAAGTCACGTCAAATTGAGCGTGTGTGACAATGCTAAGCGCTCTTAGACGTCTGAGCTGGGAAGTCATAGTCGTCGACGACGCCTCCCCCGACGGCACCCTTGAACGCGCCAAAGAACTGCAAAACTCCTTCGGGAAGGAGCACATCATCCTCAAGCCCCGCGCTGGCAAACTCGGTCTCGGAACGGCCTATGTACATGGTCTTCAGTTCGTCACCGGTAACTTCGTGATCATCATGGACGCCGACTTTTCCCACCACCCCAAGTTCATCCCCGAGTTCATCAAGATCCAGAAGGACACGGGCGCCGACATCGTCACGGGCACGAGATACAGGTCGAAAAATGGGCTTGTGGGCGGTGTCTACGGCTGGGACCTGAAGAGAAAATTGACGAGTCAAGGCGCGAACATTCTGGCGGATTTCCTGCTCAATCCCGGTGTCAGCGACTTGACGGGCTCCTTTAGACTGTACAAGAAGGAAGCGCTGGTCAAGGTCATTGAGAAGACGCAGAGCAAGGGATACACGTTCCAGATGGAAATGATGGTTCGAGCGAAAGCGATGGGCTTGAAGGTTGAGGAGTGTCCCATTACCTTCGTGGATCGACTGTACGGAGAAAGCAAGCTTGGTGGTGAAGAGATTGTGGAGTATCTGAAGGGTCTCTTGTGGTTGTGGTGGACAGTCTAACTGTTTTGGCAGAGGGCGTCCGGCGTGTACAACAGAGCATTTAGCGGTATCAGGGATTGGGAAAGCATGGAGTCCATTACTGCATAATAGCCGATCAGGTCAAGCGGCGACTTCCAAGAGCAACAAGAGTTCCATCGATACAGATGGCTCCGATATCGCGACGGTCGACTTGTCTTTTGGCAGGCGCGCTTGACGAGCCTACCGCCGCCAGGTCGAGGGCTTCAGGCGATCGGTGGGCGAAGCCTTCCACCTGGAACAGTTCCCTAGTAGAACTGTAAAGTTCAAGGTCGCCGGTCTTTTCGACAAGTGGAAGCTAGATGGGCTGCCGACAACCATCGGATATACGAGGCAAATGACGACAAGAAGCGTCAACAGCAACATCAAACACCAGAGGACCCCGTACTCGTCCAGTCGGATTGGATGACCTCACCGGAGACATAATCGCAACATCGGTGGGTTGAGGACCCACTCTGTACTGCCGATTGTACTCGTATTGCCACATCTCATACCAGCAGGAGTATGATCTGTGGCCCATTCCCACCTGTTACTCAAGTAGGTAAAAACTGGTGATAAGTATGTATCTCCAGTACTGGAGTCAACTCTCTGTCTCGGTATAGCACTCCACATGATTCGTCTGGAGAGTCGCCGACCGCTAAGCGCGATCTGCGAGGGCGTCGGCTGTAGAAATCTGTGGTTGGGTGGTTGGTCAGGAGTACCTAGAGTGCATGCAGTCAGACTCAGCCCTAGCAGCCTCGACCACCTCGCGTGGTGTTCTGAGCCCAATTGACATGTCGACGACCACCAGGACCCTCTGTTTAGGTGGTTGTGCGCCGCATGCTTTCCTGGCGAGATGTGAGCGAGTGACTTAGCTGCGTCATCGGGCTGGGTTTCGCTTCCGCTCGGTGATAATTCTATGAAGTCCTCCGTAATGCAAGGCTGAAAGTCGCGGCGGCGCTGTTCACGTTGTTTTGAATCTCTTCACGAAGCTTCGGTACTGGTGGTCGGGTCCGCTGACCTACACGTACAGCTATCGTTTGTAGTGCCCGGCCTACCCCCGTATATCTAAATCGGGCGGAGGGCTTCTCGGGGGCATATTGCTTGATCTGGGCTTGTAGACTGACTGGGAAGAGACCAACATCGCGGCGTCATGTTCGCATGGACGCCGGAACCGCTGGGCCATTCAGTGTGTAGCACAGAGTAGGCCAGCTTGCGGTTTGATAATATGACGGAAGAGGATGACGAAACATTTCTCTGCGTGAAAGATACAGAGTCGAAGCAGCCATCTCGCTGCACCTTTTTGATTGCGCTGTCGATGTAATTCCATAAGCCTGGTACATATCGGCAACGTCATAGAGTTTCGCGTCGGCTACTGGACTGACTCGAGATTTGGGACTCGTCTTGGATGCGCCATGCACAATTGCGGAACACGGGTGCCGTGCACTTGAGGAAATCCAGTCACGCCCTGCGTCGTGACATAACTGTCTTCGAAGGAGGCGTGGCCCCGACGCAACCTAGACGGACGCTTCAGACTTCGTGCATCGCTTACAAGCCGCTGCAACGTTCTTTTGAGGCATCAACGCTCGGTGGTGTGAAAACAGACAGAAGGTCTCCGCTATGAAAGAGATCTGGGGTGCGATTGGCGGTATCTATACGCTTAATGTATGGCATGGCCCTGATCTCGACCTGCGCAGGTTAGGATGGTTCGCCTCCCACATCACTGGCGTTGGTCCGAGGCAGTTGGTGGCAGTGTGGATGAAGGTTGCAAAGCAAGAACCAATTTAGGATTGATTAGTCAGGGCGAAGCAGCAACGACGAGGGTGCGAGGTGAGAATTGACAGGGACTAGGTAATTGCATGCGAGCATGTGCCTGCGGAATTTCGCGGTCATTATTTCCATTCCCCGAACTAAATCGAGAGCTACTGCAGCTAGAGACGTAGGGCTGAGCCCACCCAAGTCTCCCAATCACCGATATTATTCGCAGCCAGGAAAGGGACAGCGACGGGAGTCGTCTCCTCTAACTTCGTGGTACGAGCATTAAAGCGGACCAGCATCGGGGGCAGGACCACCGATGACTGGAATAGCTGCAGCACAGCGCCTGGGCAGCTCCAAGCAATGCCACTCGGGCCTCTCCAGTGGTCAACAGGGGCGAAAGCCACATGGACTCGGACAAAGCCCTTGCGCTTGTCATCGATGGATGTGCCTTCCACGGCGCGTACCTTTGGCCGACTCATGCGAAGGAATCCACTAAGCCATGAGTCCACCAGACCAGCGTGTGATGTTACAGCTCACACCGCCCGTCATTGCACAAGGCCATTCCACCTGGCACCAGAATAGCTGGCTTCGAGGCGGAGAAGGATAACCCCGTGAATTACTAATTGTGGGCCTTGTGACGGCAGCTGAAAGACACACGGAGGGTAGGACTCAGATCAACTGAGCGTCCATTGAGTATCCGATCCGGCAGACAGGGCTGAAGACGTATAGGAAGCTCGTTTATTCCTTTTCCACCGGCTCAGCCGTTCGGCTTGCTGAACAGTCGAGCAGCCTGGCTCATCACCCTAATCCCTATGCCTGTCGACTATTGGATGCTTTTGTATGCTTTCAGCCGGCTCATGTCCCAAGTGCTGGGTTAGCGTGCTATAGCATCTAAGGGGCTGTTGGTCAAGTCTTTATACGTCTGTGCCCAGTATACTGGACTCAGCGTCTCGTAGCTGGACACCTACTGAAGGGTGGCAAGGAATCTTACCTAACTCACGTTGTCCTTTTGCAAAGTGCCACCGATGTACCGTGCCGAACCTAGAGGATGGTACCTCGAAGCTTCGTGGTCGCTGACAGACGTCCACCGCATCCGTCGACCGCAGGGCAGCGGAGTGAGGGCTACGGAGAGGCGGTCAGACCAGCCGAAGCAACCAGAGGAATTGATGCTGAAGTGCTGCTGCCCACACAAGAGAGCGAAGGAACTGAAGAAGGTCAAAGACAAAGATCACTGACGCGGTTGAAACGAACCCACCACAAAGTACGAACGGGGTGCATAACCTGGTAAGTCGAATCCTTACAGCTTCCTCTTCTCCCCCTCGCCACATCTGCCTCCTACTCCTCCTCTGTCCTCCATCCTCTATCACCTCGTCTCGAAATGTATTTTTCTGCAACCAATCGACATCTTGGACGTAGCTGACCTCCCCCAAGCAGACGTCGCAGAGTCAAATGTACGTATTTGATTCATCATCTATCGCGATCGTGCGGCTTGCGCCGTTTCGCAGTCTCTCAATTCACCCGTCTGGCGATGCTGTGAATCGCTGCACTTCTGTGTCAATTGGCTGACAGCTTCGTCGCTCCATCTTTAGGCGATGAGACCCATCCTCGATGCCACCGATGCGCGAAAGCTGGTCGTGTTTGCGACGGCTATACCGAGCCCAAGCCGTGGCCGTTCGAACATCCCCACAACCAACAACAGCCGACTGAGGACGTCGTGCCTTGGTTCAGCAACGGCAACCCTATACACTTTTACGATGAGCCTGATCTCAACCGACCGACTCAATATTTCCTCGACTGCGCTGCACCTCGCATCTCTTCATACTTTGCTGAGATGATGGACTCTTTCGTCGACGACAAGGCGCTGGTCCTATCCTCCTCCAACTCGGCGTGGAATTTCTGGAGTACGCTGGTCATTCAAGCGAGTCGAGAGCAGGCGTGTGTCCGTTACAGCCTGGTCGCCTTAAGCAGTCTCCACGAGTCGATCGAGCTCACAAAACGCGCGCCGTGGCAGAACCACACGTTTACCCTGTACTATACCAAAGCCATCACCGAGATCAATCAAAGTCAAAATTCTCTCCCGTTAGATATCATTCTCATCTCCTGTCTGCTCTTCGCGCACTGCGACTTCTTGATGGGCGCGTCTGCTGCCGGGCTCACCCACCTCAAATCCGGCCATCGAATCATCAAGGAGACCCGCAAGAGACAGATCGAAATATCACCCGAGGTAGCTGACTTGGTCGAACCCATCATGCACGGGTTTCTGGCAAAGACAGAGGCATATGCACTGCGCGAGCAAGCTACCGAACCGTCCACTGCAGGCCCGGTCACGACGGCTGCGACATATTCTCTCCCAGACATGCCCGAGAAATTCGAAGACCTGGCGCACGCGAATAAACATCTCCAACAAGCAGTCTACCTGGTCCTCCTGCTTGAGCGCGGTAAACCCCACCACTCGACACCCATGGTCCCAGGTGTCCGCAAATACGTCGCCGAATGGTCGAAGGCGTTCGGGCGCTGGAGAGCCGAGGCCAGTCTCGACCGAGATGATCCCATACTGAAAGACTGGCAGCTGTTGCTCCTGGCCCATCACCGCATGGCGTTTCTCGTCATGAAAACCTTTCCGCCCGAAAATGACAACGCCTATATCCGTGCTGCCGCGGATTTTCGGATCATGTTCGCGCAACTGCGCACATTCTTGCGTAGCGGACACACTACAATGGATAAGAGCAGGGACAGCGACATTGTGTTGAAGGCACACTTGGGATTCATCTCGCCATTGTACTTCATCGCCACAACGTGTCGAGTCCGCGACGTTCGACGGAACGCGCTTGAAGCTTTACAGGAACTGAAAGTGGTAGAAGCCCATTGGAACAGCTGCGTTGCATATGCTGTGGCCAAAACGGTGGTTGAGATAGAGGAATCATGTAGCCAGAGCTCTATGAAAGTGCAACGAATCAAAGTCGACAGCGTCGATCGATGCAAGGACGGCACACTTGAGATCCGATACCACCAAATCCCCGGGAACGGCAATCACGGCGACACTGTGACTAGGAGGATAACTGAGCCTTGCTGTCATCACGAAGCAACGATGACGTGGGTAAGTAGTTTCTTGCACTTGAAGGCCTTTCATACTGGAGCTAATGGCTTGTACAGCCCCTGGTGCGCATCGTTCAGCTCCACGGATTCCAGGCGACGGTAAAGCCTCACAAACTCAACTGTTCATGTGAGCATACGCTGCCAACGTGATCCTGTAAAGAAACCCCTCAGCACCACAGATCAATCTGAACTCCAGGGAGACCCAACACCGAGGTCCAAGAGACAGTATGTGTTGCTTCATCGACGCACATGCAGCTCCCTGCCTAATCCCTGTTCAATTTCTCTGCGATGCTCGCGCACGTCAACACCACCGCCACCTCGACCTTGGGTCTCAGCTTTTCGAACAGCCGCAGTTCTCCATGCTTCCTCAGACTGCCCAAGGTGCTGGCCACGAAGACGGCGACAACGGCTCCAGTGTCTTCGTCTGTCAGCCGGTAGTTCTTGAGGGACAGTTTGTTCTGGACACCGTCTTGATCGCTGATGGTTCGCTGCCACCTGAAGCGTCTCGTGCCCGGCGGATGCGTGCCGGCGTCAATGTCGCTCCATTCCGGACACTCGGTGAAATCCCACTCGTACTTGCTCTTCGTGAGCATCTTCGAAACATTGCGCATCTCTTCCCATTGGACGCTGTTGGGGTCGTTCTGTGCGTCACCGATGCCGAACTTGACGCTTCGAGCGTACCGAAAATGGGCGACTCCCAGGATGGGTCCGAGTGTATCCTGACCGGCAATGACAGAATGAAGGGTGATGTCGGGAACGTTTCTTTTCCACTCCGAGCAAGCGGCGAAGTACACTTGTGCCTCTGAATCTTTAGTGCAGTCCCAGATGGAGATGTCCGAGTTGAACACTTTCTTCCGGAAGACTAGTGTCTTGATGACCGGCTGGTTAAGGAGGGTAGTACCCGTCCGAACCCGAGGGATAGGAACAGCGGCGTCCCAGACTTTGAGCTCGTCGTGAGGATCAGTGACATGGTGTGTCAAGGGCTCGTTGCTGTGAGCCTCGTCCGTGTTGCGAGGTGGGATGTCGTGGGCAAATGAATTAGAGTACGGGTTACGGAATGCGGGTGCCATGGTTATGAGACGTATGGAGGCAATTTATCAGTGCAGGATATAGGTTGGGTGAGAGGAAGTTAGTTTGGCGCGATGGTGGATTCGAGGGAATCAATGCGGCAGAGGGATTCCTTCTGACACCGAGGACCACAATATAGTTGTGGGAGGAGTTCAGGGCAAGAGCGAAGGTCTGTAGACACCTTCAGTCTGCTGAAGTCGAGAAAGGACGAACCGAGAATCACGTCCCGGCAGCGGCGCGGCAGGCGTCGATGCACATACCGCCGCATGTAGAAGTTGTAGGATAGAATCGAACAAGCTCGATTGAACTGTGGTACGGATTCTCTCATATGACTTACTCCCTCAAATACAGTAGTGGTAGTTGTACATAGTAGGGAAGGCTAAACACGAAGTCTGCCTGAGGACGAGGACAAGCCACCCAGCACGCCCAATCTTTGAACCATGTGATCACGAGTAATTCGTACTTAGTTTTCGACGACCTGATTACGAGGTAGTCAATGCAAGTGACTGGTGAATGGTGAATGGTCCGACCTCTGTGCCACGCGATCACGCTGGACTTTTCTACAGGCCCCCTCCAAGTGCTTGGGCGGATTAGCGGCATGGCAAGGAACGGGGAGGCATGTCAAGGCATGGCGAGGCGTTCTTGGGATACATACATACCTGCTCCGTACTGTACCTAGTATCGTACTCTCAGGGAAAGGGGCCGTGAGTGTGCGCCTAACGTAAAGGTAACGTGGGTTTATTTATAGTAGCCAGTAGCTAGTAGCTAGCTAAGGTAACCTCAGGTAGGTAATTCATCAATTACTACTGGGTAGGTAGGTAGCCGATGCGTTGTGTGGTTCCGTATTCGTATATCCGTCTCGCTTGCATTCGTATACCTCCTAGGTAGGTGTCTTGTATGCATCCATGCATGCATGCGCGGGTAAGTGTTCGTCTACCACAGGATTGTGAAGGCAGCGAATAGCGGAAGGGCGGGTCAGGCGTTAATTATATGTTGGGCATTGCGCGGTACGTATGTAAGTATGTGCAGTATTTTGTTTGGAGTTCATAGTCGGAAGATTTGGTGGGTACTCGTACGGACTTGGCTGGAGAGACTGAGAGACTGAGAGGCCGAGAGACTGAGAGACTGAGAGACTGAGACATAGCATCGAACTGCAACTGTTGATCTTAGCTATATTCGCATCGTAGCACTAGCTTGATGTCGGCCGAAACTGTAGGACCGTCTGAGATAAACTCTCCAGCTACACGGTATAGCTGTTGTGTTCTAAAGCTGGAATACATACACTTTATCATCTCGGTGCGCGCATGTGTTCCGTCTCTCTTCGGTGGTTGAATCTTCTCCTTTTTGGATTGAACACTCTACTGTGTATCCTCTTTTCATTGATAGTATTTCTCTCTACAGTCATTGTATCCTTTCTTTGTTAGCGTGACCGTTCGTCCCTTTCATGTCCCGCTGGCGGTCCTTGATCTCGTGCACCCTCATGTCCAGCCCAACCCAGTACTTCCCATCTCGCCAGGCGACGGTGGTGCCGCCCCAGATCGCCCACAACCACACGGGCAGCGCAAGGGCTTCCCGACCGAGCCACGCAACCATCCAGGTGGTGAACTTCCTCCGCGCCTTCGAACCTGTCGACAGAGGTCTCGCGAACGAGGGCACATTTGTATCTCCACCTTTCGCTTCCACTGTCCTGCCGGAGTGGAGGAGGAGGAACACCGTCCAATCCACGGCCATCCAACACAGAATACTCAAACCCCACCAGGCCCAGAATGCAGTCCACGTGGTGCCCGCCCAAATCCTCGTAGTTTCCAACGTTGTCAGCCCATAAGACCCCATTGCGCTACACAAAAAGCTCTCCGTCCCGGGCTCGACCAGCGTCGCAGCCGGAACGGTAAACTTCCTGACTCGGAGCCACCTCACGCGGCGCGAGATGTAGTTCGTCACAGACATTGATGAAATGGGCTGGACGGCGAGATCTCCGAAGACCAGTCCGTGATTGCGCATATTGCCAGGGAGATCGGGGGTGACGGGGAGGCGTGATTTCCACAGCAAGTCTCCGATCAAGTGATCTTCGCAAATGTTATGGGAGAAGAAGTCGATTCCCGTTCTCGCTTCGAGGGGTGCAGCTTCCTTGTATTTTCGGTCCCTGAGGGCGGCTTGCGATGTCAAGTGATCAAGATGTGACCGCCGGAACATGGTGGATTTGCCTACAATGCAGGGCGCCACCGCGACGGTGTTGATGGCGACATACATCTTGGCGTGTGAAGAGGACAGGAAGACTTCTTCGAGACGGCCGCCACCGTACTGAGCCAAAGTGGCGGGTGTGTTGCGGGAGGCAGGTGTTGCAGCGGTGCCCGTGTCGTGGGACGAAGGAGCTGTCAATTGCCTGTCAACACGGCCGTTGATGACCGAGTACGTATCGACATCTACCGAGATGGGAAGGTGGTGAACCAGCTTGTAGGGTGTTGCTGAGGCTTCACCGTGTCGCGTGAATCCGCATAGCCTGTCCACCATCCGTGCACAGACACCGCGACCGACCCAGACGTTGCAGTCGATGATCCAGATGAGATGATTCTTGCCTGACTCGCGGTATGCTTTGCTCATATTCCGGATCTTGGGATTGGGGCCCAGCAGCTGGCGATATTGACTCTCTTTCTTGTCTCCATTGGCGAGCCCGTCATCGTCCTCTTCCACAAAAATGCGCGCATTGTAACCGGGGTGATCTCTGACGACTGCCGTGAGCGTGACATATGCGGGATCGGAGCGCGAAGACACGCAGAAATGAACAGCTATTTTATCCCGAGGATAGTCTTGGTGGAATGTCGAGGCCAAACACTCGTAGAGGTACGGCTCGAGGCCCTTGCAAGGACGAATGACCGTGACATTCGGGATGTCTCCCGGCGACTTGAATGAGAGGTCTGCCGCTCGTTGCGGAGTTTGACGGTAGTAGAGGAACCTGCAGTCACGGTCAACAAGCTACGTCTTCGTTGTATCCGAGAGTGGTAAATAGACGGACAAACACACATAGCCAATGCCGCAGACGCAGGCTATGAAAATATACCAGGCGATACACACCGCCGCAACAATATCCGTGAACATGGATAGGGCATGACGGAGGGGAAGAGCTTAGATGGCCGACAGGAGCACCTAGTGAGCAGATATCTCCAGTCAAAAGGATGGAGGATCATATTGTCAACGCCGCCGGAAGATTAACATGGAGTTCCGTAAGTCCCGCTTCTTCGAATGCCATACGCTTATGCTGCCACTGGGACCCAGATGAGACTACACGAATGCACCATCACCAGAAAGTAGAGCTTGTGCAAATGCTGCCTGGATTGAGCCCCAGCACTATCATCTCTGTTCTGTAACGTAGCCTAATCCCTTAACCAAGCCCGCCGCTTCTCTTCCTTCTTCTCCCTGCGCTTCTCCTTGAATGCTTTTAACTCGGCCTTGGTCAACTTCTGACTCTGCCGCTCCGCGCGCAAGCTCTTCCCATTGTGGCTGTTTGCTGCAGCGTCCACATCGAAGAACGCGTTCATCTGCCGCTTGCTCTTCTGCTCATCGGTGAATTTCTCCGGGTTAAGATCCGCCCGTTGCCACTTCCCAGTGAACCGGTTGAATGTGCCCGTGGCTTCGTACATATCTGCGGTGTTTGCGCCTGTCACGGCTCCAATGCCGTCATCCACCGCAGAGGAGATTTCGTAAGCTTTGGCGTAGTCGGCGTTAGGGTCATAGTCTCCGTGGATGGCAGGATCGTAGCCTCCAACTTGGCGGCTCGGCGGAGACTGCGAAGCGGCTACCGAGCTTGCGTAATTCTCAACTCCAGGAGGTGCTGACGGCTGTGGTGCTTGTGAGGACTGTGGCACTCTGGGGTTCTCCCACTGTGTCGTCTGCGTAAAGCGGTTGTAGAAATAAAATGCTTGAGCACCATCATCCCACACTGCTGCCCAGCCATCGTCCGGAGGTTGATCAGGAGGCGCCTCCTTGGGCAATGGAGGAGGTTCTTCGCCGGTGGGGAGAGGGGGATTAGCGGACGGTGTTGCTGTTGCTTCTTTGTCGGTCGTCTCCGTGCTCACTGCAGGTGAGGGAGAAGGTTCATGGTCGTATATCTTGAGCTCACCGTCCTCGTCTGATTGAGGACTGTCTTCTGCGCGTTTTTCAGGTTTGTCGGGACTGGAGCAGAAATCACATTAGCAACGAAAGAAAGCGCGCAACGATGGCCTGGAGGTCAGCTACAGCATGATGGTTGGTTACACGGTGATACTCATGTAACCACGATTTCGCATGGCATCAATGGCCCACTTTTGGCGCAGTATCCGCGCTTCTGCACAGACCGGAGCGATCTATCAGAATCAAAAGAGCTGTCATGAAGAGTGGTGGTTTCGGCAAAACATTGCATGGTCTGGGAGAGAAAGGCTCAAAACGGGGGTTACCACGCAGATTTCGATTAGATCGGGAAGGTCTTCCGGACATGGTACGTCACAGCCTCGTTTCCTCTGGTGCCTCAGCCTCGTTTGGGTCCCAAGACCTCCCAAAGACACTTCCACTTGACGAAGAAGGAAACGATGCAAAGATAAGGCTACACACGAATCAGACCTCAGACCCTTTTGGATTTCTCCCGTGGAAGGGTCTGATGAACGAGACAACAGCAGTTCTCCTCGCTACCCTGTGGATGCCCAGGGACCGGGTGGTGTAATGGCCCGCAGTGGCTGAGAGGGACACCCTCTTCCCACCCAAGCGGACATTTCTTCTTTGTTGTGGTGGGCAGAGAGATGTCTTGTGTTGTCATTTGTGGTTGGGAGAAACATTGCGACGACAACTGGAAATATCCTTAAAGTCAAAATCGTTGTAAGCCTGCCACGGGGTGGAGGCACATGCCAGCACATTGCCCCTGTGGCACTTGGAGGACATCCGCACTGTCGAGTAGGCATGCTTTTCTCGATGTCCAGCTTGCCACTCGACGGTCGCATCGAGGACAGGGTCGCGATTCCAGAGAAATGTGTCGTGACAAATTCCACTTGTCCGAGTAGTCACCTCCCGCAATATCGAAGAAATCAAAACAGGCTCGTCCGCTATCCATCAGTGGGTGCTGAGCACAACATACGCTATGGTAATTATTTGTCACTCGATCACCCTGCCACTCGGGATGTGCCAGGTAAATAGCAAGGTTACCGAGGCTTGGCCTGACAGCACTGGATTTGCTGCTTCTATAATAATGGCGTTCATGGTTCCGCATCAGAAACGTGCAGGAGCTGGAATCTCACTGTGCATCGCTGCGATGGAGGTTGGCGTGGGCAAGACTGCCGTGAACCTAGGTGGAAGTGGGATAGCCTGATCTAGCTTCTAACCCATCCTGCATAGGAGGTCTCTCAAGGACGCATGATGTGCAATGTGGATTCGCATCCACCTCGACATTATTGTACCGGGTCAAGCGGTTCTCACACCGCCAAGCACCCAATCTGAGGGCAGATTCGAAATCAAACGCTCGCTATTCTCTGATATGTAATCAAAAGGCTGGGACTTGGAAGCCGTCTCCAGATTAGTACTAATACCGGGTAGACTTGTGGGAGTACAGAGAGGGAAAGCTGAGGCTGACGCTCACATCACGGCTGCAATCACTCCGTGTCTGCATCAGGACTAATGTAGTTGACGTAGTCCATAGAAGTGAAAAGTGTAATGAGCCGTGTCCATTATGTGCGGTCTCTACTCCGTACATAGGGAGAAGGTAGACCTAAACGACTTTGGGACTCGACGGACAAGGAGTCAGGGCACGACGTGTCCATTATGTACGAGCAGCTTACGCCAAGCCCTGTATTGTTCGCAGCCCAATACAGACTAGCGTGGAAGATTTCTATTGGTCAATAGGCCTTACACTAAGCCTCTTCGAAAGACACGCGTATCCCCTGTTGATCCTTTGACGTGGGCATCTTCACCGGCTTCACCTCGTTGCCTTCTATCGCATGATTGTCTTACCATTATTTTGGCATTGCATCAGTAGGGACTCACCTGACTTCTAGACTATTATGCATAAATGTTAGCAAAGTCATCTCTGCCGCTGAGACTTGCGGCAGTCCTGCCTTCGGGCTTGAGCCTCCGTGCGTACCACGTGTCAACACCACCCACGTCGACCTCGGCTCTCTTCGCGCCATCACCAGGGAATGAGGAGGAGCCTACCTCTTGTGAGTCCCATTTTCTCGCAGTGTCTTCTCCTGGATATGGCGACATTAGAGAGGTCTTGATCTACGCGATCGAAGTTCTGATCTTCACCACCAAATCTCTCACCACTTTATTCGTCTCCAAAGCCGACTCGTCAGGGTTCTCAACTCGACTGGACAACCCAAAAGGCTCACCTTCGGTTGTTGCGGTCCTCACTTCAGCTTTCGTAGAGTATTTGCTCGAAGCTCGTCTGGCCAGTTCAAGAGTGGTGCTTTCTCTTTTTGCGCGCGCGCAGAGACAATACCTATTCCCTGGCAGTTCCGAAAATGCGGGCAAACACGTACTCGACGACCGACACCTAATTAAATGGTGGTGCCGAATCTTCGACCGGATCCTACGGCATCCCAGAGACAATTCGACGGCCACGGCCCATCTTCTGGTTCCTGGGTGTGACAAAGGCGAGACCAAAGCATTCTTCCCCCCTTCAACTCGTGCAGATCCACCGGCTAGGCCGAAATGGATCAACTCATATCCTGTCGACCTCATGGTGACAAATACATCGTTGCCTCCAAGACACTTGGTCCCACGCCTACCGGACGACCCAAAGGCACGTTTTCTAGATGATCTGGATGGGGAGTTTGTCGACGAGCGGGGGAATTGGCGAAGTGTGAAGGATCTCACTCAGTTTTGGGAGTTTATGTCTTACAGGCAGGAATGCTCCGCTGGCAGGCTGGTTGGATTTCTGTGGTTGGTCTTCTCCCACGACCAAGCCAAGTATGCAGCTTCTAGTGAGCTTCAGCAATCTGAACACACGCCGAGGCCGAGTAAGCCAATGGCGCAGCCAAGTCTTCTGACCCCCGGCAACTCTCAGCAACTGGAGCATGGTGCTCCAGAATTTGGCCCGCAGGATTCATCGACCCTCAATACACTCCCAACCCTCCACTCACCACCTCCGTCTTCACCACTTCAGCAAGAGCCAGGGCCGATAGGGTCGCAGGACTTCCAAGACCGAGTCGATGCTCCTGCTGCACCTCCGCTGACAGAGGGGTCATCATTGCCCGTGGTCGACCAAACGCGGGGCGAGATCGTGTTTGACGCCGCTCAATATCAGGCATTGATGGACTATCTTCTGCAGACTGACTTTACTGGAGAAGAAGCTGCTGTGGAAGCCAGCAGAAGCTGGATTGACAGAGCTCTGGAACTGTCTAGGGCCACATCCTTTGGCCAACCGGTGCTGGGATGTGCCACCCCGGTCTTGGCGCAGTCCGCTCCGGCCGTCGAAGCGTCATCGGCCCCAATCAACGTGCTGACTGGTGTCCGCAAGAAGAGGAAAGCCGATGTTGTTGAAGACGCCTCGGTTCGATCTAATGGAGTAGAAATAGCTGGAGCGGCAGCAATTAATACGCTGGCTGCCGGTCTGGTTAGGAAGAAGACTAAAAGTTGAAGGCGTGACCAGCACGCAGCCTTCGCAATATAGCACGAGCTACTTGCATCTGGGGAGCGCGAAGCTGCAAGGTGCCTCGATTGGGTAACTGGGGCTCCCTGGCAGATGACAATCCTGCTTCGTACTGAAGAGGCTAGCAGTGGCCACGTCCCAGTCAGAGGAGTGGCTATACAGAGCTTGGCGGTCCGACCATCCGGCCGCGCGTCTATTCTGATTGGACGACCGCCGGTCAGCCGCCGTGCTGCATTCCGATTGGGCCTCGGGAGGCGCCAAGCAAACTTCGCCTCGCACAAACTCTCCTAAAAATGGAAATTCGTCGACCGTCCCACGCGTCTATCCGTTTTGCATTCGTCTTTCCTGGCCCTCAGCATTAGGCCTCGCTGTCGGCCGACCGGCCCTCGGCCAATATTCGCCAGTCGAACATCCTTCCAAGGTCTCCAAGGCGCCTATGGCAGATACGGCAAAAATGGCAACCAGCCTTGCAGTGGTGATCCTCCTTCTCCAGCGCGGCGTCAATTGTAACAGAGCAATCCTGCCGCAGCCCGTTTCAGGGCTGCTCGTGTCCGCGTGCAGCGACGAGCCGGGCCCAGGCTGACCACCGCAAGCCTTGGATGTACTGGATAGATGTATGGTCATCAACTTCTCTCTTGTATCGCCTCATCTCATCTCTGCCGTTCTCTCTGCCTGTCTGTGGTTCCGGTGTTGCATTTCTCTGATTTTCGTTTTCTGCTGTCGACGCGTTTCCTTTCTGTTGGACTACAGCCTCGCCATCACGCGGGTTGACCTCGTGCGCAGCTGAGTCTCGAAGTATTTCTCTCGGAAATCCTGCGTTATGGCCGCCCTGGTGGGAGCTTCTCTTCTTTTTGCCGCCGTTGCCGCGGCGCAGAATAGCTGTTCGATCGTCCCCATCTACGTCGACTTCCATGACAGGGCAGTCAATGGCGGCGTAAATATACAATACGGCCTTTTCGCCGGAATAGGCTTCCCCCTATCGCAAAATCAGTCTCTATGGCCGTCGCTGTCGAACAATGAGACGACGGTGTCTAGTCTCGACTACTGCACCAATAGTCCGTTCCCGAATTGCTTGGATCATGATCACGGATTCTACTCCCCAGAACTATCAGAGAAGTAAGCGGAAGCCTCATTCCGTGGAGAGCATGAACTGACCACAAGCTCAGTTATTCCTCCGTGGCATCATATCAACCACTCGATGAATATGGATCGATACCCGCAACAATTGTTGAGACTGCGCTCGACACTCTCAATGTCTTCACACACTACTTTGACCCGTCACCAGCAACTATAACGCGAGTACAGAACTTCCCCATCACGAGACTGTCCAACTATTCTTCCAGCAGGACACCGTGGTTTGGACCTGCCGGCCTCATGGGTCTTGGGCCCGTCAGCACTCTCCTCGAACACCTGTACAACAATCAGTTTATCTCGTCGCGATCTTTTGGCTTGTACATGGGTACTGAGTATGAGCAGTCGAACGGTGCAATCAATGGCTCACTCACTCTGGGTGGCTATGATTCAGGTCGATTTGAGGGCGTCGTACATAATTACACCATCAGTCAGCCGCGTGCGGATGCAGCTCACAGCCCCTTCAAGGTGTCGGTCCAGCAAATGACTCTTACCGACGAGTCCAATGGAGAGAAGACAGACTTGCTCACTGGCGCATTCGACGCCCATATCACTACCTCGCAATACCAACTCAGTCTGCCTGACAATGTCCTCCAGCAATTCTCGGACGCAACAGGTGCTATACCCTCCGACGACGATCTCAACGTCTATCGTCTTCCTGACGGCTTCAACTCCACGTTAACAATCACTCTTGACTCCGGCCTCGAGATCACCTACGATGCCGACTGGTTGAGGAACGTGTCAAACAACTCGCCCATCTCCACCCACACCATACCAGACGGTACTACCAACGGAACGATCAATCTCCTTGGCAGCGCCTTCCTCTCCAATGTCTACTTGATCGCGAACTACGACTCCGAGCCGCCGACGTTTCACCTCGCCAAAGCATTGCCACACGCACCGTACGTCTTCACGGAGACGCTATGCCCAAACACAGTGCCCACAGCCGCAGCGCAGACTAAGATTTCCAGCTTTGCGGCTTCAGGGATGGCCGGTGCAATCGTCGGTGGTGTGGTCGGGGGCATCGGCGTCGGATTTGCCATCTACTGGCTTTTCCGAAAATGCATGCAGCGACGCATGTGGCGTGAAAAAGCCCGCCAAAGCATGAAGGGCAAGGGTATGGACAGTGAATCTACCGTGGGAGGCACCAAATGGGCCAGCGGCAAAGCCCAAGGGTCGCCCTCGACCATGGCAAGCGAGATAGAGAGGGGAAACAGCAGTGAAATGGCGACGTTTGCATTCGATTTCAATTCACAACAACATCAGGCGTATGCAACTTACCTCGACAACGCGACGCAACAACCACAGCCACAACCACAGCAGCAGGATCAGAACGCCTCAAGACTGTCACGCACGTACAGCCAATTCGTCAAGCAAATGGCGCACGAGAACCTCGCCTTGAACACAGCTCCCCAGTCGGGAATGCATGCCCCTCAATACGCGCGGCCCATTACCTCTGACTCCTTTGAGACTCCGATCACGCCTGCCACGGGCGTGCCGTTGTTGTTCTCATCATCCCGACCCGGGCAGTCGCCGGAGCCGGTGATCCAGACGTCCAAGCACGGGCCTTTCCGGCCCTTGACACTGACACACAGCAACGTCTCGGTGCCCGACGCGACGAGCACGTTTCCCTTCGGAGAGGGACAGGGACGGAGCCACGAAGACCACGCCTTCCAAGCCAGGCAGGCCAAATTGAAGGGATTGAATGTGCAGACCGAGTTTGCTCCGCCTCCGACAGCTTTTTCAGAGAAAATGGCGAGAAAGGCGGCGGGCAGGGAAGGCGGGAAGCTGAAGAAGATGTTCTCTCCGTCTTCGTAGTCCAAATGTTCGCAATGCCCGCGTCACCTCATGCGTGACACGGAGATTTGCCTTTCGAGTCTGAATATGCATTTAGCGGCCATGTTGGGGGCGGCGTTGACACACGGTGTGGCTTCTTCAGGTTCAGAGATGGATGCAAATCCGTCATGTTACGACATTTATGTGTGACGCCCATGAGACGTGGTTGCTCAAACCTTGGCCACGGAGATAATATATACTTTTATTCATCCTTGAGCGGGTCAGAGTGAAGTCTTCTTCTACCCGTGCCCCGGATACAGTACTCATGTCAGCATTTCGTGAGCGCGGCGTCACACGTCCTGTGTATGCCGTCCAAGCCTCCGGCTCGGTCCAAACACCTCACGTCCTTCTCCTTGAACATCCTGGCCTTGACCCGGCCGATGAACAGCTCGTCCAATCTCTCGTAGCTCAGGCCCGCCGATTCGGGCTGATAGGCCCACAGATACCAAATCGACAGCACCGACAGCGCCCCGAAGATGAACGTGACTTTGGCGCCCAGGTTTGCCTTGTCAGGGTTGAACAGGTACGGCAGGACGAAACCCCACATGGTCTGCTCGTACGCCCCCGCCCCGCATGGCAGGGCCAACCTGTTAGTCCAGTTCGACAGATCGGAAGGATCATGTATGACACCAAGAACAAACTATCGAGAAAAACAGAGAGAGAGAGAGAGAGAGAGAGAGAGAGAGAGAGAGAGAGAGAGAGAGAGAGAGAGCGAGAGAGTACACGTTCCCCGGGCGTACGTACGTACGTACGTACGATATGATATGATATGGCTGGGGCTCGAAGGGGACTTACGAATAAAGCGCTCTGCAAGCCCACGGAGAGCGACGCAGTTTTGGCTCGCAGTCGCGCCGTGGGTATCTCGGTCATGATGGTGTAAGCGGTCGCGCCGATGGTGGCGTTGTACACGAAGCAGAACAATTGGAGGAGCGCAATGGTGCCTCTGATGGCGCCGGGAGTGCCTGAGACGGCGAGCCCTAGATCGAGTCGCGAAAACGAGGGTGTGTCAGTCGAAAAGTGAACGCACGCAGCAAGGTCATCACTGGGTGTTGATATTTGGCGGGCGTGCGTTGAACAGAACTTACCTCCTGTGATCAAGAGGAGTGTCGTCAAAATGATCATGCCCGACAGCGTCAATCGTCGCCGTCCCACACTGTCGACGAGGTACCAAGAGACGACGTTGCCGGCGCCCGACAGGACCTGTTGGACAATGAACAGTTTGAAGCTGGCCGCGGCGCTGTAGCCGGCAAGTTGCTGGTAGTACGTGCTGTAGGAGCCGACAAAGGTGACGCCGGAGAAGGTCTGGATGGTCAAGGGCATTGCCGCGATGATGGTGCGTCGCAGGTTCGAGCGGCGGAAGCATTCGGCGTATGTCGCTCCGGAGGTCTCTTCTTCGGTCTTGGCCAAGACACGTTTGATCTCGGCCATCTTGATTTCGGCTTCGGTGTCGTCGGTAAAGCCAATCTTCTGGAGAGCCTTCATTGCCTTGTCTGGTTTGCCATGACTGGCCAGCCACCATGGTGACTCCGGCATAAAGGGGAGCACAAGCACGGCGATGCCCATGAAACCGTACCCCGATACAAAAGCGATCCGATAAGCCCAGCGCGTGGGCTGATCACCAGTGAAGTTGACCACCAGTGCGGAAGCCAGCGAACCCGTGATGAGCGCGATGGGCATGGCCGCCGTAAGCACTCCGCGCAATGGTAGCGGGGTGATCTCCCCGATGTACGCCATACAGATCGAGTTCGTCCCGCCCGTCGAAAAGCCGCCGAGGAAGCGCCCGGCGAAGAAGACCTCGTTCGTGGTGGCGATGTATTCCAGAGTGACGGAAATGAGCCTGACGCCGAATAGGAAGGCAAGTGATGCTCGTCGACCCAGTTTATCGGCAACCCAGGCGCCGCCCAAGGCTCCTATGACGGATCTGCGATGGCGTTGTCAGCGTGGATTCCGCCCCAGGCTTTGTAGCCAGCTGGAACGTACGCTGCCTGAGGAGCACCGTAGTACGCGGACTGCCACTTGGCGGAAAGGACATAGTTGCCATTGTAGGCATTGCCAAAGTCCTTCCGGAACTGCGGGATACCGAGCACAGACTGCCCGGCAGTCTTTGCATAATTGTTGGCAAGCACACACCATAGTATGTAGAGGCACCATAGTAACGCTGTTCTATGCTTTCGTAAGGAGCCAAAGAACGATGGGGGTTTTGTATACTGTGCGAACGATACTTCTGCCGACTTTACCTCCGTAACACAGACATCGTCGTGGAGAGCCTCTTTGGCAGAGTCGCTGCTTTGCGACATGGCGACTGCCTCTTGCCTCAAAAGTTCAGCAGTTCCAAGGGATGAGACCAGGACACTATGGACCCATCAAGCAGATAAGCCGACGCATCATAAGCTTCTCCATCTCGAACGCACGCGGCAGTAATTAGTCGCCCGGTTCCGAACGATCGAGGGCCTTAGTCATCGACACGCCATGTGGCTGCACTCGTTTCTCGAAACAGGCCAGAACTGTCGGTCTCTGGAATCAGAGGAGACCGGCTATGCAAGGCGTGATTGTGCATCTGGTAGAGTACGCTGTCGGGACCCGAAGCTGTTCTGGAACCCCAAACAAGAAACACCTTGGCTGGGCGGGCGTGAGGATCGAGGGGGTACAGCCAATCGAGCAAGGCCAATACCCCTGCGTCCGTCTCATAGGCATGGTCTAAATTCTCTGGCTCGCCTGGGTGAAACATGAGTAAGCGGCCCGCTTAGGCGTCAAACTCTCCTTGCTCGATACCTCGTATGCAAATCCAGGCATCCCGCTTAAATTGTTCGGGGACCCGTCGGAGCACTGGTGGACCGATATCGACGTCAGATCGAAGATGGATCCGCGTCGCCTTGATGCAAACCACGCTCGACAGTGCGAGTGGAGGAGATCAGGAGCAGGGAGGTACAGCTGAATCCCGAACAGCACCATGAACCACAACAAGAACCCTCCGCCGTTGATGTTCATCGTCGGCGACGGCAAGAACCCCCAGAAATCCACCCGAGCGATCAAGTCGGCCAAGACGTCCCACATCTCCTCGCGATATCGGTACTGGAGCAAGGCCAACCACCGAGATCTGGCGCTCGATTCGACCACCAAGGCGATCCTGAACGGAGCTTCTTCTTATCTGAACAAATTGTCCACCGGCAACTATCGGAAGAAGCCTCCCGAGCTGTTGAATCGTGACCAAGCGGAGGACAACGATCAACCGCTCCGAGAGCAGAGTCGACCGCTGGCCTGCGAGGCGGCAGTGATCAGGCCCAAACCTCCAACACCGCATGTCGCGGTGAGGCCTTGGGAGCAGGCTCGCAAAGACTACGAGGAATGGGCCGCGCGACCCTTGTCCATCCTTGGTTCGCAGTTCTTCGACATCTTCACTCCCTCGACGGCCATGAAGTACGACATTGAGATCAAAACAAACCTCTACTTTTATTTCAAGATCATCAGGCCCTTTGCCACGCATCTGCTTCAGTCGTGGCAGTGGTTCGATAATCTGGCTCAGATTCAGGCGTCGCCTTGTCTCACCTATGCTGTGGCAACATTCGCCTCCGTATTCCTGTCTGGGATGCTCAGAGGGTGAATCTCCCCCACGCTTTTCACTATTCAGTGGAAGGGCCCGCAAGCTGTGCTTCGCTCGAACGGGTTGATATGGCGTCGGCTGCTGACTTTGGCTACAGTGGACGCGGCGTGGTCCTGCCGCCAGAGACCGAAAAGGGCCAGAATTGCCCATGGACAATACCTCCCTGGCTACGGCTCCATACCAAGTGCCTGTCCGAGCTCAACGCGATCCTAAGCGACCCTGCCCAGGTGATTGATGAATCTTGCTATCAAGCGATCCTGTTCTTGTACCGACTCTCGGTAAGCTCCAAGCACCACAGGTGATTGCGTTGCGGACGTGCTGAAAGCTCCAGGTGCTCCTAGCGGACGGCGAAACCGGGAGGATGCACTTGCAAGCCCTCAAACGAATGGCCCTCCTTCTTGACATTGACCAGAGTTCGCTCGGTAGGGAGCTCGCCGTGTGAGTTCTTTTCTGCCCCACCGCAAGCTTGTCTGGGCTAATGATCGCTGTGCACAGCTCCAAAATCAACATCATCGGAGCTTTTCTGCACAGCAAGTCCGTCGTTCTGGTTCGGCAAGTCAAGGACAAGGCCAACGAGCCGGAGAGAGAAGTGGTGGAGGTCGACCGCAAGTTCTGGCGCTCTGACCGGGAATGGTACTCTCATCGCGCCGGCCTGGCCGGTCGCACGTTGGCCTGGCGCGCAGAGAGTCCCAGCTCCAGCTTGCTTCCAGAAAGCGCCTCCGCCATTGCCCGGGTGGACCCCGATAGCAAGCTCTTGGGAGAGGCCGAACATCTCGAGGTCCAGCGGTGCTATCAGATCGCCTTGTTCTTCTGGAAGTACCTGAACTGTATCAGCTTCAACACCTCTGCGCTAATCGTCCGCTCGAATCTGCTGGAGTTGCAGTACCGGTTGTCGAACATGGATCTCCCCACGATGAGTTTAATCTGCTATACCACGCTCTTCAACATCCTCTTGGCGGGATCAGAGGCGGCGCGCTCGAAACCGGAACGGACGTGGTTCATCCAGCAGATGGTGTGGCTGTATCCGGACATCCAGTACCTCGACACCGTCTGGCAGTTGCTGGCCGAGTTCTTCGATCCTCTTGCGGTGAACTTCAAATTCATCCAGGAAGTATGGGAAGACATCGTTGCCGCGAGAGGAGGAGGCGGCACCACAAAGCCCGCAAACAGCGCGGACAGACAACTGGTCAAGCCGATCAAGCAATTCCGGCCCACCTCGTATGCGCCGGATCTGACGAAGCCGCTTCCGGTGTTTGAGCTTCGAGACGTCGAGGAGGCCACGCTGGAGAAAGGCATTCACAAAGCGCCTGGTTGTGCGAGTGTTGCGACCTAAGAGGCAATAGTCAGCTCAGCTTACAGTCTTCATGTCGCGTCGACAAGGGCAGATACCGAGAGGACTGGCCTTCATCTCAGCTTGGTAGGAACGAACCCTCACGCAAGCCTCACTCCAAGAGAGCATGCGAATGTAAAGTCTTGCGATCGTCGGATCTGGTTGTCCTCAGCATGAGCTTCCCCGATGGGATCCAGCACATCCAGTGCTGGCAGCGCCTTTGCTCGGAAAGACACCGAGACAAAACAAAAGTGTCCTCGAGATCGAGTGACTACACCCGCAGTCGAGCCCTCAGGCTATAAGACGCTCACTTGGCAACCACCTTCATACATTTGTCCTAAAGGAGAATACGCCGTTCCAGCTCGAAGCCGCTGTCAAGTATCGCGGTCGTAGTCCTCAACTTGTCATCTCTCCCGCAATTTTCTTGACTTATTTGACGAACGCATGGGCCGCGACTGTAGTCCTGTTACAACTACCAGCTACTTCCAAAATATAAAACAGTGCAGGCGCCCAGGGTGGGATTCCAGCAGATGTGGTGAATGTGCCTCTCCGCAGAGCCACTGTGCTTACTGGTGGATCGACGACAAGGAAAGGTGCTTGAAGGCCGAAGGTGCGGAAGGAGATGAGACAAGTTCTGGCAGTACTGGATTCGTGTTCTGGAGACGGAAACCAGATACTGCCATGGCAAGGCTTGGTGGTGGAATGACTTGAGATGGAACCGTGAAGCTACAGTCCATATTGATACTGGCTCGTACTGTATGTCACGGTACTGTATGTGACGGCGACAGAGAGAAACTCTAGTCGACGACGAACACCCACTCACTATTCAGCACAGCACATCAATCAGCATCAGCATTGCGCACCACTAGACGAGCTACCGAGTACATCAATCATGATCAGATGACCCCCCGTCCTCTTGACCATTTCGTTCGCAGACAAATTCGTCTGGTCATCCTTCCTCTGTCTATCTCCTGTATCGTCGCAGGCTCGCAATGAGTTGTCTTGTCCTACCACGCCTTGCTGGGGATCGTACAACTTTGCTTGGTTGCCCTCCCTGCTTCCGACATCCATCCTCTCTAGGCAATAAGGTATGTTGTCCTTCCACATGATACGGAGGAATGCCGCGGGCTAGATTGTCCTGAGCAGGGTGTTTATCCGTCCGACATCATCACTGGTACCGAGATGACCTTCAAGGGGTACGGGATCAGTACATAGGTAATCTATCTCGACGGCCCCCTGACTCTACTGACCCCATATAATAGTCACCGGCAATCAATCATGAAAGAAAGAGCGCCCGTGAGAGTTGTGACTTAATTGCCTACGGCCGACCTGTCTGCTTGACAACCCCTTCTTTTGCAACTTGTCAATGTCTGCGGCACATTATCAGGGGCCGTCCACGACGTTCCACTACTACGACCGATATCCCGTGAGACGGCTTGACTATGCCGTTGATGTGGTAAAGAGATTCCGGAGAGGTTGCACGCTGTGTACGCTGAGAAAAAAGGTGGACGGAATTGTCTTTCCCACCCTGCGGCACGCTCTGAACATTGTCGACGGTCATGCAACTGGATGGTCCATGGTACCCGTTCCATTCCACAAGATCACCCTGCTGGTGACGGATGCTCGTCCAAGCTTGTAAAATGCCGGCAATACTCTGATCGAGCCTCACAGAACCGGTAAGAGGTATTCTCAATGTTCATATATACATAGCTTCGCTCTGGCTTGTGGCCGAAACCTTGCTGAGGCTCCTGTACCCAATACCCGGAAAAGTCATCCATCCGCCTTAACTTTCCTCTTTCTTCCATTCGTGGCTGTCTACAGGTCCTGGACAAGGAGTTCCGTGATGCTGGCCTGTGGTACCTGCATCTTTGGGGATAGCACGCCAGGGCCGCTGTATGTGCTGTTACCAGGGTTCGGCCCATCATTACCCGTCGCAGCCTTGTACTTGAAAACAAAGTTCAAGATTAACGCCAACGCCAATCCGATCGTCACCACGAACGGACCGATGGGATTGTCAAAGTCCTTGCCACTGCGTTCCGTGATCAGCCTTGTACGCCACATGTACACGTACCATCCCCAGATCGAGGCAAAGATTGCAAAGCAGGTGTACACAATCGACAGGCCACGAGCAATGTCATTGCTGACCCCTGCGGCGTTGTACAGTGCTAGTGAGAAGGTGGCGAGGAGAATTGCAATGTGCTGCCACTTGATGAACGTTCGCTGGTTCGCAAGCCAGACTTTGGCTTCAACTTTCAGCTCACCCTGGTCCTTGATCCAGAAGCTGGGTTCCTTGACGCCAGCAGGCAGTGGAGCATTCTCCCATGCTCCTCTTCCTTGACGGTGGCGACGGCCATAGCGCGAGTTCGAGAAACCCGGTAGGAACGAACGAATGCCGCCCCCAGAAGAATCCCGAACTTCGACTTCCTCAGGCGCCTGAACTCCAGTTTCGTCGTCGTCTCGTTCCTCCGCCGTGGTTTCGAGCTGGGACGAAGCCACCGCTTTTGGCTGCGACTGAACAGACGGGGACAGAACTCCAGACAGCTTCCGCTCGGGGAACCTGCTTGGGGATGCGGCGGCCTTGCCTTTGCTTTGCGATAGCTTAGAGCCCGCGATGAAGCTGCCGACCGCCATCTCATCCTCAGCTTTCTGCGCCTCTCGTTGCTGTTCCTCCTGGTAGGCAGTCACGGGATCTCTCCTGATGTCCGTCTCAAGATCGCTGAGCCAGAAAGGAAAACTATTGACATAGTCTTCGAACAGTTCAGCCACACCATGCACAAATTTGGAGAACCTCTTCTCTTCCTTGACCAGGTGCGAGTTCATCAGGTCATTGAGCCAGGCGTTTTTCTTAGTATAGTTGGACTCCTTGATCTTGATCTCAAGCACAGCGTGAGGAAATCGGCTGATTTCCCCCTTCTTAATCGCGGAGAACGGATACTCCATCTTCTGCTGATCAATATCGGAACGATGCCAGTCGTCCGGATCACGGCACGGACGATCGGGGTCAAGAGCATCCTCGCGTATAAATGCCAAGTCGGTGTCGAGGGAGACCCGAATCCTGTCATCGCCAGGGATTTGAAACGCCGTGCGGGTATAGCTTGCCCGAAGGACTGGTTCGAGATTCTTCTCCTGGATGAAGGACTGGATCTCGCCGATGTTGGCCTTGAACGCCTTGACATCGTCATGATCAGCTCCGAGCATTTCCTCAAGTCTCTTGACCTGTTTCTCCATCTTGTATTCGCCTTTGAGGAACGGGAGGATATACTTTGGCTTGAGCTGGATCCTGATATCGCTGCTGTCGGTTGCTTCGTCGACAAACTTCTTCTCTAGGACAACCTCCGGCTCGTCATTAAGCTGCCCTGTCCACCTAATGCGCAGCGAAGCACCTGCAGTGCCTTTCTCCACTTTACCCTGGTAGAGGTCGAAATTGTTGTTATCAAAGTAGATGGATGTTATCGTGGGATCCCTCTGAGACGAATCAACCACTTTGACAGACTGTGGATTGTAGACCAAGACGGGCAGGCGACGCAGCAGATAGGTCTTCACTTCCAGGAGATTGTCAACATGGACCCAGTACTTGTAAGCCGTGTACTCGTCCGTTGGTTTGATGTCTGTTTCTGCCTCCTTTCCGGCTTCTTCGCCTTCAAGCGTCTGACGAGCCCAGCTATACATGGTTGACAAGCGGAAGAGGAGAGGCGAATAATCTTCTTGGTTGAAAGGCATCTGGGCCAGACGGACCTGCAGTATCGGCCTCACTCTGTACTTGAGTCCTCTCTTCCTGTCATGTTTCTTGGCCGCCTTGAGGAACCCGGTGTAGTTGATTCTGCTGAACTTCCTAAGTTCATTGAGCTCTTTCGAGATGCTGTCGAGCTCTGGCATCAGCTCCTTGGCCACCTCCTTGTATTCTTGGTCCGCCTTTCCTGCGTCTTCGCCTTCAGGGGAGGGGAGTTTGGCTTCACAGGCGGCGGTTCGGTCTCGCAACGAGTTGAAGATGCTGACTTGATGCTGGTGCACTTTCTCCAACTGAGCTACGGTCAGCTCGTGGACGAAATTCTCTTCATCTTGTTCCGTCCAGCTCCCCTCTCCGCCGCGGCCCTGAGGAGATGTTTCGTCTTCGCGGAGGAGTTTCTTGATCTTGTCGTACTCGAGGTACTTGTCTTTCCACGGAGGGTAGATAGAGTCCGAGAGGGTCTTTCCGAACCGCATGTTGGGTGCAAGGAAGCTGAGCTATAGCTACGATATTCCGACAATGAGGGAAGCTACTCCATACAAAAGGTGCGCTGACAGCGCTCACTGTCGAACAGATACAGGGTAGAGTTCAATAGTATGCAAAATCGTCAGAGCTCCCAGCAAAGGAAGCTTTTCCCCCCAAGCTTCACGCATCAATTGCAATGCCGTCAGTTCCTGCCAGCCCCCCACCATTAGAAAAAACAAAGTGAGGGCGAAGAGCGAATCACAGCTGCTGCCGAGCTCTCGTGCCCTTCGGAATTCTCCGCCTAAGTCAACGGTGTCCCATTGGCTGTGGCTCCAAGCTAGAGCCTCAAGATTCAGCCTCGGCATCTTTGCAGCCGACGAGGCTGAGCTGTTCGTTGAACTCGAGGTACGGAGTACAGAGTATCATTCTCGAGTCGGACTACAAACCTTCCCGCAGTCATGTCGGACGACTCCAGAGCCATCATCAAGGCGCTTGAATCTGTGCTTGTCCAACTCAGCGAGAATCCTTATCCGCATGTGCCCAACCCACCCAACACGTCCCAGAAGCGAGCCAGTGTCGCTGTGATCATACGCGTCCGCCCCGCGTACAGGCCTGTGCTTGCTGCAGGCAACGCCTCAGTCGTAGCCGTCGACACACCCTCTTCACCTCCATCCTCGCTATCTGACTTCTTTGCACAAGATTGGGTGCAGGAAGGCGACCCTGAACTGCTCTTCATCAAACGCGCCGGCCGAGCAGGAGACAGATGGTCGGGGCATGTGGCCCTGCCGGGTGGGAAAAGAGACCCTGAGGATGAAGATGACTTGGCTGCGGCCATTAGGGAGACCCGGGAAGAGATAGGCTTGGACCTGGAAACGGCCGACTGTCTCCATGCGGGCAACTTGCCGGAACGACTTGTCACGACCTCCTGGGGCAGAGATGTGCTGATGGTACTGTGTCCCTACATCTTTGTGTTGACGGGCAAGAACGTCCCACCTGTACAGCCACAGCCGACAGAAGTAGCCTCAATACACTGGGTCTCGCTTCGAGCCCTGCTCTCGCCCACGCTCCGCACGAGGGAGGCTGTGGACATCTCTGCCCGATGGGCCAAACGCGTTGGCCCGACTGTTCACAAACTCATTCGCCTGACAATGGGCAGAATGATGTTCAGCGCAGTCCGTCTCCTTCCTACAGAGTCGGTCTATGCCAGTTCTATACCAGACTTTATACCCCGAGAAGGAGGAGACAACCTCTCCACTTTGTCCGGCTGGGCGCAGGCTCCTTTCGGCGTGCCTTCTTCCAATTCTGCACACAACCGATTACTGACCTTTCAGCAACCACTCATTCTCTGGGGCCTCACCCTGGGCGTGCTTGCGGACCTTCTCGATCAGCTGCCCCCGTACAACGCGGTGGCATTGTGGAAATATCCTACCTTTACTGTCCCGGACCTCCGTCTCATTGTTTATCTCATGACCCGCCAGTTCCGGAAGAACACGGCCGACGCATTTTCCTCCGGGTCATGGTACAGTCAGAAGCAAGCGCGACCACAACGCCGACGACCCAGCCAGACTGCCATGGACGGCATGAGCCAGGCCATTGCGATATCGTCTGAGGAATCACCGCCCGCCATGGGTCCAGAGTCTTCGTCCATAGCAGTATCCGATGCTGCCGAAGAAGGCCCAGACACGGAGAAATCCGAAAAACGGTCGTCCTTCAACAAGCATAGCGTCGGTATAGGTGGCCTAGGTGTAGGAAAGAGTCCAGACCATGCCGTTGGCAAACTACTGTACGGATATTACGACCGAGTCAATTGGGCGATTGGAGTATTCTTGGCGTACCGGACCGTCCTGACAGCGGGTACGGCGTGGTGGATAGTCAAGTGGTGGAGAAGACGAAGCGAAGCACGTGTGTGATGGAGCATGCAGTGCTGGCTGTGGCTTTCATCGATCGCCCGCCCCAATACTACCTAGCCAATCGTCAGCTTTCACACCTCGTATGCTATGGTTCATGTTTGCTTGTCTTCTTATCCAATCATCCAGCCATTGCACAAACCAAAGCAAACCGGATTGACACACGCAGAGGTCCTGTCCGCTTCAAAAATCATGGTTACTACTCCCTACTTGGGACAGAAAGCGAGAACATGGTTGTCCAGGGTTTGATGGAATTCGAGGCTGACAGGAAGGCTTGAGGGATGTTAGAAGTGCTTCACTGGTTGCCCACTTCGGACAAAAAAGCTGTTCAAACGAGCCAGCCTCTCGCCAAGCTGTTTGCTATGTACGGAGTATTCTTTTTTCTACTTTTAGATCCGATCAGCGACCCGTAACGGCCTGACCATGACCGACATTGACGTGCAACCAGAACAGACATGCCTGATCCAGTCCTTCCTTCGGGACAGCAGAAGCGAGGAGGGAACAGCCCAGACGGCTCTCGAACCCACCCGAGGCTCTCCTCAACAAGGAGTCAGCAGGACTCATGAGACCTGGCCCTGGTATCTCTTCTACTCATACAGTACCTCGCTTGCTAGTTCTGAAATGGGTCAAGTCAAAACCGAAGCCGTGGGCTCGGGAATGGCCCACCGATCATTTAGACATCTGCTTAGTAGATCTAGAGCGGCTGTACCCCGTACGTGGTAGAGGTGTGTGGACTCGTGGCTTTTTCTGAGATGGATAGAGTTGTCGCCAACTTCCTGTAGCTTGGACAGCAGGATACCCGAGGTTAATTAAAGTTGAGAGTTCATGGACGATGGTCCAGGATCATGTACTCCGTACTGAGTACCCAGTACTCCATATCGCACGGAGTTCTGCCGCTCTGGCCGTCCACTAATTCACTTTTGTACCTTCCGCGTTGAAGCATCCGAGCCACGGAGTACCTGTTTAGGTAACCCCCCGGCTATTCCCTGGCGCCCACAGGCACGGCAAGTCCCCGGCGCGGGGGAGATGGAGCTCCCCAACTCCATTCCCCAAAGTCTTGAGGAGTCCCCCACAAAGTCTAATGAGCTGATCTCGCTGCTTCTCACGCGTACGAGTACCAGTACCAGTACCACTAGGTACCAAGCCACGCATGCTTCATCTCCCTCGGTTCACGCAGCGACCAGGCTTGGACGCTATCGCTCATGGTGCGACACTTGCCCGGTTCTCTGATTCTCACCGCCGGTATGCCGTCTTCTCCAACATAATACGAGGTGATGGACCTGCAGAGATTTGGCGCCCAGTCACGCCAGTGTTCTCCACAAGGTCCGTCTCCAGGAAAAGTATCTAAATACTTCGCCTTGCTCGACTCCAAGAGGGACGATCCACTCTCGCCTCGTGGCTGCGTTGTAGTTGGCAGGGCCGCGGGAATATAAATCCCTGGACCGGGCCTGCGAGTCCACTGGTGCTGGACCTTTTTCGATCTCCATATCGTCTGTATCTGTATCCACCACTGAGAGCCGGCGGTCTCGTTCTTCCAGCATGGGCGTGTTCAAGCGTGGCACCGGCGACGTGGTCGACGCCTCGCACTCGGCCAAGGCCAACACATACAACTTTACTGTCGTCTTCTTCAGCGCACTAGGTTCGTTTACGTACGGATACAATTCATCAATTATCGGTTCCGTCTTTGGCTTGCCTGCATTCTGGGACTATTTTGACCTTTCTCTCACGGGACCCAATGCCAAGAAGGGAAACGATATCATCGGCGGTAAGGACAAGCAGGTTCACTGGCATTGCGGACGTCTGACAATGAGACCTAGCTGCCAACGGGCTGTTCGCAGGGGGAGGCATCATCGGTGCTCTCATTGTCAACTGGATCCTCAACAGACTCGGTCGCTGCAGGTCCATCCAGATCGTCTGTGCCATCTGCGTTATCTCGGCCGCGATCCAGGGGGGCGCAGCCCACGTTGGCATGTTTCTCGCGGGACGCTTCCTGAATGGCATCGGTGTCGGCATGATGCAAGTCACCGTGCCTGCGTACATGGTTAGTCGACGATTCGACCTGCGAGACGCAACTGTACTGACCTGCGGTATAGTCGGAGTTGTCGCCTGCAAAGCAACGAGGTCGAATGACGGGTAACTCAGCCTTTTCCGAGTCACTTTCCATTTGTACTGACCTCGGGCCAAGGTTCACACGGCGTCCTGATTGTCTGTGGCTACGTATGTTAATGCATCTACAACCCATTCCCGTCTAAGTGGGATCTGACCTGGGCATTCAGGGCTCGGCCGCCTTCACAGGTCTGGGTTGCTACTTTGCCGCGCCTCAAGTGCAGTGGCGACTCTGCCTCAGTCTGCAGATTGTAGCGCCCTTGATCCTGCTCATCGGCTCGCCTTGGTTGCCCGAATCACCTCGTTGGCTCATTTCCAAGAACAGAGAGCGACATGCGCTCGACATTCTCCAAAAGCTGCACACCCGAGCAGATGACCCTGCGGGTCTGGCGGCCAAGGAGGAATTCTACCAAATCTCCAAACAGATCGAGCTGGAGAACGCGACCGGTGTGCACGGAATCTGGGGCATGCTCAAGCGTCCAACGTATCGCAAGCGAATATACGCGGGCCTGTTGGTGCAGTATGTCTCGCTTTCGTCCCGGCTTTGTGCGGGTTCTGCTAACACGCTCGGCAGGTGCGCCGCCCAATCCACCGGTGTGCTGGTGGTCAACAATTACCAGGTGCTCTTGTACAACAATCTCGGCCTGTACGGGTGGCTGCCTCTCCTTCTTTACGCCCTCTATACCTCGTGGGCTGCCTTCATGAATTGGGTCAATGCCATGCTGCTGGATCGTCTGGGGCGAATTCCCATCATCACCTTTGGCCTGGCCGGCTGCATTTGCATGATGGCTATCGAGACCGCCATGGTGGCCACTTATGCCGGAACATCCAACAAGGGCGGCAACGCAGCGGGTGTCTTGTTCCTGTTTCTCTTTGTCACCTTTTACGGAGGCAGCCAGGACGCCAGCAGCTACGTGTACTGCAGCGAAATCTTCCCAACCGGAGTACGAGCCCACGGTCTGGGCACCTCGATTGCAGGTCTGTTCGCCTCGACGCTGCTCTATACCGAGGTCGCCCCGACTGCATTCGCCGAGATCGGATGGAAGTAAGTGTCTTCGGCGTTGCTCTTGGCCTCTCCTCTACGTGGCTGGCTCTTGCCGCGACTGTGCTAACGGAATCGTAGATATTACCTCGTCTTTATCATCGTTCCGGCGGCCTGCCTGCCGTTCTTGTGGCGCCTCCCCGAAACCAATGGGCTCTCGCTCGAAGAGATTGCTGCCAAATTCGGTGACGAAGTTGCCGTCGACCTCTCGCATCTGGACGAGGAGCGCCGGCGCGCGCTCGACGAGCGTCTCTTGGCAGTTGGTGTCGATATTCCTGGGTCGCCGCCGCGGGAGGCCGAGAGCGAGACCAAGGAGACGGCCGTGGCTAACCATCGAGAGGCTGCTTGAAGTGACGGCACGCTGGCGTCTGAAGGGTATAATACATCACCGACGATCATTGCTGAGCGGATAATACGTTTGGGAGACCGCTTGGTTGCAGACTACCTTGGGTTGTACCAGGCGCCTAGACTGGCTCTGATGCTACTTACGGTCTGCGATGTAAATCCAGACTGATACTTGCTTTCACAGCACCTGCCCGTGACTTGATTCCAAAGCCTCATATCCCGCCACATCAAATCCAGTAGTGTCCTCGCATGTTCGATGCCAGCACAGCTGCGCATCGGAACTTCCTTCGTTGGGAGCTATTGGTAACTATCCTCTCGGTGACCCGCAATACCAGCCGGGCGGCATCCCTAACCGTGAGGACGATCAGATGCGGTGTCGTCTGCACCACGAGCAAAGAATCGATGAGGTTCTGGGAGGATTCTCACAAATCCATAGTCGAGATGCAGGCCATGGTGAGGAGTCGCCCAGCCGAGTTTCGACAAGGAGATCCGTCCAATTATCTCGCTGTCGAAGACCGAGCGAAGTTGTTGTTAGCTGAACATCAAATCACATCGTTCCCTCCACAAACTCAGTTCGACCACTATTGACTCTCTTAACACCTAGCTTGAAGACAGGACTTACTAGCTGGGTAGCTCATTCGGTCATGCGGCAAGGCCGGACGATTCCTTGCTACCCACCAATTGTTTGGCTGCAGTTTCAAAGCCTCATCCATACCACGGATCGACACGTCGTCGTCAAGATGGCCTCTCTCCAAGACATCTTCTTTATCCAGATGGGTGAACTATCCTCATAGTCACGTCAGTTGTGAAGCATTGTTTCAAATTGAGGACGAGTCTGTCACGGAAGGATGCTCTTGATGTACCGACGTCTTCCAGCAAGTCGTCTCACTTTCGCAATAGTCCGAGCTCTCTTTCAACCTCAGTTTACTTATCCTTTACAGACCAATGATGCCATCGCAGATGTCATCTTCCTTGCATGCATCATCTGTTGTGCCACAAGGCGTCGTGGTGGATGATCACCTCTCCGACTCCCGCCAACGATGCATCAACACCAGTATTTGGCGTCGTCGCAATTACACCACAGCTTGATCTCTCCTCGTCAGTCACAGATGCTTAGGGTAAGACGTGCCCTGGGGAGCCTTACTGCTCTGCTGCTTCTGAGAGAACGCACGCCGTTCTCTTCTGTTGGTCCAGGGCAGTGCATATACTTGTCCCATGTCGACCGCGGAACTGACAAGGTCTACAAAAGTGCACAGCCTCACGTTCATCATAATTCTCTTGGCCGAAAGAGCGGCTTGGACTGTACGCTTCGCCTCGATCTAATTCACACTTTTCTGCCGCAATGCGACTCTTCGACTTTTTCTTCTTCTTCTCCTTCCTCTTTCTCTCGACAGCACATTCACGACAGCACACTCACGACAAATCACTGGCCCCGTTTACTTAAGCCATCTTACTTCAACCTTTCCCTCGTTCTTACCATCCAGTACTAGCTACCCAGTCAACAAAGCTGCTCACAATGAAGTGGACCACCGAGGAACAGTTCAAGGTCAATCTCTCAACACAGAGTCCAAGCTTCATCCCACTAACAAGTCTCAGCTCTTGAGAACCGCCATCAAATGCACTCCAGGCTTCAGACTGAACGCGAAAGCCGTAGCTGAAGCATGGCGTACGTTGCCCTTCCCCACACCCACTCTCGTTAGAGATTAACTACTAACTTGAATGATTAGCGGCAGGGAGCAATGGGGAGCGACCGACAGAACGCGCCGTCCTGGAACGTTACAGAGCCATCATGGCATCCGCTCAGGACATTCAGACGCTCAGTCAACTCGAGACCCCAAATTACAAGGCGGAAGAAGGCAAGAGCGACGTTACTCTCATGGATACTACTCCCACCACTACACCAAAGCCGGCCTTGACCACCCCCTGCCGTGCAAGTCGAGCCAAGGCTCCGAATTCAACTGACAGGAAGTCAACTGGCAAGAAGTCTACTGGCAGCGGTAAACGTGATCGCCGAGGCAGAATAATCACCTCTGACACAGAAATGGCATCTGAGGCAGAGACGACTTCGGGCTCTGAAGCCCAGATTTCACCGACTCCACGATTGACCAGGACCTTGCGGGCTCGCAAAGCTCGAGTCACAGATACGAAGATGCCCGAGAATAGTGACAAGGAACTCGATGCCGGTGCAAAGGATTACGGCAGCAGCGGAAGTGACGGTGAATACAACTTTGAGGAAGAGAAGAAGGAAAAGGCAGCCAAAAAGGCAAAGGAGGCTAAGCTAGCAGCCAGACGGGCCTCCCGTTCTGAATGAACGACCGTCCAGTGAGACTGTGGTGAGAGCACAGTTGAGAGCACAAAGGGAGAATGATCATGTGGATAGCGACAGCGTGAGACAGTGTCAATGCCGCGCATCGAGCAAGCCATCAGCAATTGAACGTGTTGAACTTTGTTTGCGATGCCTTTCCCTCTTGATCACTTCTCAACGTGGTATCAACTCCGCCTGGTCTATGATGTCTCGCGGCAGGAGTGAATGACGGCACCGCTGGGCATAGTCACTCTTCCCCGATGGACGTAGCTGATGCTGGTCGCCGTCCCATGAAGTGGTCGATAGGCCGTTAAAAAGATGTGATCCTGCCCATCGTACCGTCCACCTTTCTTACAATACCGATCCCCGAGGCCCCCGTGGTCAGGACGCATACATGTTGTTGGATATGAGGCCCGACAGCAAAACATCGTGACCTCACACAGACAGAGGTCACATCCTGCTTTTTTAGCCTGAACTGATAGACGCTCTAATTAGCGTCCGGGAATTCTATGCCATCGCCTCTGCCTTCTTGGAATCCTATGCCATGGACTCCCCAGCTCAACGTGCGTGAACAAGACGGTCGACAGAATACCAGCCGACCCCTCACGATTCACAAAGTCCCTTGAGGCTGAGCCACATCCCGCTGTAAGCATATCTCCTCCCCTATCGCGGGTGGGCCGCCTCCGTGGTGGTAGTTGTGGTGAGAGTTGTTGAGCAGTCGAACCGTCTGCTTCGGCCCACCAGCATTCGAGAGCCTCTTCTTGGGACTGTTCTGCCTGTTGCGCTGCAAGGCGCCAGAGTTGATGACCTTGATGTCGATGTTGTATCGCTTGCGGATCGCCGTGAACTTGGGCGGAATGGTCGAGAGGCTCATCCCGAGCTGTTTCGCGACCTTTTCGGCGTCAACCTGATGTGAGTACGCTACTTGTCAGCCGCTGGGAATAAAGCCAATGCAGTACCGGTACCATCGAAGCTAAGGGGCTTACGGACCTGGATTGGGCCAACAGAGTTCTGGATTGCCGCCATGAGCACCATGATGTCTGCCTCCTTGATTTGATTCTGTGCCATTGGTTTCGCTGACGGTCCGAACGATGACGGATCGAGGGATATGGAGTGGAACGGAATCGGATGGATATGCGACGAAGAACTGATAGGGATGTCTAGGGACTATATCGACTCTATCAACATGGTCTTCTCACTACACGCGGCCAATGTCACTTTATAGTTCCCCAGCTGTGGTGTGAGGGGGACTGTCGAGAAGTACCTAGTGTCGAGCGAGGACTTCAGGGCGCTGGGGACGGTCACTGGGCCTTCTGGCGTTGAGGGCCACAAGGTATTGTAATGACAACTCTTTCAAGCCGTTACGACGTGTCTAGTCAGGGAACTTGCATGATGAGTGCTTTGGCTGATTGGCTGCCAGCCTCGCTTTCTATCAGAAACAGTTCAAGAAGGCCATTCTCCGACAGGGGTGGATCCTCCGATCTTGAGCATTAACGGGTTTGCTCAAAGTATGCCGATACGACGGGACTTGGGGCCTGGTCTACAATTGTCAGTTTTCGCGCCTTGAGGATGCGCTAGCTGACAACATACTGCACGGCTTGCCGCGCCTTGTCGACTGGACACGGCTTTCTAATGGCCAGACTCCAAACGACGCCTATGCGGACATCCTTGTGCTAGGCAGGCATTCGGAACTCAATGCAGAAAGCTCAAATGCTATGGACCGCGAAAGGGGTAGTGACTGGATGTTTATGCCCCCTATGGGACCTTCGATGACGGCACAATCCTGCCGTGGCCGTGTACGGGCCTGTCGCTCTTATTTGCCCTCGACTTCTCTCGATTTTGCTTTGCCTTCCTCTCCACTCACACCTGCTCACAGTCTCCTTCTCTCCATCTTTTCAACTCTTTGTCTCTGCTGTTGTCGCGTTGTTGGTGTCACAACTATGCCTTATCAATGGACTGCGGAGGATGGTAAGTCAACGTTTGTCGCGTGGCAACAGGAAGTAACGAACGGGTCGTCCAGTGCGTAAAATGCTCCTGCTGGCAATCTCCGAGGCGAACTTGAGCCTGTCGACGGCGACATGGAAACGTGTTGCGGAGCGCATGGGCGGTGGTTTAACAGCGTCAGCTATCAGGTCCGCGGCATTCACCCTCCAAACTCATCGAGAATGGGGATGCTGATCGGAAACAGCCAGAAATACTACAAACTTCGCAAGGAGTACGATCCACAGGCAGGCTCTCCGCCAACGACTCCGAAGAAGCGTAAAGCGTCGGACGATGATGACGACGAGGAGAAGAAGCCGACTCCGTCAAAGCGAGCTCGAGACGCACGCCGAGATCCCGCCATCGACGGCCCGCAGGAACTCAAGACCGAAGAGATGGCCGCGAGCGTGTGGGATTCATTCCCGAGCTCTCATGCACAGTTTGCGCCCGAGGCATTCAATGCAGCGGCGGGCCTGGAGGATCAGATGTATGAGCCGTTTCAGGGGCAGAGCAGTGGCAGCAGCAGCAGCTTGATTTGAGATGGACAAGCTGGGATTGTGGGTGACGGAACTGGCCCAGAACTGGCGGAAACGCAGAGGACATGGGCAGGAAGTCGCGTCTGACTCCGTACTCGTAGCCGAAGCAGACGAGAGACCAAGACGAAGTCGGTGGGATACTGGAGGGAGGGAAGACGACATCCATTGGTTTGGGATTCCCTGACGGCAGGCTGATCCTGCATCAAAGGATAACGGCAAGGCGGGAAGACGAGTGCCGGCGTCTCGTGCAGGAGTCTAGGAGATGGCTTCCCAGCCTTCTTCTTTTTCCCAGCCACCTCATTTCTTCCATATCGAACAGTGTATAAACATTTCTGCCTGGCTTTGGTCGTGCAGTTTGTCGTCCATTTTTGCATGTCGTTAGCGAGCGACGGTTGCATTAGCGGCGGCTTGGCCTGGTGGGGGAGAATTGGCCGACGTGAGACCTGGACACCCTCATCCTTGCAACGCTATTTCTCACCAGTGACAGATGTCGAATCACAAGGGGCGTTGTGCGGCATGTTGGTGATGAGCATGGAGACGGAGCACTCCAGATCCAGCGGTGTAGCATGCACCAGGCACCAGGCATGTCCTCGCCCACGACAGCATCTCCCAGTCACAGGCCAGTCTCTTCGCCTGCCCCGTACTGTGTACCGTACTCTGCTGCATGCCCTAGGACATTGACAGCAGGCCAAATCTCAACAGACTCACCACGACAGTGTCTCGAGCGAAGACCGCCACCAGCCTCCTCTTTTCCTTGCTCATTCATCACTTTCCCTATCCACACCTGTGCACGTCCCTTAGACCGGATAGCCTGGTGACCGGTGATGAGAACCTGGGGGTGCACTCGCCATTCACAGATCACTCAACTCTCACCCGGACACTGTGATTCTAACATCTCCTTGTTGGCTTTTTCATACCATCTCTCAGCCCCATCCATTCCCTGAAAGCCATCATCAACACCGTGTTGACTTTGCCTGGACTACTCTGTCCAGTCTCCCCCCCAACTCCATCCATCATTCTGTTCACAACTCCATTGTCGCCCAGCAACTCGACTGCAAAAATGGCTTCCAAAGAGCCTCAACCCAACACCAAATCCGACCTGATCACCAAAGATGCCATGTACCTATTCGAGATGATGCGCGACTCGCCCCAACCGATCCTGGTGAGTTCTGCCTACTGCTCTTTCTGCCGATGGTCTCACTACCTTTCACAACTCGACCCAAGATCTCACCCAGTCTCACTTGGCCGTCCAGACCGTCCAACCCACCATTAATTTAAATGTTCTCTTCTCACACACACACACACTCCCAGCTCTACATCGCCCCGTACGCAGTAAAGACGGGCACAAAGGCAAACACCATCGTCAAACGATTAGGCGAGATCAAAAAGCGGAACGGCCTCAACATCATCACGACCACCAGTCCACCAGGCGACATCAAGAGCCATGCTCACGCCGCCGCCGCCACTGCTCGACCTCGAGCCAGCAAACCTCGCCAAGACGGGACAAAGTCGACGGTCAAGTGCGAGAAAAAGCCCGCCGCCGCGAAGAGCGCTCAAATAATCGACAGCAACAACAAGTTCGGTGACCTCAAAGCCGAGGAGAGCAATTCACTCAGCTGCAGCAGCACTAGCAGCACCTCAACAGCAGCAGCAGCAGCAGCAACAGCCGCCCACGGTCTCCCATCGCCTGCCGATTTTACGCCCGGCAAATGGACTGCGAGTACCTCCCGACCAGCCGCAATCGGACGTGCCGTGGCATCAACTGCCGGAGTCTCGCCGTCCCAGATGCCATTGTACATGCCGCAGAAGAGAGCGTTCAGCCACGTCGAGGCCGATAGTAGCCAGTACGTCAAGAGCGAAGACAATGCGATCAAGAAGGTCAAGACCGAGACCTGGAGCTTTGATGGAAGCGGGAACGCCATCACGACGGCGACGGTATCGTGATTCATGGCTTCACAAACGCTGCTCTCCAAGCTGCGGTCCGACATGCTGCGGGATTCGGAGCAGCAGGTACAGACACGGCACCTTCACTGGTCTCAAAGTAGATGTTCGAGTTCTCAGTGTGATATAGTGATTGACTCACTTGGATGAGCACAGCTGTATTCCATGCGCACGGGAAATCCGAAACTACCAAACCGTACATACTGTAACTAGAAGTCATACTGGATAAAGAGAAAAGTGTCGAGAAAAGACCACCTCAATCAAGAAACCAATCACTCCAGAACAATAAAAGATACGTCACTGCCAGTATCTTTGCGTCTGCGCTTCTCTTTGCTTTCTCCGTGCCCACCGTCACGCCGCATGCCCGTGTACACATCAATTCCTGGCGCCGAAATGGGTTGTGGAACAGCATCGCTTCGTTCTGCGGCGACTGGCAAAGCCGAGCCTTGTAGTGTCTCCGCCCCAGCTGCAGAGGCGGCCTCACGCTCGTCGACGCCACTGCTGCGCTGTGCAGAGGCCGGGTTTGATCCCAGGCTTATACCAGAGTCGAAGGACCCCGTTGCTGAATATGATGTGGCCACGGCTTTGGCTTCTCTCTGAACGTGGCCCATCAATTGTATCATGATTTGGCTACAGCGCAAGACTTCTGCAATCTCCGTGGCTGAGAATGGTAGTGCGTTTCCTTCGGCTTTGGGCTTGAGATCTTGCAGCTGCTGCAAAGCACTGAAAGCCGTTTGAAACGTATGAGGAGTGTCCAGCGTGCCTATCTCGGTGCGGGCTGTTGTTGGTCGTGTTTCCGCGGCGGGAGACGGCTGTGACGGTGTTTGAGGTGGTGGCGGCGGTGGTGGTGGACGGATATCGGGAGGGTATAGTGGTGTGGCCGGAGATAGCGTAGACGCTGCTTTTCCCTTGCCTTTGTCGACTGTAATGCTCGACTCATCTTGTGGGTTTGGTTTCCCGGCATCACCAGGGGACTGGGAGACCGTGCGACCGATAGAGTGTCTGGCAACTTGTATCGTATCTGAGGGCGTTCTTTGCCGGACGTTTCCTGCTGGCGGAGCTGCATTTGATGGTACACATGGTTGCTGCAGCTCGGATGTTTCGTGGAGGCTGCTAACTCTCTGAGGATACAGAGACACTGGCGGATTGGGATCAAGTCCAGCGTGCGGCGGCATGGCAACCTGAGCTAGTTTCTCCCGCCCCTTGGCAACTTTTTGTGCATTGTTAAGACCGCGCAGGTGCTCCTGGCTGATGCGTTCGTGACGTTCGAGAGCCTCCTGACTAGGTAGCTGGCTTAAGCACAATGCACACCGATACTGGCCATGGCTGGTGACGTAGCCAAACGACTCGAATTGCGGCGGCGTCTTGCAGCGGCTGGACTCGTCAAATTCAGGCTGCATGCTGTCACGGAGCTCTGACAGTCGTCGCTTCCGACTGGGACCACGATCCTCAGGTGGTGGCTGGGATGTGTCGCTCTGCACCGCACTGGGAGACAGGACTGTACCAATGTGACTGGGCTTGGTCACCTCCGGTTGATGTCTAGCTGCCTGACTGGGACGACGCTCGTTTTGTGGCGCATCGACGACAGTAGCTGCATATATGACCTTCGGCCCTTCTGAAGGGCGCGGAGACGCCTTGATTACTCGAGGGCGCTTGGCAGGGCCTCGCAGTGAATGGCCAACGCGAGCTTCTACCGCTTCAAACTCCCTCTGCGTCAAGATGCTTATGTCCTCATCATCGAAGTAGAGATGCGGTGGGCGACGGGAAGGTCCAGCTGGGCATCTCGAAGGGACGCCTCGCCCTGAGCCATGGTGACTGGGGTTCTGAGCTTTTAATTGGTCTGCTGCCTTTGACACTTCTTTCGCAAAAAACGACTTGATAGCATCGTAAGAGGCCTCAGGGCCAAAGTACTGTGCAATCGACACATATCGGCCTTTGAACTAGTAACAGTTAGAAAACCAGACTGCGAACAGGAATCAATCACTCACGCCTTGTTCTCCCAGCTCAGCATATACTGCTGCTAGCAGCTGGAATACTGTGCTCCGGAGTCTCCAGTTGATTGCCATTGCTGAGCTGCTCGGCAGGACGAGTGTAGAGACGCGGACGGTGAAATGGGACGATGTGTTTCAAGCCCGAAGAGCGAGGTAGCAGCTGCGAGAGTATGGAACGGTCAAGAACACAAGAACCGAGACTAGAAAAGAACTCACGCCATTCACTTCAATGTTAAGGTTGGTGCAAATCCAGAAATCAGAGGAAGCATGTTGGACGAGCAGTGTCCCGATGAGATGGCAGTGCATTCATCTCGCTGTTGGAGCTAGCTTGCTCTCTTCGGCACCGCGGCATCTCGCCACGCCTTAGCGCGCATGTCGACGCAGTGGGTGATCCATGTAGGATGACATGGTTCGGGCATCGATTCGACGCCATTGAGCGTTGCCACAGCCTGCATAATGGCTGCTGGAGGAGGAGAGAAAATGGAATCTGCAGGATGTCGATGTGGGTCGCACTGATCATCAGCGGCAGCTGCGGTCTTGGCGGGCTACTAGCGCTATTAACGTCATTCAAGTCATTTGAACTGCCAAAACGCCTCAAATACCGCACGCTGATTGGGCGGAAGTGTAAGGGGACAGCAGGCTGGAATACTCTTGACTTGAAGTAGAGCACATTATTCACTCATTATTCTGCGATGACCGGGTTTGCTGGCTGCGAGAACCGGCAATAGCACAGAGTGTGCCCCACCCGATTGAGCCGTACCATTTTCGAGTCGGCCAATGAGTATCCAAGATGGTGCCTTTTGAGGGGCAGACAGAGTTGTCAGGTTGCGGGCATGCAAATGTCGGCTTCGGGCGCATTTGAGGAGCAAAAGGATAAGAATGCCTCTAAAACCCACAGCTTAGCCCACGTCACAGCGGCGATGGGCTATGGATCCGGTACCAACGACATGGGGCGAATGTCGACGCGGAGCACGCTCATGTGTCTAGATGGCAGCAACGAGTGAACAATCGTCCTGTGGTGGGAGCTAGATCGTAAGAAGGCGTCTCGAGTCACCTCGAATGCGATGCGATGTGAAGATGGCCGGAAGATTACAAGATCTCCCAGTCATCCGGAAGTGAGTCTGTCGTACAATTGCTCTGGTGCTGATTGGATCAAATAGTGCGCAAGCCTGATAGCAGAGCACTGAATCCTTTGCTATTTGCTTGCAGGGCTGTCTGTTCTGTTCTACACCGAGGGGCAGATACAGGAGTAACAAGGCTATCCCTGATGCCGAGCTCACAGATGGATACCCACCTATCCGGATGTCCAAGCTCAACTCATGTCATGTAGTATCTCTCGCTTACCTCGGGCGGGCCTCTATCGGTCAAAGTTAGCTTCTGTCCTCGAGTGATACGGGTACATGGGCCAGTACTCACCTCCTTGACAATTCTCATTTGGCGTTCCCATCGGCGCTTTCGACCTTGACGGCAGGGGTAACCTCATTCTCGACTTCAGTTTTCACCTCAACCTCAGGGGCTGCGCCCTTCTTCGCCTTTCCACGCTTGCTCGGCGTAGCCACTTCCCCATCACCATCAATGTCGGCATTCTTTCTCTTGCGTCCACCGGTTCCCTTGCTGCCTGGGGTTTTCGGAGCTTTTGTGGGCGTAGCCGCGTCATTGCTGCTTGCCACACCGCCGCCCTCAGCGAGCAAATTCTCGGACTCTTTCTTCAACTTGTAGAATTTTTGACTGCAGGAGGACATGACAAGTTAGCCAACGAGCCTGATGGACCCAATGACATGGCGCATAGAAACAGCAAAGGAAAGGCCACAAGAGGAATTGCAGAGAAGCAGGATATCGGCGATACCTGCATGCGTTGCCGTTGACTTCATGCCCGTTGCCAATCGTCTCGGCCACCTGATCCCAAATCGTTGCGGGTGGATTTCCCATGACTTTAATGGCAGACAGAAGAAGGTTCCTTTCGGACTGGGCATCCCACTTGAAAGGCATGGTGGATGAAGTCGAGTGATGGTAGATGAATGGATGGACACCTAAGTCGAGATGGAGTGGAATAAAGGGACTTTCACTAGGAGCTTTGGGGAAGAAGAGGAGATGTTGATGTGAAACACACAGAACAGAAAGGGTCGAAAGAAGTTGCGAGAGGAAATTCCACAGTTCAGGATGGGGTCGTGGGAAAGGCAAGTGAATACCGGATGGCGTTCGCAGTGAATCCTTCAACACCCATTCTTTCCGCCATTATCTCAAAACTTGGCCGGGTCTTGTCGAAAGCAAAGGACATCAGAAGAGCCCGTTCCGAGTCAGGAGTCCAATCAGGCATGATGAATGTGTTTCGGTGGGTCGGGCGTGCCGAAGACGGAAGCGTAGGCAGGATGATAAACGCAGAATGAGGATAGAGGTCGGTATTGGTGGGCGAGCATTGCAATGGATACGCGTTTGAGAGAATTGGAAGGCAGCGGAAAGGCTGGAAGTGCAGTGAAGGGAGTGTTAGAAGCGGTGGGTGTGGCAGATAGTTCCAACACAAAGACAAGGCAAAACTACTCAACAAATCCTTCACCGGTATAGCTGCGCGTTTGCCACGCACTCCGACAGAATGGGTTCCTCGATCTAGAAGCCGATAATTGCGAACCACATACCGGACATCAGGAACCTGTATCCCGTCTTCAGATCCGAGGTAGCTGTCGCAGGGCAGACGCATGCCTCATAGGTGGCGATGAGCTTTTCACTGTCGCAGCAGCTCCATGAGACACAGTCCCCTATGGGTGGAGGTAAGTGCCTTCTTTCTCTGGCCCGTCAAAGATGGTCATATGTCTTGCCCAACGTCAAGATTAGGCTGAGAGCATTCTGAGCGTGGAGTGTGTTCGCCTCTTCGACATGGCCTCTGGCAGTTGACAGTGGCCCAACTCGAAGTAGCCAGAGGGAGAGGTGGACAGCGAACTCGACGAGATTGTGGCTTCACAGCGAAAGCTGGAAGAGGGTGCGCAAAGTCAAACGACGATAACTCAACGAATACAAATGGTGTGACCATGTCGGCAAGCTTCGGTGCCCGGTCCAGCGTTATGCATCTAGCAAAGTCACCAATCCCCATCAACACCTCTCTCCACTCAGCCTGTGTTCAACCTCGTTTGTCGAATTCAAACCCTCCCGGCTGGTGATGACCGCAGAGTCTCGAGCCTCGGAGCGTGAGTCGGGTTGCTGTTGTCCCAGGAAGGGCAAGATAGCAGCCAAGTGGTTCCAAGGAGAATGCTAGGGCAAGTGGATGTGATCGGAACATCAATCCCTAGAGAACAAACAATTATGCTCCCCATCTAACGGATAGGGTAATCATGTCGTGCTCCTAGGTATACGGGTAGCCATGATCTTGATTCCAGGCTTACCCATGATGACTGCACGTAATACCCGAACTACGTGTACACATACCTAGGAGGTGCAGTCGGGGCAGGTCTAGAAGTCTTCCAAGCGCTGGCTAGGCATCTACGCGGCGTGAAAGGCGTCCTCCCGCCAACGGCTCGGGTCAAGTCTTGCCCCTCGTTCCTGATTTGGCGGATTGTTGATTCTGGGCCCCACCATTGATTCGTCCCTCTCTTTGCTGCAGCAGTTGCGTGAACCAGTCTGCTATTCATCCCACCTACAATCCTCTTATTCCTCTGCCTACGCACCCAGCAGTCCGGAGTCTATTGTATCATTTTGTCCAGTCTTGCGCCACAGATATCAGAAGAGGTACGTCAACTCTTGCCTCCAACGAGGCCCCATTATTGATGCCTGCCATGTCCGGTCAAAATAATCTGCTATCTCTACCGCCTTTCATTTTCGCACTGTTAAAACGCCGTCTCACTCTAGCTGAAACTGACAGCCAGGACCAGCCTTAAAGTAGTCGCATAAGACCCTTTGACATCGAATCTCAGCCATGGTGAGTCCCTAAATGTATCCTCAAACTCCGCTTCAGCTGACCCTCTGACAGCCTGTTTCCGGGTATGTTCATACATGCCCCCTCAATCACCGGCTCGATTCCTTTGCGCCCCTCGTCCGTTCGCTGATGCAATCACACCCAGTCTCTCTGTCAACCCGGACTGCGTTTCCAAGTTCAACGAGCTGAAACTCGGTCGCGGCGGTCCCAAATACATCATCTACAAGATCTCCGACGACCAGAAGGAGATCGTGGTGGACGAAGTCGGCAATGAGCCAGACTATGACACCTTCAGGGAAAAGCTCATCGCAAAGAAAGAGAAAACTGGCAAGGACCGCCCTTCGTATGCCATCTACGATGTAGAATTCGAGCTCGAAGGTGGTGAGGGCAAGAGGTATGCGCGCGAAGATGCAGTAAGAATCCGAGAGTGGACATACTGAGTCAGACGTCCAGATCAAAGATCGCATTCATTACATACATCAACCAGGACAACACCGGTGTCAAGGTACGTGGACAACAGAGTCAGCATCGCACCCACTAATATCTCGTAGTCGCGCATGGTGTATGCCAGTTCTCGTGAGACGCTGAAGAATGCGCTGAATGGCATCGCCATGAACTGGCAGGCAAACGACCCGGGCGAGTTGGAGTGGGCCGACCTGCTCAAGGAGGCCAGCAAAGGCAAAGGGACTGTCTAAGGCGAGCTAGAACAGTTGGAGAAGCACCAGCGCAACATCCACACGGCGTCTGGAAGGCGATATCAACGTGCGCGCAAAGCAAGGGACAGGTTGCTGGAAGGAGGAGAACGCCGGGCAATGTCCTCCAGCACGCGCCATTTGAGGGACGCCGCAACTTTGACGCTGCAACGAAGATAGAACTTTACAAGGGACGATACGAGCCGGGAAGCATCGAAACACGGAGCGTTATTCTCTACAACACACCGTGTCTACCACTATCGTGTTGTTTCTACCTCGGGGTTCAAAGCTTGCTTCTCGGCCAGCAGCCCCAGCCCACATTGGAAGCGACTTGATATAACGCGCCTTTCTCTAGCCCTTCTCAATCCCTGCAAGTGGCTCTTCCATCTGAATCATTGCTCGCCATTGCAAGTCTTCCCGTTCGAGAAGCAAGGACTGCGTATGCTGGGGGAATTCATCGTAATTTTGGTATCCGCCGTTACAGCACAAAGAACAAATGGTCGCGCATCATGAGGACCTGGGCAGAAAACAGGGTGTGCTTCGAAGCACATTGAGATAGTCGTAACGCGAGTATCTGGCGACGACGAAGGTGTTCTGCCACATATTAAATTGCTGGGTGGTGCTGTACAGGTGTGCGGCTCCGAACAGAAACGTGGAGTGACGCCTCAATGAAAGGCTGTAATTTAATTTGTGCCAAGACCGGGAGCTAGCGCCGTTCTCGCAGCATTGTCATGGAACTTTGATCCCAATCCACGACCTGAGATAGACGTTCCCCTTTCTACCAGTCTCATCCGGCACTCAACTAGCTGCGACAGTGGTTCCGGAGCTCCAGGCCGCGGCAGGTCATCGAACTGTTAACTTCTCGCATGTTTTAACTGCACTTTCACGCTCTCCAGCAACATGTATCTCCGCTCCTTACCCCGTGCAGCTCGTGCTTCCACGAGTCCTGCGACAACATGTACGCGGATTGCCTTTCGACAGTTCCAATCCTCGAGCCGATCACTAGCTCCAACCTTCTCAGCTACAACACAGCAGCCTCCTATGACCAGCCAGTCCCAGATCCGATCCGCTCACGCCATTTCCAACCCAACCCTCGCCGGGATTGAGAAGAGATGGGAAGCGATGCCTCCACAAGAGCAAGCCGAGCTTTGGATGCAATTGAGGGATCGCATGAAGGTTGATTGGCACGAAATGACTCTGCAGGAGAAGAAAGCAGGTATGGACGAGTCCTGAAGCTTGCTTGCACAAATGGGAACGGATACGAGCTTCTTACCAAGCTCGAGTGTCTAGCTCTTTTGCGAAGAAAGTGGCTTCTGGTGAAAGACGAGCTATCTAGCTGACACTCTCGCAGCATGGTGGATTGCATTTGGACCTCACGGACCTCGCGCGACGGATCCGCCGGGTGAATGGACAAGAGTGTGGGTTTATACCGCGGCTGGTGTTGCGATCTCGTGTGCTCTCTTCATGGGGATCCACGCTTTCTCACGACCACCACCGCGGACTATGACCAAGGAATGGCAAGAGGCTACCAACGAATACCTCAAGGTGAGTCGCTCCACCATAACACCGCACCGCATTCCAGCGTCGCTTCGGGCCGTGTTCTCTCAAATGTCACACTGACATCGCTTTTCTGCAGTCCGAGAAATCCAATCCCATATATGGTATCAGCAGTGAAGGGTACTCGGGGGTGGGCCACGTGCAGAGCAAGCCGGCCAAGGCCCAAGGCATCAGCCTCGAAGCCGAATAGATGGAGCGTGGGGAGCGATGAGATAGGCAAGATGGCTACGAACGGACACCACGGTGGCTCCCTTGTACTATGCACTAGTATTGCGAGAAGACAGGGTTCTTTCTTATTTTGTGAATGTCAAAAATCAAACAATTCCACGCCGCTGTGCTTCCTGGCGCATCCGGATCGTCAATGTATATAGATTGCAATGCAGGTGGAGTTTGAACCCGGAAAGGGCTAATCCCTTCGCTCACGGTCCTCGTTGCAAATGAGTTCGATTTGATCGAGCTCTCAATATGTCCTCGATGTGCTTCCTGGTCCTCGTACAAGTGAAGAGGATGAAGAACTCGGGTGGTCGAGGTGGCTAACGCCATTGGGGTTAGCGTCGGATGGAGCTTCTCTCAATTGACCTCAAGTTCTTCTCTTCAAGTTTCGCTCCTGATCACACACTACTCTCCCCTCTACCCCTTCATTTCACCTTTCGTTCACCTGCAAACATGCTCAAGAGGTAAGCGAGCTCCCCATCATGACCCAGCAGAGCTTTGATGCAGCTCAAGACGTCCGTTGCTGACTCCTTGGATAGCGGCATTGCCCGTAGCTTGGGCAGGTCTGCCTTTGCTCGACCTTCTATCACCCGACGCGCCATCGAGCCCATAAGAAAATCCTTTGCTCCGGCTATCGCACAGAGATGGGCGTCAACCGAGTCCTCCAAGGAAGGGAAGATCCATCAAGTCATCGGTGCTGTTGTTGATGGTATGCGGATATTTCTCACCTCCCTATCTGGCGCCGCTTGAGCTTCTTACAAGCTCACCAACTGCGACATTTGAACCAAACAAGAACTGATCGATGCTTGCTAGTCAAATTCGACACCGAACAACTCCCTGCCATTCTAAACGCCCTCGAAATCGATAACAATGGCACCAGATTGGTGTTGGAGGTTGCGGTACGGAATGCCTGAATGCAGTTCAAAAACACATTACTGATGGCCAACAGCAACATTTGGGCGAGAACGTCGTACGATGTATTGCCATGGATGGTATGGACACTCAGCGAGCTGCCTCAATTATCGCTCTGAGACTGACCGTTGATTCTAGGTACCGAGGGTCTCGTCCGAGGACACAAGGCTGTCGATACTGGCGCCCCAATCAGTATTCCTGTCGGTCCTGGCACCCTAGGTCGCATCATGAACGTTACCGGCGACCCAATCGATGAAAGAGGACCGATCAAGGCCACCAAGAGAGCACCAATCCACGCCGACCCTCCCGAATTCGTTGAACAAGCTACGAGCGCCGAAGTCCTGGTTACCGGCATCAAGGTCGTGGATCTTCTGGCTCCCTATGCTCGTGGTGGAAAGATTGGCTTGTTCGGTGGTGCTGGTGTTGGCAAGACTGTGTTCATTCAAGAACTTATTGTGGGTGAACTCCTCGAACAAGGAGGAACAAGAACAACAGCTGACATGATGCAGAACAACATTGCCAAAGCCCATGGTGGTTACTCCGTGTTCACTGGTGTCGGTGAGCGTACTCGCGAGGGTAACGATCTGTACCACGAAATGCAGGAGACCTCCGTCATCCAGCTTGATGGCGACTCGAAGGTCGCCCTGGTCTTCGGTCAAATGAACGAACCACCCGGGGCTCGTGCTCGAGTTGCTCTAACTGGGTGAGTTGCTCCTTCCCTTCTTGAGCCCATCCCCCTTTCCCCTCAATGGACTAGCTTGCTTTTGGACCTGGCCGCCGTCGTCTCTCCTGAACCATCACACAAACTCAACCTCAGGATGGCCGCAACGACTGGAGTCTGAAACGACATCTCGCAACCCCATTGCATGCTAAGAAGCTTGCAAGAGCTTCGCAATGACTTATAGTCAACCTGCCACTACACCCTGACGCTTTCCTGGTTCTGCTTTCTCTGCTCGGCCCCGACCTGGCGGTCACTCATGGCTACCCTCTGCTCCTCTCTGCCACTGGACCGCTACCTGTTTACTTTGGACGCCTGTACCTCGTCGCCACTTTCTGCTACTATCTCTTACTGGACTGCTTGCTGGTTTCTCTGCTCGGCCTCCACCTGGCGGTCACTCATGGCTACTCTCTGCTACTCTCTACTACTGGATCGCTATCTCTTTACTTTGGGCGCCTTTACCTTGTGGCGGCCTCCTACTACTCCTTGCTACATCTCTTACTATCTGATACTAACTGGCATTCGTCTAGCTTGACACTCGCTGAATATTTCCGGGATCAGGAAGGCCAGGACGGTACGTGTCACACGCTAATCCCCTCGCCTCGAGCATTTCTGACAGTTCCTAGTGCTGCTCTTCATTGACAACATCTTCCGATTTACTCAAGCCGGTTCCGAAGTGTCTGCTCTCCTCGGTCGTATCCCATCTGCCGTGGGTTACCAACCTACTCTCGCCGTCGACATGGGTCTCATGCAGGAACGTATCACGACTACGCAAAAGGGATCCATTACCTCAGTTCAGGCTGTCTACGTGCCTGCTGACGATTTGACGGATCCTGCCCCGGCCACCACTTTTGCCCACTTGGACGCCACCACTGTCTTGTCTCGCGGTATTTCTGAGCTCGGTATCTACCCTGCGGTTGACCCTCTCGACTCCAAGTCCCGTATGTTGGATCCCCGTGTCGTGGGACAAGAGCACTACGATACCGCATCCCGTGTCCAGCAGATGTTGCAGGAATACAAGTCGCTTCAGGATATCATCGCCATTCTGGGCATGGATGAATTGTCTGAGGCTGACAAGCTCACTGTTGAACGTGCTCGAAAGCTGCAACGTTTCCTGTCTCAGCCTTTCACCGTCGCTCAGGTCTTTACCGGTATCGAAGGCAAGCTTGTCGACTTGAAGGATACCATCAGCTCGTTCCAGAAGATCATCAACGGTGAAGGTGACGATCTGCCCGAGGGTGCTTTCTACATGGTTGGTGATTTCGAGAGTGCAAGAGCAAAGGGTGAGAAGATCTTGGCTGAGTTGGAGAAGTCATAGATGGGATGTTGAGTGGAACAGTCGAGGCGTGATGCAAGACCAGATCCAAATGCTACTTTAGCTGTGGCATTCTTGCAAAACAGCTTGTTGAGGAGTTGAGAAGACGAGAAGAGCAGAGGAGAACTTGTACATTGACCAATCCTCTTATTCCGCAGACCAAAATTTCCTCTGTTATCATACCGTTCCTAGCCGTGTCTCGTGAGGAGGATGGGTCTATGTTCCTTATCTTTACACCTTAGCCTCACTCTTGTCCTTTCTTCCTCTTTAATCGATCTCCACAAGCCTGTACAGTATATCTCATTACGTTGATAAAGTCTGATGATGTCATTGAGCTCTTGTTCTTGGACGATGGCAAGAAAACATCAGGAGCTAAAACTTGGCGCAAGCAGCTCTTCGACCAAGACGCAGCGGCTCTTCAACCAAGACGCGGCAGCTCTTCAACCAAGAGGCAAGCAGATCATTGTATCTCTTCAACCAAGAGGCAAGCAGATCATTGTATAGACGTTTCATGTTCTAAGCTCGCAAAGTGAAGAACGAGGACCTTTTACAGCAAGGTCAGCAGGGCTACCTACAATGCAGGTCTATCTGCCTGCGATCGGTATGTGCTCTTGAGTGCTCCGTCAGATTTCCATCCCACGACATACAGAGTACATGCAGTAAGCAATGTCGGCTCAGGTCCTGGTGAGTCGTGCCTACCACCTCAATCATGCGCCTCCACCATTCCAATGGCCCTCAGGTCCAGTCCCCTCCAATGCCTCTGGCCCCAAACGAACCAAGACCCCAGCGCGAGCAGCACGACAAACGCATAGATGGGCAATGCATAGTTCATGTTCGTGCCCGTCACGGGCAAGCTCGTGGGGAAGGGCAGCCAGACGGTCAGATAGACGGTCCACAGCAGCGCGAAGATGTTGACCGGCGTCGCGAAGCCAGGCCACATGCGCCAGGCGCCGTAGGGAACCTGGGCGTCGTCGTTGGGGGCTTTGTCGCTCAGTCGCCCCGTCAGGCGGGCGTGCAGGATGCACGAGATCGCGATGATGTAGCTGGTATACAGGCCGAGGGAGGACAAGGCGGTGAAGGCGCTGAACGCGGTGCCGGTCGTGGAGCCGACCTGAAACAAGGCGAGGAGGCAGACGATCACTATGGGGAGCCACGTCGCGTTGACGGGGACGTGGAGCTTCGGGTCGATCTGTAGTCGGGGGTGGTTGCATTCGGTCAGCGACGAAGTGAGGTATGTATGGCAGCCGGCCAGCAGAACACCATGCGATGAGAATAAGGAACGTCTCACACGCACGCACGCACGCACGCACGCACGCCCACGGAGAAAGAGGGAAAGACACTGAACAGACAGCCTGGCTTAACTCACAATGGCTAACCTCCTCGGCAGGGCGCCATCACGGGCCCATGCCCAAGTGATCCTACTCACGCTGGCCACGCTGGCCGCCACGACGAAATACGTCACGATGATCAGACTTGACACCATGGCGTTCGTGGCTTTCATGGAGCCCGTGGCGTTGAAGCAGATCGGGATGATCGGGTAGGACGCGTCAAGGGCGTCGTCGACATTGCCAATGCAGTACAGCAGGACGAGAACTATGGCAAAGGCCATGGTCCCGTTGATGGCGATGCTGAGGACCATGGATCGCGGCACGGCGTGCTTGGCCCGTCGCACTTCCTCAGACATGTGCACGACGCCGTCGAAGCCTACAGATGATGAGCAGTTGTCAAGAAACTCGATTGGTGTCACACGTAAGGGGGCACGGGGTTGAAAGACGCACCGATGAACCCCCAGGCCGGGACCAACATGCCTAGATTGAAGGCCACGAAACTGCTCCTGTCCCACCCGCTCAGCACACTGCTGCTCGACCACACGAAGTCGGTGCTGCTCTTGGGACTCAACACCAGCAGGACGATCATGAAGACGACGAACAGGAGGACGTGCATGATCCCGCTGGCCAGCTCGAGCCACGGCACGAGCCAGAAGGTGTACGTGTTGATGATGCCCGAGCTGACCAGGAGCGCCCACATGATGAGCGTCAAATGCCAGCGTTTGGGATCGTAGCCCGGCACGTTCTCCGCGATGAGGGCTTGAAGGAGCGCGGCCTCGCCGGAGGACGAGCCGGCCAGGGCGCTCACCCACGCGAACCACGTCACCCAGCCTGCTTGCATGCACGGGATTGTCAGCGCTGTCAGATTGGGAGCGTGACTCAAGTTCCTTCCAGGGCGCTGCATATCACCTCACATCGTCGGATAGCATACGACGTGCACGAGAGGAGGAGGGGGACTAGAGCAGACTCGCACCTTGCATCCACGTAATGAACCGCCGACTCCGCTCCGGCGCCATGATATGCGTCCAGTGATATTGGGCGCCCGCGATCGGGAGGATCGACCCCAGTTCTGCCATCGAGTACGCCTGGGCGAGGGAGCCGATGATCACGGCGATGGCGCCCCAGACCAGCGAGCGGGGCCCTCCGTTCCAGAAGGTGGCCGAGATATTTCTGCTCGAAGGCGCGAGTTAACTTGTGTTTCCCTAGTCAGGTGCGAGGAATGATGATGATGATGGTGTCGTCGTCTCGACGTACATGGCCATGACTTCCCATGATTCCATGAATGTCAGCGAAAAGGCCAACAGTTGGGCGAAGCTGAACAGGCGCTGGCAGGAGAGTCAGGACGACATCGTACAATAAGTAATTATGTTTGGCAAGCGTTTGGAACGGAACGTGAGAGTGGAAAAGGAAGGGGAGGTACCCTCAATGACCGGCCGTCCCCTTCGCGCGTGGTGGCCGGATATGCTTGCGACACGTTCTTTTCTTCGTATGACCCCGTCTTTGCGTCTTGAGGGACGTCGTCGACGGAGATGTCGGTCCCTTTGCTGATTTCGTGGGAATCCATGCTGTATGCTTCGCTCAGAACAGAGGTCAAGTCCTTGCGTAAAGTAGAACAACAAAGCATCTACCAACGATGTGAGAGAGTGGTGAAGAGACAAGATAGCTCATGGGTCGTTAGAGATAAGACCTTCGATGACACGCGATATGTAAACAGTACGAAGTCCTCAGTACCCGGAGCATGGCCGGTCACGGAGAATACTCAACAAAAAACCCGCAAGCCTGACTGGTATCTAGACTTAGGTTGCAGAACCACTGCCAACTTACACGGTAAGTATAGGTAGCTACGGGAGCTAGCTCAGTCACCGCGCGGCAGTTGGTCTGGGTACGAGACGACAATCGGTGAGCACCGAGAAAGAAGACAAAACCCTTCAAAGATCCCAAGGATTCGAGGCTCAAACGCAGACCGACAAGCAAAGATATGCAGGAGACCACCTGTTCGCTGGCGGCGAGCCCACAACATGCGACAGAGGACCTTGGACATGCCGTAGCTTGGGTTTTGCCATGGACATGGGCATGGGCATGGGCACGGGAACTCAGTGCTGCATAATTACTCGGAACCCAGTTGTGTGCCAGTAGCCAGTGCCAGTGCCTGTACCTCATCGCTAAGCTATCAAGGTCGTATCTGCAGACGACGATCCGACCCGTTTTGGTTGGAGGAAGCACGGACGAGATATGGCGATGGCATGGGGAGAGTGTGCAGAGAGGTGGATGTCGTCCAATCATGTTGAGCCGATTGTCTTTGAAGGATTGTGTCCTGTCGTGTCGTGTCGTGGTTCCATCTCGCTGCATGCTTTGCGTTTCCGACTAACCGGCAATCACACTGCTAGGATACTCAGCATGGAAGGGAAAGGCGGGCAATACTCGACTCCATGGGAGACAGACATAAGCAAGTTGCGGCATTTCGTTCGAGGTCGCGAGCTGGAGCATGTTGGCCTTAAGGCCTCAAGGACCGAGGCAGTCTTCCTGTAGCATTACTCCGATCTGTGAACGGACCCGACCGGTGGTGCTGTTGGCCTCGTCACGTCTTATTGTATATGTATATGCGGTCAACCGCAGTGGGTGCCAAGTACGGAGGACAATATAGTCGGTTCCAAGGCAGGCTCATCTCCTCTTGTCGGTCTAGGTATCTGTCTCCAACTCTTCACCTAATTACTTGTCGGCCATTCTGGCTACGGCCTCCATTGCTCCCGTGGGGTGTGATTCGCAACGGCTTCGCTTCGCACCGTCCAGCGGATTGTTGAAACCACCATTCATGACCACATATATCGCCTCTACTACCGATCCGCTCCGCTCGGGATACTGCTGTAAGACCCGTCGTCGCACGATCAAAGCTCGGTAGTCCGACGCCGGACGCATGAGCAACGCCGAGAATGACTTCTCGCACGGGCTCAACTGCAACTGCATATATACGGACCGGCATTCATCTCCTGTCTACGCCTGCGACGATATCGACGTGTCCTTTCAAAACGGCTCTGAAGTAATCCTTTCCTGATATGACTCGGCCATCAAGATCAAGGGATTGCGAGGATGTGCGATTGAAATGTCGCCATTGAGCCAGGCTGCCGTAGGAGACGGTGCGAGCCGGGTGATTCTCGCCTTGCCCATCACTGTTGATGGCGCCGTCGTGTTAGATGGCGGTACTCTCTTCGTCATCGGATCCGATAACTGCAATTTGGACCTTACCGTCTTCCGGGCCTCCTCGATCGTTTCTGGGGTCAACAAAATAGATTTTCCGGTGTCCGACGGTTACCATGTCGGACACAAGAACAGAGCCGTCATGTCTCTTGGGCAGAGTCTCTAGGATCTCTAGGAACAACCCTGCCGAATATGCCGTGGTAGCTGTGTAATCAGGTAGGGACGAGAGAGGAGTTCCGATTTGACGAAGTGAACAGTGTGACCCCCGGCTTTATTGGTGTCAGGATTATACGATGCCTTCCATCTAGACTCTGGATCCTGAGGCCGTATTGACGTATAAAGATGGAAAACGGATATGGTCAAAAATGAAGACGAAGCGGAAGACAAGGAAGCCTAAGACGACGAAATCCAAGACGAAGAAGAGGAAGACGAAGAAGAGGAAGCTGAAGACGAAGAGGAAGCTAAAGACGAAGGGGAAGCGGAAGACGAAGACGAGGTCGAAGTCGAAGAGGAGCGTAGTCCTCCTTGAAACACGAACCAGCAGTACCGTCAACTACTATACAGTACGTAGCAGCTTGTCCGTTCGTAGCGAGCACCACTTCACCGCCTTCAGCTAAATAAAAGAATCCGCTCTAAACTACCTACCTACATAGCAAAGGGCACTTCGACATTCAATTACTGCACAGTACTGTACCTGTCCCTGCTCGTCAGAATCCACCGTCACAGAAATGCGATCCCAGCCCGGGAACATAGACTCAGAGCAAGCCTGCCGCACAGGCCGAGGCGAGAGCTCCAAGCAATTCTAAGTACTCCGTACTCGTACTGGAACAGTCCCGGTTCGAGCTCTTCACGTCTCGCGCGCAAGACGCTTTCTACCAAGCCTGGTAACGCTCACAGGTGTTGTGGTTCAGCCGTCTCTGTCGTGCCCCTACCCAGAAGAGGGAGATCCAACAGCATACGAATGTATGATTCTTGCAAGGCTATTCATCATGCTAGCGCATCTGCACATTGAAACGCCCAAATTCGCCAAACTCAGAGACGCTTTGCCTAGCGATGTCGGTCGCCGGCCACCGGTCCTTGTAATCGGCCAATTGTACGACGAAAAAGTGTGTGAAAAGCAATGATAGGCATCGAAGATGAGACTTGTTCGGAGCGACGTAAACACACTGGTATTTGTGCCAAGGCTCCAAAATTGGAGCTAGACGCTTCTAGACTAGACAGTTTTGGGCTCCATCTCACCAGCTAGAGCGCGGAGAGGCGAGTCCCTATATATGCTCAGACATTCGCTTTCAAAGCTCATAGAAACTAGGTAGTATCAGCAGCGTCAGGTTTGAGATGAGCAGACTTTCTAGGCCCCACGATAGCGAAGCACATCTTCTTAGAGATCCTGCGCATCTTGCCGCAACGAAAGGTGCCGCCTTCTTCTCTGATAGGTACGAGTGGTACACGATACATTGTCAACTCAGCAGGGCTTGCCAATAGGAAGATCTGGCGTCACCAGACATAATCAATATTACCAGTCACGAGATTTTGTTCCACTTCTTCCATTACATTGCGTGCTTCTTTCACTACAGCTATGACCAAGTCTTATCGTACAGTGCGTCCAATCACCCACGCAGTGATCGCCATCTCTTCGCACGCGGGCTGTATCTTACCACTGTGAGGCTGTCACCCAAGCCCAACGCTTGTCAGGTTCCAACTCCAGGCCACCCTTTCCGTTACTGGCATCCCCTTCCCTTCCCGTACTTTTGAGACAATATGTGTAATAAGTACACAGGTTTTCGAATTTGAGTGGAGAGTAATGTGACAGTCTTGCAGAAATGTACAGAGGTGATAGACAAGTGTCCCGGGGATCCAACCGGCCAGATTTCAAGGTCATGTGGTCGACTTCGGTGCGGCGGTCCGACTCGAGAGCATCATGTCGAAGGTCCAAAGTTTAATGCTGAGGATCTGAATTGGAATCGCTGAAACGCAGGAAGAATTGCCAGCATGAGGAGCATGATCAAGAGAGAAGGATGGATTGGATAGCTTCATCATCAGCTCACACTAATGGAGCTTAGAATCCGCCCATGCCACCCATTCCTCCCATCCCGCCGCCCATTGGCATGGCAGGCTTCTCTTCCGGAGCGTCGACAATCGCGACTTCCGTCGTACCCAGTAGTGATGCGACGCCCGAAGCGTCAACGAGGGCAGTGCGGACAACCTTCAGAGGATCGACGATACCCTTGCTGAGCATATCGACAAACTCGCCAGTGGCCGAGTCGAAGCCCTTGTTGAAGTCCTTCGCATACTCATCCATAAGCTTGCCAACGACCACACTGCCTTCAAGGCCAGCGTTTTCAACAATCTTGCGGGCAGGGCGCGTGATGGCGTTCTTGATAATGCTGACACCAAGCTGTTGATCAAAGTTGGAGGGTTGAACGGCACCAAGAGCATTGGCGGCAGCCTTGATGAGGGCAGTACCACCGCCAGGTAGGATACCCTCTTCCACGGCAGCACGGGTGGCGTTCAGCGCGTCGACAACACGGTCCTTCTTCTCGCCCACCTCAACTTCCGAGGCACCGCCGACCTTGATGACGGCGACACCGCCGGACAGCTTAGCAAGACGCTCCTGTAGTTTCTCCTTCTCGTATTCGGAGGTGCTGGGGTCGGCCATGACGCCGCGTATCTGTTCACATCTTTGGGCAATCGCATCCTTGCTACCCTCGCCGTTCAGGATGATGGTGTCTTCCTTGGTGATGGTGATGCTGCCCGTCGAGCCGAGCATGTCAGGTGTGGCCTTCTCCAGCTTGATGTCCAACTCGTCCGTGAAGACGGTGGCGTTTGTCAGGATTCCAATGTCACCCAGGATGCTCTTGCGGTTGTCGCCGAAGCCAGGAGCCTTGACTGCGGCAACCTGGAGTTGACCGCGCAGTTTGTTCAAAATGCAGACAGCCAACGCTTCTCCATCGATGTCCTCGGCAATGATGACGAGGGGTCGGCGCATCTGGGTGGACGCCTCGAGAGCGGGAATAATGTCTTGGACGGCAGAGATCTTCTTCTCCGATAGGAGGATCAAGGGTTTCTCGAATTCGATCTTCTGGGACTTGGTGTCGGTGATGAAGTAGGGCGAGGTGAAGCCGCGGTCAAAGCGCATACCCTCGGTGACCTCAAGCTCGTCCTCGATAGTCTTCCCTTCCTTGACGGTGATGACACCCTCCTTGCCCACCTTCTCCATGGCATTCGAGATCAAGTTGCCGACATGAGTGTCGCCGTTGGCCGAGATGGTCGCAACTTGAGCAATCTCGGCGCTGGTGGTGATGTCCTTCTTGTTCTTTTGCAGGAAGTCGACAACAGCCTCGACGGCTGCCTGTGTACCTCTTCTCAAGTCCATAGGATTGCATCCGGCAGCAACGTTCTTGACCGTCTCGGAGAAGATGGCGCTGGCGAGAACGGTGGCGGTTGTTGTGCCGTCGCCGGCCACCTCGTTGGTCTTGGAAGCGACATCCTGGATCAGCCGGGCACCCAGGTTCTCAAACTTGTCTTGGAGCGTCACGGCTTTAGCGACGGTGACACCATCTGATCCATCGTTAGTATCTCGAGTCTCGGGGAGAGAGATACCAACACAAACCTTTTGTGATCTTAGGAGAGCCGTAGCTTGATTCGATCAGGACATTCCGACCCTTGGGACCGAGTGTGGTTGCAACCGCTTTTGACAGCGTCTCCACGCCCTTGAGCAGCTGTGCTCGTCCCTCGACGCCAAACTTAAGCTCCTTGTGAGCAAACCGCAGCTGCTGTAAACTTCGGCCAGCTGTTCGGGAGTATGGGGAGGATGAGGACGACAGAGAGGAGCGGACTGCGGAGGAAAGAGCGCGCTGCATGGTGGCCGATGGCAATGATCAAGTGCAAGGCGGTAGTAGCGAACAGGGGAAGGAAAGAGAGCAGAGGATGGATTGATGAATGCAGGATAAATGCAGCAGGAAGCGTGAAGCGTCGAAGCCTCGCATGCTGGATCTCGAAAGAAAACTTTTGGAGATTCTGTGGGTCCTCGGCCGCACTCGACCAATCGGTATCTGCCACCAATCGGAAGCTGGCATCAATCAGGCCGCCCGAGCAACGCCGCTTCGCTATGAATCAGCAGCTGCTGGCCACGACTACTGCATCCCTAATCTTAACCCAGGCAGCATACTCCGTGTAGGGTTCATCAGAAGGTGGAAGAAGTGGAATGGGTGCATCTATTGTGACCGTTATCAAAGCTCAAGCTCTGCTCCGTATGCTGCTTGTTGAATTCAGCCAGCACGCTCTGGTCTTCGTCCGCGTGAGAGGGGGCTGCCAGTGAGTGCTTGGTAGCCGATTGATCTCCCGATTCGTGAACCTTGAGATCTGAGCCCTATGTCGTGTCCGTAACTTGCACCGAAATAAAGTGCGAATAGCACAAGAGAAAAGAAAAGAAAGACAAGGGTGATTCAGCATGGTCCGAAAACTCCTCCCAGACTACACCACGAGTGCCTCCTGCCATGGAATACCACAAGCTTTTTTCGCCGCAATTCGCCGTCGCCGTTCCCTAATCTCGTTACGCCGCCAGGGGTATCATGCCGTGGCCGAAATCGACGAACAGCTGTTCACCCTGTTAGTGCTCACTCTTCCGCTCTGAACAGCAGCAACTTACTCCAACTTAGGAGTCGACCAGAAAGTCGCTGTCCTGAGTGGTCAGGAAGACGTCGTCTCCTGGCATACTGTTGACGTGATCCTGCTCGTTGATTACGTCGCCGGTATGTCCGTTGTCGAAGCTGAAAGAGTTCAAGAAGTTGCCGTTGGACATGGACGGAAGGTTAGAATAACCCATGGCGCCGCCCAGAGAGTTGTTGCGTGACGAATCATTCGATGTCGAGTACATGCTCATGCTGGGGAACTGGCTGTTGAAGGCATTTTCCTGGGGCATGAAGTTCATCATCGAGGCAATGTTGGAGTACCCGAACTGTTGACCCGAGAATCGGTTGTCGCTGTTCAGGTAATCGACTCGATTGAAGCTATGCACATTGCCAGGTTGGAATCGTTGAGACATATCAGTCTGCATTAAGGTCAGTAACCTTGCCAAGAAGGCGGGATGGAGAGAAACTTACCACCATTTGATTGTTTCCATAGACCTGGCCATATGGGGTGTCGACAATGTGTGATTCCTCGAGGAATGCACCTTGAAACTCTGCCTTTCCTGCAGCATCATCCTCGGCGTGGACGACATCAGTCTCAGCCTCACTAGCAATATCATCATCTTCAGCGAATGGGTCAGCCTCGCCGTCATACTCGACGCCATTGTCGACGACTTGCGCCTGCTGGTCGACTTCGGGCTCGCCCTCATCAGAGGAAGGAGCCGCCATCTGGGAGTAGTCACGCTTGACACCACGGGTGCGGGTCGCAGGACCAGAGTCTTCTGCTTCGACCTTGACCATAACATCGTCGACTTGAGTGTCTTCAATAGGTGCAGCCAATGTGGTTGCCTCAGAGAGAGCAAGAGGGTCTTCGACAGAGGCTTTAGTGGCAGGCATCTTGCGCTTCGACCTAGCAGAGGAGCGACGACGTTTCTTGGGAGAGCCGTATTCGGAGTCAGAGTCATATAGGTTTGGAACCTCCTCCTCCTCGTCATCGCTCATGTTGTTACGGCGCGCCTTCGTCTTGCCTCTGGTCTTAGCCTTTGCCCTGGCTGCCAATTTAGCTGGACCATCTTGCATGGCTGGTTCGTTGAAGAGCGCATTCTCTGTGGTGTCCTCGCCGTTATCATCTTTCGACTTATTCGCGGCACGCTTGGCTCGCTCATAAATGGAAACGGGCTGCTCTGCATCTTCTTCCATCTTGATCTTGGTCGGGCCACTGGTGCCGTCAGGAAACAGGGCAGGAATTGGTTCGAGTTTGACACGAGGGTTGGCGGCACTGCCATAGATCCTGGACGGTGCTTTGGTGATCATGCCTCGCTTCACAGATGGTGGCACAGGAATGCCAGCGGCCATCATGAGGTTTCGGAGCTTGGCCAAGTGCTGTACGATGCCACCCTCGGTAAAGGTAGGACCCATGATCTCAGCGACTCGAGCCCCTGTTGGCGATCCGTTAGCTAAGTGAACCATGCTGGGTTGCAGGAATGAAACACTTACATGGAATTTTCAGGCCAGCTTCGGTACAGGCATACTGAATGCAGAGCATGAGTCCCTTGTCGAGATCATCTGGGCACAGTCAGTTCTCTGGACTGAGCTGTAAAATATTGAATGCCTTTAGAACTTACCGTCCCAGCGGTTGAGGATGCGAGGCTTGCTGGGAGATTTTCTGGGAACCTTTCTCTCAGGCATCTTGGCTGAGAGCAAGGATTGCTGGCTCTGTGTCTGAAGTTCTCAGTCGTCAGTTGCACCGCAAGCGATGGAGCTGGGGACCATGGTGTAGGTGTGACAAGAGAGGAGAAGGGGGAGAGGGAGGATATAGGGCTGGTTATTGTCCTCGACGATCTGCGACAATAGTGACGGAAGTGTTCAGAGTGTGAGGCACGGTGAATGGCAAAAAGGACGCGACTGGGGAATAAACAGAGGGATCTGGGGTCACCAACACGTGCACGAGGGGCAGAATACCCGCTGCGGTGAACAGAGATCAATGGAGGGGCAGAGGAACAATAGGATTGGGTTCGTGCGATGAAGAAGAGCGCTCTGTCGGAGGATGTGCTGTTGCCTGTAGAAGAGACTCACCAGACTCTGCAATCCGATGGATTGAGGCTCTCGACGACGTAGAGGCTCGGCCTGCGAGCTGCGAGGGACTCAGAAGGTAGAGGGAGGAAGACACAAAGGGGCAATGACAAAGTGAGAGGGAGATGTCGTGGTTGTGGGAGACGGAGGGCAAGAAAGGAAAATGGAGAAATGTCGGAAGAGATATCGGGTGCCCAAGACGACCACCAACATCCCTCAATCGGCACTGCTGGTTGTCGACATGCAGGTTCTCTTCGTCGACACGCTGGTGTTCTTGGAGCCAATGACGACTGCTGGCCTTGTGCACTTCTTCAAGCTATGCGCGCATTTTGCAGAGAGCCCGGCGCCCATTGTCTTTACCAAGCAGGGCCGTTAAAAAGTCCAAGATGTTTGCGCCCAATCGACAGTCAATCTGTCTGAAGAGGAGGCGTCAATGGGTCTGCAGGAGAAGATTCTGCACGACCTCTGTGAATATGTCGCTCTTCTGCCTCTTGCTCCGCCAAGCAGGCATCGCAGAAGAGGAGGTGCTTGCTGCTTTGAGCCGCTGAATGTCCTTTGGGTCCTTGTCGCTATCACTGGACTTATTCTGGGCTGGAAATGGCCTCCATCATCGTGGTAATCAGCCTGCTTCACCAGAGGTTGTCGTTGGCGAGCTCGCTGAACCCCAGCTCTTCCTTGATATCTGCTCACTGCAAACCAGACAGCTTGCACTCTACAACAGTCATGCCTCCCTATTGCCAACCCAGCGGACGTCATATCCATTTCCAGGGACCTGGAGACTTGGAAACGAATCAGTCCACGACAACAACACGATCATCCGGCTTCGTTGCCTCCTCATCTTCTACTCGACGTTCTTCCGGCTTCTCCATTGGCACAACGCTCTGTGGGCGTGGCGGTATTCTCATGGGCAACGACTCCATTAAGTGTGGTGGCTGTCCTATCTGATACTGCTGCTGGAAGGCATCCTGGTGGGTGTACTCTTCGAAGCCGGTGTCTGGAGCGGCCATTGGCATCGACCATGGCTCTCTGAAGTTAGTCGGCGCAAAAGGGGGATACATCGGCAGATCTTGCACCACCTGATGGCCATAACAAGGGAAGCTGGGAAAACCGAGCCGTTGCTGCGTTGGATATGGCGGAAGCGGACCATGAGCTGTATGAGGAGGCCGACCGATGAACATGGGAGGACCAGCTGGCCCATGTTGCACACCACCGGAGACGCCAGGCTGGGGGACGTCATTGACAGCTTCTGCCTTCAACGAAACAGATCCGACAATCTCCTGGGTGGCATTGGTGGTCATTTTGGGCCTCTTGTTGTCGCCCTCTGTTACGGTGCTGTCGGCTCGGTCCAGCTTTCGCTTCTTGGCTGAAGACTTCTCGCTCGCTCTTCGCTTCACGGGCTTCGGGGCGGCGACACTGGTAGCGGCGGCAGCAGCTGCATTGGGAGCGCTTGAACTGACACCGTTTGCTTTCAGAAGTCTCTCATACCGTTTGGCCCTGGTATCTGGTTAGGAAGGACCAGCCGATATGCATACACAGGCGATACTAACGCTGCGCCTTTGCTGACAACGCCACATTCTTTGGCTACTTCCACGAAATCAACCTGGAACTGTCAGTCCACTAGGGCTAGGCTTGCTCGGAAAGCCCTGGCTCACCCGTCCGTTGTTAGAGTGCTTGACGCAGCTCAACAGGAATCTCAGCTGATCGTCGGGTGTCGCCCGAGACATTTTTTCCGTGTGGTATTCAGAGAGAGAGAGAGGAGACTTGAGACTTTCCCAGGTAATCAGGTATGTGGGTAGGAAGGGAGTCAACTATGGCGACCTGGTCTGAAGAGGAAGAAGATGGATCGTGAGGACGGATGGAGCCCTAGAAATGGACCGTCAGCCACATGTACGGTCAACGGGGTTCCATTGACGCAGAACTGTATTGGTGCGATGGGCAGCTTCCATTGTCATATCTTTGACATTGACAGGGAAGAGATTGTTAGCGGTCAAACGACTGGGCCCCTTTGATCTGTCTTTCTGAGAGTCAAAGACAACGTTGGCAAGGTTGCCTACAGATAGGAAAGAAACAAGCGGGATGTCCAGAGCAGCTGCAGCGTCTCAAAGACCTACTGGGGACTTCTGCTGGCGTAGTAGATGCAGTCAAGAGAGTTGAGGTTGGAAGCTGCTGTGGTCAGAGGTCGTTGAAAGTGTGAGTTGGAGTCCAGGACGATGTCGCTGTGGAAGAGCATCGCAGCGACCAGATATACACAGCCTGTCGCCGCCGCCGCGGTCTCTACGCCCCTCTGGACAAGTGATTCAGGCTACTGCTGATCGCAAGAACCATGCCGACCGCGGTAATATCTGCATTTGTCGTTGGCGACGGATTGCTCTTTGTTCCTGACTACTAGACCTGATTGTAGTCGCCAACCTAACAGAAGTACAGGAGCAATCGCCATTATCAAAACGTATGGAGTAAACCTGACAAGCGAGATCAACGCCAGCAATCCACGCCATCGAAACCTATGTCAAGCACGGCTCTTCCCATAGAGCGTCACAGTCCCACAAGAGCCTTGATTTGCTCCCACCCTTCAACTATTCCTCTGTCCCAAAGCCTTACTCGACCATTCAGCACCATCGACTATGTCTCATCAGCCACCCGGTCTACACTCGACTGAACGGACGGGATCGGCGGATGGCAACATCTATCCGACGTCGACCTGTTCACTGTTTTGGAGGAGCCCCCAGCGTCCACCGTGGTAGGTTGATTGGACTGTCTACGAATGATATCATCGCCAATAGTGGCAGCGAGGGTACCAACAGTAGTACCACTGAAGCCGTTAGATTGCTACCATTGAGGAGAGAAGATTCCTTCATCTTTGTTGCTGCGGTGCAGTGAAAAGGGCGGCAATTGGGGGGGAATCTGACCAACACTGAGACATAAGGAAGAGGACAAACACCACTTCGTCATCGGCGAAGATGTCATTCGACGAGCGACAGCAATAGCCTGCTACGGGCGACCTGGACAGGGCGACAACCACACTTACCACGGCGCTGTTACAGCTTAGCGGCCAACGACGGCAACACACCTCCGAGTCTCAACATCTTCCCGGGCTCCGAGTCCAATGCCCATACTGAATGGACGTGAGGAGCTCAAGTCGTCTGTTTTACCTATTCCCCATGCCCGGTCAGCGTGGTCAGAGCATCACCAGCATCAGTGGAATGTGGCGCAGACAATGGCCGTCCGGTTGCGAGGCTCGTGAACTCAGGGGAACCGGCATCGGGATTTTGTTGTTCCGCGACACGACGGTGCTCTTTCCCAAGCGGAGAGCAATCATGCGGCTGGTGATGTTCTTTGATATAATCAAACTATGAAAACACCATAAATTGAGTAGGCTGTCTTGCCGCTACAATGCTACAGTGGAAGTCTTTCATTTGAGGCTCACGAGACGTAGCTGGTTGTGGTCGACACATGGCAAGCTACCTGCGAATGCGCCCTTCCCCTTCCGAGTTCCGTGGCGGTCTGGTGCCACGCATGGATCAGGTATTTCGGGAGACCGCGATCAATGTCGTGGCAACTGAAGGATGCGTCCCTCGATGATGGCGGAATATTACTGGGTTTGGAAGGGGAAGATTAATCGAGAGAATTGTATTTGTGGATTCCTTGCCTATTGGACTTCCGGGGTCATTTGCTGCTCCCCTCGGTCTGCCGGTTTTGCCATATCTCGTCCAAAGAGATTTATCCCGCTCTCCTGCACTGATGACCCTGGTTCGATCACTGGTTTCCCGTTAGAGTCCATCTTTTACTAGCTGCATCAATGTCCCCCTGATGAGGTTATGGCTTGGAGGCGTTATCACAAGTAACCGTGCCGCATACGTGGTCTACGCCGGGCGGCGGTAGCCTTTTGATGCTGCGGACCAACTATAATCTATACCTCTTCTCAAGATGCTGACGAGTGACGGACAGGATGTACACCTCCATGGCAGCAGTCCAAGTTTAACACAAAAATAGACCCCCATCAAGACTCGACGTTGCAGAATGCAGCCATCAACTTCTCGAACCACTGCGAACCCTGTGCTGTCAGGATGTCCGAGTAGAGGAACCCGCGTAGTACGCTTTCCAGCATGTGCCAAGACATGACCCCCAATCTTGCAGCAAGCTCAACCAGGTGGGTGGTGAACCATTGCTGGCGTGAGTCGAGTCGCGTTGATCCATCAGCTTGCTCGACGAGAGCGCCCACGTAAAACGCCCATAGCCGAGCGTTGGCATATCTCCTCCAGGAATCCCGCTTCGAAGACATCTCGCTTTCTTCAAGCAGAGTCTGGAGGGTACGAGGTATGATCGACGCATCGAACATAGGGACATTAAGGACGGTGGGGTTGAAATTGAAGTTTGGCCCCCGTGTCAGATAGATTGCCGCTAGCGCCATGTATTGTTGTGCATATAGATAATCTTTCACTTCCGGTTTCAAACCCTCACGCCGGAGTTGGGCTTTATTTCTCAGATAGTGGTTGATCATATGCCCGTGGAAGAGGTACGCCTTGGAAAGAAACCAGGTCATGATGACGGGTACGTCGAGAAACAGCTTTCCTTCACCATCTTTGACGCCGTTGATCTGCAGCTGCTCTTGCCGGCTCCGGAACCAGGTTTGAAGTTCTTGGCTGTCCACTGAAGGGTCCAGCGGGGCGCGTGCAAGGTGCGGAAGTCGTTGAACAGCCGTTTTCCAGATGGGATCAAACACCATAGGCAGCCAATGGTCGACGTCAAATACAGGAGGGCAGAGAAAGATGGAGGTAAGCTGGCAGTCGTTGTAGACTTCAAACATTAACAATCGATAATCGAGCGTCCCTTGCGCCCACTGCTGCTTGAAAAGGGACGCCAGGAATGTGCCGTGGGCGGTTGCGGCAGCTAGGTTTCGCGCCAGGGTTTGTGCATTGAAAAGCATTGCCGCATTGTCAATGACAGAGGTCGAGGATTGTGCTTGCAGAGCCCGGCCTTGGGCGATCTTCTTCCTCAACACCTCCGTGCTTTGACCCACATAATACTCAGCTTGTTCTCGCAATGCTGGACTGCAACTTGCCGCCACCATACCGTGACGAGCGATGATGCCGTAGGCAGTCCCTTCGTCTTCAAGGTGGGCGGCATTGTACTGCCATTCCCGTGCAGCGAGGACAACAGTATTCTTGTTTTTGAAGTTTTTGAACCATATGCTGGGGATTATATAGTCTCGATAGAATGTCATGAGATTATTGACGTCGGCGGTTATCGGTATCGGAAATGCTCCAAACGGATCCGAATTGCCTTTCCCGATCGACGTTGAAGGCGAAGTTGCCCACGTCTTGGGACTGCCATTGCTAGACACGGACGAGTCGCTGTCGTCGGACGAATTGCGGTTCGGGGGAAAATCTAAAGATCGACTACTCTGATCAGAGCTTGATGAATCAGCCTCCGGAGGTGAGGCATCGTAACGACCACGGTGCCCATCGCTGTTGTAGCTTCTGGCTTGACCTGGGACATTGGCCGAGGCACGAAGCGACTTGGTCTCTTGGCGTCGCTTCCACGGTCGATAGTTCTTCTGGACATGTGTGAAGACCCGATGTCTGTGAGGCAGCGCTTTCATGTTATCTGCATCATGGTTGACCCATAGCAGTGATTGACCCGACGGCATTTTCTGCCATCAACACGCTGCATGTTGATGCAGACGGGCTGAGAGGAGGGTTGGGTTAGCCGAGAGGTCGGCAAGCTGTGGTTAAGCCACCTGAGATATTCCCACGACGACAAGGCCACCACTGGGTTTGTGCAGGATAGGGCCGCCTAGATACATAGACAGAGCCCGAGAAGGTGCATCGCTGCTTAGGACGATCGACTCGCGTAGCCCGTCGTCCCTTAAGAGGCGGCCCCTTCAGCGCCACCAGCCTAGGCTGTTAATTCGCGTTCAGTGATTGAATGGATGTTCAGCCCCATGTCTCAAGCAAGAAATGGAGACGATTGGATCGAAGGCGTGTCACGATGGGTTGGGGGGAAGTTAGGTAAGCATCCATTGCCTAGTTCAAGCCGAACTTGCCCTACAGGGCTTGGTGATCGGTGGTGATGGGGACCTGGAGCCCCGCTCGAGACTTTGAGGGTCGTTGTCGCCGGGCGCTTCTAGAACATACCCAGTACGCAAGATCCCCATCCGAGTGCAGTCCAGTCGATGGTCCTCTGAGTGGCGGCATGAGGACGTGAATGGTCATTTATACACTCGGAAGCATGAACCGTCGAACAGGGACATGATGAGAACATGTTACCTATCTAGCACAGCAAGAGCTGCATGGGTTTCACGCTTCCCAGCTTTACTTCATGAACACAGTACCTTATCACAACCGTCTGACAAGCGTTTTTACGTCATATTCGTTGCATATTGCAAGGACAGATGCGTCATTTGACTGTCAGCCGTGGTTGGCCAAGTACCGTGACACGCTCGCCGGCTACACTTGCCATTGGCTGACGTAGTTGCTTTCGCTGCTTCACGGCTTCCATTTCTCCAACTTTTTGTGGTGAGAAGGACAAACAATCGGCTCATCTCAAGAGATATCCCTAATTGAACAGGCTTCATCTTCTCATATACTCGAGCAATCTTACTTTGAGAATGCTTCCTCCGCCCAGATGACCTCCGGGCCAATGCGCAGCCTGCCTGCATCGATCAAGTGCGCTGTTCCCGCTTCAAGATGGACTCACGTCCGAGATGTCAGGGTCCAAGCCCAACACCGCGCAAGGTCTTCCTCTGCTGGCGGCCATAGCCTCCGTCAGGTGCTACCGAGGAGAAACTTGGCACAAGTCAGACCCGAACCTATCTCAGAAGTCTGGTTTACGGCCGCTTCACCCAGATACGGTCCGGCGGAGGAACTGCTTGGTCCCCCAAGGCCGGGCGGCAATGACGACCACAAGCCTCCGGACGAGCGACTGATCAAGCTAGGGAAGAGTACGTAGAAGAACCTGGCGAGAAACCACAACCATGGATGCTAATTTCCTACAGCACTACGGATTTTGTCGCCGCTCCTACCCAACATCCTCACGACTCCTCTTCCCACCGCGATTCTCTCGCCGAACATCTCCCTCCATCTGTTTCCCTCGACCCATCCGCATCTACCAGCTATAAAAGGCCGTGTCGCTTATCGTGCCTCTCTCTGGACAACACCAGTGGCATGGGGCTGCGTTCCCATCGTCGGCAATGTCAAGCTGAAGATCCTCTCCGAGAAGATTGTGCGCACCGGTCTTGCATACGCGATTCCCCCAGAGGCGATTGAGGGCGAGCAAGATCTCAGCGCAGAGAAGCTGGTGGTAAGATGGAAGACCGAGCCGAAAAGCAACGGCCAGGGCAGCGCGAACACAGAAGCCGCCCAGTCCAGCACAACTGACGGAAACATAAACCGTGGTTTGTCAAAACTATTGGGGGGAGATAAGCCCATCTTCAACTTGAACAAAGGCGACGATTTCACAGGTCTGTTCATATTCACATTCGACTCCAACGGCCGCATCGCAAGCCATACGATCGAGCATTCGGACGAGAGCAACGGCTTTGACAAGACCAGCAAGGTCGTCACTCTGACAGACTGGCTCTTGGAAAAAGTAAAGTGGGGACGAAACAAGGAGCAAGAACTCATTCCCGGGCTGGCCATGAGGGTATGCAGAGATGAGTGGAACATTAGAAGAAGACTGCCTCCGAATCCCTGAGATTCCAGCCTTATTGCTCATGCCCCCGGGCGGATCAGGGGAACATGTCGAGGAAGCGAGCACCCCCTCAAAGGTCATGTTTTGTCAAGGGGCGTCAATATCTGAAATAAGACGTCTACCAGATGATTTGGTGTACACCTCTCCACTCCGTGCAAGAGAGTGTCTTTTGAGTCGATGACATGATGGAATGAATCAAGATGTCTCTGAAGAGTTGGCCCCTACCGGAAAAGCCTCAAGCACCATGGGCGGATATACCAGACCTGCGCTGCACCTTTCATAGGCCTTTGTATAACATGTGACTGAGATAACGTCGTTGAGCAACATTGGAAACTCCACTAAGACGCCCATCACGATTTGCTCCATTGGCACTGTCGCCACGTACAGTAGCTTCGACACGCAAAGTAGAGAATCGAGTTCATCACGTTTGACCAAAATACCTCCAGGGCAACTGTGTGATATGACTACGTGCCCACTCAATCGGAGCTCAATTTTCGTTTGAAATGTTCCAGCACAATTGACACGAGTTGGGACTCTCGGTAGCTGAAACTACACCGCATCCATAACACCCCTTCGCACGGGGTGACAATGTCTCCTACCAGTAGAAGAATCCAAGATTTTGTAACAAGTTATCCTCCTAGTCGAACCGCGGGACACACCCGTTCCGACAGTGCAGCTTTTATAGCGTGGATTCGGGGGCGAGAACCTGTAAGTTCAAAAGGTTAGGACTACTATTCCCAATGACTTCAGTCGCGTGAGAGAGGGGAACTTACCAAAGCCGTCCTCGTCGGGATGTACACCTGTGTGAAGTTTCTGCGACCATTCCAGGGCATATCCGTAGTGAAGAACCTCGTGTCCTTTGCGTTGCGTCCGTGCCCGCCGTACTCGGGTGAATCCGTATCAATGATAATTCTATACACGCCCGGTGCGTCCACGCCTACACGATAATCTGTGAACGACGCTGTAGGGTGGAAGTTGAAGATCCAGAGCAGACCGGCACGCTCGAAGACGAGGACCTTGTCAGATTCGTTCTTGAGCGAAATGTATGCTTGTGGCGAGTGGAGCCAGCCGTACTTCTCCTCGTTCCATTGCATTGTTCGGTCGAATTCGTTGAGGAATCTGTATCTCAAGAGGCTGTCTTCGGTAAGGTTGAGTTGGCGACGGGCATACCAGAACGAATTGTCATTCCCCGCGCGAGGGAAGTCAAGCCATTCGGGGTGGCCGAACTCGTTGCCTTCGAAGTTAAGCCACCCTTCACCACCCAGACCGTGGGTGACCAGGCGGATCATCTTGTGCAGAGACATAGCGCGGTCGATGACAGGGGTCAGCTCTGAGAGAACCGACATATGTGTATACATCTCCTTATCAGCGAGCCACATCATCAGCGATTTGTCACCAACCAGCGCTTGATCGTGGGATTCGGCGTATGCAATGGTCTTCTCCCCATGGCGTCGGTTGGTGAGTGTGAATGCGATGTTGCCAATGTCCCATTCATCGTCTGACTTTTCTTTCAGCATCTTGATGTACATGTCTGGAACAGCCATGGCGAGGCGATAGTCGAAGCCCACGCCGCCAAGAGAGAGTGGCAGACAGAGTGCAGGCATTCCAGAAACGTCTTCGGCTATGGTGATGCATTTAGGGTAGATGTTGTGGAGCATTTCGTTCGCCAGCATGAGGTAGACGACACCTTCTTCGTCGACCGCCGGTCCGAAGTATTCGTGGTAGCCGCCTGAGAAACCTGTCCCAATGCCATGATGAGTGTAAAGCATTGACGTGACGCCATCGAACCGGAAGCCGTCGAACTGATATTCTTCCATCCAGAATCTGAGATTGGACAGGAGGAACCGCATTACTTCGTGGTGACCATAGTTGAAGAGCCTGGAGTCCCATAGTTCGTGTCGACCCTTACTGCCTTCGTGGAAGTACAGATGGTCGCTGCCGTCGAACATGTTCAGGCCATCCAGAGTGTTCTTGCTGGCGTGTGAGTGCACAACATCCAAGAGTATTGTAATCCCCATGCCATGTGCAGTGTCAATTAGCTCTTTCAGATCTTCCGGCGTGCCATATCTCGAGCTTGCCGCGAAAAATGAGTTGACCTGGTAGCCGAAGGAAGCGTAATATGCGTGCTCCATGATAGCCATCAGCTGAATGACATTGTAGCCGAGGTACTGTATCCTGGGGAGCATGTTCTTGGTAAATTCCTTGTATGTTGCAACTTTCAACTCGGGAGAAGAGATGCCAACGTGTGCTTCGTAGATGCGTACGCTTTTCGGATAAGGAGGGCGGGGATTTTTGAAGGTATACTTTTCGCTCTTGGGAGGATTCCATAGCACCGCATCGTAGACTGGGGACACGGCCAGGTCTTGGGTGACTCTTGTGATCCAAGCAGGAATTCTTTCTATCCGCTCACCACCAGGGAGAACGAACGAAACCTTTAGTTTCGAGTTGTGTGCAATAGCAGGCACACCGTTTTGGGCTGGGAGGTGGATTGACCACACGCCATATTCGTTCCTTTGTAGAGGATGTGATTCTCTATTCCAGTCGTTGAACTCGCCGATCAGGAATGCCTGCTCTGCGTTCGGAGCCCATTCCTGGTAGTATATCCCATTATTGGAGTCGAATGTGAAGCCAAACTTTTCATACCCTCGACTGAATTTCTCCAGCCCACCTTCTGTTTGGTCGATCCTCTTTATCCACTCTTGAGCTTTAGAAAATCTGTGCTTCAGGGCATCGCGGAAGGGCTCTAGCCAAGGGTCGAGCTTAATGACACCTGGGGACACACGTTAGCGTTGTCCGAGGAAATATGTAAGAGCTCCCTACCTGTTCCGTCTGGGGCAGCTTCACCGTTAGCTGGTGCAGCCAGGACCGAGTTTTGAGATGCTTGAGCCAACGCCATGAGGAATGGTCAAATCAAGGTCAAGTCGAAAGCGAGGAAGTCTGCACTGGGCAATCGAGAGTAGGTCCGGTGGTAACGGAAGTCTGAAGAACTCCAAAAGAAGTCACTAAACGGGAAACTCTGTGTAGAAAGTATTTATCGAGCCGTTGCCTGTGAGGTACAGGACAAAATTTCACAGATGGCGGGGTCTGACGACCTTGGATGGAAAATGTTGAATGAGCTGTTTACTGCACATCCCTCGATGCCCTCCAAGTTTGGTTGCGATTGATGTCATCGCCCGGCCAAAAGCACAATTTCGCCGCAAGCTCAACCCGTGGGGAAGCGCTAGTCGAGGCTAGTGGTGGTAGTGAAGCTCAGATCTTTCACATGTCCCCAATGGCGATTTCCGCCGAGTTTCATCGTCCCGAAGGTTTTTCCGTTCCGCGCAGCCTCGTCCCTTTTCTTTCCGCTGGGCCGCTACGGGTAGTAGCTGAGAACTAACCGATCAAGAAGATAATTATGCGAGCAAGACGAGTGCCAGTATGAAAACACGATAGTATGGCGTTCCATTCCCTACTCGATCCGCTCCCCTTCGAGATCCCCCCCTTTCTTCATCAAATCCACCTTGTCACCGTCCCGGGTCAACGTCTTCTGGAGTACACTCTCCCGCTCGCGACCAGAGATCTCCACGTCCAAGCATCTGGCAATAAACGCGCACAACAGCTCTTCTGCCTCATGTGAGTTCTTAGTCAGTGCATGGTCATCACCCTCGAAGAGCTTCAGAGTGCGGTCTCCATTTTTGCCATACGCTTCATAGAGGCTCTGAGAACAGTGCCAATTTAGCGTTCGGTCGCCCGTGCCATGGAGCAATAGAACTGGTCGAGGTGCCAAATATCTGATCCCCTTGGTGGCAGCGGTCTGGCTTGCAACCGTAGCGCAGCCCACCACTCGGTCTTTGCAAAGTCAGCGAAGGTCCAGAAAAGCTAGAGATGATTCAACATACCTTTCTCCTGTCCACCGGACGTAAATACAGGCGTACCACCAAAGGACCACCCAACCAACACGTACTTGCGGATGGAGTACTTTCCGTCGAGATAATCCATCGCCGATGTTACATCTTCCACGCAAGGGTTGTTGTCGGCGGGGTATCGGTAATCAAGCCTGAGCACTGGGATACCCTTTCGGAGACTGGAGAGCTTGTCGCCCATTGAGACATACATCCCGGACGGCCCGCTCACCCCTCCACCAGCACCTGACAGAAGCAGGGCAGCCGCTGCGACTCTGTCCTCATTCTCCGTATAGCCGGCAGGTAGATGCAGGAATCCGCGGACTGTCGTACCCCCAACAGGAATGTTGAGACGCTCGACTGTGCCAACGGTCTTCTGGGCCTGTCTCAGGGCCTCGAAGCCTGCAGCATGTTCTGGCGCGCCCGCGCTACCGGGATCCATATTGGACTCTAGTATTCCCTTCCCCCCGTTTGACGAGGCACGACCAAATTGGTTAGTGTTGGTGTTGGAAAGGGCACGTCGCAACCACTTTAGAGGACGCATAGAGAACCCATGGAATGCAAATCAAGAGCAGCCTCAGCCTTGTGGAAACGTTCATACTAATAAAAATTGCATGCAATGTCCTGCTCGGAGGCCTCACGTCATTTGGATCAACATTCCATCCAGTCAGAACCAACAGCTCGATTGCTGAGGGCGCAGTGCTTCTTTAGTAGATAACGCACAAAGCGGCAGTCGCTTTAGTCGGTTCAATATTGATATACCATATTCTTTCGTGTCTTAGCGGTCAAAACTGATCGCCAGTATCCCAGTTCTCCTGGTCAGATGAAGTGAGTTCGAGATCTCAACCGGTGAAGCATCGGCTAAACTCGAGCTGGTGTGGCGTTTGACTGAGGGGAAACCACTTTGAGGCGCGCTTGACTCACAGTCTCAACTGTTGTCGAAGGCATCTCGGTGTCTGGCTACATTTCCTGAGCAACCCATTCCTGTCATGAACAGTAGCCATGCAGCCATTAAGCGCCGTCCCGTCCTTCCTCTGCCCTGCGCTTGACAGCACCATGGCTGCCTCGACAAGCTCAGTCCCTCGGCGACTGCGCTTATCGTATGTCGCCTTGAGCAAGCGATCATTATCTACCAGCTCGCAGGCTCGATCCTCATCACAATTTCATCGGTCGGACTTCATCAACCAACCTTTCACAGGTACATACGAGCCGGGACTGCCCACCTCAGGGCCCCTAGGGGGAGCTTCCAGCTATGGCACCCCTCGCCTCACTCCGAAGATGCTGAAGCAGCACCTCGATCAGTTCGTTGTCGGCCAGGAAAGGGCAAAGAAAGTCCTCAGCGTTGCGGTGTTCAACCATTATCAGAGGATACAAGAATTGCAAAGGCGAGAAGAGGAAGAGGAAGAGCTGCTCGCGCAGAGGGAAAGACGAGAGAGACATCCAGTCGAGAGCGAATTTCCTGGTCAACAACCCACAATCCGCATGGGAAGCCCTCCGGGCTCCGGCTTCAACCCACGGACAAGTGCTTCACCTTTGGTTGACACCAGCCCCCTCACTCTGGAGAAATCGAATATATTGCTTCTAGGTCCCAGTGGCGTGGGAAAGACACTCATGGCCAAGACGCTCGCGCGGGTGCTGTCCGTACCCTTTTCCATGTCAGATTGTACACCCTTCACTCAGGCCGGATATATTGGCGAAGATGCCGAGGTCTGCGTGCATCGATTGCTAGCGGCTGCGAACTATGATGTCGAGAGGGCTGAACGAGGTATCATTTGTCTTGATGAAATCGACAAGATTGCAACAGCAAAGGTCAGCCATGGGAAGGATGTGTCCGGAGAAGGTGTCCAACAAGCACTGCTGAAAATCGTCGAAGGCACGACGATCCAGATCCAGGCAAAGCCAGAACGAAATGCTCCTCGAGCTGGTGGCCAGTCACAGACCTACCCGACTAACAGTCCCCTAGGTGCTGGCTTTTCTTCTGGTCCTTCTGGCCCTTCAGCTACTCCTGCAAAAGGCGAGGTCTACAACGTCCGAACCGACAACATTCTCTTCATCTGCAGTGGTGCTTTTATCGGTCTGCAGAAGCACATAATGGACCGCTTGGCAAAGGGTAGCATCGGGTTTGGCGCTAACGTACGCTCAAGTTCTAATCTGATCTCATACGGTCGCGATCAAAAGTCCACAACAACCGCTCCCGTTCCTATACTACCAGGATCTCAAGAAGAAGCCCTCTATAAGAGACATCTACCGTTCTTCACTCCAGCTCCTGCCCCTGAACAGTCGTCTTTAGATGGTTCTCCTACAGAGCCAAACTACTTCAACCCCTTGGACTTGGTCACTCCAGCGGATCTCCAGTCTTACGGCTTCATCCCCGAGCTTGTCGGCCGAATCCCGACTGCAGCTGCCTTGGCCGCTCTCACCCATTCCATGTTACTACGCATATTGACGGAGCCTCGGAACTCGCTGGTCGCTCAGTATATCACTCTTTTCTCGCTGTCCGGCATCGAGCTCCGCTTCACCACGCCGGCTCTCCACGTGATCGCCTCGAATGCCCTTGCCATGGGTACAGGAGCCCGTGCTCTCCGAACTGAGATGGAGACTATCCTTGGGGATGCCATGTTTGAGGCGCCTGGCAGTTCTGTAAAATATGTCCTTGTTACCGAACGCGTTGCCAAGAGAGAAGAAGGAGCAATTTACTTCGGTCGAGGTCAGGGCGGCAAGTTTCATGCTTTGATCGCCCAGGAAGAGGGCGACTGGGAAGACAAGCAAAAGCGCAAAGATCCTGAGCGTAAAGTCGACGTGAGTTCCGCTAGCTTCGAGGACTGGAGAACGAAGTCGACTATAGCAGCTGGCAGCGGCGGCTGAGACTGTGTATGGACCGATGCGGACGATTGATGACTGATGAGCTCGTAACACCAAGAATGGAAGTCATGTTCACTACAGGCAACTCTTTCCAACCCAAAGCTATCTGGAATTCCTAGACACAGTAAACGACTGCCAGCGTCCTCACCAGGACGAGTTCAGCCTCGCTGCTGCTTAGTCAACTTCCTCCCACACGCTGCGTCCTCCTCCTACCGTCGGCATCAGGATTCTGCCTCACCCTTGACCACCACTACTACACTAATGGCACCACCTGCACAGGGAGCCTACCACACGGCTTCATATTCACTTTTCCCAAAATACATGGGATATAAGCAAAAGGCGCCAAAAAATGATCGCCTTCGGGCAATGCATTTACGTGGCCACCTACGAACACGAGCTGAGTACGGCCAAAAAGTGGATTCCCAGTGACTGCTGAGCATGTTGGCTATGTCGGTCGCTCCCTCATAGCCAGCGTAACGTTCCTCCATTGTGACAGCGTGATGCAATGAAGCATAGGGTAAAAATTCGAAATCGCCCCAGTGGCCAGTTTGCAAACTCCCGGGGGCTTCGGCTTCGCAGGTGAGGCACGGATTTTTGCTCGTCTGCTGTTCGAGTCGCGCGGTTGGACTTTTTGCTACCAAGAAGCACTGCTTGCGCCCTGAATTTCACCTGCTATTGTTGTGGGTCAGGTGGTGGTCTCCCTGGGTCGAGGTGTGGCAGAATCAAAGGTCGTTCTGGAGACTTGGCCAACATGGTCACAGCTAGGGTCAAGGAATCAGGGGGCAAAGCTGGAAGTTCTAAACCTTGCAGCACGATTCGACACGAGGCATCAAGCGCGGGTATAAATTGTATCACACGCAGCTCGTCCGCTCCAATGTGAACATTTAAGGGGTCTATTACTTCTGCATACTCGAGGGATGCCGCCGAATCCCACCATGCGAGGTGCTACTCTCAAAGTCTACCACGGCGGATGGTGCATGGGGCAACGACAGAGCCAGCCTAGATGATTCTCTTCCTCGAGCTTGTGGTTGCGGTCCCTACGACTGTGCGGATTTCTTTGTGGTCACGCATACTCTTTGGCAAGCTGCGTTTGGACAAGACTAGTGTGTTATAGGACTCCAAAATGGACAACGACAAGTCAATCACAATGAGCCAGGCGACTGTAAGCCCTCACAACCGATAATCGCCGCTTGCAGAAGGCAACCAACTATTAGCTCGACATTGACCAGGTTCACATGGGCGGTTTGCTACCCGAGCGTGGTAACTTCACAGGTCAGAGCCTGGATATGGCCCTGAAGCCATGTGTCATATCAACTCTTTGACATTGCTCTGTTAGCGGTGGACGGAGATGACAGATGGCATGGCTCATGCTATTCTTTGAATTCAGAACAGCTCCTCCTGAGTCCCTATCAGTGAGGATTCGTGCAGTCAGAGACGGTCTGGATGACCTACAAAGCGACAGCTCTTGTGCTATCTCTACTGTCAATGATAGCTGCGCACAGATGCTACAGCAGTATATGAACCAGGAATGGCCGGCGATTGTTCAGGACAACGGCCATATACAATGGGAGAATTCCAGATCAATATGACCGCGTCCAAGTCAGTTCGATTAACGCTGCCCCCGCGCACGTTGATCCCCAGCTTCGGCACAGCCGCTGTGCGGCTCAGAGGTCACCAGCCGCGTCCCAAATCAGGTTCATGCGGCTCATGCCGAGAACCTCTTTGACTTGGTGTCACTGACATCTTTCTCTGCCTTAGTTGTCCCTCTTGCTTGTTCAGACAACTTCAATCTCGAAGAACAATCTTTTGAGAGCGCCTGTTTGGCTCGCAGTCTTCTCCACCAGTGTGCCTTTTGCCCTTTCACGGTTCCACCTCACGACAATTCCGGTATCGACTTGCGTCAAACCAAGACAGACCCGCGAGCTGGACCGAGAATGGACTCCCCACCAGGCACACGCTACTTCGACGCCAAGCTAGACGATGGAGTCGAGGAAACCATTCTCCCTCGTCAGAACAAGACCGGAACTCACGTCCGGTTTCCCGAACCACACAACCCAGAACCTCGCAATACGCAAAAGCGTGACACTCGTAACACAGGTCGTGGCTGGGCTAAAGGCAAGAAGGGTCGCGGGATCGAGAAACGGCGGCGTGTAACCAAACCCGAAATGGAAGCAAAGTACGCGAGTCTCGCAGCCGAGTACGAGGAGGAGAAACGGAACGCCGACGCCCGCATCAGCGACCAGAGCGAGATCATCGCCAACCTCGAAAACGACAAGGACCGACTTCAAGAACAAAACACCGCGCAACAGGCTCTTGTCGCTGAGCTGGAAAAGAAACTCGTCAAGACGAACAAGACCATCGAGCAGCAGAAGAAATTGATCTCACAGCAGGAGAAGGCTCTGGCCGGCATGGCCATGAAGTTTGCTCTCGGCGATCTCGACAACACGGAGATTCGTCCCAAGGTTGAGCGCGACTGATCGATGCAGGTATGGAATGACGTATGTGTCACTCGGTGCCTTGATAGAGACGCAAAGTATACTGACAAGTCGACTCCTGCAGATGATGCCTCGGCGATAAGCGAGAAGCATATCATGTCTTGTCACGGTCGTCATGGGCACACCATGGGCCCTCCGAATGCTCAGCCAAAGTCTTGTTCGTTGGCTTTGACAGCGCTCAATGGCGGAAGGTGGAAATATGTGCAGCCAAGGACAGGTTCAGAGGATAGATATTGTAGTGAAGGAAGCAGAGGCTCGACAATGCACGTGAGGGATGTGATTGCATTTTGTTGATGCATGTGTACATCGTTGGTCAACACTCGCATTGGACTGAGAAATGGCCCGATTCTCCACACACACGGGGCATGTCTCTGGGTAGCAGTGTAGCAGTGCAGCCGAAGCTACATTATGTAGTTTGACCTTCGCTCCTGGTCCGAGCGAGCATGTATCATCGAGCAAGGAGGGAATGCGGAGATCCCAAACATGTTACAGTATCAAATGGGACATTGGAAGGAAATCGCCCTGGACAGTCGATACCTGGACCGTATCTTCCACGGCGGTACTCCGTACTTTCGTGGCCAAGTCATGTCATCCGCTCGGTCGACCTGAATGGATGAGACGGGGTCCAGAGAGGCTCCCAAGAGGCTCTGTTCATACGAATGCTTGTATGTGCTACAGTAGATAGACTCCTCGACGCTTCGTTCTACATGATCAATACGCCTGGATTCCATGATCGTCCCTGAAGATGTTTGTAGCCGGCTCCTTGGAAAGTCGAGCGCAACGGTTGACGGGTCCGTTGCGTAGGAGAGTCGATAGTCGATCAGCGGGCCACAACGCAACACTGTTCTTCTGCGTACAGTACTACGACGGCAAGTAAAAGTACTACAGTCTACCCTTGAAGTCGTCCAGTGAAACACACTCTGAATCTATGGAATGCAAGTTGCAAAGTGGCGGCACTCCCTTTCACATACAAAACAGAGAACTTAGTACGTAACCCGTTTAAAATGGCATCCACATAATGAACAAAAGTAGCTGGGTGCGTGCTGGTGGTATGACTATACTGGCCGAGTAAAAGCGGCGAGGGACGGTATAGCATATTTCCGTAGACGATTTCAAGGCTAGACCCGTAGTACCGTGGTTGAATGCTGTTTTTTCTTTTGGTACACGACGGCACAGTCATCGTAACGTCTACTGTAGTTACATGTGAGTGAGTGCACCATTCATGAATGGCAGACGGGCAGACAGACAGACAGACAGATGAGACATGGGTATACCTGACCTATCCATCCCCGCATAGCTTGTCCATACGTGAGCCATCAATAAGCATGCGGGCTGGTAGGCCGCGTCCGCGACGCAACATGATCGGAACTAGCATCGGAATGGCGCGTCTCGAGATCAGGTTCCTCCTTCAGGTCGGGCATGTATGCTCTCCTGGGGCCGCCCCCACCACCACCCGACGACCCAAGGTCCTTGTGTGTGATTGTGATGGGTCCGTGTCGCCGATCCGCTTCGGCGTACTTTTGCTCCCACTCCTCGGCGAGATCCAGACGATGCTCCTCGATGGTGTCCTGATGCGAGGACCTGGACTTGCTGCTTGAGAAGACCGCCGCGACGGCCCCTCGGGCCGACAAGACGGTCAGAGACCGCCTGTTCGATGAGGCATCCGTCATCGTACCCTTCCGGCTTGTCTTGTAGAGTGCGCGGATGGCGGGCAGACAGCTGCAGATGATGGCCGAGTAGGTCTCGGCGGCGGTCCAGATGGTGCAGTCGGTGTTGTCCCACAGGGGGTCCGTCGAGTTTGTGCCGCCGAACTCGGCCAGGAACCGGAGACGCACCGCCGCGGTGACGCAGGCGAATGTGCCGACTTGGAACATGATCACCAGGCCGATCTTCTGGTTGAGTTCTAGTTTGAGACGCATGATCCACGGGATGGGCAGCGCGAGGATGAGCACGTCTTGGAAGATGTTGATGCCTGCGTGCCCGTAAGTCAGGGCGTTGACGTTGATGCATTTGGCGCCGCGGATCGATTTGTCCCAGTTGAATCGGACGGGGAGGCATTGCAGCAGCTGGCATAGCAGGACGACGACGCCGGAGAGGACGACGAATGCCAGCATAGTGTTGCAGAGGATCTGAAAGCCTCGGGACGGAAAGATGCGCATGTAGAAGAGCAGGATCGAGACCTTGGTGAGCATCAGGATGACAATGTAGAAGATCTCATCGACCCAGACTTGTAGAATATTGGTCAGCAAAGATAATCGTTAAGGCATCAAAGGGATTTCGACATACATATTTGGAAGATCTTCGTCGCTGTCCACACCGAATTGTCCCATGTGTGTTTCCCAAGACCGTGGACGGCCACTAGGCAGCTGTCAGCCGATTCATTTCCCGACGGATACGACATTAACTCACTCCACGTGCCCAGGCCGCAGAAAGGAATGACGAGGATTGCAGCGACACTGATGACGATATCGTCGGACCATATCTGCTTCGATACGAGATACCGGGAAGCCAGGCGGAGGAAGACGGCGAATATGGCCAGCGAGCCGGTCACAAGATTCACGACCAGTAACGTGTGTTGCCTGGACTCTGGTTTGAGGCCGCAGACTTGTTCTTGTAGCTTGCCCAGTGCTATATACACAGGAGGGTCAGAGGTCGTCGAGCATGTGTTCCAGACTGGTAGCACGTACCAATCGCGTCTGCCAAGGTGCAGTTTTTCAACATGCAGTGCGACGTGGACTCGTTGATCTCTGGGTTCTGACACTGACATGCAGTATCCGTGAGCGAGCAGTTGGCCGCCGAAAAGGTGTCGACCAGGCATGATAACTGTCGTCTTCGTTAATCCAGCCAGGGAACCGCGATCTGCGAGCTACTGACTGTGCATGGGGACAAATCATTGAAATTGACCTGCGCACTGATGGTCCATGCCAAACAGCAGAGCAGGATTTGCGTCGCCAGCAACCTGAAGTACTTCATGGTCGCCCGGGTGAGCCACGGCTGGCTTTGCGGTTGCAGCGAGCATCAAGAACAGCGCCTCAAGACAGAGGGTACGACATGCGAGGCGAAAGGTATATGTGGGCTATATTAGCTTGCACAAGGCCAGTGGGCGAGCCGGAAGCAGGTCCATGGACAAAAGTTCATCTGGGTTCGTGGCACCTTGCCGGGGGAATCCTGGTCTGCCCCTGCTTCGAACAGATGCGGGCTGACATCCTCGCTGGGGGGGTTTCGGTCAAGCTGATGTTGATATCATCCAGGGCTTGCTCATCTCCGTTGGAAGAGCCACTGAATGCGGGACAATGTCTTCGAACTATGACATGCCATGGGTCGGGGAACTGAGAGAGCCGCAGATGCTGGCGGCCTCACCAAGCTTTTACCCGAAGATGGGGCTCCTAGACCAGGGGTTCCGCTTCACGCAGGATCTTGCATGCATGAGAATTTCGCAGCTTGTGCTGACCTTCACATGGCGTTGACGGTGAGATGAAACACGGCGCGGCGAGTTAGCGGGAGATAACGGTCGAGGTTCTTGGACCTCCCGGAAGCGGGCGATTGGCGAGTGTGTACGGAGTAGCTAGTTAAGTTCAAGTAGAATAGATGACTAGTCTCGATCAGCTACAATGTCCGTCCTGTGTACCACAGTAGGTTTCTCTAGAGCTCGGTCTGAAATCTCATTGAGAATTCGCCAACGTGGCTGTTCGTGACCCCGCCAGTTCAACGTGTTCAGGGGCAGGTGGGCCAGGCGGATCTGGCAGAGAAAAAGCCAGAAGCCCAGCCGAAGCCTTCGCCTTAACCAGGATCAGCAGGTGAGGATGAAGCCTGTACTCGAGACTGGGGCCTGAGGGAGGCAGTCGGAGGGCAGACTGTCGCTTCCTTCTCAGATCAGATCCTGTTAGCACCGAATGCACCAATTGCTACGAACTTGCTATGGTTCGCCCGGCGTATCTGTAGCCTTATTGCGAGTCCGTGTGTATGCAATTATCACCTTGCAATCATCGAGGCCTCGTTCCTGACTGTAGGCCTCGGAGTAAACCGACGGCGGAGACAGTCGTCCGTTGGAGCCGTTGGATTATGTTTATGTAAGCCCGCGTCGCGATCGTGATGGCCGTGACATGTTCCACACCCTTGCGAGCAACAGCATGCTCGTTTCCTTGGGTCGATATGACCCATGGTAGCGATTCAACCATTGAGGGGTCGATTATAGCTCTACGCATCTGACTGCCAGCCACCAACTCTTGATTACCATGTCCAAGTCAACGGTGAACAAAAGGGCCAAATCCAGCTGGACGACAGACGAGAGCTACGACCGCTACCAGAGACCAAGATGGCAACCTGTCCTGTTGCTCGCTGCAGGAGTGGTGTTGGCCCTGGCTTTGAGACTGGGAACTTATCAACCACACCTACTCTTACTGTCGGTGGTTCCGTCGTCGATGCTATCACTCGATCAGAGAGTCGTCAAGATCATGTCTCTGACTCCTTTAATAGGTATGACAATGCCCAGATCTTGACTGTCATAGAACGAGCCTGAACTAACAAACATGCTTATATGCAGACGGACATAATGACATAGCAGAAAGAGTCCGGTTCCACTTCCATAACCACATCTACAGCAGTGATTTCAGGTCTAAATTCGAGAGTGGCCGCATGCCAGAGCACTTTGACTTGTCACGGATGATAACAGGCAGGCAGGGCGGATTCTTCTGGAGTTGCTGGGTCGCTTGTCCAAAGGATGGTCTCGATTTTTCGAATGAGAACTACGCTCCTGGTGAGTTTCTGTCGGTGCTGGTGATGCTGTACCGCAAATCCCTTACCACAAAGTCCAGTGATCATCGAGGCGCTTGCTCAAATGGATGTTATTCATCGCTTGCAGGCTGCTCATCCAGATATCTTCTCTCCAGCTACTCTCGACAGTACTTCGGCGGTGTCCGCATTCAGACGGCGTGGAAAATTGCTGTCCCCAATCGGACTGGAAGGACTACATATGGTAGGCCGAAATGCATCCACTCTTCGACTGTTCCACAAGCTAGGAGTCAAGTACGCGACGTTGACGTGGAATTGTCATAATTCGTTTGCGGACGCAGCGCAAGTCACGGTCTTGGATGATTCCCTCGCTCCAGAGGCTGCTCGACCCGCCATGCCCCATTGGGGCGGATTGAGCCCCTTGGGCACCCAGCTGATTCGTGAGATGAATCGATTGGGGATGATTGTAAGGGAGAGAGGTTCTATCAGTGGTAACATTGAAAAGCTTACCACTATTCAGATCGACCTCTCGCACACGCATCCGGCGACCATGCACGACGTCCTTGCGGGCAACGCGACCAAGTCATTTCCTGGTAGTCGGGCACCGGTCGTCTTCTCGCACTCTTCGGCGCATGCACTTTGTCCTCATCCGCGTAATGTCCCTGACCATATCCTGCCACTGGTTAAGCAAACGAATTCCGTCGTGATGGTGACCTTCGTCCCACAATTTATATCGTGCGTCAATGCGACTGTGCCCGATAGGCTTCCGACTTTCTACCCGGCCAATTCTACCCTTGAATGGGTAGCGGAGCACATAATGTACATTGGCAAGAAGATCGGATTTGAGCATGTGGGCATTGGGAGTGATTTTGATGGTACCCCGAGCACGCCGCGTGGCCTGGATGATGTGAGCAAATTTCCAGCGCTGGTCAAGGAGCTGTTGCGCCAAGGGTTAAGTGACGGACAAGTAGCGGGCATTATTGGGGGTAATCTGCTCAGGGTATGGAAGAGGGCGGAAGAGGTCAGCAACGAGATGCTGCGGGAAGGAGTGCTGCCGATGGAGGACGATATATGACCACATCAGTTATGTTTTCACTACAGTCTCCAAGAAGCACTACCCCAGTACTCCGTACGTAGTACCTCGTACTCCGTACTGCCAGAGAACAATCACCTCGCAAGGAGCGGAAGAAAAGGGGCCGCAATGCCGACCCGCCCGGATCGCGTGCGCCCCGCCGACGCCCAAAGGAGACGCATTCGTCGAGGCCACCAAACATCGACGGCGTGAAGATGACATGAGCTCATCACCATCTCACCAGATCTCGCATTCTTCTGTGCATTGTTCCTGCATACGGCAGTTCTAATTTTAATTTTTGGCGCTGGTCGCATTGTGAAGCTCGTTGTTATATCTCAGTTGACCTCATCACCAGCAGTCTTTGGCCATCCCACCCGCATCTCCTACCCACCAAGCGTCGAAAGTGTGTTTTGAGCGAGACGACGGCGGAATGGAGACGATTACACCTGAAAGAAGAAAGAAGATCCTGCGGGTGCTGTTCGTATCGCTTCTTCTCGACCTGGTGAGCAAGAGCCACCGTCCATAGGATGGTCCCGTACACGGCTAACAAAACGGAAGATATCCTTCACATTCATTCTTCCACTGTTTCCCTCGCTCCTCACCTTCTACCGCAGCCTCGAGAAGCATCCCTCCTCCGCACTGAACCGCATTCTCCACTACCTGAACGCGTACAAGTCCTCTTTCGCCGTGCCCATCAACGAGAAATACGACATCGTCCTGCTCGGAGGTGCGCTGGGTTCGCTCTTCTCGTTCTTGCAGGCCATTGCAAGCCCAGTGATTGGAAGAGCCTCGGACAAATACGGCAGGCGAACAGCATTGTTATGGAGCATGTGCGGCAACATTGCCAGTGTCGCACTTTGGTGCTTCGCTGTCGATTTCCGCACCTTTCTGCTGAGTCGGATCGTGGGCGGATTAAGCGAGGGGAATGTTCAGCTGGCGACCGCCATCGCCACGGACATCAGTACGGACGAGCAGAGAGGATCGACCATGGCGCTCGTGGGGGCCTGCTTCAGCGTCGCCTTCACGTTCGGACCAGCCATGGGGGCCACCCTAGCGAGTATCACGACGGTGATTGCCAACCCATTCGCCACGGCTGCCGGGTTCTCACTGCTTCTGATTGTGCTGGAGACCCTGTACTTGTACTTCCAGCTCCCAGAGACGAGACCGGTGAAGCGCGAGGCTAATGGTTCGACAACGGCCAAGGCCGACCCGAGGCCATTCCGGCATACCAACAACCCGCTGATTCTTAACCTCGTCCACTTTCTGTTCCTCCTGCCCTTTTCTGGAATGGAGTTCTCCCTTCCGTTTTTGATCACCTCTGTTTTGTACCCGGATCACATGTCACCGTCGAAAATGAATGGACGGTTACTGGGATTTGTCGGCTTGGTCGCCTCAATTCTGCAAGGATCGATTGTACGACGCCTGCCTCCGCTCACCGTCGTCAAAATCGGGGTTGTGTCGAGCACGCTCTCATTCTTCCTCCTTTCTCGGATTCAGGACACGACTGGTTTGTACTGCGCTGGCGCACTACTTGCGGTCACCTCGGCTACAGTTGTGACCGGGTTGAACAGTCTCGGAAGTTTTGAAGCAAAGGAAAGCAATAGAGGAGAGGTGCTGGGAGCTTTGAGGAGTTGGGGCCAATTTGGCAGAGCCTTGGGCCCCATTGTGTTTTGCAGCTTGTTCTGGTGGGCTGGCCGTGAGACGGCATATCTGATCGGCGGCAGTGCCATGCTGGGCGTTACCGTCGTGGTATTTACGGCATTGACGGCGCCAAAAGTGGAAAACAAAGCTTCATGACTTTCGATTGGATATGCATGATAAGATGGGTCTGAGAGAAATAAGAACATGAATGACCGAACGAGGAGCGCGAGAAATACCAAAATGAATGATACCACAAGGCATGAGGGAACTCTTCACGGCCATATACCTCTGAGAACAGAAGATGAAGCCGAGGCCAGGTCAACAACACACGACCAAGGCTCCAAACGCTGATCTCGCTGGGACCTCACCCGTCGGCCCCATCTCAGGGTGTCAATGGTCTCACACACTCTGTCTCGTCAAAGCAGGGAATGATAGTGCACACAGATAGCTCCGCTATCTTGTGCTTTGCGGTCCCTCAACGTTGTCTTACCTTCGCTCCTAACATCAGTCTCAGAGCCAGCGACATCCTCTGATCATTGCTCTGCCCGTTCTACCCGCCATATTCCCGCCCGTTCAGAGAAGCTCATCCTCACTCGATTTGAAACCACCCAGCCTCATCTCCGTGGCGCCCTTGAGTTTACTTGCAGAGCAACCTAGCTCCCGCGCAAATCCGAACAGCAGCGAGTGAGTCATGATTATGTTCGGCCTACCTACAGCGTGGCGCCAAGTCCAGTGAGAATGACAGCTGACCGATATCGGCTAGAAGAGAAAAATCAACCAGACAGATCTGGGGAGTCATACGCGACGAACTTCACAGGTCGTCCCTCAAAGAACGACCCGGGTGTGACTTGATTGGCGGTCTCGTAGAGCGGTTAAGATGCCACGGACACGACGGGTGCTGTCCTTGCGGTGTCAAGCACGGGCCGGGAAAGGAACCTCCACGAACGTCACAGTCCCTAGCGGAAGCGGTCTCCCAAGCGAACCACGAGCACCGATCTACTACGAGCGAGGAGTACAGCGGTGAAATTGAAGGGAGAGTGAAAGTAAACTGTTTTCAGACTGAGTCGAAAGTGCAGCCGACTAGGTTTTCCGCCTCTCAAGATAGACCTCGCGCAGACTCTGGTCGAAGAAGTCTTCCATCCAACTGGCATGATGGCTTGGAGTTTCGGAGAAGAACGCAATGCCGGCATCGTGGCATCGTGGCATCGTGGCATCGTGGCACAGCTGCATCGATCTGGCATTGCTCGGTATTGCTTGGACGACAGATCCAACCGCCGTCGACAACTCCATCTCTAACCGTAGGAGTACAGATCTCCAGCGTTTGTCGATCACTTGGCGTGGACAGGGCTCAATTCCAGAAAGACGGCTCGTGGTAACGTGGACGAGTCTAGTCAAGTCGCTCACCCGGATCCAGAGACCCGTTGCATACTACATGCTCGCTGGAGCACGATCCACAAGGCAAGTCTGGTGTCTACATCGACGACGACCAAGGGCAAGGAAGGAGATCTGTGGGATGGGTTGTCACGGGGGAGCTTGATCCGGCGGTCTTCCTCTTAGCGTAAGGAGGTGGACATCGTATACCGAGTCTTGATCTGTTTTACGTGGGCGCTATCGCTGGCGGACGATGGCGTGGACAATACTCCGTAGATATGAGTAAATCAGAATCATCTACTGCTGACATGCTGTGTACCTCTTTCTCGAGGGGTTCGCTGACTCCACCCACTGGGAAAAAGGTGCTAATCTACATATATACACGATACTTTGGCACTACTTGGGTTAACGGAGCAGGGTTTGACTCTTGACGATTGACTCTTGACGATTACCTCTCTTGACGATTACCTCTCTTGACCATTGACTCTCTCTTGACCATTGACTCTCTCTTGACCATTGACTCTGTCGACCCGCTTAACTTGCACAATGCAATGCAATGCGCAAGCGGTAAAGAATGTGAACAACATTATCATCACAGGTTATTCCCATGACAATCAAGTTCCAAATACCCCTGCCTGCTCTCCACGTTTCCCTCGGACATACCTAGGTGGGCATACTACTGTAATTGCACGTCTCATCTAGTTGACCAGAGCACCTCTTGACCTATACGACTCACCTAGTAGACCAGCGCTCCTCTTGACCAAAATAGGTACCGGAGCACGTTTCGGGCGTTGCTCTCATTGAAAGACCTAACCACTGTATTAAGCTACAGTAAGCTGAGGTAGAACGGCCCCTATTCATTCGCAGCCTCGGCCTCGATATCGACATCGACCAGTCGGCGTTCGCAGCTGGAAGGCTTCTGAGAACAGCACCAGCATATCGCACACCGCATACCGCATACCGCATACGCACACCTTCGTCTTGAAGCAGATGGAATCTTAGTCTTGGATGGGTTTCTCGGTTCGCCCTTTCGTCGCTTATGTAGGATATCATGACCGTCGAGGATGAGAGATGAGGCAGCACCTTTGTACCAATCGTTGCCTTGGTACAATCGTTGGTGGGAATAAGTCTTTGTCGACTGTTATAGTGGGAATAAGTCTTTGTCGACTGTTATAGTGGGAATAAGTCTTTGTCGACTGTTATAGTGGTAAACGCATACAGTACACGCTACCTGTATTTCGACGCCGAAACAAACAACGCTTCAAGCATCAAGATCACGATCGTTCGAGGAATATCGCATTGGGACGACGCTACGACCACTATGCAGCAACGGACTACTCCTCTTCGATCCCCATCAAGCGCCGCTCCGCCATTTCTCTAATCTTGTCCTCCAGCACGGTTCTCCCCCATCTCCCAGCGACCTTGGCGGCTGCCTCGAGCATCTTGCCGCTAGGATCTCTCAACAGTCTGACGATCTCAAGAGCTTTCATGCCCCTCTCTTCGCCCTCACGACACTCTACAGCCAAGAGCTGCAGCAGGATTTTGTCCACCTCGACCTCTCTCCTCAAGAGCTCGGCTTTCTGTGAATGGCTTGCTCGTTCGGTCGTGCCTTGGACCAAGTCATCCAGCAGGCGTAGGAGCACGGAAGAGCGGACGTACGATTCTTCCAGTCTAGTCGCTACCGCGGCGTTCTCCTCTTCTCCCTCATCGTCTTCGCCAGGCTGCTTCTTCGTCACCTGTCGACAGACTGGAATGTCAAAGTCGAATTCTGTGAGCAGAGGCCGTGGGAAATAGGGGCTCTTGTCCCCGCCCTTCAAGATGATGCAGTGGAATTTCTGGTCGGCAACCGCAACAGGCCAGTATGTCTCTTCCCTCTTGCCATCCTTCAGACGGTCGAGTAGTCTGGTGTCGAGAAGAGGTACCCATTTCGCCTGTCCCATCGTCCGCCAGTGCATGAGTGTCAGGAGCACTCCGTTGCTGTCATATATGCATGGATCACCAGCATCACTCCAGAACAGAGTTTTCAAGCTGACCTCTTCCGCGTCTGAATCCGGCAGGACGGTGCCCAGAGCCAAGACATCTTCGTTCTGACAGCTTTCGTCTTCTCGGACGTTATCAATGCTGTACGTGAGTTGTGTACTCCCATCTGCGCCGACAGGGCCGTTTCCAACAGTCATGACAAAGTCACCCCACGCGGCACACGTTACGGCAGGAGAACTCTTCATGCGCCATATCCGCACGGGCGTGCCGAACAATGTCCAAACTCGGACATAGTTACTGTTCGTGACTGCCACAATGTACCGGCTGCCGAGAGCAAGACAGGTCGCTTCTTCGCCCTCCGGCAAGCTAATTCGGCAGTCCGATCGAGCAGTCCAGGTCTCGTGAGGCCGGTAGAAGATTACTGCCGGCTGACCATTTTTGGCCGGACTTGAAAAAAGGGTGCCCGTCTCGTTCAGACAGGCCTTGTCGTACAGGAAGGGGTCCGTGAAGTGAAAGTCTCGATACATTTCTCGATCATAAAACTCGGCCGTCACGGTGTTGTGGGTGTCCTGATCGACAGTCCAGACGAAACCGATCAGGTTCAAGCAGAGATATTTGCGATTGCCTCTCCAGGGCGTGGCCCCCGGCTGGAAGGGTTCGTGGATTTGGGGTTGCCAGGCCTCCTGTTTGTTTCGCTTAGCAATGTGGCTAACGCCATTCCCCATGTGACCGTGCGTTCTCTTGCCGTTCTCGTTGATGTATCCAGCTCCGTCGTCGTCCTCAATCCAGTCGAACTCCTCTTCGGGTCCGAGCAGCTCGTCTAGGCTGTCGGGCGTCTGTGCCCGTTTGCCCTGACCATTCACCAACGGTTTTCGGCCATTGACAGCTGCGGATCGATCGAGGAGGGGATCATGGAAGAATGGTGCCCCAACCTTTGGCCCTTTGAGAAGTTTGATATGTGCCTCTTCTTTGAGGAAATTCGGAATAATGAAGACTTCGCCACCAGAAGTGGTCCAATTGAAGGTGTTCTCGCCTTGGTTTTGCCACGCAATATTCAATATATCTGTGTAGTTGAAGCGTTTCAGCATCTTTTGTGTTTTGGTGTCCCAGATAACCAAGTAGTCTGAATCTGAAGAGGCCAATAAGGCCCCATTCGGTGACCAGGCCAACGAGGTGATCCCGCTGCTGTGCTCCCCGGCAAAAATTCGTTGATGTGCTCCGTCCTCGACGGATATAATTTGAATGTCCCTTGTCGCAGTTGCACAGGCAAAAGCCCTTCCATCAGGATGCCATACGCATCGTGAAGTTGCTGGGTCCGCATTTTCCAGGCAAGGGATGATTCCATCTACTGTTCGGTATAAAACAGGCTCGGCGGACATGGAATAGATGTAGATGACACCGTTGGTGCAGGAAGCGGCGAGATATTTCCCGGATGGGTCGTAAGTTAGGTGTTTGATTGGCTTCGGATGATCGCGCAGGATGGTGATCTGCTCCAGATCACTTCGATTCACCACTTTGATCTCCAGTTCACTACAGAGTCAGGGACACCTCTGGCAGATTGGGGAGCGTGACGTACTCGCTGCAAACAGCTACCCATTGTTGGTCGGGGGATAGGGCAACATCTCTGATAGGCAGGCCGGTCCTGACAAGCATTTGCTTCAAGTCGCCAGACGGGACGGCATACTCGCATACTGTACCATCTTCGCATCCGAGGATCACGTAGTCATTCTGAATATGTCAACAGCCGTGCAAGCCACTTATTTTAGGCTATACCGTACCCCGGAAGCAACAGCCAGCGTCTCGACACGTGTTGAAGGTAACAAGTCGGGCTCTTCATTGTCGTTCGTTCGAAAGGAGCGGGCGAAGTCGCCAATGCCGGCTACGATCAGTCGTTGACCGTCTGGAGAATACTGTAGAAAGGTAGGACCGGGAGGTTGTGCAGGGCGGCCTGGAAAGGGTGGTCTATCTGGCATCTTTTCAAATTCAATGCCGTATCCTGTGTTAAGACTTGCTCATTGCTGTACGTCGTCAATGCTGGATCGCAGGGCAGGAAGGGCGCATGCTGCAAAACGCGCGTTGCAACACGAACGCGAAGGAACGCGACCGCGTCCGCGGAGGAACCACTTCCGAAGATTATCCGGCTCGAGGGTAAGTGTCTTTGGGACAGCACGTGAGCAGATACCAGATACATGCGAGTCGACGCCAAGAATGTGGGCAGCAAACTCGTTCTGCTGAAGCATTGCAATAATACAGTACGGAAAGGCGAACGTCTATAGTCACATAAGCATTATCCATTGCCACCGCTCGCTCTGAAGGACTTTGCCTCGTGTAACTGTCAGAACCCCACCGCATATTAGACTCCTCTTTCAACTGCTGATTGCCCTTGATAGCCAGTGCCGACCTTGATCATGTCGTAGCATTGCCCTTCGCTGGCATCATCGTGGTCTCCTCCAGAGCTTAGTGGATACTGAGCGCAACTTCCACTGCGCGCTGTAGTCCGTCTCCATGTGGATTGGTCGGTACTCGTGCTTATTGAATGAAGGTGTAAGGTGAACGGGCGAAGAGCGCAGTTGGCTCAAAGCCTGTATCACCGAGCGATGCCAGCTGAATTGCATTTACAGGGTAGATATTTCAGTGGCCTCGAATCGACCATTCGGTAAAAGCATTCGACCACTTGGACCACTTGGAGTTGCGGGGGCTCCGCGGACGTCGACAGCGTAGCCACTTTCTCGAACAGAGCGGTTCGTGACGCCTCAAATCGCTGGTTCATGAGGGCTTCGAGACCTTGCATCAGCGTGGCGGAACGGTGGAGTTGTCGTGACTGTAACGACCACGGAGCGTTCAAACCGATCGATTTGAGGCGACCGAGATGAATAGAGTCAATCGATTTTCAACCGGCCGGGAACATCTCACGTGGCCGGTGGCGTCGTTACAGAAGCTGGTTCCTGAGGCGGATAAAGGCACTGACGGACATGAAAGATGACGTCCTGGACGTATTCCCGAGCCTGTGGAAGAACGCGATCCATATGCATGAAGTGATGAGGCATGCCCCTGAACCGCTTCAGGATGACTTTGTTGCCGGCTTCCTCCAACTTCTTCGCGTATCCTTCAGCTTCATCTCTCAGGGGATCAACCTCTGCGGTGGCAAGGTACGTCACGGGCGCCAGGTTCTTGAAGTCCGGTGCATTCATGGCGTCCGCGAACCAGGAAATGTCTCTTCTTTGTTCCTTTGGCTTAATCCCTGGGTTCTGGCTAGCTAGGGACATCCATTTGAACGTGTCGAACCATTTCAACTTGTCCCAGTTAAGCAGAGGGGCAGATTCAAACTCTTTCATACTGGGCCAAGGGCTCATGTCCGGCGTGGCATACTTCCTCACATCGCTGATGGTAGGCGTCGCAACGACCACGCCCTTCAGCTTGTCCGAGAAGCCTCCGTCGCGGAAAAGATGGTTCAGGATCAGGGCAATCGTCCCGCCCGAGGATTCGCCACCGAACGTGATGTTGGTCGAGTCGATCGAGAATGTCTTGTGGTTCGCCAATATATGCGCCACTGCTGTGAGGCTGTCCATAATGCCGATAGGAAAAGGATACTCGGGAATATGTCGGTACTCGATGTCGATCACACAGCATGGCACGGAGGCGCAGATGTGATGGCAGATGTGAGCGTCGGTCTCGAGGTCGCCAACAGCCCAGCCTATTCATGGTCAATGAAAATCCGGGCACACGGCTACATGGGATGACATACCTCCACCATGGAAATTGAAGTGTGCTGGCCAGACTTTGCGTTGGGTAGGTTCTTCACCCGGGGGTACATAGACCCGCACATTGACCTCCCCTGGATACTTCTCCCAACCTGGCACTGTTGTCTCGCCAATTCCTCCCACGCCCGATGGCGGGGCCGTAGCATATGAGTACAAGGCTGAGTAGTTCTGGCGGACCAGATTTATGTCTGTCGGCCACGGAGGGCCGTTGGCAATGTAGTCATTGTATAACTTCACAAACGCGGGGTCGAGCTTGTCAACGACCGAAGGATGTAGCGGATTGCGCAAGGGGATCGACGGCGATTTCACGCCTCCATATGAGACCGTAGGGGCGGCATGCATGCGAACATCGTGGGTATTCATCTCGAGGAGAGCGTTCGCATCATCCGTATACGCCTGCAAGTATCGACAGAAACGAGGCCGAGCACGAGGGGCCGGGCGGCGAGTTCAGAGGCGCATCTGCAAGATAAAGCACCAGAAGCGAATCACAAGATATATCGTGGAGAGTTGAGGCGCATGACCCGAGTGCAGGCGGAAGAGCGCAGACGCAGACGCAGACGCAGACGCACTCGCTTGGTTCCCAGAGATGAGAAGAGCTGAACATCTTATGGACCTTGCATCGGACTTGATTGGTGGCGACGATGATCTCGGTACAATGACATGAAAGCTGATTGGGCTCAAAGTCCGTAGGGAGGTGGAAGCACAGAGGGAGGGGACGGAGGGGAGAATTTGTCTAAGGACCATGGCCGCATCGGATGTCCATCCCTGCCAAGTCGCCTGTGCCAAAAGTCTGATGGAGATGAAAGTTGACTCTGGTGTGCGCGTGTTCGTACCCGGTATGCACTCGAGTGGAGGTCGAGGTCTGACACGCACGTGCTCACACGATCGAAGGCAACGGTCAGCTGTCAGAAGCCGAGTCCACCTTTGTCAGACGAGCTGAGTTTTCTCGTCTTGCAGAAGGCTGGCCCTTCCACCAGTAATCACCTCTTGCTTACTCCCCCGTCTCCATCAAGATCGTACCTCGTAGAAGGCTCAGGTGGCACCGACGTCCATCATGGTTGACATCATGCCGCTGCTGCCATCGTCGCGTTCATTTGCTCCAAATCTGGGTTTTCCGAATTCCCGTCTCTGTGAGGCCCGCCGCGCTCGTTTCCAGCATGACCACTCTCCCACTCCAGCAACTTGGTCTTTTCCAGAGGTGTCCAGCAGTGGCCAGCACTTCCAGTATACGAGTAGCTCAACGTCACTGCGCACACAGTCAGCCCTACTGGACGCCTCTTCCGAGAAGCTCAACCTGGAATCTCTCCGAAGGAGGTCAGCAACGATCCCATTAGCAACCTCATCGTCGACTGATGGCGAATGAGAGCTTCGACCTCCGTGCGAACAACCTGTACCTCGTACCCTGGATCCCATATCATCCATGCGGTATACGAAGTGAGACGCCTGGAAGTCTTCGGATGCTGGGGAGTACCGAAGGATTTTGAGTTATCATCCGCTGACGCCCATGCTTGCTGCTCCACTGTGTAAGGGACCGTATTGTGTAGACAAGCGGCCTGCCCACTCACTTCAAAGCACACAAAACTAAAACAGCCAAGGTGTTCAGATATTGCGCACAGGAGACCTGAACCTGCGCCTCCAGATGGCGTGTCCTCAACACTGGATATCGTTTCAGTCATCCTTCCGGTATGGTCAGTCGCTTGCGGCGCTGCAAGTTCGAAGTGCCTCCGCGCCATACAGATCATACAGCCGGTACCGTTCCCTTCTCCACTCCTCGGGACCGACGGAACACCAAGCCCATCTGTCCCAATCTCGATGCCCTGCACACTGCCTGCCTTTCCACCAGCCATAGTCGCAGTCATACCCGCAATCCGCTGCGGTAACGGGCTGTTCCCCTCGCAGTCTTTCGCAAAAGCTGTCTTCCTTCAACCACCAGCCTTCGATACATTCATTCTCCCAGCTCTCCGTCGCAGACGGCGAATTACCCTTCAGTCCTGACAGGCAACATGTGTGGATGACGGATCGCACTTCAGGAGTGGTGTACCTTTCAGGTGGGCTCCGCTTCGCCAATTTCTGCGCGATCTTGGGTATTGGAATATCAAGTTCAAGTAGCTGCATGATGAGCCTGCATGTGCTGCCTTTGACAAGGATGGGCTCGCAAGCAAAAGTTCCGAGATAAGGCGGCTACGAGGCTATCTCCATGCTGACAGGAGCCCGTCCGGGGTCTTCTCCTCCGTTCTTGATCTTGTATCCGCAAAAACAAAGTCCAGCCTCGTTTCCTTCATTTGTGGCGTCAACGTCCAGCTTGCCAGCAAGCCACTCTTTTTCCTTCTTAAGTTCCCCCCTCCAGACACCATGTTTCCCCATCAGGGTTGAAGGACAGAAGCGGCATTTGAGCGTCAGCTTCCGCCCTCGAACGGACTCTGCATCGCTTGGGCCATGTTTGGACACAGGCATCGAAAGGCCGCAACGGCAGACACGGCAGCTCGCAGGCGAGAAGACTGTGGCTGGGTTAAACAAGACGTATGTATGCACGTATCTGACGCGACCCACCTTTACGCTGGCCTTCACAACCACGAGTTGATGGCTAGAAGGAGATTTGAATCTGTCGCAGCCCATCGGCAAGCCCATTACAACCATCACCGTCGGTAAGGACCCAGGACTTCTACAAAGTGAAGAAAGAAAAACTGCACGCGGGTCTTCATCCCAGAGCAGTCCTACAGTGAATTACTGTACCAGCATTCTATCTGCACACACCCACTGCCTCTACACACAGATCACTCCAGTGGCCGTCTTCTTCAACTCACATCACCCTCTGGACCCACAGCACCACGTGAAGTGAATCCCAGATGTCCGCACCCCAGGAGGAGGCGATGCACATCAATCCCGTCGTCAGAAAGTGGGTCAGGAATTCCGGGGGAAAGAAACCCAGAGTTTAAGTGGCGATCTGGGGGCGAACGATCTGGGGGCAGAACGATCTGGGGGCGAGGGAACCTGGCATGAAGTGATGTATGTACGGGAGTACCCGGCATGACCAACGATTGCCTACCTGGTCCCTATCTGCATGTGGTCGAGGTACTTCGACGGACGTGATAACGTGGGAATCACAAGGAACAACGAGTGCTCGAGTGCTCGAGTTCGAAGCTGCCGAGTTTCATCTTGGGTCTCTATAGAATTTCAGGAAGCGACCCCCGACACGGATACCGGTCCGGCGGGTACGAGTACAGTATATGGAGTTGAAGGGGCGGTTGGTTAATGGTTAAACTCAGTTGGGTTGAATATGTTCTCTTTGACCTTAGACATCAGACCTTCGACCTCCCAAAAACGGCCTCATCTATAGTACGGAGTACTTGTAGATAGGATGAGTTTTCGCAGAACGTAACCACCTGGGTTCTGAGATGTTTGTCTTTCGTTATATACCTAGTGTAGTATACCTAGGTATGGTAGTTCTGAGATTATGTCTTTCGTTATACAGCTAGCTAGCTAGCTAGCTAGCTAGTATAGTATAGTATAGTACTACGTATTAGAATTATAAGTATAGACAGCCACCTCCAGCGTACTCCGTCCAGCTCATATTACACTAAATCATTCCAAGCAAATCCCTTAGGGGAAGCCCACCCGAGGCGTGTGTACATTCTAGTAACGCTTAATGTCTCAGTCTCAATACCTAGTTTCACATGAAATTTGAAACCCGCGACGCCCGACGCCGGTCTTCCGAGCCCTCCAAGTCGCGCGCAGACGAGATGAACCACATCGCTGTTGCCGCCGTCACTCCCGGAGGGGCCACTGGATCAAATTGGCTTTCGCTGTGAGCGCCAAAGCCAGAACCCTTCACCACAAGAACTAAGGTAGGAACCCCGTCCACGCCGCCCGTGCTGAATTATCGCTTCCTAAACCGATGCTTTGCGAATCGTAGGTATGTAACCCTTTGCTCGCAAGCCCCCCTCTCCCTCTCTCTTTCTCTCTCTTCATTACAAGTATTCGCGCACGACCAGTCACTCTGCTGCTGCTGCCTCCTCCTCGCGGCATCACAGATAGAGTATTGCCCGTCTTGCACGGCTTGCGCGGCTTGCGCGGCTTTTGCGCGGTCGCAGAAACCCTTCACGCTCTCTTCTTCTTGGGAGCGATCCCGGCCTTCCTCCGCGCGGCGACGTCCACTTCCCCCAACAGCTTGCTCGCCTTGACCAGCTGAATCACGTTGATGACCTGCTTGCCGAACATGACGGGGAAGCTCAACCCGGCCAGGATCCATGGCACGGTGCTGTCCATTTTATTGGCGCGGGCCATCTCCATGGCGCCTGCGCTCCAGGGGTTCACGAAGATGGCGCTGGGTTTCGGGTGAGCCGGAGAGCCCGGTTGCGCCGAGGTCGCGGCGCCGCCTTTGTCGCTCGTGACGAGGAGGGAAGGCGAGAGGAGCGGCGACGAGAAGGAGAGGAGGTACAGCGCGATGAAGAAGAGTTCGTTCAGGGCGCAGAACAGGAAGAGCACGGTCTGCGTTGCGTCCCGGTCAGTCAGTCAGCCATTCAGCCATCCACAGCCCATCCACGGCCATTTTTCCGTTTCTGCCGCGACCCTGCTCACCTTGTTCGTGTAGTATAGGTGTAGGACCCAACTTCGACTGGCCTCGACCTTCTTGTGACTCTGCCCGCCCGTCGTCAGGGACGCATACATGTGGATATAGTGGCTCGCCAGGTCGAGACTGATCAAGCCCTGGAACACGATCGACCACCTGGGGAACGCCGAGGCCAGAAACACGAGCAAACACGACGTCGTGCAGCGGTCGGTCACCATGTCCAGCACGGCGCCAAAGGTCGTGGATTGATTGTACCGCCGCGCGGCCAGCCCGTCGGCGGCATCGAGGATGCAGGAGAAACTGTACAGCGCCGAGCAGGTGCGCGGGTGAAGGGGCATGTAATAGAGGGATGCCAGCGCCGTGACGATGCGCACGTATCCTGTACAGACGGGGTTAGAGAAATGAGTCTTCCAGCCCGCACGCAGGCGGGCAGACCAGGTCTACCCGAGGACGTGTGTACGGGGTTTCAAATCGCGGCGTACCGATGATGTTCGGGATGAAGAGGAAGATGTTCTCCTCGTCGTAAATGTCTTCTTCCTCTTCGGTCATTCTCTTGCTCGTCTCGATCGTGCCATTCGGCCGTGCATGCCCGTTGGCCTGGGCCACAGCGCGGCCATTCTCTTTCACCACCCCGTTGCTCCGTGCCATGGTGGGTTGGCTCGCTGCGCCGCGGTGCGGTGGTCCCACGCGAGGGAGGCTTCACCAGGGCAGGGACAGAATTCGGGCGCCGTCTGTCGGAGAGTCTCGTGAGGTCTTGCTCGATCAGGGTAGGGAGGCACGCAGGCAGATACGAAAAGTGTTTCTCTCTGATAAGGGGTGCCTTTATCGCGGGCCCAGACTTTCTTGGGAAATTTGTTGCTTCTGGTTGCGGCGGATAGACGCGGAGGAATCCCAACTGCGGCCTTTGCCGTGGTAAGGAACGTCGGCGTCTCGGGTGAACTTGATGAGAGGGTGCGAAGATAGGAAAGAGAGCAGTTACCGAGTCCCGACTTAACAGCGCATTATCCGTAAAGAAGGCAGACTATCATTTTATTGCCAGAGGCATTTTCGGATTCACGGTCGCGGCCGGAACCACGGATGGACGATGTTCATTCGGACGAATCAGCGCCGTGCCACCATCTCGCTTCCCCAGGGTCTCGTGGTTCTGGAATGGTCAGCGAGGCGGGATGATTGAACCCATCATTTCATTACGTGTCAGCAAAGTATACAGAAACAGCACGTGCGGGTGAGGGCACGATATCCTATTGCCGTCGACTCCGGGGATCAGACGCTTGTTGCCTCTTGAAATCGCGCGCCTCTTTCGTCCCAAGGCTCCCGTGTCCGCCTTCTTGTCGCCGTTCCCAACCTCCCATCCGCACCACGAGGCAAGTGGCATTGTCTCCTTCGGTGGAAACCTCTGTTGCAAAGTTGACCACGTCGCGGGCGGCCTGTTCCGGGGTCTTGGCCTCTTTGATAACGTCCACCACCTCTTGGTCCTCAAGCGTCCCCGATACTCCGTCCGACATCAGGACCATGAACGAGTACTCGGCCGGCCCGACTTCAACTCTTTTGATTTCGGGTTCGGCACTGACTCCAATTCTTTTCGACGCAATGTCTCCGAACGCTCGAGTATTGGCGAGCCCCGAGATCCGTTCTTCACCAAACGAGTCCGTCACAAATGAGGCAGCATACCTTCTAAGCCTGTTGCTTTCCACTGGTGACGAGGGATGGTGGTTGGTGGTCAGCGGGATGGCTGCACCAGTCGCTGTGGAGCACAGTAGAATCCGCGTGTCTCCAACATGCGCAACGAGCAATGAAGACGTGGTTGCCGGGTTCCAGAACGGCGTGGGCGTCGGCGTAGATACCATGGCCACGCTGCAAGTGCTTCCGCCCTTGAATCGCTTCGGTCCTCCAATGTGAGCAGCGAGCTTTGAGGGTTCGCCCAGTATGTCACCATCGTTCAGGGGCCTTTCCGCTCTTGTGACGTCTCTACTTTCCGAATGCTTCGCCGCCTGAGCCGCCACAAAGTCGTAATCCGCCTTCAGAAAGGCGTAGGTCATGACTTCTTCGATGGCGGCTCCAGAGTCGACGTCTTGGCCACTTTGCGCCAATGGATCCGACTCCTCCCCCAGCTTCTGATAGCCACTGTAGATCGAAAAGTAGGCAGGCTTGAAGCGTCGGAAGTAACCGCCCACCAGGTCTTTCCAGCCTCTTGTCAACTCTCTTTCCAGCTGCTTGATCTTCTCCTGATCTGCATTCTGGATCAAGGGAGGATCCCCGGGATATGGTTTGCTGCCACTATCTGGTGACTGCGCCTTTCCATCCTGGTGGTCGGCTTCATCTTTGCTAACTTCAACCGCGTCTAGAGCTTTCTGGCCTTGCTTCTGCTCTTGTAGGTCTCCATCTAGCCCTCCGATTGCAGGAGCACTATCATTCTTCGCCCGCCTCTGCAGGCTCGACTTGAGATGGAATGCTTCGGCCGCCTTTTCGATATACTCGTGAAGCGACTCCCTCAGAAAGTCGCTGCATTCCGCTCCACCATGACCATCAAAGACACCAAAGTAGAAAACTTGTGGATCCCCAGACGCGCCATCGGCCGATGTGCCCTCGCCAGTATTCTTCTTCAGGGTCACGGACGTCGGCGCTTTTCTCGAGAAGGCCGGGAGCTCAATAACGCCGGCCTGGTGGGAGTCCTCGTTGTACGGTCTGCTCCCGCGAGACACGGAGACGCCATAATGGTGTTTGGCGCTCCTCAGAGGGATCCGCACGACGGTCGTATTTCGAGATACCGAGGGGTGAGCGGCAGGAGCGTGCTTGCCGTCGGGCGTGTGCGGGGTTGTGTCTTTCCTAGGGAATTTGTGCGCGAGGCCCGTCATAGAGCGTGAATCCGGGTGGAGGGACGAGGAAGGGAGGTGTGTGACGAAGTAGTCGTGGAAGTGCCGCTGCTGGTGCTGGTGCTGGTGCTGGTGCTGGTGCTGGCCATCCTGGAAGCGGGTTCGCATTTGAGCTCGTGTCTGGCGGATGAAGGTCGACAGAAGGTCTAGATGTCAGTCAGATCAGTTCACTCTATCGCGTCAAACCAGTCCCTGCTGTACCATAATAATGACCATCGTTGCATGGGCGCAACAACCTGCTGCTGGACGAGGGCATGGCTACAGTCTGAGCTTTCGAAGCCTGCCATGGTCCTACTGATATGTGACGACCATTTTCTCAGGTCATGAGTCCCAGGGGGTAAAGAATAGCTCAGCTTTGTGAAAAGCTAAGACGCACGACAAACACGCAGAGAAGTACAACCTCGACACAACCGCAGGGAAGGTGACGACCAGGCCGTGGTACCCAGTCAAGCTCAAAGTCGTCACAACCGTCTGCGGAGTCGAGGCGCAGCTCAAGTCCACCGAACCGAGCTTGCTGCAAGGCTTCGGCACCAGATAGCCGAGCCGTCTATAGATGGAGAAGTCAGAAGTCTGTCACAACAGGCTTCGGGGCACCGGGGCGCTACTTGGGCTTCGTATCTCATTGTATATCCAGCTAGATCTATTGCTAAGTATGGCATCTGCGGTCTATCAAGTCTGTATCCAAGCTGGAACGAAATTCGACCAGCACAATCGAACATATTGCGCCAGATACAGTAGCCTTGCCCTCTCTTTCAGCACCATGTCTCATCACAACTTCGACTCATGAACACTTCCATCCGATACCTTCAGCCCTCGCCCTTGAACGGCCTGATAGGAATCAAAACTCTCATCGCCATGGAAATGCCACCCCCTCTCCTCCCCCTGACTCAAATGACTGCAATCACTGTTCAGGATGCAGTCCCATCCACCAGCCACTCCCTGGGCTCTGTCGTCGTAGTGTGCCTGCCTCTCGCCCTCTTCAGCAGGGGGCAGCTGCCGTCTCACGAATTTACTCAGCCCACACGTGTAGCAGCGAAAATCCTCCTCGTCCCAGTCGTCGGGAACATCCCCGGTCAGCGCTCGTCCAGACGCGATGATGGGCGCGGCATGCCCAGAAATCAAAATCGTGACTTCCTCGTCGCCTCTTCCCTGGCGGGTAAACTCTTCATCCACGTCCCTGACCACGCTTGCGAGCGCCCGCGCGACCCGGTCATGCAGCTCTTCTATGCGCTCACCGTGTTCGGACGGTATGACTCTCGAGGTATACTCGTCGTTCAACCACGGGAAGAAGTCGCTGCGTAACCTCGCGACGTCTGCAGGAGAAGGTTGCACGAACCACGCGCGCCCGAACCATTCGCCCAATCCACGTTCGCCTCGTACCCGTAGATTCCGTCGCCTCTCGACGTCCTGTTCGGGTATTTGTTCAAGTAGCGCTTCCACCGTCGGCCGCAACGTCTCGAGACAGCGGTAGAATAACGACGAGTAAATCCGCAGTCGATCCTGCTTTACGAGATCGGCGAATAGTGCGCTGAGATGGCGACCCGTTTCTTGCGCCTGACGGACGCCATGCGATGCGAGAGGAGGATCCGCTGGGAGCCGCGTTGGAAAGGGGTGGCTGGAGGAGTATTTGCCCGTGGAAGGGTTGAGCGACCAGGCGAGCCGGTGGCCGTGCCGAAGGATGTATATCTCGGTGACGGGCATGACGATACGTTTGCTGCTACCGTGTCTGCGACATGTCGACGGAACACCTGCTATACAGACAACATATTAACAGATGAAAAGAATAAAAGTTCTCTTATATCTGGACGATTAGTTGGGGAACGGAAAGCCAGGTGCCGCTGTAATCGCGTCCCATTTGTTCAAGCCGAGGTCGAGGTCATTCCCATCGAGTCGGAGATGCCGTGGCTGCCACAGCTGCTTCTGGGAGAATCATCAAAGGAACCTCAGCCCGGCGGGCCAGAGTATGAACGGCCATGTACCTTACTACGATCTCCTGCAAGACTCCTTTGGTCTGTGAACGCCCCTCGAACTGAACGCCAACCTCTGAAAGCGGTACGTGACATAAGCAGGATCGTTCGACACAAAAGAGGCTACTGGACCGCTTTCTCCATGTTTGCTTGCTTGTTGAGTCTTTCATCCTTCGCCCACCACTGCAGGTGAGAGGGAAGTTGCTCAAACTGTCTGATAAAAGTCTTGTGGGCTGTCGGAATTCTATGAGAACCGTTTCACATTCCTAATTGTCACAGGGCTGGATGGAACAACCCACGTGAAGCCCATGCGATCGGGTATCCCTCGCTCCCTTCATGACATAGGAGGGGCTTGTACAAGAACCAGTCTGTGCTCATATGTTCCAGTGGCACAGCCTACAGCGCGAGTAGAGCAACCGGAGAGAGAGCCCAACCATTAGCGGGTTATGTCGTTGTAGGGGCAGAGACGGCCCCGCGTGATCCACCTCCCAGTGCTCTTAAATACTGTTTGTGGTTCAAGTTGAACGGCCGACGAGAGTGACTGTGTTCAACTGCAATGGGAACATGCACCTGTCTGATAATGAGTGTTCGTTGCCCATAGGCTTCTGACGAACTTGGGGCCCTCCAGTCTGGCGAGCTCTGGAGCCTTCCCCCTTCGCGAACGATGAGGTACTTTAATCTGTCGTATTCGATGCGGAGGGAGTGCAATGTGATCAGATCGGGCGGGCCGAGATGCTGACATTGCTCATTTTGTCGACTGCCATTGCATAGCCGTCGAGTCACCGATGCCGCTCCCTCTTGAAGCCCCATTTTTGTCTCCGAAGTTCCAGCATGAAGAGACTGGCGATCAAGAAGACCAGGCCAGTATAGATTTGGGGCCACAAGTACGGTCGAGATGAATGGGGCCGCCGAATCTCCAGCGCAATTGCCTCCGAGACTAAATGGCGTTGTCAGCAATCTTTGGGCTTTTTTCTGCAAGTTCAAGAGGACTGACATAGAGCGGGGAATGCAACCGTTATCCACATGAGGTTGAGTGCAGACGGTAGTTCTTTCAGCTCGACCACTTCGGCGGAGAGAGGCGCGATTGTCTGCAGACATATTAGTACGGTTTGCGAGTTCCTTCGCCAAGGACACGTACCCCCCAGTAGACGCCACTCGTAGCTCCAACGACGAGGGCGAAGAAGATGAGGACGCCATAGGACTGCGTAGGTATCCATATGGCATATGTAAATAAGACATTTGACGCCGTCAACAAGCACGCCACTGTCATTCGACCGAAATGATCACTCAAGACGCCAATGAACGGTCTCCCAATAGCTGTTCCCACCTGCAGTACGGTGATGACAATCCCACCTTGGTCCTGGGTGAGACCGATTGACGTCGCAAAGGCACCTGAAGAAAGAGTCAGCCACGTATTGCGTACACGATACAATCTCGCTCCCGTCTGGCTGACCTAAAGAGTATATTGCCACAATATAGCCCAATATGGAGAAAAAGCTGTAGGCGATCAGCAACCAGACGCGATACCGTTTCAGCAGATCTGTATCGACAGCTTTGAAGCGGGGTCGGATCATGTCGTTTCGGCTCCTGATCAATGTCGTCGCTGTGGCTAACACCACGAAAGCAAGAATGCCGGTGATGCGAAGCGACCAGGCCAGTGATATGCTCTGGATCATGGGCGTCGTTGTAGCAGAAAAGATGATTCCTCCCGTGCCGCTCCCGGCTGCAGCAATGCCTTGAGCCAAACTCCTGTTCTTGTTGAACCACTGAGGTAGGATTGGAGTTGCTGGGAGCCAGGTGAATCCTGTGCCTAGTCTGAGCACCATTAGTTTTGCATGGCGCATTCATGCGGCGTGACACATACCCGACAAGAATACCTTGCGTCAAAATGAGATGCCAAAACTCGGTCGCGAAAGATGCGGCAACAAAACCACCTGCAAACATGATACAACCACAATACATGGGGACGTGAACTCCCGTTTTTCGTATACAGACATTGACAATGGGCCCACTGAGCATAGCACAAGCAAAGTTCACTCCGCCGATGAATGTATAATCCAAGTCTGAAGCTCCGGAGAAGATGTCGTGGTCGATGTAATATGAGAGATATACACCGTAAGACTATCCACTTGTTAGGTCTCATCATGGTTGCCTGTGACATGACTACCCACCGCAATGATGCCCCAGGTGAAACCATTGATCAAATGCATAGCAATGCACACAACCCAGCCATACCGTGGTTCTTCCGTTGGGTCATAGGCCGGAGGAGGCTGACCCGGCGCGAGCGGAACAGGAAGCTCGTCGCCATCCTTTTCCAGTTCGTTCTCACTCATGGTATTACATAGATGATAGACCCGGATTGTGCTGGTTCGACAGTCCTCGACGTGTCAGCAAAAGTGGACAGAAAAAGCACGCCAGCAACACAACAGATGCACCAGTCTGGGATTGAAGAAGTCTGTCAAATATTCTGTTCCAACGGACTGCACACTTTTATGGCTGGTCAGATGTGGAGTAGACATGAATATCCACACCTCCGAGGACGGCACGGAACAGATTTGCCGTTCAATGATGCCGTTTTAAAATCAGCCTTCGCCCCAAGTCACAACGGTTGAGGATGTCAGCGTGTACCAGTCTCGATGTACGAGGTATCTTATACCAGTCGATGATGGTTGAGCTGAAGCATCTGTTCATATACCACATTCCTGGCCTTTCTTGAGCGCTCGCCTTGGAAGGCTTTGAGGTGTAGGTGAGGTGCGTAGGTGTCAATCGACCTGGAAGCATAAAGCGTTCTTCTCCGCAACGAGATCCTATCGAGCAAGACAACCGAAATGTGGAGGTAGTTAGCGGAATTAGCGAAAATTGGAGAACGGTTTTGATTCTAGCATGGCTGGTTTTCAGGCGAGACGTAGCATTCGTACATCGTACGCACTGGGTACCGGAGGCTTCAGCGTGGGCGATTCTGCTTGCCTGCCGCCCGACAGTATCCAAGCCGAGCTGGAAAGAGAGTGCTAACAGGCATCGAGCGTTCTTCTCGTTGTACCCAGTGCTGACCTATCATCTTCATTATCGGTTAAGACGTTTCTGACCCCAGGTATGGACGATGGTGGGGGTGGCTATTAGTCAAAGCAGAACGTGCTTCGAACCGTCAAAAATTCCACCTCGCCTCAATAGGAGTAGTCATGCCGGCCCAATGCTGGAATTGACCAGGCCAAGTTCGTGATCCACAGACCGATAATCACAAGCAGTATCTTCGCTTGCAGATCGACCAGACTCTTTGTAAGAATCGATAAAGCCTTCGAGGTGCTGCAACTAATCGAGACGAAACTTGTGAATATGAGAGCAGTATCCAAGACTCCCAGCATATACCTGGCGTGGACGGACCTGAACAGGTTGTTGAAAACTCCTGTATGAAGCACGCCACGAGAGTCGGCGGCGAGCCACAGGTGATACTGCAAAACAAAAGTCTCGAGGGAGCAGCGCCCGAACCAGGCGAATAGTCGACTGTAATGGTTAGAGAGTCGGCATGTCGAGTTCCGCAGAATGATGAAAGATACCACAGGCAGCGGTGAGACGAAGGGATGCCACTTGTTGTACTGGATCTTGTCCCGGAAAGCATGGCAAAACCATGCATATGCTGGAATGCCAAGCGCGGCAGCCAACACCACCACAGCGGAACTCAACCGAGGGCAAGCGCGCGGGGACCACGACGGACTGTGGTGAGGAAGGCCCTTTCTTCCTTTAGACCAGGCAAAGAGAATTGCTGTGACCATGCCGACATATACGATGTACGCATCCAGACCAAATCTGAAGAGAAACTCGCGTCCATCGATTTTGGGGAGGCCAATCCGCGCGGCACCAAAACTGTTCAGCAAGGACGCGATCGAGGCTCCGCGCTCAAGGGCCAGTCTGACCACTACCGCAGACAGGCCAGTTCTGCGGACGCAACAGTACATATCTACCCCAGACTCTGGTGTCCGGGGGATCGTGATCCAGACGATGAGGAACCATACGCTCGTCAGCATCGGAAAGTAGTACAAGTCGTACCGTGTCCCTAGCACAAAGGCAAGAGTAATGTTGAGTAGATTGGTTCGCAACAGCACACTTGCGCATCGTCGATAGGAGAAATCGTTCGTGGTGATGAAATATGTAGTGTGTCCAAATCCGGTCATGAAGAGGTAGGAGGCGACCAGCAGACGCACGAACTGGTAGACCCAGAGGATTTTCGACATGCCGAAGTAGTGATATAAGAGAATCACGATTTGCATCCAACCTTTCCATTCTTCTGTCTGCTGCCTGGACAAGAAACAGTGGTCTCCTTGGGCTGAGCCCTTGCTCTGGTCCAAAGCATTCGATGGACTTTGACAGTGGCGACAGGTAACAATTCCCGCGAGCAATGCGATCGATGCTAGGAAGATAAATGTGGTCAAGTCCACATCCTGCGAGGCCTTCTCAAGTAGTGCAGTACGGTCGGCCACAAAACAGGTTATCACAGCTGCTGATGTTGTGGCAACCGCAGCCACTACGCGACGTGTTTCTGGAGCTGACTGCAGGTTGTTGCCGGATAGACCGAAGAGCTTTCTGCGGAGTAGCCACAGACACAGGTGGAGAAGGATTGCGCATGAGCCTGCCAGAAGAAGAAGCTTTTGGACCGTATTCGGTGGGACATAACCAGCGCAACAGTAAGCCTGCGTCTGTTTCTGAGCAGCTTCCAGAAGTCCATTGCAGAAATAGTTCAGCACAATTTGGCCAAGGGCAGATGGAGAGCGCGGGTCGTCCTCGTTAAAGGTAAATGAGCCACCCATGAACATCGCTGAGTGGTTTCTGAGGGGATATTCCCGTTCGGAAGAAGTGATGTTCAGGAATGCGTAGAGTCCTGAACGTCCTTTGTAATTTGTTGAGTTCCAGGCAGCGTCCGGCTGGTAAGCGATCTGAGCCAGCTCGGATTGGAGTATTGTTGCATTTTCAACTCCTGACCGAAGTTGCAGACTTGTATTGGTAAGGTGATTCTGATCCAGACTCGCAGCTATTGTCAAGAACACTGGCTGAGCGTCGACATCGCCATAGATGGACATGCGTCGATAGGTGAGGCAGGACCGGATATCGCTGGCATCGTATGAACGCAGCATGCAGCCAGGAGGATTGCGAGCTTCCGCGTGAGTAGGGGGAAAGCCGTGGCTCAAAGCCATACATCGACGACTGAGCCGTTCGTCTAAACACAATGTTAGAGAATCTCTAAACTTGAGGATTTAGTGAGTTCTGACCTTGTGGTATTCGCTCCAGGATCAACCATCCTGGTATACACATGCTGAGACATAGCAGCAGAAGAAGAGGTGTGCGAATTGTGATCATGTCGAGGATCGATCTGTGATGCCGATGACGAACGTGGTGAACTGAAGGGAAGTGGGAAGGAAGAGTGACTCCAGTTGAGGCGTGAATGAGGTAGGCAAGAGTGGTGACTTGCAGGCGACTGCACCTTGTCCACAGCTGTCGCTACTACCGCATATTTATTTCGTCGTAGATGGCTTTTGTAGTCGCATCAAGCCAGTGCGCGACCTTGTAAGATGATCAACTGCTGATGCTTTTCCATAATGTACAGTGGTAGTCTCGTCGACCCATCAACTTCATACGTCGTCTACCGGATCTCTGGATCTCCCATCCAGTCGGCAGGTTGGAGCCCATGAATTTTTGTCACAACGTCGTTGTCAGCTTCCGAGGGCTGGATTTTACCCTGCTTGATCTTCTTGGTTGTCCTCACTTCGCCATGATTCGTGTAGTCGCGCGCGAACACCTGGAATCCTCTTACATGAGTGTCCTTCCCGTTTTGGTGATTCTCACAGATTTGAACCTGGACCACCATTGCTTTCAGCACGTCGCCTCCCACACTATCATCCAGATTGGATCGAAGTGGGTAAAGCGTCGGCTCTGCCTGGTCGTCCAGCAAGTCTGGGCTCCCATGGTAGCGAGACTCCCTTCCACCTACGCCCTTCAACGGGACATCAATCCATCCTCTGACCCCTTCGATGCTGCTGTGCATTTCTCCTGATTCTGGGTCTGCCGTCTCCGTGACCTCCCATGTGCCAAATTCCACCAAGCCACCTTCAGACATACCTGCGTAGAACTTCATCTTGGTGGGTGTGTAAGACTCATCCAGCTCAAAATCCAGGTAGATCCTCATCTTCACAATAGCAACAAGCTTGAAGAAATGGAGTGTCAGGGTGTGCGGCTGTGGCCCGTCGCTCTGCCAAAAGAAACTCGGGCTGGGGTTCCGTAGCTGGGGTAGGGCGCAGCCGGGCTTCGCTGAGGATAAGGTCCATGTCGCTAAGGACGAAATATCCCGGAGCCCTCGTAGTTGTCGAGCATCGTCAATATCGTGGTGAACCGACTCTAGGAAGGACTGGTCGTCTTCATTTCCATTCTCAGAGGTGGGCACAAGAGGTTGCGAAAGCTGTGACTGTTCCGGAGCATCATTCTGTGTATTGCCATTGCCATTGCCTGCGGGGGTCTGCTGATTCCGGGTCTGCTGCCGCTGCGGCGCGTTAGCCTCAGGGACAGTCGTAGCAGCTGGATTGTTTGAAGGAGGCAGCGGCGTAGTGAGAAATGGGGCATGTGGCGGAGTTTCGAGCATAAAAGGAGGGATCTCTGCTGTCAGTGCATTGCGAGTGGGCGTTGCTGTGACTTCATTCTGGCGGGCTTGATGCGCTGCTCGACGAGGCGCTCGAGGCATCTTGGTTCAGCTCCGACTCAGGACACCTGTTCATCAACCGCTATCAAGGACCACAGCTGTGCCTGCCATGCCTCGGCAAGCCTTGCAAGGAGAATGCTGGACAGGGAAACGTGACACTGCTGGGTAGTGGAGACGATACAAATGTGGTGAATGAAGTGTGAGGTGAGGGGTTCTTTTGTTTACGCGACGCGCGCCAGTTCTCCGTCTCTCTTGGAAAGATCTCATCTCTACGACAGTTGAACTTCGACAACTCCCTTCAAACATCTCCCTAGAGCGGGCAATGTCTCTTTGCTCGAACTCCCGTTATATATTGTCTTCTCTCCGACCGCTGCCATGCTCTTGACACTGCTACTCACGGCACGCCCCTCCCCTCCCTGGTGGCCTTTGCCATCTCGCTCTGTGCTCGGTCTTCTGCGTACCTTGTATAAATTGGGAGATAATGCTCCCTCTCACTCATCGTCTCATTCACAGATTTCCTTGCTTCGACCGCATCGGACCACTGACGCCATCTCTCCCAAAGCTTCTCGTCGTCGCCGCCTTGACCTGGCTCGGGTATTCCCAGCCCGCCCTTGAAATGGTCGAATACCCACATCCTCTTCGCCCACGGTGCCAGGACGACATCTCCAAAGCTGAAATCCTTGCCGAGGAACCAGGGGCCTTCCGGGTCGGCGTTGGAGATCCATGTCTTGATGGCATTGAGGAACTCTGAGCGTGCACTCTCCAAGGAGTACGGGCTCTTCTCTGTATGTTGCAGGAACCTGTAATGGTGATTAGTCGTCGCATTGTGTTGTCACGATAGGCACGTACCTATGGTAAGCTGGAAGGATTCTGCTGGTGACATGGTCGACCCAGACCTTCATCCTCGCTTTAACGTACGGGTCTTTCGGCCATAAGGGTGTCTGATTTGGATACATTTCGTCCAAGTACCTACTCTCGTCAGCTGGGGACGCTCACACTAATAGATAGCTATCTTGTTGGCCTACTCGCAGATGATATTCGACTCAATCAACGGCTTGGTGGTCCCATCTTCTTGGGGACATCCCAACGTCGGTACCAAGCCTCTCGGGTTGAGCTTGAGGAAACTTTTCGGGTCAGCCGTCCGCAGTCAATCACCGATGAGTCGAATTCGACGAACCTTGGCTCCTTGTTATACGGATTAATCTCGACATATTTATATGGAATGTTCTTCTCCTCGAGCGTGATCCAAGCTCTCTGCACGAACGGACAAAACCAGCCTGAATACAAAGTTATGGGCTCATCTTTCTGATGCGCCGCGACGATTTTAGCTGCTGGTCCAGTTGCTTCGGGGTAGATGTCGGCGTCGGGATGAGCTGAGCCCATGTTTGCCTCTCAGAACACGCTGTCGAGCACCACAAATCACGGTTTGAAGAGATAGGAGGAGGGTGTGGTAAGTGTTCTCCACGATGTCAATTGAGTCCTACATCGACGCCATCATTAATAATGATTTGGAGAACTACGACGACGCAATATGTTGCTTGATGAACATGTGCGGGGTTGCCACGATTCCTGCGCAATCCACCTTTGAGTGCGATCTGCGGTGTCGATTACCCTTGCACCATCAGGCGATCCTCTTCTCACTCGATCGGACACGAGACCGGGGTTCCTGGCTACTGGTTGCGGCAACATGTATGCAGAACAACGGAGCTGTCTCTTCTCGGGGTGGAATGATCTCACTCCCTGGACGGGCAGCGGTACATTATCAGCGCTCTCTGTCCTCGGACGAGACCCTGTTTATGACCTCCCGGTCGTACAAAGCTGCCGATATCTCCGTATGATGTCCAACTGACTCGGCAGTCGCAACCTCGTACAAGGATTTCAGTCCATACGGTCCTACACTGAGCGAGTCGGAGCTGATGATCAAGGAGCAACCAGGATTCACAGGCGCCTCTGTCCCAGATTCTCCTTCCGACTACAAGCAATATGCCTCTCAAATACCCCGAGCTTTTAAAGAGTCCGCTACTCGTCCTCCAACGATGACCCATCTCTCAAATTCCCGATCAACAATCCGGCGACAGGCGAGATAATCACACATCTCCAGGCTGGCACTCCAAAGGAAGTCGACGCCGCCGTCCGAGCTGCTCAGAAGGCCTATGAGACAGACTGGCGTTGGCGCTCGCCCGCCGAGCGAAGTGCTCTCCTCTTCAAATGCGCCGACGCTTTGGAGCCGCACAAGGACGAACTCGCCGAATTACTCTGCCTGGAGAATGGGAAACCCAAGCAGGACGCCCTGGCTTTCGACATCAATTTTCTGGTTAGCATTTTTCGGTTCTTCGCGAGTATTTGTGATAAACTGCCAGGGGAATTCTATCAGCGGGGAAGTGTGAATGCAACGGTCATTTATGAGCCGTTTGGTGTTTGCGCGGGGATACTGCCATTCAACTGGCCACCGATTCATTTCGGTGGAAAGACAGCCCCAGCGTTAGCCGCGGGCAATGTCATGATCCTCAAGCCAGGCGAGCAAGCTCCACTGACGGTGATCAGAATGTGTGAGATCATCTCAGAGGTGCTCCCGCCTGATGTGGTCCAGGTTGTGCCTGGCTTGGGACCGGACGTGCCTTCAGCGCTGATCAAACACGATTTGGTGAAGATGGTATCCTTCACAGGCTCAACTGTTGCTGGTGCCAAGGCAGCAGAAACTGCCGCAAAGACCGTAACGCCAGTGGTGCTTGAGCTCGGAGGCAAGAACGCCTTTGTCGTGTTCGACGACGCGGAGAACCTCGACCGCGCAGTCGGATATGCGCTGGAAGGGGCATTTTTCAACAAAGGCGAGGCGTGCACTGCAGCGTCCAGGATCCTCGTTCAAAAGGGTGTGTACAAGCCATTCTGCCAAAAGCTCGCCGATGGTGTGCGGAGGCTCAAATCCGGAAATGGCCTGGACCCGAGCACTCATCTTGGACCACAAGTGAGCAAGGCGCAGCAGGAGAGAGTATTGGGATACCTGCAGAAAGCAAAGGATCTTGAGAAGGAGGGAAAGGCCAAGATCACAGCGCAAGGCCAGTTACCAGACGACCCGGCTTGCAAAGATGGCTTTTTCGTTCCGCCAACACTGATCACAGATGTGTCAAGGGACCTAGTCATCGCGCAGGAGGAGATGTTCGGTGTGCTCGTAACTGTGACGCCTTTTGACGACGAGGATGAAGCCATCGACATTGTCAACGAGTCCAGGTATGGTCTCACCAGTATCATCTTCAGCCAGAACAACGAACGGTGCTGGCGCTTCTCAAAAAAGGTGGATGTAGGTTTGGTCTTTGTCAACAACTACTTTCGAAATATACTGGGGGTACCATTCGGCGGCGCCAAAGAGACGGGATATGGAAGGGAGCACAGTATTGACACGCTCAAGGAATGGTGCCGCGCGAAGGTCATCACCCAGCCAAGCGGATTCGGGGAGATGCCAAGGTGGAGGGCTGTCAATGATGTGTATCCGTGAGGTTACAGGATGTAGCCATCTTTGCTCTCGAGTGTCTTGAGCTCCAGGCGGTGTTGCTCGCAGTTTGCTCGCCTCGACAAAGACGATCCTGGGACGCCTGCTACGAAGAGTCCGATGAGAATGGCGACCTCACATATTGACCACAGGGTGCTAACGTGGAACTCTTGAGTAGTGGACTCTTGAGTACGTGGTGGACTCTTGCTGTCATCAAGATTACTGTGCAGTAACTGGCCATCTACAGTACAAGCCCAAATTGGACACGACTGTACCGTACAATACTGCCACGCCCTCTTCATCCTTGAACAATCTTGACAACATGCTCTCGTTAAGCGATTGCAGCGGCACAGTACGGGTATGTATTTTCCAGTCCTCGCACGCCATACCTCAGACAAAGCATGCCACCATGTGGAGGGCGCCGCATTAGGAACATCTCTAATCAGACACACAAGTCTAAGGAGATGCTCGGCTGCCTCGGTGTGAGATCCTCCTGGCCTACTCGGCGAGTACGGAGTACAGTATATACCTAGAGCTTAAAAGGCCGTATCCAGCGACGAATTAGTAAAAGCCCCCTGCCCCTGGTTACTTTACTGGAGGTGCCCGCCGAGATGAGGCCTCGCGCTTGTGACGTACATAGAAGAGCGGCTACTGTAGGTATGTCGGAGTAGGCAGGCATTTCCGAGCGTCAATGGCTACATACATAATTACTGTAGTACATATATATACTGGTGTAGCTGCCCTCTGATTCTTAGTCCACCTACTTGTATTTACTCTACTCTCCTCTCCTCTACCACAGACGCAATAATATTCCTTACACTTCCGTTCTTTTCGAGAATCGTCCCCTACGACCATGTCTGCGCCCCGTGTCCTGGTCCTGGGAGGTCACGGCAAAGTGTCGCTGTTTCTACAACCCCTCCTGCTGGCGAAGAAATGGCACGTCACGTCCGTGGTGCGCAACGCCGAGCACGAAGCCGAGATCCTGGCGCTGGGCAAGGACAAGCCCGGCACGATCGACGTCCTGGTCGACAGTCTGGACGACGTCCAGGAAGTGAGTCACGCGGCGAGAGTGCTCGACAAGGTCAAGCCGGATATCGTCGTCTGGAGTGCCGGTGCTGGAGGCAAAGGTGGGCCTTCGCGCACCAAGGCCGTCGACGAGGTCGCGGCCAAGGCGTACATTTCTGCGTCGTTGGCCATGCCGAGCGTGAAGAAGTTTCTTCTGGTGTCATATATCGCTGTGAGTGTTGAATCATACTACGTGTCCTTTACCCCATGCCCACACACGCCCACAACTCACAAGCAGAAGCTGTGTGCTGATCAAATGCAGTCCCGCAAAGGATACCCGCCCTGGTGGACCGACGAGGACAAGAAGGCGGCGGACAAGGTCAACAATGAGATCTTGCCGCACTATTACCAGGCCAAAGTCGAGGCAGATGAACATCTCGAGACGCTTACAAAGAAGCGGTTGGACGGTGGCGACAAGGACTTCCAAGCCATCACACTACGCCCTGGGAGCTTGACCGACGCTCCTGGAACAGGCAAGGTCAAACTGGGCAAGACGCCGTCCAGAGGAAGTCAGTCATTCGCCTCTCTCAGTCCCCAGTTCCTTGATTGCGTGGCCAAGTCCCCGCAGGCTTGGTCATCACGCGCGCCATGGCTGACAACTCGATAGGTATTCCTAGAGAAGACGTGGCTCGAGTCGCCGCTGCGCTTTTGGACCGGAATGACACGCGCGGATGGTTCGACTTGCTCGAAGGTGACGATCCTATCGAAGAGGCGGTGGAGAACCTTGTCAGGAACAACCATAATGGTCTTGAGGGGGAAGACATGGAGCGCATCTGGGCGAGGCCTACTTGAGGTATGGAGTTACTCTACACGTTTCCTACCAGAGTCGACCAAGTGCTTTCTCGGGCGAGGGACAGACATGGAGCCACGGCACCAATGACACTCCGTCTCCACGCGACTTTTGCTGTTCCGTGTGCGGCCTAGTGAGTAGAGCTACAGCTACAGCTGCAGCTGCAGGTCGTAATCAGCTTCATTCCAATCCATCGGCCGCAGTCCCGGCGTTGCAAGCATGCATCCTGCCAGTTCTCTCGGGGCCATCACAGCTGTATCGTCTCGATGTGTGATCGATCATCGCTCGTCGCTCAAAATCGAGATCTCCTTCCGATGGATGTAATTACCGATTTTCCCAACTGCCTACAGTAGTCAGCATTCAAGGTACAGCACAATACTGGATGCCATTCCTCGTGAGGCCGCCCGTGTGCACCTGATTTCTGCGCTGTGGTCGTGGGCTCGTCCACAAGACGAACAAGAAGGCTTGTTCCTGTACCCGCATGGTCATGTACTGTAGGCTCCCCTGTCACCAAGTCCTATGAGCCTACACGACGCCAGAGTACGCAAGGAAAGCTCTGCGAAATGCCATGCATGGTATGGAAGTCCTACCCAGCACAGGTCATGTCCCATGGCCAACTGCATGTACAATGCAGACAGAACTAGTTGACTTTTGTAGAGAATGGCTAGTCTAGTCAAGTCAAGTCAATGCCAGAGCCGTTGATGCCTGCCGCGTATTCCTAGACAGTGTCGTGCGTAGAGTTGCCTGTTGCACTTCTGCCTTGCACCGTGAATGTGTATATGTATGCATCGAACGGGACCTTTGTCGACAGAAAGACCAGCAGTCACTGATCACTGAGTAAACCGGGATTCCAGCCTTATTGCCCCCTTTTGCAGCAACAAGCGGGAGCACACGTTCAGCACGGGACGGACAGCGGTAGGGTCCCAACCAAGCATGGCTGGATAGCACTGCACTGTATCGCCCAATCTGCTTCACTACCTGGAGCAACGTCGTTACTTGGGCGTGTGCGAAACAGCATAACAGAGAAAATGTTATCAAATTTCTTCGGATTGCAAGAAACCACGGAGAGATTGCGCCCACCTCCAAGCCTCAATCAGTCGCCGTACTTCTTGAGTAGCCCCTTCAGTATTCGCTTCGCCCCGGATGCATAACCACCGCCAAAGATGGCGAAATGATTGAGATGATGATACTAGATGAGCGGTCAGCTTCAACAGAGTCGCAGCCCTGTCTGCAACGATCCACACAGTGACCATGGAGCAACTCACACTCTCATATAACGCTACTCGGTCCTCATATTCCGCTGCTGGCTCCGTTTTGGGCACAATGGCGTGGTACTCCTTCCAGAACGAGCTGCCAAAGCCGCCAAACATGTTCATGATGCCGAACTCGAATTCATGGTGCGCATAGCATGAGGACGGGTCAAAGACGACATCCTCACTCGACCCAGGCTCGTCAGGCGAGGTCTCGCCGCCTCGACCGACGAAGAAGCCCTTGGATTTATTACCCGACCATAGATCCCCGTGGACGATGGCTGGTTTGATGCCCTCTTTGCCGCCGAGGTGGCCGTCACCCAGCAGTCTGGGGACGATTTCGTTGACTGTGCGCTCGACAAGCGTGCGCAGCTCCGCGTCTCGACCGTTGGTCTTCTCGCCCCGCTCGAGGATGGCGAGGAGTCTCCTCTTGGCGAAGAACTCGGCCCAAGACGCCGCGAAGGTGTTGTCCTGAGGTGTGTCCCCACAGCAAGTCGTGACGGGGAAGCCAAACTGAGGCGCATCGAAGCCCTCGGGTATGGGTGCCGGGGTGGAGTGTAGCTTGGCTAGCTTCTCAGCGAGGGACATGCCGCTTCCCTTGCGAGCGCCAGCCTTTGTCCTCGATGATCCGCCACCGAGGTCCAAGAACTCCGTGGCCAGGAAGTATCCACCACCGTTGTTCTCGAGGCTTCCCCAGGCGAAGGACTGTGGACAGAGGCTTGGGACCGCCCCGTGGATAGCGTTCAGGGAAGCATGTTCGCCTTGAAACATCACCTTCGCGCCCGACGACTGCGACTGTTTGACGAATATCGACGTGGTGGGCGTGGTGATGCGGAATGTCGATGCAAAGCCTGAGCCTCCGTGGGTGGAGATTTTGGCCGAGGACGCATTCAGGTTGAGGGCACGCAGGATTGCTGGGTCAATGGTTGGGGACATCGTGGGTAGCAGTGCTTACAACAGCGAGCTACAAAGCAAGAAGAGGTCACCCCATCCCGACGGACCATGATAGATGATACGTAGCAAGACTCAAATGAATCTTAGATGAACCGCGCGAATGACGTCGATCGAGAAACCGCAAACTCGGGATATTGTTCACCGACGAGGCCATGGCGCCTAGACTTCAAGAGTCGAGATTTCTGCGTAACCTCCAGTACCGTGGAATGCGATGTCTACTTTTAGGCGTTGTGTCTTGTATCGGACAGAGGCTCGCGGCTCTTCTGTCGCCAATACCATGTCTACCGAGTACCACCGTCCTAACCACAAAACCCCGTGTCACGCTGGACAGTATGTCACCCATCAACAACGCCGGCGCTATGCATTATGGACTACAGCGCATCTTCCCCCTAATGCCAAACCCAACCTCAAGTCTTACCTCCGCCCTGTGCCTGTGCTTGCACCTTTCGGCTTCACCTTTCCTTCAGCGTCACTATTGACACCACTTGCTGTTCCGCTGTCGGTGCCACCACCAGCACCGCGTTTCTTCTGCCGTAACGTCTGCCCTTGACCTTTAAAATGCGGTTTCACTTCATCTCCACCCACAGGCTCGCCATTTTCATCTCGCTTCCGAAGAGGCTTCAACTCGTACCCGAAGAAGAGCATTCCCGGCGGTAGACGCAGAGGTTGCGGCCCGTTCGTTTTCCTCGCAGGTGGCGGTATAGTGTTCGTGGACGTGCCGGCTAAAGGCGTTGATGGATTTGGCGTTGGTGCTTTTGAGCTCTTTTTGGAGCTAAGCTTGTGACCCTCGGTGAGAAAATGTGAAGAGACGGCGCGGGCACCTGCTTCTGCCGAGTTCGACGACGGGGCTATGCTTGCGTAGTTGATCGATTGCGCCATCGTGCCTTGGAAATGCACCGGTCCACCGCGCGGTCTTCCAACGCCACTTCTCGGTGTACTTGTCCCGCTCGTTCGTTCTGGAGGTACGTACCCGACCGGAGTTGCGAATTCGACTTCTAGATCTGTCTCCATCGTTACGATAGAGTGTGATTCTGTGTCTGGCTTGATATCGAGCACGGCAATATCGTAGGTCTGATCATTGTATTCGAAGGAAAAGATGTCGCCCTTGGTCAGGCAGGAGAAGTTGCGAAATGCATTTTCGAGGACCGCACGGGGATCGGAGATGTCAAGAAATGCCGGAGACTGCGGCTGCAACTTGATGAGCTTTCCTGGCGGCAGGTCGGTGGACTTGATCTGAAGAAGATCCCCCGGTTCAAGTTCAAGGGTCCTCATCAACTGTTTCCTGATTGTCAGCTCATTGACTCCGTGCTCAACGGAGATGCCGTGCATACCCATTGTGGTAGATATATCCTGCCTTCCTCCGCTATGAACTCAAGAACACCAGCATGTGTACTCTTCCCAGCAGCCCCGTTTATCAGCTCGAACACCATGGGATATGTAATGTGCAGTCTCGTCAACTTATCCAGGGCTGAGGGAGGCATGAAGACTTTTCCGCCAAAGTTGACATGATTCCTGTCAGGACCGGTCATCATGACCACGGGATAGCAGCGATAGTACTCATCGAAGCGGCCCATCGACCGCCCAATGGTAGGGGCACCTCGAAGGAAAGATGGGTAGTTCATCATGTCGCCTTGATAGTAAGCCTGCGGCGATTAGAAACAGAGTACTGCGCCACACGGGCCTGACTCACCATAGTGAAGGCGACCCGATGGTCTGATCGTAGAACGTTGTCAAAGGGTTTGAGGACCGGAGAGGTTTATGTCTCGGGATCTGGTATGTATGATGCGGGGTGGTGGTTGTTGCCTCAGAGGCGGAGGTGCTTTAGATCAGGATTAGCCGCAGATGAGAAAGGCGACGGTATCACAGAAGAGCGGAGGCGCGGAAGGTTGGCGTGAGTAGGCAGGTGTGAAGAAGAGCAGAGCGAAGAGAGTTGCTCTCAGTGACAGGGACGACGCGAGATGTACCGCAGGCGTCGAAGCAGGCAGCATGAAGCTGTGACGCAACCTTGGGTTTGGAGAAAGTTATGGACAACTTATTACTACAACACTTACTGAGCTCACCGGTTCCAACAGAGGTGGCAAACACATCAAGCATTCATGACGTTCGCCGTGTCGCAGTGATGAACCTCTAGCTTCCTTCGCTTCCTCAGAAGCAATTCACATCTCCCGCGACCGCACCGATGGCCTACAACGCGCCGCGCAACAAACGGGCCGCCGAGGACTATGTCCGCACCCACGACCCAGATGACTACAGCCAACCCTCGAAGAAACCGCGCTTTGACGTGCGTAATCCCTCCGCCCTCGCGCCCGACGCGCTAGAAGACGACGCCGTGCTGCAAGCCGACGTGATCGGCGCTCGCGGTCAACAGGTCAAGCGCGGCGCCGTGAATATTGACGGCTACGATTCTGACTCGGATAATGACAATTTTAATGCGCGGGCCGATAGGAAAGCCAAGGCGAAGGAGAAAGCAGAGAAGGAGAAGTCCAGAGAGGAAGAGGAGAATGATATGTTCGCGGATCTCGATGACGACTTTAAGGATGGAGACGACTCGGAAGGTGACGCCGGACGAAGGGACGGAAAGAAGAGAGCCGTACGTTTCATCGACGCCGATGAGATAGAGGGCCAGATCCAGAGCTCGAAGAGCGGTGGTCACGTTTCGGCAGACTTTTCTTTGAACGGGCGAGGAAAGGGCAAAGGCAGAGAGCAGGACAATGACGTTGAAAGCAGTAGCGAGAGTGAGGTGGACGATGAGATCCGAGCAGATACTGGCGATCTAGACCCTGAACTAGGCGCTGGAAGCAAAAAGGACCACGCCCCAAAACTCGATGCTTTCAACATGCGGGCAGAGCAGGAGGAAGGCCGATTTGACGACCAAGGAAACTATATCCGCAAAGCAGTAGATCCCGATACCATCTATGACATATGGCTGGAGGGTACGTCCAAAAAGGATATGAAGAAGGCAAAAGAGGCCGCTGAGAAGCGCGAGGAGGAGCGAAGAAAGCGTGATTTCGCAGACGAATTGAAGTCCACGGGAGACGTGCTGGCCGAACTGATTCCTCTGCTGAACCGTGGCGAGACGGTCATAGAAGCTTTGGCTCGACTTGGAAAAGGCAAGGAGAAGAAAGCCAAGTGGCTGAACAAGAACAAGCACAAGAAGCAGAATGGAGCTTCCGAAGACCAGCCTCTGCTCGAGGACGATGCTGCGGAACAGCTTCGAAAGCAGAAAATCGAGACTATCACCGGTGCAGCTGATTTCCTTCTCACCAAAGGCCAAGCCGAAGTCTACGACGACGAACGAGAAATGCTTATTCGACAATACCGGAGAGAAACTGGGAACGACTGGATTGATCCTCCACAGCCCAATGACGATGATGCTCATGATGGTGATGCTATGGTACAAATGTGGGAGTATCGGTGGACCGACGCCCGCGATGGCGGCGCAATCAACGGTCCGTATGACGGCCATACTATGAGACAATGGAACGATGCTGGCTATTTCGGCGAGGGTGTTGAGTTCCGCAGGAAAGACAGCGGTGGTGGCTGGACCAGAGTGGCCGAGTTCGCCTGAGGGTGATGATGATGATGTCGTCTGATATTCCGAATAATCGACTTCCTAAGCATGGAATATTTCCGTATCCATTCGACCGTCTTCGCCTTCCTGGGCAGCCACCAGCGTATGTTGGAATGTCATGACGCGCCAATTGAGCTCTCGACGCCAGAAGAGACCATAGCCGAGCCTGTTCTTACCAGGTTCGGCAGAGAGTCCACCACTGCCATACATTCGTCGGGCAAAAACACACGCCCGGAATCTGGAATGGATCATAGCCATTGCACAGCAAACACAGGGTTCATGGGTGAGGTAGATATCGAGCCCACTGCAGAGATAACCTTCACCTCGAGGGCCAGTCCGTTTCTCCGGTAAGGCATCAATGCTGCAATTTTCGAGCACAATATTACCCAGTCCGGCGCTGAGGTCACGCAGAGGTTCGTCTTCCTCCTCATAGTGATTTTCGATGAGCGTGAGAGACTGGCCAGATGGAGTCTCGGTGCAGGTATCTTTGAACTTCAGGTGTCCTCCGGCGTTGATGCGTCGACGTAGTTCTTTGTTTGCAACCATGGCAATGACACGCATGACGGCATGCCACTCAGGTTTGCCTTCTCCTTGGTCGGCCGTTAGAGATTGCGGAAGCTCTCCATCAGCAGACCACCAACGAGCATCGCCTGCAACGGCTACGACGGCCCCAGTTTCTGGATCAACCACAACGGCACCGACACCTCTCCCGTGGCCATGTTCTTTAGATTGCCCAGCAGCCGTCAATGCAAGCTCCATGTACCTGTCGGTGGCAGGGACCTCCAACAAAGCACGAGTGCGACGGAGCTGGTGAAGAGGCGGGCAATCCTGAATGACCTGTGCGGCAGGATTGTAGATTGCTGGCCAATAGCGTTCGCTCCAGAGGGCGGCCTGTTCAGCACTCAACGGTGCGTGGCGAGGAACCACGGCGTCGAAGCAGCGAGGGAGACCTTCAACATCGATATGCGGCTCAAAAATGGCTTTGATGTCCTCCCACGGTACCACGGTGTTCGGAACCAGCACAAACGTGGTTTGAAGTCCCCTCGCATCGTAATCACGCCTCCATGTCAAGTCCTCGGGCAGATGCGACAGGGTGCATACGCGACGGAAATGGCCGAAGGATGGATGCTTGCCCCCAGAGGGAATGATGGGTTTGACGATGCTAATACTTTGCGTCAGTCCTGCTTCGGCTCTCACACTTTGGATACCGTACCTGAGGGCTTTGCTCGTCAACTTGGCAGGGATCTCGACGACGAAAGCTCGAACTGGGGAGACGAGGTCAGCGTTAGCACGAGGCAGATTGCAAGGCCTTTTGTCGTACCGAAGACTTCTTCCGAACGTGTCTCATGAACCGTCTTCAGAGGCTCGAGGAAGCATGCTGAGACTTTCTCAATCTCAGCCATGGTTTCGGGCGAGTGAGAGTCGAATGCATCGTAGAATTCAGAAAGCCGTCCTCCAGAGAAGGCGAAGAAGAGAAAATGAAGTGGAAACTCCAACGCAGTTGCCTTTGTTTGAAGAGTGATTCAGGCTATTGAAAGTAGTTGCACCTGCCCTAGGACAAACTGGCCGTCTAAGAAGAAGTGAGGAATTGAGTGAAGTGCGACCGCCTCGTGACTTGCCGCTCGCTGTTGAAATGGCCTCTTTGTAAGAAAGACATCAACCGCCGAAATGTGTCCGAGAAAGAAAAGAATCGTATACGAAAGGTAAAGAGGGAGACGATGAGATCACGGCTCTGGCATTGTTATTGCTCAAGTTCGAGTCAACGATAACTGTGAAAAGGCAGTGAGAGTAAATTGAAGTGACTGAACCGCGTAAAGTGCGCCGGATTAAGAATTTCCCGGCAATCCTACTCAAGTGAGCCTCGTCTGAGAGTTGATTCATTCCATACATTAGCACTTTAGTCGTGCACATTAAATCAGCCACATAAGCGATGTCTTCCAATCGAGAGAGAACTCGTCCGTAACTGCGTATCAAACTCGAGGCCGAAACTGATGCTGCTTGTGGCCCTCTAATATGGGCATGAACAGCTCGTGATTCACCTTGGCGTTCACCCAGGAGACATGCTGTTGCAACCTGCGACCACAGCATCTATAGAGTTCGTGTTATCGTAGGAGGTCCGGTCCCATCGACCTTAATACGACGATCGCAAGTCCTCAATATAGCGGCATCGACCATCCTGTAAAAGGTTGGCAAGTAGCTAGACCACATCATTCGGTTGCTTGCAGCCTTCTCAAAATCTGCTTCGGACAGGCTGAGAACTTGTGGACGCAAAGAGCTGGGCGTCTGTTCGCGCCGCCAAAAATCGACGGTGAAGGTCACGTAGACAGACAGGTGTAGAGTTCTTCTGACATTCGTATAATCGGGCCGCGTGTCAATTCAGTGAGCAGCATTCGGTCATCAATGCTGCCTTGTCTGTGCCGGCCACCTGTGACCCTGTTTCTGCTTCGTATAGAGGTAGATCCGCCCGTCATCTGAGCATTCGATGTGATGCCATGACTGCACTGTTTTCCGTCGTCAGCGGCGTCGTACTCTTGTCCTGGCTGCCGATCCTATGCCCTTCGAAAAGCATCACCATCAAAGTAATATCTCGTTTCGTTCTCGATGAAGATGACGAAAGATGGACGAGTACAGCCCGGGCTTGTTCAGCAGATGGACGAGGACAGCCCTCGTCCGTTCGGCAAACTCAGAGAAAGCCCGACACTGAGAATAGGGCGCGACCACAGTGCCACGTTCGACAGCCTGCTAAGAGGCGGGTACTCCGCGTCGTGAACGTAGAAACCCAGGTATCGTTCCAAGGAAACACTGGTTGAAGTCCAACAGCACCAACCCTTCCCGGCCGATACCCCTCCGATGTCGCGCTCTTGACCTCCTCCGCGTCGTAACGGGCTTCAGTGCACTGCAAGGCCGTGGCATCAAGTCTCCAATCTCAAAGTCAAGACCAGCAGACTTACAATCGCGGCGACGGTCAAAGCCGTGACGGCAACCACGACGTTCCCGCTCGTGACGAATCTCTTCATGGCCAGTCCATCGTCGCCCAGCTCCGTGAAGAACTGCCTGTTCCCCTGCTGTCTCCGATAGGCACTAACTAGGAGCAAGCTGAAGGCGTACGCCGCGAACAGGGCGCCGATGGAGTAGAACTCCGAGGTGAAGATCTTGAGGACGACGAGGGAGAAGGACAGCTGCGAGAGCGCCGTGCGGACGTAGGCGCCTTCGAACGTGCGTTGGGCGGCGCGGATCTCGACGAGCTCGTCGTCGGTCAGGTCGACGGAGCGCGCTCGGTGCATGCGCAGCCGGAATCGGTCTTCCGGGTGACGAGAGCTGAACATCGTGTGAGGGCAGTTTCGGTGTCGGTGTCGGTGTCGCTGTCACGCGGCCGGCTCGATCATGGTGCCGTCATGCGGTGGGACGAGGTCATCTTATCCTGCGGAGCGTAGCGTAGCAGTTATATACAGGTACCTGATAATCTGCATACTGTATGTCATGGAGGAGGAGACGAGCTCGTCCTCGTTGTTCCTGGTCGCGTTACAGTAGAAATCACGTCATTTGAAGTTTCCTACGTCCACCACATTTCCGTTCTACACAGTACGGAGTATATCCTACAATGTGACGGCGAACTACCTATGGTGTAAGTCCATGTATTCTTGCGACGTCGTTGGTTTGAGGAGGGTCCTGTATTGACCTCCTCATTCTGATCCCGCAGAGTCGAGATCAATCAATGCGTCGCTCAAAATGCGCAAGATGTGGCAGAACTCCATCACGTTATATCGCGTCCCGTTTTCCTCCAACAAATACACATAATCGAGCAGGATCCGTCGTGCGAAAGCGTACCCGCCGTGTTGCACGACTCCGGAAAATGAGATGGGTCCGCCAGCGCGGATGAAGTCTCTCGCCGGGCATATCGCTGAAGACAAGAGCACATCGGTTTCTGGTCTGTTGGTGGTGTAGCTGTTGAAACCCTCCTCCGCCACGAGGTTCCAGTCCACATTGTCCAGGAGCTCAAACGGCTCGGCGTGCTTGTCCTCGAGAGCACGAGGACGTGTGTCGGGGTCGTCTTGGGGCATCACAAAGACGTACAGGCCGAGCACCAGTGCCGCATGGACGAGAGCGATTTCCGCTTCGTACGACGTACCGTCTATGGGTCGACGTTTGGACATGATCAAAAAGGTCTGTGCCGCGTGGACACACGCTCGCCGTGCGGCGCTGGTCTGAGACCACGTTGCGATAGCGTCGAGCGCCCCTTTCGCGCTTTCTGCCCCTTCCCTGCCAGAGGCCAGTTCAAAGAGACCCAGATCTGCGGTCATGGAGATGTTCAAGTGGTGCCAGAAGGCCTCGCAGTTCGGATTGATGAATCCCATCGTTGGGCCATATGTCCTCCACACTTTCCGCAACAGGGGGACGATAGAAGCCGCGTGCTCATCGTGGGCGAAGACGTCAGCTGGAATCAAAAGGCCTGAGGCGTTTGACGTCAAGGATGTGTGTCGATGTTTCGCCTCGGCGATCCGTACCCAAATTGTGGAAAACAGACCGAAGAATCCCAAGGTGTTGGCATCGGGCGGTGGAGGAAGAACAGCGGTTTCCAGTTGAGGTGTCATCCAGGGCATGACTGTCGCAGCGCCGGCATTGACCAGCTGGATCCATCGCTTCGCTGTCGGGGTTTGAAACAGCTCGTTCTTGCAGGGAAAGTAGAAGTGTAGAGCCTCGGTCTGTATGATCGGGTTGTGGTCGTCCAAAGCGGAGAAGAAGGAATCCGACATGATCAAGCATACGATCAATCTCTTGACTGACTCGATTTTCGTCCACGCTTTCCACTTGGCCGTGTCGCCAGCCAGGTTACTGAAAATGGTTGACGAGAGCTCTTGGCCTTCTTGAGGGAAGAACAGTCCGTGCCGTTGAGCGACCGTGATGGCCTCGCTGTAGAGAAGGCGAGAGTGCTCTGCTAGAGCTTGCTTGGGACTGATGCAGGCGACGGTAAGTAGCAGAGACGCAGCCGCCAGCGCAGTCAACAGTTCCCCCATTTGACCGCCGTGCCGTGAACTCAAGACCAGGTCTCGCCTGCACCGTTCGATAGCATCAACCAACTGAGCGCTCACAAATCTTTTCGCTCGCACAGAGTCCAGGAGCGTCAGTCCCATAAGGCACATGGGAAAGAGAAGACTGCTCGACGTCTGTTTGGCCGAGAAGGTTGGCTCGTGGATGAAAGGCATCAGGTGGTGAAATCTCCGGAAATAGATGTCCAGGCTGATATCCAAGATCTGTGTCGACGGAAATTTGGCAGATCCGCAGCTGTCGACACTCGCATTCTCTGCCGCACTACTATGGTTGCTGATTGCGGCGTCGCCATTCGACTTTCGCCTTGAACGAGGCTGCGAATGAAGAGGCGCACAATCTTCTACCAGCCTTAGCCTCCTAGCTTCGTCCAAGCCCCATCGTGATTCTCCTTTCCGAGAGGGAGTCCGTGAGGACAGGCTTTCTTCGTCCACTGCTTCCATCGGCTGTGAGAATATGTTGTCTTCCGGGTAAGAAGAGACATCACGCCAGAGAGTCTGGATCAAACGTCGCGGCGTCTGCTTCTTCATCGGCCACAAGCTCGCAATCTTTGCATACCTTTCGTCAGATATATCGTCTGTGGGCGGCGACCGGACGAGTACTCGAGAGTATGAAGGTGAAAGACCCAGCGTCGAGCCACCCGGAATGCTCCCGAATCCAAACTGGGGCAGGTCATCCCAGATATTCAGGCCCAACGACAAGTCGGGAGGCTCTAACCAGCTCTGGACTGCGTCGAACGGGTCGGCGACTCTACGGTCAACAGGACCGCCGGAGTCAGGTGGATATGGGACCGCTTGCAATGCCGGGCCGTTTGATCGAGCCTGCGTAGCTGCCCCTCCCTGGTGTTGAGCGCCCTCGCCGGGGAGTGGTGTCTGCATCAAGCTTGCCGGCGGCACATCGTAGGGCGATGATGGTGCGTCTAGAGCTTTCGTCCCCGCTGTCGCTCCTTCGCCCAGGCCAGACGCCACAGGCCGCAAGGTGCTTTGCTGTCCGTCGTCAGAATGATGGTTGCGAACATGTCGCATTAAGACGTCACTCCGTCCGTATTCGCGACCACAATAACTACATTTGAACGGCTTCTCCCCGGTATGAGCCCGCTGGTGGCGGTGGAGATGCTCCGCCTTGACGAATTTCCTCTCACAGAACAGACACTTCCTGTCGCGCGACCCCTTCGAGGGCATCTTGAAGTGTCCCTCGTCGCCGCCTCATGGGATCAGGGAGGCTGCTCCGCTTTGGTCCGAATGTGTGGCAGGATAGTTAAGATTCCAAGCCGACGAGACCAGACCTTGTCCCAAGGATACTGTGGAGCAATTTCGACGGCCAAACAGACCCTGTGGTGCCCGTCTCTGTCCGAGTAGCTGGGGCCGCTGGGGCACCTGGGGGAGGGAGGGAACGCGGAGAACCTCCACTACGAAAGTCGGCCCCATAACACCACGACTGTACTCACGTGGTAGACAGCACTTCGTGGACCCTCTGTATCTCGATACGGCGGAGTTCGAAGGACAGAGTGCCAGGATCACAGCGACAACAGCGACACGAGATTTATCGATAGCCACCGCTTGCACAATGAAGAGCTACTAACACAACTAGAGAGGCTTGAATATTGGCCTCGTTCTGGCACCAGTCAGAAGGATGAAGTTCAGTATAATTAACCCCGAGCAGATCCCCCAAGCAGCAAGTGCAAGAGAATCCGTCGGCTGCACCATCATGCGGGTCGCAATGCGGAAGGGGTTCTTCGAGCTCATTCATCTTCTACCGATGTTTTTCGAGCCATCTCTCCTTCGCCGATAGTCCGAAGAGTTCTCCTAAGACGACCGGTCATCCTCGGAGTGAGTAATCTTAGTGTCTTCTAGAACGGGAGCTGTACTCGAATGCTCTTTCGTGCGACCAGGGTTCTTTCCCATTGCACCCTCCCGCACCATGTGAACTGCGGTGTGATTGGTGAGGTACTGAGACGAGTCCTTGATGCAGCACGCGCACGCGATGGCGATAATCCCAAACGGGATCGAGCTGTAGAAGACCATCCTGAAAGCATGGGCGTATGCCTCCTTATAGGCATGGGCCGCTGCTTGTTCAATGGCGGGAGTTATCCCGGGCACCGAAGCAAAGACTCCTGGTATTCCCACTGCATTTTCAGCGGTCGCAGGAATTAGAGCTGCCAGTTGGTCGGCAGATAGCTCGAAGGTAGCTGCCACCTCTGCGAGCTTCTTGGGAATTTGGCCTTTAACAACGCCGTTGAGAATCGTGTTGAAGACTTTCTGCTGTTAGCACGGACTATAGCATGCGGTAGATAGAACCACTTACTCGCATTGCCAACGCTGCCGCCTCCGCTGCGGAATGTCCCAATCAATCCGGAGGCGATACCCAAATGCCTCAGTGGCACATTCAGTCCCGCAATCACATAGCAGAGTAGAGTTATCAAGGCGAAAGGCCCCATGCTGAAGAACTGGAATGCCGACCACGCCGCTCGGTTCATGGGAATGAACCCAGCAAAGGCTGCCGTGAAAACCGTCTGGAAAATCAAGCATACAATGACCTGAAGCTTCAAATGGCCGATTTTGCCCATGAAGAGAGTTGCAATACCGCCGCACAAGACCTGGGCGACACCGTTTGGCAGAGCAATGACACCAATCTGGATCGGGTCGGACGTGTACATGTAGAGCGAACCCTGTGGAAGAAGGCCTGCGAAGGAGTAGAAAACCATGCCTGCCGCCGAGGTCAGCAATCCATGAGGTCTGAGCCTTGGGGAGGGATTACTCACCAGCCACAAAAACAACCACGAGAAGCACTGTGAATTCACGGACCTGGCGGAACAAGCTGTATGGGAAGAACGGCTGTTGCGGTACGGTGAAGTCGTAGATAAAGCACGCCACCAGAGTCAAGATACCCACGATGATGGGTGCAATCACGGAAGCCGATTTCCAGGCATGCCCGGGGGTGCCGGCCCAGGTCAGTCCGATCAGGAATATGGTCAAACCGCCAGTGTAAAGTAGGAACCCGATATAATCAACCTCCTTGATTTGCTGCCAGCGGGACTTCTGGAAATCGTACTGTGGCCTTGGTGGGGGATAGTAGAAGAGTATCGTGCCGATCATACTTAAGACACCGTAGATAATACCCTAAGACGGTCAGGAGGCGTTCTATCCAAGCGCAGCAATAGAATGCCAGGACTCACGATGTAGTAGCACCAGCGCCACTTGGCACCCGTGTTGGCATTCAAAGAGGTAGCACTGCTTTTATGTCAATATTTGGGCTGATTCACGAAACTCAGGTTCAGCAATTGCCAGGACTGAGCTAACTCACATCAAGGTGCCTGCAAGCGCCCATGGCAATGTCATGGCACATTCGGTAAGACCAAGCAAGCCTCGCCACTTGTTGGGGACGAGCTCCTGGATGCCGGCATAGCTCACAAAGATAATGCCACAGCCAAACCCGATAACGGTCGAGGCTGCTGCGAGCATGAGGGTCGACTGCGAAGTACACGCGATGATCTTGAGACATCTGTCAGCATGTGCCTGACGGTGACGGTGCTTGACTTACAGATCCGATAATTGCAATGATTTCACCGGAAACCACGGTCCACCTCCGGCCGAAGACATCAGATATGGCGCCCGCGAGAGAAAAGCTGACCGACGAGGCAATACTCCAGCCGCCCACAATCCAAGATATATGCTCAGTGTCTCCAAGGTCCGTCCCGATTGGGACGAGGATGCTAGTGACGAGGACAAAGCCACACGAAATCGGGCAGACATAGGAGAAGGAAAGAGACTGGGAGAAGCGTTAGCACGCGGACTGTCCAAAGGCCCCAGGTTCGTCACTCACAGCTATCGCAAGGAAAGTCGTCAAGGTCAGGCTCTCTGCCTTCTCCGGATTGTCCTCCAATGCTGCTTTGTGTGGGTCGTCGAGGTCGAGAGGAACCTCGTGAACGGCCACATGTCGAGCCTCGGATCGGGCATGCTCAGTGACTTCGACCTCAGCGCCAACTCTTTTCTCTGCCAGTGAGCCAGCCATGGTGTACAAGGCCCGGTGAGTGGTTGCAGTGTCCGAGTACCGGCCGGGGTAGGGTGAGCAGAAGAGGAGGCAAGTGGAAAAGTGCAGTTGACCATGTTGATAAAGTCGCCAAAGTTCCAAGTCCCCAGTCAACCCGCGTGTATTAGTTAGCGAAAGTGGTCCCTTTCCACCTGGTGAATGGCGGTTGAGCGCAATCTGGGGCCCCGGTCGCACCTTGCTACCGCAGGCTAAATCCTCCACGGCCACGCCTCAGGGGATTGGCGACACGCTAGATCAAGCTTCCGAGGCCTTCTGGACCAGCATGGTCTGGAGCGCCGTGAGCGCCTGGGTATTTTCCGTGGGCTTAGTGCCAGGTCATGCACGCCGTGTTGGTCAATCATCGAGGAGAACGAGATGCCCACCATACGACGTACCCAGGACGAGGTGAAAGAGCTGTGAGTTGGATCAAATACTCTCTGGCCAGACCTGAGGTGACTCCTTTGCCTGTCATGGTTCATCACGTCGGACACAGCCGCTAGTACTGGAGTACAATAGATACGAGTAGCTGCGGCTGCCTCATTCCGAGAGTGGCTTAGCCTGTCAGAACTTTGTGCAACCTCTGGCCAGCATGTGACGGCCCGGCCGAATTACAAACACTGCGTCCAGTACTCGCAGGCCTTTCGAGTTACTTGGCCATGATTTTTGCTGCATCCGCTGGTCTTGCCAAGTGCATCCACCCAGGCAATCATGCTCGAAGTCCTCCGCACTCGAACCAGTCCTCGTTCGCACTGCCGTCGGCTGGGGCCTGAGCCATTCCTCGTGGGCATAAATCTATTACCGCTCGGAAGCTTGGAACAGGACAACTTGAAGAAATCTGGTCTACAGAATAGACCCAGAGCATGTCCCACACATGTGGGGTGCGAATCAGCAGAGCTCGATCTAAGCCTGGTCTGGGGACCCCACCTAACTGGGGAGACACGGAGAGTACGGAGTAATGGGGTGCTGTATACGTGGTCCCCAGTACGAGTTACTCCGTGCGGATTACAACACAGGCGGAAGGCTGGAGCCGTCAGCAAGCTGCTAGAGGGATAAACCCTGTGCACCACGTGCCTTAACCGACCCAACGCTCTCCATGGGCGGGGACCGAACATCTGGATCGCGGGCACAAAAGAAAAGTTAAATCAACACCACCAGACCAAAGCGGGCGTACTGAAGCATAGAGCGCTGGAGGCAGTCCTCCATCCATTTCTGACGTTCTATGTCAGTTCAAATGGACTGTCTAGGCTGGCTCTGTCTGTTGTACACTTACTGAAACACTGGATAAATGCGCTCTTGACATGCATATTGCAGGCTGGGCGGATCCACGGCTTAGGTCTTCTGATGGACTGGCTGGTTTATGACCCTGAGCGATCTCTGATCGACTCAACCACCTGCAAGTCTCCGGGTGCCGGCGCCATCATGGTCTAGCGACCAGCATGCCACTATCGACGCGTGACCCGAAGATCGTGGTGAGGAGCGGGTGGGACGAGTGGAGCAGCCCCATTCGTTGGTAAAGGAGAGAGCTTGCGGGACAACAGCAGTCGAACCCCAGTACTGTAATTCCTTATGCAGTGTCCATCGCGTCCCCATTGGCTCCGTTCGTGCCGTCAATGGCGAAGGTAACAGCTCCGCTGTCGCTGATGAAATGCTTCTCGAAGTCGTTGACCAGTTTGATCGACCTTGAGGGATCGTAGAACAAGCGGTAGCTCCTCTGGACATCGTCGATGCTGACCTCCTTCGCCTTGCGCTTCTGACTCAACAGGGTCGATGTGGTGATGATGTTGCTCGCATATCTCAATCCAGACTCCTGGCCGATCTTCGTCAAAAGGGCAAGTGCGTCTGCTGACAGGTCGACCTCTTCCTCTTGAGCACGAACGGCCAGGATTTGCGAGATCTCTTCGGGGGAGTATGCTTGCGTACTGATGATGACCACTCGGTCCAGGAAGTCCAGCGGCAGCCCATGTGGCGAGCTATAAGTCGTCCCACGGATTCGGGTGTTGCCTCTGTTGCTCGCCATGATGACGATGGGTGCAAGGTCTGCTTCCAAAGCGCGATTGATGTATGAATAGCATTCGATGTCGAGCATGTGCACCTCATCAATGAAAAGCACGCCAGGTATGATCTCAGCTTTGCCTTCTTCCCTCCATTCCCCAACCTTGGTATTGATCTGATCACGAACTTCGCTCCTAATCTCTCCCGTGTCGCCGGAAAACAGGGCGAGGAACCCTTGTGTCCGGGAGTTGATGACATCAATTTCATGCAGACTGACCGTATGGACCACCTCTTTTCGCACCTGGAGTTCGCCCTCAGGGCACTGCACGAATTTAGTGTCTGCGCCCATAGCGTCGTAATCCCGTGACCGCGTGTATGATCTTCCCAGCTTGGTGATTTTCCCTGAGGACTTGTCTATCGAGATGACATCGCCAGCCATCACTCTTTCCTTGGTCATTGAGTCGATCATCTTGGTGCCCATATCGTATACTGTCTCCATGTCGGTCGTTTTGATGGTGAGTTTGCCCTGCTTGTTACCCTGGACGGTCTTGTCAGCCTACATCTTGCAAGGTTGGAGACCGATTCTTACACCCGAGACGCTTCTGTCAATCTGTATTTCTACCACCTCGCCCTCTATTATTTCACTTTCCTCCTTAATCCTGACACCGATAGACTTTCGGAAGGCTTGAGTGAGGGCCTCTGTTTTGGACATTTCAAGGGAGAAGATCTCGGACGATGCGAGCATCGTGAAAGGGACATCAGGACCGAGTGACTGTGCCATAGCCATCGCGATCGCCGTTTTGCCTGTGCTTGGAGGTCCAGCAACCAAAACAGCCCTTCCAGCAATCTTCCCATCCTTGACCATGCGCAGGATGACTGCGGCTGCTTTTCGTGCCTTTTCCTGGCCAACAAGTCCTTGCGAGGACCCTCCAGGCTCTAAAGTCGCCAAGTCCACCCCAAGGCCTCGGATATGAGAATGCGCCGCGATGAGGTTGAGCCCGCGGACATCCCGGCTTTCGGAGACGGTTGTTATGGGCTACGAAGGTTAGCTGTGCAACAAGACGATGCAGTGAGGAGCACTCACGGCGGCCATCTTGCGGTGATTACAAGCAGATCTCGGGATGTAGAGGCCGCTTTGAGAAGGGAGTACCACCGAGCTCCAGGCATGGACATCAACAGTGGACGCTGGTGTGGAACTTGTTCTGTGACGCTGTGAATCTATCCGCGAAATTTCGCGACTCGCTAAACATTCCGCATATGGAACGCGCGTTCAGGCACCGCGCCGATCAATTGAAGGCAATGTGAGGGCAAGGAATCGTGTCGTGGACGAGGCTCCCAGGTACAATTCAACGTTTAGTCCCTTTACCACACTGACAGCGCGCACTTCTGACTTCCCAATCCTTTGTCAATCCTGTAATCCGAAAACTCAAGCCGCTTCAGCTTGACTTTGTCGCGCCGATTGCTCCTTCACATCCCTCTTGCCGACTTCGCCAGGCTGCCCTCACTACCTCCGCCCTACAATTTCAATTCTCAACTTCTCGCTCGTCGTGGAGACTTTACAAGGACGATATGTGGTGGCGCCCACGTTAGCTTGAGAATTATGCTGGAGTGAATATGCCGGGTTCACCCTTGCAGAATTTACCACCTGCTGCCAACGACCAGCGCTCACCGGCAAGAGATCCTAGGATCAGAAACAGAACAGGTTCTGCCCATGTCGTGGATCAAAATGCAGATACTGGTAGAGGGCCTCTTTCTGACTTCCGGGAGTCGTTCCGGAAGGGAGACGACACACCCTCTACGACCACTCCACAAAGCCCCTCCGTGAGGCTCGACAACCCTCTTCCGGTCCCAAATGATCAGCCCGAACTCCTGTACTCGTTCTCACGGCACATTCACAATTCTCAGTCTGTTGACTTTCTCAGTCGGAAGCTGGCATATCTGAGGAGTGAACGCAGTGCTGCTCGGTCAGATCACGAAAAAGTCAGAAAGGAGAGAGATAGATTTCCAGTTGTAGTCGACCAGGCTCGCGACAGAGTGTCCAAGATCGAAGGTGTTTACAAGGCGGTCAAGCAAGACGAGGCCAATGCGCGAGCGGCAGAAGAAGCCTCCGGAGGCAAGTTGATAACTGTGCTACTCGAAAGGGTAAAGGACATGGTGGAGGAGAGGGACGTCTTGGTCAAAGAGAAAGACGATGCCCACAAGCTTCTGACTGAGCAAGTGGGCAGAATGCAACAGCAGTTGCAAACTGTCCTCTCGCAACAAGCCACGGCAGCCGCCCAGCCACCACCTGTTTCCAACGAACTCAAAATTCAGCTCCAGAAACTTGAGGAGTTTCGAGCACAACAAGAATCCGAAAACAAGAAGTTCAGCGCTATTCACGACAAATTGCGTGGTTTGGAAGAGATGCGCTCTGAACTACGTGCCAGCAGTAAGGCTGCGAGTCATGATGCCATGCAAGCAATCGAGGCACTGAAATCAGAGATCGAAAGTTTGCAGCGGGGTGTGGGGACCTTGGAGCAGAAGTTGCCCCCTGTCGAATCCCAACTTGTGGACACACAAACTCTACGTGCAATGGAGAGACAGCTCGAAGAGCAGTTCCAGCAGATCAAAGACGCATCCAGATCGCACCAACAAGTGGTCGATAATGTTGAGCGCCTTCGCAAATCCATGCATTTGAAGGTCGAGAATATGCATGGCGAGTTGAGGGATGATCTCTCGACCATCAAGACAGATCTAGGCACGCTTAGCTTCCAAGTCTTAGGCCAAGGTGAAGACCAATCCAAGCTTACGACACGTGTCGTGGCGCTTGAGGAACTTGTGAGTCCTGGACCTCAGGGGAGTGGAGGTCTGCAAACTGAGATCGATACTCTCAAACGGGCGGATCAAGATCAGTCAGAGAAAGTGGCTGCACTGGACACGTCCCTGGAAGAATTTGCTGAGAGATTTGACTCTCTTGAGACGCGACTTGCACATTTCGACGCAACCCCACACACGAACAGCGCCGTTGAAGAGCTGACTTCCTTTCGCTCCCAACTCGCCGAACGTATCATGGAGTGGAAGAGTTCTGAAGAGAAGCTGAGTAAAGAGCTGAGCGGCCTACAGCAGCAAGTCAAAGATGCCATTGCACGCCCAAGTGCCTATAAGGCAGAAGTGGATAAAGACTTACAGACTCTCAAGAGCCAAATCGCTGATCATGCCAGCAAGCGCACGAAATGGGAAGATACCCTCGAAAAAGAGGTCAAAACATTAACAGCCAACTTTGTCGAGCAGGCAGCGGTGCAAGCACGTGATGTTAAGAAGCTCGAGACGGAATTTGCTGCTTACACAGAGATCTGGAAGCGGTCTGAAACCGAGCAAAATAGGACCGTTGTTGAAGCGGTGGACAAACTCCGGGATGAGCAGGCAGCCATGAGAAGAGTCCTCGCGCAACAGTCGACGCAAGGCCTGTCAGAGGATGAACGTCAGCAGGTCCAACACGCGGCGAGCCTGGCCTCGAACGTCCAAGAACTTGGAACTCAGGTAACAAACGTGCAGAAGGATCTGGAGAAGCAATGTCATTTGACAGTCAGCCTTACTCAACGGTTCAACAACCTTACCACGGATGAGCTCGCTCGTCGCATGACGGGGGTGGTGAGCAAAGCTCTGCCAAAGTATGAAAAGCAGGTCCAGAAGCTTGATGACCAGGTTCAGAAGCTCGACAGCGAGTTGCAGGCATTATGTCAGGAAGTGGGCGTGCGGGAAAAAGCGGAAGGCGCCACACTCGAGGTAGAAAAGAGACTTCAGGAGCTCAAAGTCGGGCTCGAAGACATTGCTGCAAAATTCCAGTCAAGCCATGACGCCCTTGCCAAGAACTTCGCCGAGGCGCGCGACAAAATCCAGAGTCAAATCGAGGAGCTACAAGGAAACCACCGCGAGCTCGAGTTATCGCTGGACCAGAATGACGCCAGCCAGTCAACGTACCGGGAGTCTACCGCCAAAACTCTCAAGGCCTTCGAAACCAGACTCGAGAGCATCGGTAGTCGCAATGAGAAGCCCGCGGAGCCCGCTGCACGCGAGCTCTTCCCAAACAATGGCCACAAGCAACAATCGGGTGGTAATCCTCTGCCGCGGTCAACCAGCGACAAAATCAGTCTACCGAGAAAGATGACAGTCGATGACTCAGACGATGAAGAAGAGGATCTGGATTCATCGGACATTCTTGCGAGGTTCACGAAGCCACCACCTCAACAACCTAGATTGTCTTCGCAGCGTCAGTCATCGCGGAAGTCAACTCAATCCGGGGAATTATCGAAACGCAAGCGATCACTGAGCCAGGAGGAGACGACCGAAGCTGAATATTCCATCAAAGGCAGAGCTTCAAAGAAGTCGCATCGGTAGCCAAGCTGCGAACCCAGCGCCCAGTCATGGTGACATGATTTTCTTTGCGCTCTTCTCGGACATGCCGAAGAAGAGGACTTGTACAGAGACGCGAGACATGCCTGATCCAGCCTCGATGCTACAGAGGGCATCATATCAGACCGCTGGATTCATGGTGATTACAGGACACGACTTATGATACCCCGGGCATGACCCTTGATATTTTGTTTGCATTATGAGACAGCGATTAAGATGTGGTCCCTCGAGTGGTTGCAGCCTGCAGGGGGTCTACATCCGCACAATAACAGGAGTTGTGTGGTGGCAGAGTCTCTGCATTGTGTCGACGCTGTAGATAGTTAGCAGTCCTTCTGTCATGCGATTTGGCATGGTAACCTACGTGCCGTTGACACAGCAGCGCGATGTGTTGCTCAGTCTGTGGACAGAATAAATCTCCCAAATATTGGTCGATGCGCCATTCTTCCCCAAAAGAGTAAGACACTCTATCAGCAATTCAGGGCCCAAGCACCGTTCGTGCATGTTTCCTCCTTCAGCTGGACGCTGCCAGGGACATTCGCCTCCAGCCAGAAGGCGACACGGGGAGATGATAATGCCAAGACTGCCACGCTGACAAAACAAAGCTTGATTCCTCTGAGACGACTTCAATTGGCTGATCGAAGCACCCCGCCCAGTCCGGTGTATTCCAGTTATGGTTTAGCTTGGTCAACTAAGATCGATGCGTAGTCAGCGACCTCAGGCCCCCTAATGTCGGAGGCACTGCCAATATGAAAACACAGACCTGGGACGTCTTTGTGAAAGGCCGAAGCTGGCCCTCTACCAGACTGTCAAACAGTTCGAGGCAATCATGGACTCGGTGCCCGAACCAGATCTTGAAAAGGGAGGCACCACTAGTCCCAAAGCCCATGAGCATCACCATCTACCTTTTCACCATGACCACAGCCACCACAGCCACCGCGGCAGACGCTTCCTGGAGTTTGTGCACCCCCACACCGGCAAGACGTTGGTTGTCTGCCAGAGTCCGGAGCAACTCGAACGCAGAAGGACCGAGCTGCTGCAGGAGAAGTCTGACCACGAGTTCGACGTGATTCTGCAAGGCTCAGCCCAGCATATCGAGGCAATCCGCGACCTGCACGCACACCACGAAGCCAAGAGAGACCAGCTGAGGGAGCAACATGGCGATCTGTATGCCGATATCGAACATGTCAAGTCTGAGTTGGACGCTCTAGCTGCCGAGATCCATCACGTTACAGCGCATGCCGTGTCTCTTGACGCCTCGTTCGATCGTTATGGTTACTCTGCACATCTCAGGACGACGGATGACGATTCGGAAAAGTCATCTATACATAGCGATCATCCCTCGGCACAGGACAAGCACAAAGATCGCTCGGTCGAAGCTATCCAGTTCTTTAGACGCCCTACGGTCCGCCAGGTAAGTGTCCTGCTGCCATTGACGGTGGTTTGCTTAGCCTCGTCACATACCTGCCACTGCTAAGGTCCTGGACAGTACTTTCACAAAGGCCTCTTGTGGAGGTCTTCGAGAGCCGGAGAAGTTGGAAGTTTCGAACGTAAGTGATCCTGGACCCCCTGGGCTGTGACCGTCTCGACGTCGCCGTGTGCAACAAGTGAAATTCTGACGTGCGCTCTAGTGTTCGTGGATCTCGTCTACGTCGGCGTCATCGACATAGTGGGAGAGAAAGCTGCCGAGCACCCTGATGGCCTGTCCTTGCTCCAATTCGTCATCATCTTTTGTATCGCTTGGAAGATCTGGGCCGATCTGACCATGTGGATCAACTACTTCGAAATGGACGAGTATGCAGCCGGGCTCTGTTGTCCCTGAACGATGCTAACGGCGTGTAGTATTTTTCAGAGGATATGTGTCATCTTCTACCTGATCTGCTTGTTTGGATTCACCACAAACATTTTTTATGCCTTTGACTCGACCTATACGTCCTGCATTGCCTTCTATGTCACCCAGAGATTGTTCGCGGCAACCTGGTTTGCGGCCGTGGCTCTAATTCTCCGCCAGGTCAGAGGTGCCATGATGATGACTGCCATCATCAATGTTGTTACTGCTGCCGTTTGGATTGCAAGCATCCATGTAGCGTGGCCCAGTCAACTGGCTCCGATCGTCGTTGCCATATTCATTGACCTGTTCGGGAATGTTCTATTGATCGGGACAATGAAAGCAGCGGCCAAGAACAGGTTACCGGACGTAATTGCGCGGGCGTTCGAGTTCTTCCCTGCCATCAACATTGAACACCGGGTGGAACGAAACAATGCATTTGTGTCGCTGGTAGGGCGAACCCCTCTGTTGGATACTTGCACAGAAATTGACCGTGATGCGCAGGTGTTCGGCTATTCTATTCTCACCATCTTGTTCCAGTCGAGAGCTTCGTTCGGCATCAACGCATTCTTTGGAAAGGGTGTCCTTGGCCTGATTCAGGCATTCATGTTCAACTGGTAAGTCGAACGCCTCCTGGATCTGTGTTTACAACGAACGAAGACTCATCTGCAATAGGATCTACTTCGAGATCGACGCGTATCACGTCCACGTCCATGCGATTCGGAGACACTGGCTTTCTGCTTCCGCCTGGGTTACCGCGCATCTACCGTTCATCATGGGTTACGTCCTTGCTGCATCGACACTTTCGCGGCTGGTCTTGGCCCACGACTGCCCCGATGCAGACGCTCACGATCTCGGAGAGCACTACGAGGAAAGCAGTGAGGCCGAAGTCTCCCACGGCCTTCGATGGTTCTACTGTGGTGGACTCGGGATTGCCTTGATATCTATGGCCTTGATTTCGTTCTGTCACATCCACAAACGACTGGAAAAAGCTCGTCTTCGGAAACGGCCTCGACTGATCGTTCGGCTGTGCGTGGCCGCCATCATCATTTGTCTGCCCACTGCCGAGTCGCTAAATTCTCTCCACCTCATCTCGATCACGACGGCCCTTGTATTCGTCGTGCTGTGTCTGGATCTGTACGGCATGTCTTGTGATGTGAGTCTCCCCCCCCAAAACCCAAGTCAGGTTCAGGTCGGGCAGAATTACGCGGCCTCCGGATTCCCACAATCATACACCTTGCGCATGCTGACAGTGAAGCAGGGGGATCGCTTCTTCAGTGGCGGTTGGTGCGAGGAGTCCAAGAAGAACTGTACCTACAGCGCCAAGTGCAAGCTGGGTCGGAGACGGCGGCAAGAGCTAGAAGAAGCTCTTCGAAAGGGCCAGAAGGTCTCCCTGACCGATCTACTCAAGAGGCATTCAAGCATGAGTAGTCTGGAGAGCCAAGACAGCCGAGATGAAGAGTGGCATGGAGGACACTACTGAAGCCAATATCTACTTCCCCTTGGCGTATCACGATTGACCAGAACCAGAACCAGAATCATCGATGCCGTCGGTTGTCATGATCAAAATCATTGAATGTCATCGGTTGTCGTCGGATTCAGGCTCGCAACGGATGTACCCCGTCTTTCGTACCCAGGAGTGATGTATCGCCAAACGAAAAGAGGGCACGTCAAAGACAATTAGAAGCGAGTGTTCGTCAATTCCTTCAAGCCGTGCAAACTTGAAGAGCATCCCGTCAATCGACGGCCACCAACGAGAGCAATTGGAATCTCTAATGTTCTTCATCCCACCGGCTCCGGCTTACAGCCTCGGACATGAGCGAACACATGATGCGACAACTCTTCCTCATCATGGACCACTACGTAACTACAGTGTTATCCACCCCCGCCCCCTCCTGGGAATCCATTTCACAGCCGGGTATCGACGAGCTGGACCGTTGAGCTGGGATTTTCTGGCTACCGAGGGCGCCAGTCATTAACGACCCGGGCCTCTTCCGCGTCGATGGATTGACGCTGAGTGAAGATCCAGAACCGATTGCATTCTGGAAACATCACGCCTTCGCCTTCGCGCAGTTTTCGAAAGGGGCTCTGCTCATATTTCCAGGCCCTATCACTGTCAGTCAATCAATCTCTGTGCCCTGCTGAATGCTACATCCCCCACAGACCAAAGGGGTGACTTCCACTTATCCTGATCTGGAGAGCAGTATTGAGAGAAGGAACGCGGATAGGCTCATGGGTATATCTATATATATCTAGACACAAACAATCTGATATACCAATGATCCCGTATGGCACACGACGCCGCCCCCGCCACAGCTGGACCCCGGCGATGCGACCATCTTCCTGGGCAGCACCTTCCATGCCGATGGGGCCAACACCACGGTCGACCAGGTTAGAGAGACCGGGGGGATATACCTGACCACGGGCACGTATCGGCAGGTGAAGAATCAGTATCCGACAGTCCCGCCCTGCAAAAGCTGCCGCGCTGGTCTCCGCAGGCACAGAGGTTGCTTGGGTATGGTGTCTCCCCGCCCTTCTGTGGCCTTCAGGAGGGATTCTATAAGGATCCTATGCAAGGGTTGTTTGAAGTGGTTGATTCGAAGACCGTCGTGCTTTGAGCGATGATGGCGGGTCCTCATGAACATCCTAGAGAGCTTTAAATCCATAGGAATTAGCATGAACACGGAGTAGTGGAGTGTTCATTGGGGGTAGTCTGTCAACTCAGGACGTAGAAGGACGGTTGACAGGCTCCAGAACATCTTGAAGAACACCCTTATCATCGAAAGTGACGCTGTCCAGGAAACTTCAGTGGGCCTCTGAAGCCACGAGAAGAAAGTTTCGCCACGGGGCTCCTCATCCCACAAAGAACTGACAGATTCGGCGTGGCGTTTCGATAAAAGCTGAATACTCCGTTAACCCGCACGCAATGAGGGCCACATATTTGGTTCATGTTCCTCCTTTTGTTCCAAGTCCCGAGAGTACTCCTTCGTATGGATATACCTCGTACGCGAACTTCCCCCAATCTCCAACTCACCCGCCGGCGCAGGATGAAAGGCGTGCCAAGGCCTTGCGTGCTTTTGTCCTTGTCTTCACCATGGTGTTGAACAGCTGGGCCTTCAGCACAGCTGTTCTGGTTGAGCTCGTGCCTGGGCGCATTGCGCCATCCTGCTCGACACTCGCTACAGGCCTTGCAAAGCCGACAGCCCTCATCTTGCCTCCTCATGACACGTCTCTCAACTGGAGGGGAGCCACCGGGTACTCAGCCTCGTGACCTCCCGAAGCCGAAGTTCCTCAGAGGCATCCGAGCCGAGCGGGGTTTCCTATGATGAAAGCCCTTCCCTGTTGATCTTGGAATCTGTAAAACTCGCCCAGTACGTTCGGGTGAACGCTTGTGAAACCCACCTCGGCGAAAACGACTCGCCAGGCGTTTCAGTCCTTCACGCGGGTCTGGTGATCGTGCCTCAGAAACACCTCGAGAGGCGTCTCCTCCCGGATCACGTCCTTGCGAAAGAGAGGGTTTCCGATCTGGTCTCGAATCGTGAGCGTGACGTGGGGAGAGTCTCGGCGGTACGGGGGCCGTTCGGCGGGGGCACCATCCTCATCACAGTCCATTACATCCATCATCTTTGGTCCGTGGTATGTCACTTTCGTGATTCGGGCGCAGGGGATTGAGGAGCCTGACCGTGGTTTCTTGTCCTCGAGATCAGCCTGCATGACTCTAGGCTCATGGATTGAAAGACGCTTACACCGGGGTCCGATCTCTTCCTCCTTCTTCGCATTCTTCTTGGGCCTATGTGAATATTGACCCTTCTCGCTCAGTCCGTCCAGGTCGCTGAAAGCAACTGTACGCCCACGTTTGATTCCCTTCCTCCGCTCTGGAGGTTGCTGGGTTACTGATACATTTCCGCCTGACGTTGGAGCCACCTTTATGATCCTTTCAATATCTGTCACTGGGTTTTCCCTTACTAGCTCCAAAGAGGCTTGCACTTCTCCAGGAGTTATACGAGTATCCTGGACGGCTGCTCCGACCTTGGTCTTCTTAGATTTCCCCCCACGATCAGATCGCGGCATCAGCGGCATTTCCGGATTAGAGGACGGAGGCAGGGAGATCAGGTCATCAATGGTAATATGTGGCGCAGCCGCCGGCTGTTTCTGTCTCAGGTGTGGAGAAATGAGTAACTCGACGCCTGTAGAAGGAGCCATACGCGGCTCTTGCGGGCTTTTGCCCTGAGTCGCAGCTGCTGCGGGAGATGGTGGATTGCCAGATATCTTAGCCTTTGGACGTGGAGGATTTACTGTTGCGTCCGGGGCCGAGCCGCTACGGTGCTTCGTATGACTCGTGGTCCTTTGCTTCTTGGTTCGGTTCTTCCTCATGACATCTTTACCTGCCTGGCCGTGCCTTGCAGCATCCTGTGTCTTGACACGCCTGGAAACCATGTCCTTCCTATTAGCGGTTTCATCATCGTCATGTTCAATGGTAGGCCGGAGTACGCTGGTTGAAGGTCGCTTTTCTGCTCCTGGCTTCGATGTTATAGACCCGAGGCTAGATCAGTCAACTGAACTCGCACCAGACTCCTTAGACGGTATTCGGTCTTGCAGAAGCCTCGTTTGAGGGTCTACCTTATCTTGACCCTTTTGACAATGGCCCTCGGACCGCCGTGCATCTGCTACTATGCCACCACCAGAAGCGCCATCTGCGGCAACAACAGTAGGCTTTTCTTTCCCCGACTGGCGCCCAACAGCGAGCTTAGCGGACGGGAAAGCGTTGTCAACTCTTGAGGGTGCAAAAGAAGAGCGCCTTTCGCATCTGTTGCTGGTGCCAGTGGCTGGCTTGCTGGACGGCACTGGGCAAACAGACTTGCCGACGAAAGGTGGATCGGCAGTCTCGTCAGACACTGCGACAGTTAGTTGATTCGAACCTTCTTCCGTTGTTATCCTCGCACCCTGTGCTGTTAGCGGCCATAGCCAGCCATCAGCAGCATTTCCAGCAGCCTGTTCATCAATCACAATAGGGTGACCTTTTACACCAGCCACCAGACCCGCCCCATTGCTGCCTGAGTTGCTGGCGCTACTTGTCGGCCGAGGCGAACAGACATTAGCGGCCCAGCGAGAGAGGCTGAGGGGGCGGGTTAGCCAACTGGTAAAACCCCCGAAAATGCCTTCACCAAGGACTTGTATTGAGGGCGACATTTGTCTTCTGCGGGCTCACCATGGGCTAGAAGACGGACGACTTTGCATGACTGGGCATAGTCGTTCTGGTGGCTGTGGGTCTGCGCCCGAGTTTGTGACTCCTCGATCGCCACCATACACATCTTTCTCCTCTCTTGCAGGTTGAGTATCATTTGCCCCAGGGCCGTGAAGACGACAGTTGGGGACGACGGATGATGTAGCCCTTGATTTTCCTTTGGCCTTCTCAGACAGCACCGGGATCTTGACTAACATCTTTCGCGGACCGACCGAGGAAACGGCTTCGAGCTGAACTTCGCCTGTAGCTCCTGCGCCCACGATCTCCTGTGCGTTTCTTAGAGCGTTCTGCTGTCTGGATATGGACAGCTGAAACTTTCTTCCCGGCTGTTGAGTATTTTTTCGAGACTCATACTCGCTCCTCAATCTCCTTGACAACTGAGCAAGAGGGTAGGGTTGCTGTAAATTACCCTTCAAAAGAGCACGCGCAATGATGGCTGCGGCATCAAGAGGTGTCGCCGCAAAACATAAACCATAATGCAGAATTTGCGCAAGCAGCCATACGTATTCCTGTTTCTCGAGCGCACGCCCAGCATTGGGATCCGGCTCGCCATCGGGCAAGATTGACCGTCGGATCCGATTCTCAAGATCGTGAACAGGCTCACGCGATATCCAGAAGGGTTCGCGGTCCTGCGGGATAGCTACTTGCTAACCGTGACCGGGAAACCATCTCCAATTCGTATCCCGAGTCAAGGGCCCCATAATACTCGCCCCCATGTCATCCAACCTTGCGGACTTGCCCAAAGTGCTCTGAAGCAGCTGAAGCTCCTGAGACTTCTTGGAAGCTAAGACCTCCAAGTGCTTCTTGTCCATACCGAATGATGCTCAGGTCTTGACCGGCACACGGGGACCCGAGATCTTCAGATTCTGGTTTTCCATGAGACCTTAGCGGAGCTTCGAGACAGGGTGGCAGATGCATCGCGAGGTCTTGCAGGGAGAGGAAGAGGCAAGGAGGGACAACGGTTGTCCAATGGTGATTGTGTGTAGAAGTAGAAGACGAGCGATCCGGAGCGTCCTATTAATATCTGGGACAGTTTAAAAGGGCTTCTTCACCACTTGCTCCGGCGTCGCTCACCTTGGACAAATCTCAACTTCCGAGACGCACGGAAATGTCTCAGTCATTGAAGCTGTCCGCTGCGATCTTCTACGGTGCCGGTGTTTTCAACGGAATGCTGGATGTGAGACCACCAGCCCGCGCTGAGCGAGACAGATTGACTTCGAGAGCGTCCAGATCGTAAGACAACCATGATATCCACATCCACGTGATTGGATGATCCAGAAATTGTCTGTGGGAATATCAGGTCGGCCGCCAAGGAATCGACGATGTAGAAGCCATTGGAGGTCAAGATTGTGAACGGGCGTCATCGCAAAGTGAAGTCAAGGGTGGAGTGAGCGATCGTCTGGCACATCCGGAGCGGCATCGCTGGTCAACACTCGTAAACGGGCTTCAGCCTCAGTGGTCTTGGATGGCATTGACTGTCTTCTGCTTGTCACGAGACAGTGACCCCGTTGCTATCGACCGTGGTTTGGTCTTCCACCAGACTAGACCTGGGGCTTCATACTGAGCACTGGTCAACAAAACCTCCAACCTTAGCTCTTGGGAAGGAGAAAGCGAAGAGAGACGGTGCAAATCCTACAAAAAGACGAAAGCCGACCACCTGTATGCGTTGCCTCGAAAGGTGTTTCCCTGGCGTCTTCAGCGACGTCGAGTGTTGCGAATTGCTTGTCCATCCTCCACCCCCCCATGCGCCATATTTTGCCAATGATCCGAGCCTTTCAGGCGGTACATGATTTCATCACAACCCAAGCCTTACTGCCCTAATCCCTGCCCACCCAAGGACGACCTCATTTCCTTCGCCCTCCTCGAAACAACCGGCATGATCTGTAAGGCGGGGTCAGCCGGGTCCCGTTCCGCGATTGTCATGTAGAGTCGCTCGAGCTTCTGAATCAGGGAGCTCAACAATGCCGGGGCATGTTGTGCCAAGTCAGCGATCTCGGGGTCCTGCAGAAAGGTGTCAGTAGACATCACAACGTGGAGGTAATAAGGACTTACAGATAGGTCGACTGAGTTGAAAGCGGCTGAGATCCACTCAAGACGTTGAGCGGTGTTCGTAGTCAACGAATTTCCGATCGTGACGGCAACCGAGAAAGCAATGAGCGGAGAAACATCGGTTGAGAGATACTCGGGGGTGAAGTGGATGAACAATTTGTCGAACAGATCTGATGGCTGCGCTGACTGTAGCCATTTTATCGAAGCTTCCTCATAGCGGCCGTCGTTCATGAGGTGGCTAATTTCGTCAAACTCAAGTTCCTCTCGAGTCTTTTGCCGAGGCGCGGGAGCACGAGAGATAGCTCGTGGCGACGGCGTCATACGAGCCGTTGACACTTGGCGAGACCCAGGCACCGAACTACCTTCGTCAAATAGTGCAAGCTGGCGACGATCCCTCAGGATCTGACCTTGAAAGGCGACCTGTGTATCGGACATTTGTTGCAATGTTGCCGCCGTAGCCTGAAGAACTTCGCCGAGTTTTTCGAGCCTGCTCATGTCGTGGCGTCTGTCGTTTTCCAATTGGCGAATCTCGTTACGAAGGCGCACCTCAACCTCGGATGCCGCCTTCTCAGCCATGGAGAGTGCAAGCGTCTTGAACGCAGGTACGACTTGCTTCTCCAGAATGTCATTCAGCTGACCCTCCATCTGCTTCGCGATCTTTGGCGAGATCGTATCTGCTATCGCCCGAGTCATGTTAGGGTTTTGAAGGGCTGCATTGATGGCAGTAGGCAGCTGAGCTCGCAGCTCAAGAGGCACCACGGAATGTAGACTTTTCGTGACAGCGTCTCCAACTTGTCCAGTGACTGCTTGTACCGCAGCCGTGGTCAGCGCTGGAATCATAGATTGGTCCATCTCAGCGGAGAGTATGCGAGACATTGCCTTCTCAACATTGTTGCTTAGAGTCGTAGAGACCAGTCGAAGCAGGGCTTCCTGGCGGGCGACCGCTGCCGAATCCTGCGCAACTCTATCATTCTGGATGTTCTGCTGCAAAACACCGAGCTCCCTCCGGAATTCCGTGGACACCGCCTTTTCGACCTTTTTGAGTTCTTTGTCGAGCCAGTCACCCGAAATGCCAACAGTGACTGCTTCCTGTTTGGCCATTGCTTCAGCCGTGGATGGAGGAGCTGCTGCCGCGGACGTGGGCGCATCAATCGGCACAGGGTCTGTACCCATAGTGGCAGACTTTGAGGATTCAGCGGCTTTGACAGGCGACTCGTTGGTTGGAATAGCTTTTTCGACGACTTGTGAATCAGCGACTTGGGGAACTTTCTTTTTGCTCTTCTTACTCTCCTTTACCAAAGGAATCTCCACCTTGGTCGGTTCCGACCCGTTGGCCAGCGTATGAAAAGGAATGGGCTTGGGAGGCACCGCTTCTTCGACTTGCGAAGTCTCTGGCCGTTCAGTGGATGTCGAGCTCTTCTTGCCAGACTTCTTCTTTGAGCTTTTGGTAGGCTGTGGCGTGTCCTCAACCGGGCTGCTTTCTTGATGGCCTTCTTCAATCACACTGCCTAGTCGCAATTCCTTCAAAGAGACATAGCCTTCATCCGCAGCATTAACACCATGCACAACTTTGCTGCTGGTATCCCAACCAAGGTCTTCTTTGGCGATATTGAGGCATGTGACACCCTTGGAGTGCACAATATAGAGCTCGAAGAGAGGTTTGCGTTCGTCGAGAGTCTTCTGAGCCTCCGTGGTTCGATAAATGGGCAAAATCTCGACGCTCCTGAGCTGGCCTTTTTCGGCAAACGAGATCTCGCGGATGCCACTCATACAGGCAGTTGATTCGGGTTTAGGTAGTTCCGGGTCTTTCTGAGCAATACGCTGAACGTACGCCGCCTGGGATAAAGTCGTAGCCAACGTGTATCTTGGTGCGGATAGGTGGATGAAGAAGAGCGAGTTTCGAGTAGGGTGTCCGACCACGATAATGCCGCTGCTAGCGTGGTAGCACACACTGCAGATAGGGTCGGTCTCGTTGTCGTGGGGGAAGTTGAGCTCTTGCACAGCCTTTCCTAAAGCAATGTCCCAGAGCTGAAGCGTATGATTTTGCCGCAGCCCAACCAAAACATAGCGCAGCGCCGAGCCCTTGTTGTATGGACGGACCTTGTCAACAAACGTAACCGAGGTCGGCCATGACTTTTCGGATGGTGATGCAGTCGAAAGAGACAGAAGTGGAGAGTCTACAGTCATGCCTGCCACACGAGCTGCACTGGCATTGGACTCATCAATCAACTTGCGAATGTCCCAGAACCGAAGTCTTCCAGTCTTGTCCAGAGACACGACAAGAGTGTCGTCCTCGCTGAAGGTGAAATCCTTTCCGGCCTTGCCAGTGGCGATCTGCAGCGACCGTTCCTGGAAGAACTTTTCAACATCCACTCTCCGATTATGCCCTTCGACGCCATAACGCGGAGAGAGTGCGGTTGCTGGCCAGACAATATGAATTGCTTTGCCACGTCCAATAGCGAAGAACTCTGGATGCCGCGAACTCCGCTTCGCGCGTGTCTTCAGCACGCCTCCAGCGGTATTCTCATCAGCCGGAGGATAAGGAGGGAAAATGAGACTCTCAGTATCCAGCGCATTCTTCTCAAAGAGATCGTTTCCATTCTTGTTGATAGTCGCATAGTACACCGTGCCACTGACACCAGTTCCGAGAACAGTTTGATCATCACTTGGTTCCCCTGGAGCAGAGGATGTGCATAGCGCGACATTGAAGATACGGTCACCGGAGTTCTTGAACACTTGTCTGTCACTACCATCATCTTGTCGGATGATGCGCATGCCACCGTTCTTTACCAACGCGTAGGTGATGTACTTTGAAGTTGCCGCTGCCAAAGAACGATCCAGTTGGTCGAATTCCTTCTTTAGTCGCGAGATTTCCATGACGCCATCCTCTCTGATGCCGACTTCTGAAGGTTCAGGCAACTGCAAGTTGAGGGACACAAACGGCTTGATGGGGAAATTGTAGACAGGGACGACTCTGGCATCTTCTTTGTTCGGCGACCCCTCCATATCTTCCCATTCATCCCCGCCGTCAGGCGAATGAGCAACAGCCTTCTCTACTTCGGAGAGCTCCCCGTTCTTCGCCTCCGATAGACCATCCTCAGGAGTCTCGTCCATTGTTTTCTCTTCTTGCTTGACCTCTGGAGGGGCAGAGGCCAAGATATCCTGCACTGGCGCGACATCTTCGGTGCCAGGTTCCTGTTTTGGAAGCGACGGGTCGACTGAGGCTTCGCGCGAGATGGTCGCGTTTCTCGATGCCGAGGGCAGTCTAGGCGTAAGAATCTTTCTCTTGGCGACCTGTTCGGTAGTAGCCACGCGTGAAGTACCAGCTTCGGGACCATCAGAACCAGCTTCGACGCTGGGATGCGGGGTATCGACACCGAGCACCGTGGGAACGGACGTCCCGTTTCCGGGTGTCTGGGTGCGAGAGGCGTTTAACGAGGTGTGTAATGCCTCGAAAGGATTCGTGTACGTAAAGAGGGGCTGAGACTGCGCTGGAGGCTTGCTCGCCGGAACGGGTGTACCGATAGGGCCTGACTGAGGAGCGCTGGTCGAGATAAACGAAGACTGGCGATCAGCCGCGTCTCTTGACTGCGTTCGCTCAGCGGGAGCCTGACGTCCACCAGCAGAACTTCCAAGATGTGCTTTGCTCAAAAGCTTCAGGAGAGCATCCTGTGAAGCATCACGAGAGGTTGTAGAAGCCGGACGATCGCCACCTCCGCCCTGATCTTCCAGGTTGAAAGGAGACCTGAGTGGTGGCCGCACTTCGGCTGAAGGAGAAATGAGTTTGGCGACAAGGTCAGACGCTGAAGCCAATGGCTCTTGTCTGGACTCTTGAGGTGCCGGCAGCTTGCCATTCTGTCCTTCTGGGACAACATGAGCATTGCCAGCAGAAGATAGGCGCGTCGAGGTGGCATTCGAGGGTGTTGAGGCGGAAGGTCCAAAATTGAGCAAGTTCAGCAGAGACTGCGCAGAGGCAGACGGGGCTGATGCCACAGGTTGTGCGATTTGGCTGGTGTGCGAGCCCTCATTCGCGACGGAGGTAGAGCGCGGAGGAGGGCTTGATGGGAGTGGCGAGACGCCGGTGAACGGAGAAGGCTGGCCAGCATTGTTGGAGGTGTGGGATGGGGCAGGGGAATCGCGAAGCTTTGGCCTCAGGTTGGCAAACAGAGCTTGTAGGTCGTTGGTCGACATGGTTTCGGTCAATCGAAAGGACGTTAAGCTTGTGAGCTGACGGATTGCGTCTAGATCAAGCAACAGACAAGAGTTGAAAAGGCGCAGTCCCCGTTTCCCAGATTCTACAACGGGAAAGCTGAGGATAAAGCAGGAATGAATGGCAGCACCGACAGGCGCAGGGAACGATGTTTTCAAACGACACGTTCCGGTGGATTTTTGATGATGATACAGGGAGATTGAGGGAGGCTGAATCGATCGCAAAGGAAGCGCCTCTCAAAATTTCTCCGCAGTCTGTCGCATGAAGCTCCCACACTCCAACTTCGATGATGATTCATCGAGCGCCAAGACGGCACGCCGGACAGCCTTGCGGCGCTGCAGGCTTCATCGCCATAACAACCTGCTTCAACGGCCCAACTATTCCGTGCTTGTATTCCTTCAGATCTGTGTCAGTTCAAATTGCGATCACCATAGCTAATTGACAAGATCTATCTCCTCGCCAAAAAGCCATCCGAGCAGTATATACCTCCTTTCGCACCATTTTATTATAACAGCTGCTGGCGAATGGGCACGCTGCCATACGACCGTCCACATCCTGCATTTGCTTTCCCTGCCCTCGTGGTGCAATCATGACCTGGGATGTCCGGCATCTTGCACCCTATTAGCCCACGGCCAAATGGAGAGACTTGGTGGTGGTCCCAAAGTAGACCACGATGGGCTGCACCGTTTCGCTTAATACGGCTGTTGGCCTTGGGACATCTCACTTAGTTATATTACTAGACCTCCATGGGTTTCAAAATCCCAGACATAGACCTGTCGACTAAATGGAGATGTAGCTAGAGGTTGCGTCCTTCACGGATCTACGCTGAGCATGCGAGATATCAGGGTAGACATCCACGTCGTCGGAAACCCCTGTGTTGCTCGTCACATGTACCGATTGTCGCCGCGCCTCTTAAATATGTCTTCTCGAGACACGGGAATCTGAACAGTTCGACAGGGATCTATTTATTGGTTAATTCTGTGTATGTGCCTCAGCTCACCTCCGTACAGCTCCCAATTTATGTTATGTGGCATGGGTTGGGATGGGGTGGAGGTAGAAGCAAAGAGCATCAACTGTTATGTTGCATTGAGCTGCCAGGTCACAAGTGCTGGACAGTACGTACCATCATACGCTATACAGCACGATCTATCATCAAGGAAGATTCACCTCGTAAGAGTAGTGCAGTCGCATGATTTCGTAACTCATGCGTCCGTCTTGTCGACTGTCAAGCTCTGAATCGGGCAATGGCTCTCCTGTCACGTCCACAACAGGACCACCAGGATGGTGAGGACGTTCCTACACATGACGTCATCGCTTGTCTGTGGCCTGGTGGGCGCCTGTCGCCGTCATTCACGTGCATGTCCACTTCGGTCCTTGGCCCCCAAACGCCTTAATGAGAAGTTCAAGCATTCCTGCGCTTCCTGCACAGCATTTCAGGTCTACGCACACACGCATACGAGTACGCTCTCTACAAACAAAGGAAGGCAGCAAGTTACATGCCAATGTATTGCCTTCGATCGTACGTCTCCCTTCTCCGTCTTGTTCTCATTCAGGCACAGCCACTGACGACGTCAATGACAGCTACCTGCCGCTTCTCCTCCTCCCACTCCCGCTCTCCCTCTCGCCAATCCACCTAATCCTGCTTCTCTCCCTCACCTACATTCTCAACCGCCCGTGTATTTACTGCTCCTTCCTGCTCATCATCCTGTTCGCATCTTCATGCCACTGGTCAAATCGTTGTTTCTTCGATTTCCCGTCGTACGCCGAGAACGAGGATGCGGCGAGCACTATTGCGGCGTGGTTCTCGCCGCGGCTGTACACGACCGGTCTTTCCATGAATGGGACGACGCAGGCCAAGAGCACTGTGGCGGAGGAAATGAGCGAGTTTCTTGCGGATGTTGCGCAGTCGACGATATCTGGGCTGGTGTGTGCCGTGAAGGAATCGGCGGTCGACTTGATTGAAGGAGCGCACGGAGTGGTCGCATCTACAACGCACACGGCGACGGCTTCTTCGTCACCCATTTCGCCACTTGCTGATACTGGCATCGGGGCGCATTGGCTGCGACAGTTGCTCGGAAGGTCGGAATGGACCTTACCTTGCGTCGGGGTCAAGCTGGTACTTTGATCCGCCGCAACACAGAGAGTGTCTGAGCAGTTGACCTCAAGGATCACTTGGGAGCATGCTATTCTTTTCAGCATGAAGTACTCTATCCATATGTCGATATGCATACACGCAAGCGCCAGAAGCGTTAATCAGATCCGGTCCACTACCACGGCAACATGGCATGTCAAATATCTCACAAAGTATATTCTAGTCTATGGTGAGATGGCTTCTGGGGACGCAACATGGCGGACCCAGGTTCAGCGAAGGTTGCTCCAACCTTTCCCTACAATTACGGCCTGCTCAGGCTAGGGTGTATCCGAAGTTCCTGGGGAAAATGCCACCGGTACGCATTACACATAGCACAAAACGCCAAACGCTGCGTTCAAGTCGTCAAGCTTGCCCACTCAGCCTTTTGTTCCTTTTCGCCATCAAATGGTGACAGAGAAGTGGTATCATCCCCACTCGGTGGAAAGTTTGCGTGGTGCAGCGGCTCCAGGACAGTCAGGAGACACCTGCAAATGCCGATCATGGAGTGATGGTGCATGAGGAAGCAGATGGCTTTCCAGTTCGCTCGTCTTCCAATCCTGTATCGAATCGGGCCCTTCCCAATCATTGCATCGGCCAGTCATCCTCGGTGATTGATGACCAGAACACGAATATCGCAACGACGCTCAGTAGCGTGAAAAGTGTCTCAAAAAGGGCCCCGTTGATCTTGCCATTGGTCCCGTCACATATATGCGACGAAATCACATACATAAAGACCTGGCCAATGGCGAACAGTAGGACTGCGACGACGAGATAGATCATTGGCTTCGTTTCCCCGAGGACCTTGAGCACCAAGAAGGCTTCCAAGACGAAGAAGAGGAACATGAAGACCAATGGCGCGAGCTGATATAGCGTGTAGAGGGCGTAGTGTTGATGTGGCGGCTGTAACGAGCTGTCCCAGAAACCACTCCAGGAGAAAGCCGTGTCGAGCGCGATATAACCGGTCCCAATGAACAAGGCTAGAGCGCTAATTCCGATCAAGCCAAGTGATAATGCTGTGCCGTCGTCAAGTAACTGGTAGCCCACCACCGCATTCATGAGTAAGATCCACGAAGTGGCCACAATGGCTGCTATGTGGACGGCTGTAAACCCTTTCCGCACGTCGTTGTTCAATGGAAATCCGCCGACGGTGAATATTTCGCATATCTCGATAATCAAATAGCCTGCCAGGAATATCTGCATTTCTCGACGGCCGACCGCAGCAGCTTTTCTTTCTGCTCTCCATAGCAGGAACAGTGTGACCAAAATTGCGATGCCCGCAAGCAGTATTGACCCCAAGTTGGCGAGGTTCCTGTTGTTGCTGAGTGTTATGCCGCGCAGGACACATCCGCCGTATGCAAGCGCGGGTGGTTGATTGTTGGCGACGAGGATCTGGAGGCAGTCAGAAGGGTGAACGGGGGCTTATCGGCGGAAGTGAAGTCTCACATTGCATATCGGGAGTGTTGCATCTCTGCAGAAGTTCTGCAACACCAAGGTCAGTACTCTGCCGCGCGTCCAGACGGTGGAGGCTCCTACTTGGAACTTCCCATATTGTGTTCCACCCATCTTACAGCTCTTGCGAGAGCCGCAACGTTAAGGACAACGTTGAACGGTTAGGTTGTCGACGATAATCGCGGACTCGACACTTGTCACACCATGTACTGATGATTGTGAGGGGTAGCTCAGTCCGAATTAGGCGCAGACTCAATTGAGGTGCACACAGAAGGCGGCAGAGGTGTGGGAAACGGTCGATCGGTAGTTGAGTCTCTGAGACAGTGTGGTATTTTTGGACGATTGCGAGAAGAGTCGAAGATGATGTCGCGAAGAAGCAGGATTGGCTAAGAGCTACTGCAGGAAGTAGAAAAGTTGGCAGGGCGACTTTGGGTCCGCGTCGGCAATTATGGAGCCTTTGGGGCTTGGAGTGGTGGAGGCCACAGACTGTGGAGGGTGGCAGGAAGATGCTGCAAGCCTGCAGATCAGGAACGCACTCCCGTCGGTGGTCAGCAAATGATACCGGTCGCCGTTTCTTCGCTTTGATGCGGGTTTTGAGACCAGACGAGTACGAAAGCAAACAGAGAAGACGATGAGCGAGGTTACAAGAAGACGCGAAGGCGATTCAGACTTCAGAGCTCTTTGATTAGATTGCTATGTCACCCTGGGAAGGAACGACGCTCTGAGTGGACGAGCGCAGCGGGAGGAACCTGGAAGTGGGCACGGAAGCTGGTCTCTCGAAGACTGCCCAGCCACGGCACAGTCAAGCAGCGGAGATTTGAGCTCCTTTGCTTTTTGGGCGACATGTGGCTTGCTTCGATTGCGACCGTTCCACGCCCACGCTAACCAGGCCTCGGGACGAAGCTGAAACCGATCAAGATACCGTCTTGCACTGTCGGTTCAGATCCCCGAGAATTCGTCATCATCGATCATCGCAAGCCGTGACGCCAGCGAACAAGCAGTCGGGTAAGCATTCAACGAGCAACAGCAAATGGAGCTGCCCAGAAAGTGCTGTAAGTCATAGTGGACGGTGAACAACACCACAAGACTTCGTTCGAGTTCTCGGCGTGGCCAAGTTGCTCTCAATGATTTCAGGTGGCCTGCCCGACGCAAAGCTCGTACACCAGGTTTGCCGATAGGCCGTTTGTCTTGCCATTTCAACCACACCTCACTCAATGGCGGCAATGTGTCAATGCTTCGGTGCTTGGATATTCTCGTCACACTTCTGCCGTCTCGTGAATCAATCCAACAGGAAACTTCATCACGCAGCGTTCTCGTTTGTTGAAGGAACAGTGAACAGAAGAAACGTCCTTGCGGAAGGGTGAGCCAAAAATATAGCCATCGTCCAATAAGGATAAATAAATCATAGACTAGTTCATGTCCTTCTGACGCTGATGAGCCTAGCCACTTTTCAGGAACAGGAATAGGCCCACGGAAGCTGACAGTCTGAATCTGTGAAGCGCAGGTACTGTAGCGCATGCACTACCCAACGACTTCTGAACGGACTCAAGTCGCATAACATGCTAGGCTAATCGACTTGTTTTCTTGTCAGTAACTGGGAAGCTATACCACTGTAGCCACTCACACAATTGAAGAGGGGGCTGGGGATACTATTCCGCGATAAAGCATTCAGGGCTGAGACATTCTCGGGACATTCTCGATGACGCGAACATGCTCCCTACCACAGTGCTCGTACGAGGGGAATATCACAAAATACTCGGCAGACATGCCCCGTTAATAAAGGTGATGAACTTAGCTTCGGATAGATCCGGCGCATGCACCTAAGTTGCAATTCCTACCAGGGCACGCAAGGCAAGGAACGCTTCATTCACTCTCTAGTCACTTGCATTTCAGCTGCACTCGTGCTGTCCCGCGCTTCTGCAGTGACTCGCACCGCAACACCACTTATCGTCTCGGTGAGTAATTCGGCATGCCGGGATTCGGATCTGGCACTTGAAGTACTCTTTCGCTCGCCATATTTCCCGTCCTTCGCCTGAAACTACCTCCGTACTCACCCTCTGTCGCCGACCAAGGGCTGCCATTCCCCACCATGCCTGCAGCCTCGAGCCCATCTCGGCCCCGCCGCGCACCTCGAGTCCGGTACATTAACGATGATAGCGCTTCCGACGAGGACTTCGAATACCTCGGCGCAAAGACTCGCCCTACCCGCGCTGCTCGTCGAGTCCAGACATATCGAGAATCGAGCGATGACGACACTTCAGACTCATCCGCTGTCGAGACGGACGTTAACCAGGGATCGAGGCTTCCAACCCCCCAATCCGAGACAACTGTACGGCCACATCGTCCAAAGCGAAAACCGCCCGCAGTACCATCGAAAAAGAGAGAGGTTCCAAACAAGAGGCAGAAGACCCAGCCATCCCGCAGTGTGAGGAAGTCAACCGACGTTACCGCTGTTGTGTCGAAGCCATCCACACATGCGCGCATACCACCGTGGCAGACATTGCCGTACTTTGTCTTGGTAAACATCATGCAATATGCAGCCTACCCTCTTTATGGCCCCATGTCGAGGCAACAACCCTCAATCAACTGGCTTTGCACGACGGGAAGTATATGCAGATCTTTTCATGATGCTTGCATGGCAACTCTGCTCTACAGTCCTCCTCTGTATCCCCTGCAACAAGCCCGCGGCCTGATGACGCTGCTTAAGCGGGACCAGGATCATCCCGGCACCCTTTCTACTTCCTTCCGGTCGAAGATCCGATACCTGGACATCGAAGTCAAGCATCTCTTAGCAAAAAAGGGTGGGATTTCGTTAGACGAGTTAATCTCACTTACCCCACAACTCCAAGGTATACGCCTCTACTCGAACTACGACGACATGACAACAGTTAGTTGGGCCCAGCCGGCGTCGAAAAAGGTGCGCTGGACTTATCCGATTGATCTCATCAGACGTTTGGAGAGTAACAACGTGGTCCTGAGGAGCTTTGACTGGAATGGGAGGTTTCCGAACACAACAGATGTCCTTAAGGAGGCCATGGCTGCCCACTCCAGGCCGTCCTTCAAGCATTTGCGCGATCTGACTTTCCTCAATCTTACTCTCCCCGAGAAGACGGAGAAAACTGATATCGCCTCTGCACGGAGCTTCCTGGCGGTAGCATTGAAAAGTCTCTCGGCCTTGCGATCCGTGTGTTTCCGAAACTGCGGAATGATAGATGAATTCACCATGCCGATGCTGCCGCCGGGGCTGCTCCACTTGGAGCTCACAAATTGCTCTCATCTGACCTCTGAAGTCCTCGAGGGATACTTATCCTCGGCAGGACAAGGATTGCAGTCACTCAAACTCAACAATAATCAGTCCATGGATTTGGGCTTTATGGCCAATCTCAAGAGTCTGTGCCCAAGTTTGCAACGGCTGAAGATCGACATGGTGTACATTGACCCGTCATCATGGCATGATCGGGACCCTCTTTTTGACGAGCTGTTACCCAACGGACCTCCGACGTGGCCGTCCCAACTCATCACCATCTCTATCGAAAACATGCGGCAATTGACGGAAGCAGCTGCCGAAAAGTTCTTTGCGTCGCTAGTGGACGCGTCCGAGGATTTGCCATTCCTGAAGAAACTCAGCCTCAAAGTCATTCTAAAGGATGCCAGCTGGCGTGACCGGGCAAAAATGAGACAGAATTGGATGCCCGTGTTTGAAAATGTTTTTCTCAATACAGACAAGCCGTCCAACATTGTCACCAACACGTCAAGCTCCAAGAGGCCACCGACCGGGTCACAACGCCAAAGTACCCGGATCGCAAACGGCCGTCTGAAGGAACTCAGCATGAGTGAAAACAGCGACGAAAGTGATGCTTCAACCCAGAAGACTGGGCAAGCCAGGTGTGACGTGGTTGATTTGGTTATTTCCGATCAGCGTCCGGCTGAGACACAATATCGTGAAAATGACTTTCTCGACAGCGAGCCAAGTGACGATGAGGAGTACAGGGACTGAGCATAGAACAACTCTATTGAATGATTCTTGGATCCTCGAACGGGGGGATGAAAGTATTACATTATGACGGTCGCGATGAGGCTGTGGACATGACATAAGATATTTGCCTCTTAGATTGGTATTCTGATGGTACCATCGTTGGAGTCAAGCACAATAATTCGGGTCTGTGCATCCACGGCACCCTTAGCAAAGTCCAGCAGTCTCCGACATGGGATACTGGTCTGGTCCATTCTCCTGGTGAAGCATAGATGCGATCATCAGAGCAGAAATGCAACTGCTTCTGTCTATTGAAAAAGCCGCATTTACAGCAGCACCACCACCACGATTCGATACGATGAAGGACACGCTTGTTCTTTTGAAGCACACCGCATCGAGTAGCGAAGGGCGGTCCGTCATTTCGTGCCTAGGGCCAGCAGGAGCAGGTTGCGAACGATTGACTCTTGCAAAAAGTTCGATACACATACACAATAGGCTTCAAGCCTTCGGGTCGTCAGTGACCGCAATGACCCAAAGGGGCGTCCATCTTTATCCCTGCTTGGTCGGGGCAGGCGAAGTGCCTCCAGCTCAGCTCTTGACCAGCCCTGAAGGGACATTCACAACTTCGATAGGTACATGGTTCGCCCTCACTGCCGTCTCTGATGCCGTGGTCTGCTCACCTAGTGGCCTGAACCCGCGGTAACCATCATCAATGATACTTTGGACCGCCTCTCTATACTTGGCCAGTCCACCAAAGTAGAACCGTAATGCGACTTTCTTTCCTGTGACGTTCTGAGAGGATGTCGTTAGTCAAGCACTGGAACAATACAACAAGTCTACTCAGGCGTGCTGACTTGGTCGGTGTAGCGCACATGGAGGGAAGACTTACATTGCCAAATATCCAGGACGCGGTTTCTTTGAACAGGCTCCCTTCTGCTGCTCGTTCACATTGTCGTACCCATTCTTCTTCTGCCTCCGGGAGTGCCTCGATCACATCGTGGACAGCGGTGCGCCCAACTCGCCTACTTTGCTCGGCCCGCTCGATCATTGACGCAATCAGCTCGACGTGCAGTTCGATGGCGGGCGGGATGTTGCTGAAAGGACCTTGCGGCCCTGTAATCATGCACAGGTTCGGAAATCCGGGTACAAAGACACCAAGATAACTGGTCGGACCGGCCGGTTCCCAGTGTTGCTTCAACGTCTCCCCTGCCCTGCCGCGGATCCTCACGCGGTTGTAGTTGCCATCGATCGCGTCGAAGCCCGTGGCAAAGATGATGACGTCCATTTCATGGACGGTGCCATCGTCGGTCTCGATCCCCGTGGGCGTGATCCTCGTGATGGCCGTCTGCGTAAGATCCACGATCTCGACGTTGTCTCGGTTGAACTGCTCGTAGTAGCCGCCGTCACAGAGCGGTCTTCTCGCGTAGTAGTCGCGGGGCATGAGCTTCCGGGCCTTCTCGGGATCTTTGACGATCTGGGCGATTTTCTTGCGGATGAACGCACATGCTGCCTCGTTTGCCTCGCGATCTGTCGAGATGTCGCTGAACCCACCGAACATGAAGCGGAAGCCGTTGCCCTTCTGCCAAAGTTGTTCAAAGACGTGCTCTCGTTCCTCTTCTGGGACCGACTGGAAGGGAGTCGTCGACTCCACGAAGCCGAACCCGCATATCGAGTTGCGCACCTGCTTCATGATCTCCGGGTAATTCTGGTTGACGTGCGCCCTGTACTCGGCACTCACAGGGCCGTCTCCACTCGGGACTGAATACTGCGGATGTCGCTGGAACGATGTCAAGGTCTTGACCTTGCTTGCGATATCCGTGATGACCTGCACTCCGGTCGATCCACACCCAATGACTCCCACTCTCTTGTTCGCGACATCCAGCTCCGGCCTCCACTTGGCCGTATGGCACATCTCGCCTCGGAACTCCTCAATGCCAGGAATGTCAGGATAATTTGCCCTGGAAAGGAGTCCCAACGCGGTGACCAGGTACCTCACGACGAAGACGTCTCCGTCCCCAATCTCGACTCTCCAAACGCCCGCCTCGTCGTCCCAGTCTGCGCCCACCATCTCGGTGTTGAACTGCATGTATTTTCTGAACCCAAACTTCTCGACAACATGCTCCAAGTATCGTAACACGTCCGGCTGCTTCACGTAATGGTGACTCCACGGGTACGTCTGTAGATCCTCGGTGTCCCAGGAATACCTGTACACGAAGGACTCGGTGTCGCTCATGGCGCCGGGGTATCGGTTCCAGTACCATGTGCCTCCGACGTCGCCGGCCACGTCGACGACACGTACCGAGAGGCCGAGAGAGAGGAGCTTGTGCAGCTGGTAGATGCCGCCGAAGCCGGCGCCGACGATCAGGGCGTCATAGTGATGTTGGGCCATGGTGCAGCTGGTAGATATTGCAAACGTCTCAAGACACACACAGTCATTCGTCATCTTTCAACAAGCCTGTAGTGTAGATTCGTCGTCCCAAAACTCTATATAGGGCCACCGCGTATCCAACATGTCGGGCATCTGGGTCGCCTCTCCGCGAGCTGTCCTCCACAATCAGGCGCCGGATGCCGCCACGGGAAACGAAAACCGTGGAAAGCGTTGCCCATGACAGGCCACGCATCAATGCCATCCTAATCTGTGTATCTGCCGGCGGAAGTCTACTCTGGCAGCATTGCGCGAGAAATGATCGGCCGAAAAAGTAATTACTTATTTTATTAGCTCCTCCTCTTGACGAGGCTTATCGTAAACTGGCCAACCCCCCCCCCCCCCCCCCCCGACCCCCGACCCCCCAGCTTTACACCAACGGTCGTGGGATGATGCATTTTCTGATAAGCCCACGCATGTACTGTATATGCGTACGTACGTACGTACGTGCGTAGTTAGTAGTGAATGCTGGGAGCATACTTCAATCGTCTGAACGTATCTGGGATTTGTCAACAGACGCTCAATAGGCAGCACCTGATCTAGACTGCACACTGGATGTTGCTCGTGTAGCATTTCAAAAAAGCAGATTGACAGGCGAAAGAAGCAAATATCCAGATATGCCGGCATATAGAACACGCAGGGACATGATCTTGGTGGGAATGCAGTATTCTTTTGGAAATGTCTTCTTTGGGTCTTCTCCTGGTATTTACAAGTTTTACAGACACCCACTGCACAACGAAACCACGCCCTCTTCAGACCTTCAGACCAATTTCTTCGGCAAAAGGCAACCTGAAAAGATCTCCAACTGCTGATACTGACGCCTTGCTCTCCAAGAGACCCTTCGCCGCCTGCACGACTGTTAGCATTGAAAGACTTGGTGGGAACAAATCTGGTACTCACTGCCTTGACCTTGTCGGCAGAAACCTTGCTGATTGACGACCCGATCTCGTCAATCTGGAAAGGTTTGCCACCTTCGATCAGACCGTTGCCAGTAGCCTCGAGACCAGCCTGTGTCTGCTGTCCAGCCTCAAGTGCCCTATACTTGGCCAGTGCAATGGCTTTCTTCATATCCTCCTCTGCGACGTCACCGGCGGCGACCTTCTTGAGCGTCTCAACAGCCTCTTTGCTGGCTTTTGCAATCTGAGCTGCATTGCCGGTGAGTGTTATGTACAACAGGCCAGCGTCCGAATACCCGGCATGTTGAGTAGAAATGTGCACTCCAGGGAAATTCTCCGCAGTTCTGGCCAGCAAAGAGAAGCCAGGTGACCATTTGATTGTGCTTTCTCCTCCGAGCAGGGCGGCGAGCACAGCGATTTCGGGCCTGTAGGTTGAACCAGCAGTAAATGAGCTAGAGCCTTCGAAGCCGAGGATCAAGACATTGCCAGATCCGTGAGCGATTCTTTCTTCACCACCGTAGTATTTTGAGGCCGGGCCGGAGAGCTTGGAGCCGCCCCGAGCGTCTTGGAAGAACTCTCCCACCCATCTGGAAAACTCCGAATGACTGGCTCCGTTGGCGACGACAGCGATGTTCTCCTTCGTGTAGGCACTCTCGCTGAACTTGGCAATATCTTCCGCGTCGAGATAGCCGAGCTGTGGTACGGAGGAGGTCGCATACAACGGTTCACCGAGTCCGCGATGAAATGCAACGCCGTGGACGGAGTTGATGGCCAGCGACAAGGGGCTTCCCAGAAGACCTTTTTGCGCTAACTTCATGACATTGAGAACTTCTTCGTCCAGTTCGTGGGCTACAAGGTGTTAGATATACCTTCCCGCGTATTGTTGTTCAGTATACGAACTTGTGTATCGAGTTTTGCTTATGACTTCTCCCAACAGCTCAGTGAAGTAAGGCAGATCTTCTCGGAGGAATTTGGCCCGGAGAACAAGACTTTCCCGGGAGTGGTAAGCAGACAGGTCGCCGCCTAGTAGTTCTGCTTCTCGAGTGATGCGCAAGGTGGACCGTCTCGTGGTAGACTGAGGTCGTGTTAGCTGTGAGACAGGAATGGCCCCCTTCGCTAGCAAACCTTGAAAGCAAACTTCTCCAAGGCATCGGAGTACCCAGGCAGAGGCTGATATCTGGTTCCGGCTTTCGCGACGACTGTGAGTGTGGTTGTCGGTCCTGGCAGATCTCTGCTGGCGAATTTAACACCCGCAGCATCCCCAGTCTCATATTGAAAGCTGCCGGAAGCTGCTGCTGCGAGACCTCGCCTCTGCAGGGAGCGGACGGAAGCGTGACGGCTACTAGCTCGCAAGGCCTTCGAGCCAAGCACAGCTGGAGAAGCCATCGTAGACGAAGTGTGAGGGACAGGACAGCGGAAATGTGGTGCAGGCAGATTGAGCAGAAGCTTGGAGGGAGTTGAGCTTCAATCAACTTTACAGAGTTGCGGCCGATGTGATTGGACGAGAAGTGACAGCCATTCACGATAGAGCATTTTGCCAAGCCCGCGGACCCGCCGAACTTCTCACTTCCTCAGCCTTGCTCGCTCACAAAGTTTTGTCTCGAATTAATCCCACGACGAGATGCCGAGAGGCTGACACTCTTTGGCGAGGCGTATGTGAGGCTGTTCGACTCCATACTGAGCATATCCAGCCCTGCAGATGTTACTGTGCACAAGTTTTTATTCCAGGACACGAAACCCGTCCCCAACCCGGTGTGACACGGTCACGTGTTGAGCGACGTTACACCATGGAAGTATGGACTTATTTGCAAGACCGGTGTATCGTGAAACTAACCCGAGTGCTAGGAGTTCGCAAAGCTTTGCTGTCACATCGTAGAAGACTACTATGGTTCATTCCTTGCTGTCTGTTTGTCCCGCCCCGACAGCTGAGGCCACCACTAACTTGTGAGCTTAGCAAATCTTTCGGCAGCTCGCTCAGCTTGGCCGATTGTCTGTTCAGCAACTCGCCCAGAAATGCCGTCTTCCACTTCGCCAGGTCAAAGTTGGTGTGGCCACATTAATCCAGCTTCGCCTTGTCTATCATCACACTACCTACGAAGGCTTGTCGACATATCAAGCGGACACCACCTACGCCTATAATATCATGCGCACGGGCAGACTCGTTGAGCTGGTCGAATGGAGCCTTGGGGCTTCTGCAGCGGGGATCATGGAAACCTTGGCTGCCATGGGTTTCGGTACAGCACATGAACTGGAAGCTGAAGTTCTCGAGAAGAGTGATTCGACCCAGCCGATGGATAAAAGTCATTTTCAAACACTGCTTAAACAGCTTGTTTCTTCCGGGTATATCAAGGCCGTCCGCGAAGCTCATTTTCAATCGCCGTCCGATCGCCGCCAGGACGTCGAACGCTCCCTGCGCGACAACGGCTTAATCCCAACTGGTACAGGGAAGAAGATTGCAGCCGATGCCGAGTCCAGAATCGACTTAGAGCTTGAGAGACGTGTCAATAGCAGTATCTCGGCATATGATGTATCGCAAGAACTCACCAGAAGCCCTACTCAAGTAAGTTCCGTTGTCTGTGACCAAAAATCGTACTAAACGAGGCAGGATAACACCACCCTTTCCGTCGACTATTCGAATCTCATCATTCGAATACGAAATGACAGAGTGGCTGGCATGGCCGAGAAGATTTTCGGCAAACAGATTGCACAAGTCGCACGAGCGGCATGTTCGCAGATTACTGACGTCGACCCAAGGTCGCTACCAGTACGATTAGTTGAAAACCCAGCGAATGCAGTACAACGGCTGGATGCTGCGAAGTTATGCTCTGATGTATTCCATGGTAAAGCGAACGGTGGTGGCAGGCCGAATGGGACGAACGGCCATCACAGTGACCAGCCGAATGGAGCCGCAGGGGAAGATCGAATCATCGAACATCATCTTGCAGTTCTCGCGGAAGGGAATTTCACATTCCTCCTACAGGAGCCGAACAACTCGAATTCTTGGTCCATCAACAAAAGGAAGTTCACCAATTTTTTACGAGACAAAGAGATTTATCGACTCATAGGCGAGAGCCTGACAGAACCGGCTTTGAGGGTCGTCCGAATGCTGGCTGACAAAGGAAAACTTGACGAGAGGACGATGCTGGATATCGGATTGCTCAACGCCAAAGAGCTCCGGAAGTGCCTGTCAGCCCTTCAGACAATGGGATTTCTCGAGCTGCAAGAAGTTCCGAAAGACCCACAGAGACAACCTAAAAATACCATCTTTCTGTACTTCCACGACGCGGAACGAGTACAGAAAGTCTTCTTAGACAAATTGTACAAGACAATGTCACGGATGTATGAGCGCTTGCATCTGGAACGGGAGAAGGTTGCGTCAACACTCAGCAAAGTCGAACGATTAGAAGACGGCACTGAAGTGGAAATACTCCCGGCCGCGGAGCTGCAAGAACTGTACAGATGGAGGCAAAAAGAGTCCTGGTTCACGACGGAGATCCACCGCATCGACGAGTCGATTGCCATTCTTCGAGACATATGAATCTGCAGCATCAGTCTTAGAGTGCCCCGAGGCAGGAATTACGCATTGCGAACGGGCAGTCAACGGTATCACTGTGGCAAGGAGCACAGGAACTAGACATCTCCCTCCACTGGGATTCAGAATTGCCATTGAATATGACAATCTACGGGAAAAGTACCGTTGCTAGTAATACCATCTCATCAACCAACGCGGACTGACGCTGTACACAAGCAGCAGTGCTTTCCTCGATGAGTCCAGCAGTCTGTACTCTAGTTTCGCTGAGCCACGACATGGTCCGCCCTTTGCTTTAGTTACGGACTCTTGGCGCACGGTGTATACCTTTATCTCTCCTGTTGGATTTACTATGTGTGGAGAAGCTACAATCTCTACGATCAAATCTAAAAATACATACCTGCTCTCTCAACAAGATGCGTTTGCATATTGATTGCGTGGATTCCGCGTTAACGTACCGGCAAGGCTGCACGACTGACGAGGCTGCACGGATATTCACTTTTACCGATCCGGACCTTGGCAGGCTGGAGCTTCCGTTTGAGCATTTGGCTCGCAGCTCACTCTCCAGGATACCAAAGTCACCAACGCAGCTCCCCTTGTGCCATAACCTCGACAAATTCTCAAAATGGGGTTCGAATGGAAAGCAGCCGGTCTCACGTATGGCGGTTCGATCACACAGCGCGAAGCTCTTCCACTGACATTGACAGCTACAACCGATACCTCGCAGTCGCTGCACGAGTTGTCCGCAGGTCACTGAAAGAAGGACCCCGGCTACAAGCTGAGAGAAGAGGCGAGATGGACCTGAGATTCGCAAAGTGGCAGGTGAGCTATTGCTCAGGAGGTTCCGCAACGAGGACGCAAACTAACAGGCGGTAGAATGGCAAACAGGGAGAGAACAGAAACCTTGGTGCTGCGAATGCCGACGCCATGGCCGACCACGCAACGGGAGAAGCAAAATAGAGGAGGGACAGCAAGAAGCTAGATCAGTTCAGGGCCTCTGAAGATGCGTCCAGGCTGGACATGAAAACCTGTACATATTACATCGAGGGTCGCGTTGCAGGAAGTTTGCATGCACGGTCCAAGGCAGTCCCGCACATGACATTTGAGAGCTTTCCTGACCGCTGGCCTGTCTCTTCCAAAGTCTTTTCTCATATGCATACCTCATAAATCCCGCACACTTACATAGGGCACGTACCGGGTACCTCCTCGTGTCTATAGTTCCGCTCCCGGTGGCGTGTCCACATGGCAAGAGTAATCGGTACTGTACCCATGCGCATTCGGAAGGGAGAGAAAATTATAGACCCTTGAATCAACACCAACCTTCTTCCCTTGATTACATCTCAAGAAGCAGCCGACGCCATGGCGCACACACGAATAATACACCCGAATGTTCAAGTAAATGAGATAACCAGAGAATTCCGCAACGCTGCCTCAAGTCCGTTGGCCGTCTGATGGTCTCTCTCAAGACTGACAGCATTTGCAGAATTGGCGCCCGGCAAGCTGATCAAAGATGAACACTTTACATTGTTCGAGGCTGTCAGTGCCTTGGAGGTAGGCAGTACCAGACACAAACAACCACACGCCTTAACGAGTCTGCAGATTGGAGATCCCAAAATGGACAGCGGATGTACGGCTTTTGATCCCGAGAGCGACGAGGAATTCGATCCCACGAAGGCCTTGTCAGCAGAGGAAATCATATGGCTGATGGATGAACTGATGTACCGTGAGGTGAGTGGTTCGTTACATTTTGTGGAACGGTTCATGACGCTCATTCAGGTAGCATGGCAAATGGGTTATCCCTTGTCCCAGACTCTCTTCACGTCGGTCCATATCGAACGGCTACTGTGGCCAGAGCCGAAGCGACTCTCTGATGCAAGTTTCTGGCGGCATGATCCAGTTCCAGCAGTCATTCCTTCGTTATTGCGCGATGTCTTCCAGCCTTACTGTCTGGGCTTGATCAAGTGTTGCGACCTGGTACTCTCGATGGTGACGAGTCAGCATTACTACGAGGTACGCGTCTTGCTATGAGTAATTTGCGACTCCTGAATCTGACGGAGCCAAGGAAGAAGACTTTGCCACGCAGATTTTCAATCGCCCGTTGCTGCACGATTTCTCGGTGGGAGAAGTGATGGACTCATTGGAAGCTGCTCGCACTGGGCTCGATCACAGCGAGCTTTCCTCACACTTGACGACGGCATTGTCAAGCCGACTCGAGGCACGGTCTGCTCTCCTGAAGCTCTTCCACGAATGCGAGTGTGGGGCACGACCGAGCCTTTCGACTCTCGAAAGACATATTGCATTGATCAGGACGATTGAGAATAGCGCCTCCCTTGGACGGCCAACCTCTGCTGTCGCATTCACCCTCAAGATTCAACGGCGATTAGCGAGTAGCGTACCTCCGAGGCCAATGATCGTTGTCGACAAGGGGAAAGCCTTTCCATTCCTCCAAAAGCTTCTGACTGATGCCACTACAGCTTTTCAAATGCTGGACATCTCCTCCAGTTGTGATCTTCTGGTTGCCTACCAGAACTTCATGGCGCAGGAACCACAACCGGCTGTGTATGTCCGAGCTCTCCTTCAATCCTTTCTGAGCCTCAACGGAGCGGTAGTAGGCCGATTCGCCTTCAAAGACTTCATTGTCCACGACATCGGATCTCTTGTCTTGCCCGGGGAAGCGCTACTCGATCCCGGTCAAATGGATGATCTTCCGGAGGACCAGCAAATAGAGCTTGGGTCCCGAGTGGACTTGTTTGTGGACCGGTGCAGCCAGTCATTTCTCAATCTCTTCCGGACGCTGTGTCTCAATCGTTGTCGAGTGAGACGTACCATGTGCCATGCAGCGCTCGAGTGGGATCAGATTCAAGCGGAGGCAGAAGACCTTGATGGAGTGGTCCAGTCCATCCTCAACGAACCAGCCAGACCGTACCTCGCTGGGGAAGAACCCACCTTCTCATATTCGTTCAGCAGTTGGGTATATCACTACAAACTTATCCAGCTCCGCACCGTCCTCCAGATGGGCTTTGAACTCTCCATCTACGCGCCCCACGAATTTGCGGGCATGTACTGGTACCTGTCTTTCCTCTCCAGCACGCATCTCAACCACTTGGAGAGGATCACTTTCTTTGTCGCATCCCGACAGCGTCCAACCTCGTTAGGACAACAAGAAGCCCAGACAACACTCCAGCTGCTATATCGCCATTTTACCTGGCTCAAGGCGGTAGAAGCTATGGCAAAAGCGCTGCACAGAGTCTTTACGGTTCTTCAGCGCCACGGCCACTTTCGCAAGTCTACCGATGCATATGCTACTGATGCGCTACGATATGAGCTGAGAATGCGACCATTCCTCCATGTGTCCATTCCAGAACCGATCGATATGGACGTAGCCCAGCAGTCATCGTCCTTACGTGGACTTTCAAGTGAGAAGTTGATCACTCAGGCCTCGAACCTGGTCCAAACTGCCAGAAAGGCGTGGGATGAGGTGTTGAAAGGTGGCTGGAACTTCCACCCTTTCGCGCAGGGAGACTCCAAAGCAGAAATGGCACCGGGAGGAAGCAGCAAGCCACCAGGACCGGTAGTGGAACGGGAATGGACCCAAGACGTACGAAACTCAATGAAGGCGTGCATAGGTACAGGAATTGTGGTCACCACGCTCGGCACTCTCCTACAAACCAAGAAGACTACTGGTACAGCAGTGAACATCACGAGTCTGAAGGTGGAGATTCCACCGGTGGGTGACCGGAGCCGGTGGCATGTGAGCTGGCCCGTGCCAAAGCTTCAGAGTTGACGCGGAAGAAGTCATGTAGCACCCATCTCCTGAGGCCGTACGAAGCTGTTCAACAATCGATGTATCCTCTCCCAAGCTGATGACGCCTGGTTTACACTAAGCGGCACCATATGTCCTTCGTGCGCAAGGCTGAACTTCATGTGCAAGGCTGAACATCTCCACATTTTGCGTCCGTTGCGAAATTCCCCGCAGAAATATTTTCTGTGCCTCATATTTTCTGATCGCGGCACGTTGCTACTGAGCCCTCACTGCAACACTGACCTCGATCCAGCACACTCTGTCGACCATGGCGTCCGCGTACAGATCAGCTCTGCGCTCCGGCAGCGACTCCGACTCAGACGAGCCAGGCTCAGAGACGTCTGCAGCCAGCAGCAACACTGTCCGCGCAGAGTCATCGAGCGAAGAGGGAAAGGCGGCACAGCAGACCAAGAGCAATGGTCTTTCACAACTGCCGTCGGAGATCAGGAATCGGGTTCTGATGCTCACTTCCCGGGGAGTCTCATATCGGTACAGCATATTTCCGGCCTGCTCGAGAGTCTCGACTAACAATCGTCAGACACCGACATCTTTTGAACGACCTCCATTCCCTCCTTCCCCACACTTACAAAGACACGAAGCTGGACACCAAATCCTCTGGCAACTACAACTCTGCTCTAAACGCCCTCGCCGATCTGAACTCCTGTAACTACATCTTCTTTCTCGAAGCGCGGAAACGTGGACAAGACTTGTACCTTTGGCTGGCGCACGCGCCTAACGGGCCGACCGTTAAATTCAGTGTGACGAACGTGCATACTATGGCGGAGCTGGGGTTCGGGGGCAACTGCCTGAAGGGTGGGAGGGGCATCGTGGTCTTCGACAAGAGCTTTGACGAAGAGATACCGGGGCAGGAATACCGATCGCTGTTGCGGGAGATGTTTCGTGGAGTATTCTGTGTGCCGCCAAAGGGCGTGCGTGGTATGAAGCCGTTCGTGGACCGAGTTATTGGGATATACGGACTCGATGGCAAGATCTGGATCCGCGTCTACGAGATTCGCGAGAACGACCCTCGCACAGCCGACAAAGCACAGGCCAAAGGAGGCGACATGTCACTGGTCGAAATCGGACCACGGTTCGTCCTTACTCCGGTCGTCATCCTGGAAGGTAGCTTCGGTGGTCCGGTCATCTTCGAGAACAAACAGTTCGTCAGCCCTAATGCCCTGCGTGCGGAAACGAGGGCGCGAAGAGCCAACAAATACGCATCCCGAAGAGGTGGTGCAGAAGACCTTGCTGTCAAGAGGAAGACACTGGGTTTGAATACCGGATCAAAGAGGAAGAGATTGGCAACAGACAACGCGACATTGTTTGGCTGAGTCAAGGTGGCATGTCGAGACGTAACGCACACACCCGGATCAGCTTGCGGAAAGCGCCTTCGGCTGCGTCTCTGTTCGCAAAATCCAAACACGCCGCCTCGCTCTCCACCCCGGCTCGCAAGCGATTGTCAGTTTTCGCCCACGACACTTCACAATTGGCAGAGACGGTAAAGAGGCGGCCAGGCCCGATGGCCACCACATGGGCTAGATAGCATGGGTCCTGGCCAGCTTCGTTCGTGACCCCAGCCATGATTACCACAAGCGTGATGCCACCAGGAGCGAGTAACGCGATGAGGACTGGCACGAACGCTGAGCTCTGCCGTTCCGCAATAGCAACGGCCGGAGAACGCAGGCCGCGTGAGGTAGCGTGGCATCCTGTCCCAAGCGCTGCATGTGGAGGGGAACAAGATACGTCGCCAGAGGGATACTTGAATGTCCTTCACCATCTGTTCGGACCAGCCTGAAGCGTTCAAGCGTGCGAGGAGACAGACGCAGGTGCAACCGTTGCGGAACAGCTGAACAACGTTGAGGCGGGCATTGCTTGCTGCCGGGCGTCAGATGTTCTGTTCCAATTCCATGAAGCCGGGATATAAGTCCCAACCTCATTGTGTCTCTCGATTATCAAGTCATCATTAATTATATCGTTCGTCATGGCAACTCGACAGCCTTGCCAAGACCTAGACCGCCCTTTCCGACTCTCCGCAGACGTGGCCATCCTCCTCCGTCTTCCCTCTTCCCTCTTCCCTCGTCCCCCTCTCCCCTCTTACAGCCTGCTTCTTCGTCCCGTTTGTATGTGACCCAAAGACACCTGCGTTTCATTCCTCTTCCAACGGGATGGATGCGGTGTATTTGTGCTGCTCGCTGCGGCGGAGCGGCACTCCAACACTCAGACCTTCCACTTCCTCTAACGCATGCGCTCACATCATTGTTCTGGATAGCCCCAATGTCGGGGTGTTGACTCTTTGAATCCGTCGAGCCGTTGCAGCGTATCGCTGCACACCACAACTTGTCCGCAGATACACATATCACACTGCAAGAATTGACGTATGTTACGCCAGACTGACTGGGTTGGAGCGTCACTAGCTAACAGGCACAGAACCATGGCCATGCAAAGTCTGGCACCAGAACTCCTCGCTCGTATCTTCGAGTCGCTTTCCTCTGTTCCCGATATCATCAGCCTCTCGCTCACCTGTCGCTACTTTTACAACATATTACCGAAATCCCAGAAATTGACACTGTTCTTCCGCGCCCTCGACGAGACGGATGGACCGGTGGAAGACATTATACAACTCCTGACACAGAATGACAACCAATTGCTGCATGTGCGGCGGACTCCACCGATGTCCTTCGCTCTGCTATCCCAAGTCACGGCCGTTGCTCGGGTGGCACGGCGCTATGTTGACCTGTATCCTAAATTCAGGTGGACCGGTGTGGAAAGCGTGCAACGCCGGTTTCTGGATGCGCACGAGGCTCGACGACTGCGACGGGCAATCTACCGGATGTGGAGCTATGCAAAAGCCTTTTATCAGTTCCCATACCGCGTTCCACGCACCGATTTGACTGCCGCGTCAGAGCGACTTCAACTGCTACGTTCGTGGTCGAACGATGAGCTCTTTGAAATGGAGGACTTGCGGGGCATGCTGGAACAGCTGCTTGCCACCGAAATCTGTCCCACAGACGGAGAAGTGTACTCGCGCGTCCCCGAAGACGCTCAAAAATATCACTTGTCCCTACAATATCCGCATCTCCGCCCTCTAGAGTCTATGTGGTCAGCATACGAGGATCTGTTTCACAACTCACGCGACGCCGATCACAACCTGAACAAACCCACCGTGCAAGAACTCCGGATCAGGCACATGCAAGGATGGGGCAGTGATCTGCAGAACTTTTATCTGGTCCAGTCGTTTCTGAAATTCTCGCCCGCGCAGATTCTGTGGCTGTATGACAATACCATCCGCCGTGCCGACGTGGAGAGATTCATCGAGCAGCAGACTCACGATCAGTGCTTTTTCGACTCGAGGTCTTTGTTGTTCCAGGATTGGCTGACGGTTCTGCACGCTCGGGGTGTAGACGTGCAGCAAGCACGGGAGGCCATATGGGATGGCAAGATGGGCATTGTCAATAGGCAACAGTTCAACAGAGAGTGATTTTGATCGTTTTCCACAAAGTAACGGACTTGGTCTTTCTTTGTTTGTCTCGTATATGAGTGCAATCCCACGTCTTGCATGAGTGCTCTCCGAGTAAGGCGCCCTGTCGTCGCAATTCCTATACTGAAACAACGATTGATAGTGACGTATTAAAGAGAGGGCCATTCAAGACACTATATGCAACACTTTCAGCATGCTCCCCCATCCATACATCTTCTAGAGTCTGGCTTGGACGGCTCCACCGGACTGATCGGACGAGAATGCGAAACCGGGATATCCATCGCCGATCTCCTTGTCACAGAATGCAAAGTACGGCGCGACCCCACCGAACCAGAACAGCGGCCTCACAGGCTTGCCTTCCAGGTTGGCGCCGACATACCACGAATGGGTCTTCTTGGCCCCCTCGGGCAGGACCGTCATGGCGAAAACGGCTTCGACCTGCTCTTTCCAGTGCCGCGCGACCTCCTCCTTTGTGTCGATGCGCCGGTGGCCATGGTCGTGCATGTAGGACACGGTCCTCCCGATCCAGTCGACGGTGTTGTCGATGACGACGGGGATGTTGGCAAAGGGCGCCTGCGGACCGGACACCATGAACAGGTTGGGGAAGCCCGGCGCGGTGATGCCGTACGCGGTCTCCATGTCCCGGTTGAGCTGTTCGCCCAGGTGTTGGCCCTCGGCGCCGCGGATGTCGATGGCGGCCAGCGTGCCCGTGACGGCGTCGAAGCCGACGGCGAAGATGATCATGTCGAACTCGTACTCCTTCGCGCCGGTGCGGAGGCCAGTCGGGGTGATGGCTCGGATGGGGTCGTGACTGACGTCGACCAGCTCGACGTTGTCGCGGTTGAAGGCCTCGTAGTAGAAGTGCCCCAGCGGCGGTCTCTTGGACAGGATGGTGTAGTACGGACACAGCCGCTCGGCCGTCTCCTTGTCCTTGACGATGGACCGGATCTTGTTGCGCACAAACTCGGCGGCCGCCTCGTTGCACTTGGCGTTGGTGAGCATGTCGGCGAAGGTCTCGAAGATGAAGCGGAACCCGCCAATCTCCCACCCGAACTCCAGCACGCGCTGGATCTCGGCCTCGGTCTCCAGATCCGTCGACTTGAGCGTCGCGTCCACCATGTCCATGCCGAAGCTCTGGGTCCGCGCGCGGCGCAGCACCGCCTCGCAGTCACGTCGGAGTGCCGTCTGCTGGTCCTCCGGGATCGGGTAGTTCCGTGCGGGCAGCACAAAGTTGGGCGTCCGTTGGAAGACGGTCAAGGTTTTGGCGTTGTGCGCGACCACGGGGATGACCTGGACGGCGGTCGCGCCGGTGCCCACGACGGCGACACGTTTTCCGGCGAAGTCGACCTTGTGCTTGGGCCACAGTCCCGTCTGATACCATTCGCCCTTGAACGAGTCGAGCCCCGGGAATGGAGGCGGCAACGGGGTGGCGAGCGGGCCCGTGGCGGTGATGAGGAACGTCGCCGTGTAGGTCTTGCCCTTGGACGTGGTGACTTCCCAGACGTTCTTGGTCGGGTTCCAATGCGCCGTCGTGACTTTGGTGTTGAGCTCGATGTGTTTCCGAAGATCGAGATGGTCCGTGACACGGTTGAGGTATTGTTCCACCTCGGGCTGCGTGGGGAACCGTTCCTTCCAGTCCCAGTCCAGTCCCAGCACCTCCTGGAACGTCAGGACGTAGATCCAGCTCTCGCTGTCGGTCCGCGCTCCGGGATACCTGTTCCAGTACCACGTGCCGCCGACGCCCGAGCCAGCCTCGAATGCTCGGGCTGAGAAGCCTCGCTTCCCAAGCTCGTACAACGTGCGGATACCGCCAAAGCCAGCGCCAATCACCAATACATCGTAGTCAACGCCTGGATTCCCTGTGGTGCTTGTGCCGTTGGTGTGAGATTCCGTGGATGCCATGGTTTCTCCCTGTCTCTGCTGCTTTCGAAGGTGGACGGCACCGATCGCCAATTCTTCGATATCAGCGCACGTTCGGTGAGTGACAACGAGGAGGGATGGGAAGAATAGGCAGGTACAATAACTTGCCGTCCCTCCCTTTCACCCCATCCCTCCTCTTCGCCGGCTGCTGGGGCAAGCATTTCGCCAAGATGGCACTCAGGGTAGCCGAGGATATGATCTGCGGAGCAATGGACCAGCCCGTGTGGGTTACGTCGTAGACCTCGTGAAGACGGACGGTCACATACGGAGTCACTCATACCTCAGGCTTTCTTCCCCGCAATTCGTTCTCGTAGCGAGACTACCTAATGAACTTACACAATGATATGGGGTATGGGGTCCTCGTACGGAGCACATGAACAACCCATTGATCCGTCAGGCGACCACGTTGCCAAGCGACCTCCCCCAATGTTCGCGACCCCCTAAGGCCCGGACCCGGGACGATGGTTGAGCTGGATAGCTGCCGTCTTTGCCGGTATGCTCCTCACGCGTCAGGCGATAGCTGATGGGGGTTTCTATCGCAGGCTGCATTTCAGTGTCTTACCGCGTGGGAATTCGAGGCTCAAGACGGGAGGCTAGAGAGGCCTCGGGACGTACTTCGCTACCCAACTGCCCTGTGCGTATACGGAACGTGAAGCTGAACTGAAGAGGCCGGGTCAATGTGAGCGACCCAAATAAAACCATGTATGTATTAGTAATCAACGTGTGAGTGTAAACGCGGGCAGTCGAACCTCTTTCTCGAGTCAATCTGGGGCGCTCATTCCTTACCACAGTGCAAAGGGTCATGCTTTTGCTGGGCGTACCGTTTATTCCACCTTGTGAGTGCGTACGGGGTGTGCGTGTGCGTATGCGTTGTGCCGCATCCTTGTCCATGTCCATGTCCATGTCCATATCCCTGACAGCGTGTCAATGATTTCAACGTCCACAACATCCGCCACGACATCGGTTCGTTACGTCGGCAACACGAACCCATATGGTATAACCCTGCCTTTCTAGCTGTTCGATGCCTCTGTCGCTCGACTTGGGGTCGGTGTGATACGCAGCCAAGCAAGCACTAGGACGAGGTGCGAGTAGCAGCGGCATTTCCAAAGAACACATACCGAGATGCTCCGATAGGGTGCGCTCAGGATAACGCGCACGTTCCAGAAAGAGTGCACGGATCGTTGCGTTTGTGGTAGTTGGGGCTTGGGACGGGACATTCGCAAAGGACAAGAGAGATAACAGCATTTCCCACTTGGACATGCATGACCTTTGCGCTGGTGGGATATGCTGTGATCCACCCGACTGGAAGGAAGCGCGGAAGCTCGTCAATACCTCAAGAGACATCTGAGTTGCCGATCCATGTCGTTGTTAGCTTTGGTGAGTTGCAAGCTGCACCGGAGACCCATACGCCGTACACCGGCCCCAAAAACAATGGGTCGTCTGTATACTCTTCAAAGATCTTGAATATTCTCGAGCGGCACAGGTCGTAAATAAGACGCAAGGACGGATATCACTTGACTGGCAGGGGTCACTGTCGAAGCGCTCACTGTGTCAATACCGCACCCTCGGCTGGAAGGGAGGGAGATGGACAAGTAGCTCTGTGAAGAGTCTTACATTGCGATCGGGAAGGACCTGTATTACTCCGATGAGACCCAAGCCACAGCCATCCACCATGGATGTTTCATTCATGATCACATTCGATACATCACTCCCCAGCATGCGCAAAATCAGGAAACGCCGTGCTCCTCGTATCTCTAGGCTGGAGATCCAGTGTTGCCGCAGCTCAGCAGCATTTGCTTCCCTTCGAGTCGCTCGTGCCAGATGGCGTCATGTCGATTTTCACACCTCCAGTCGGTGCCTGAGCAGCATCTCCGCTGTCGAGCGCCTTGCTCGAGACGATTCGATAGATTTCTTTCGGCAATTAGCATCCAATCATCAAGCAGAATCACGCCTTGGCCTACCGGTCAAGATGTTCTGGAATGCCAATTCGACGTTGCTTGCGTCCAAGGCCGACGTCTCGATGAACGAAAGGTTGTTCTCGCCTGCGCCTGTGTTAGCCCGGTCTGTCCAGCTACAGATCCAAAGTTCACATACTAGCAAATTGCTTGGCTTCTTCCGTAGGAACGGCTCGCAGGTGTCTCAAATCGCTCTTGTTCCCAACCAGCATGATCACGATGTTGGCGTCCGCATGGTCCCGGAGCTCCTTCAACCATCTCGTGACATTGTCGTACGTCTGGTGCTTGCTGATATCATAGACGAGCAGGGCGCCGACTGCTCCTCGGTAGTATGCTGAGGTGATGGCCCGATATCTCTCTTGGCCCGCAGTGTCCCATATCTGTGCCTTGATTGTCTTGGTATCGACCTGGATCGACCTGGTTGCGAACTCGACGCCGATGGTGGATTTTGAGTCGAGGTTGAATTCGTTGCGTGTGAAACGGCTCAATAGGTTGGATTTGCCGACGCCCGAGTCTCCGATCAGGACAACCTTGAACAGGAAGTCATATTCGTCGTTGGCCATGGTTGGAAGAATGTCAAGGGTGAGCCGTGATCGAAACGAGGATGACAAGGCGAGAATCAACCTTCCCAGCAGCGGAATTGACGACTAGGATACCACCGCCCGTTTTCTTCGAGATCCCGGTGGAAGTGGAATGTGACAGTGCACGAAGGAGGTGGTGATTGTTTGCGGACAATGCCAGTTGTTGAACCGTCGCCTAGATGGCAATCCGAACGTGCTTCCGAACCGCAGCCTGAACGGGGCTTGGCAGTCACGTGGTGAGCTGACTCAAGGCTCGGAAGTTTGTATCTCCGTTTACGCTCCGTCACCTCATCTTCACGCTCGCCTCGTTGTCAATGACAGACTAGAGATCGACGAAACTGCATTGAAGGTGAGCACCCAACTCTCGCGCCCGTCGTGAGAGACTGTGCATACTGGGAAGGGCGGCGATGACGCTCAAGCCGTAATCAAGGAATGAGCTTTCGGTGTGGTATTGCATCTGCGTTGACCTCTATTCATGTTGCTTTGTTGCGGAGAACATGGCCATTTTGCCCTGATCACTTTGGAGTCTTAATGCTTCCACCTGGATCCGCCTTTCGCTGAATGCCTGGCTTCTCGTCTGCAACTAATCCATGTCTGACAACGATAGCTTTGCGTCTGACCCCGGAGAGGAACCTGAGTATGAGGTCGAACGTATCCTCAAGCAGTCCACCTTCGAAGGGAGGACCGTGTACCTGGTCAAATGGCTCAACTTTGGCGACGAACAGTGCACGTGGGAGCCAGCGGAGAGCTTTTTGACCCCCTCGACGCTTGCTGATTGGGAACAACAGCTCGCGAAACATGACACTTTGGACGAAGATGAAGTTGCTCGAGTCCAGGCGCGCATGGACGCGTTTCAGCTAGCCCAGGAGCAAAAGAGACTTGCGAGAGAGCAAAAATTGGCAGAAAAACCCAGGACGAAGCGACTCTGGGAGGAATCAATGAGACGACCACACGATCCTTCTTTAACACCGAAGCGTCCACGTTCAGACCAGCACATGTCGCCGAAAAAGGGTATTGCTCAAGTGAAATCCCATGGACATGCAAACTCCGCCTCAGCTGCTTCGAAGAATCTGACAAGCAGCGTCGATAGCCCCATTTCTAGAAGCGCCGAAGCCATCTCTACTCTGTCGTCGTCCTTGCCAAAAGTCACAAAGAAAACGGACAATGTTGCTCAGACGTCGAAGAATAGCGCCTCTGGAGTTATTACAAATCACACAAATGTGCCACGAGAGTCGGATAACGTCGGCGTTGCACCGCGGCCGCGAAAGCTGAGTATGAGCGAAAATGCAGCCACGGCAAGCCACCTGAAGGACAAGACGGGACAGCGGTTCAGGAACTTGAGTCATCAAAACAACTTCGTGAAAAAGGCTCGTCGAGAACCTCCGCCTGACATGTCGAAACTCGACCTGAAGTCACCCGATGAATGGGTTAATCAGACTCAGTTTGCTCGTCAGGATACATCACAAAGGGATGCAGGCAAAGACTCTCCACTGTTTGTGCCAGAAGATTCCCAAACAAATCGACTGTCAATACAAGATGCACATGACCCAGTCGACACTCTCGGCAGCCCCAAAGATGAAGGGCCACAACGAGACGTCACCACCAAGGCCCGTGATACAGTTGCAGAGGAGCGCCAGTCGACCGCTGCGAATGATGCTTGGAACATAGACGCACCCACCCAACATCCGCAAAGACAAGCATTGGATGACACCACTAGCCTTCGCAATTCATTGGCATCAGGGCCCACAGAGAAGCAAACTGGAGCTGCGAGACCGCTACTTGCACGAACAGTATCTCATGGTCCCCTCGCTCCAACAGCACCACAACTTCCACCTCTAGACACACCGGGGCCTGGTAGAAGAGTGTCTGCTAATGCAGTTCTGTCTGCAGCATCAGAGAGATCAGAAGTCGACAGACGGCCGCTTCCAAACAGTGAGCCTCACAAGGCAAGCAAGTCCGATGTGCCTGCGCGGGCAGAGACGGCTTTACACCAGCCGGGTCTAGACAAGCACATTTCTAGGCGACCTTCTGCCAAGCCCCCGTTCACGGGAGACGAGATCCATACTGCCTCCAATGGCCGCACCTTTAGAAAAGGAGAGGTCATTATCAACCTAAAATTTGGAGATCACGTGGTAGGAGATGTGAGATTTGTCTGCTTGCCCTGGTGGACTAGTGGGAAGATAATTCACCTCAAGGATCCGCACGCAAGGTCAATTCAACTTCACTTTGAGCAGAGGCTCGTAATGGATGTTGATGGGTTTTCATTTTTATCGCAGAACGTGAGTCATGGGTTTAGCCCGGCGTGTTCGGCGCAGTGTTGACTGAGGCATTGCAGATCGATAGGCGCCGACATGGCGTAGGAGCAATCGAGCCTTACGAAGATACACAAGCGGCCGCTGACAGTCTAACTCAATACCTCGAGGAAAACAACCTTGGTGCTGTATGGGAGTATCCTGGAGACACTCTTCTGCTAGTGCTCTTCTCGCCTCAAGCACAGGGATGGCAGCATCTGGAGCAGGCTCCGCCTCCTAACTCCAAGTCTCGCTTGCATCTTGCTGTTCTGAACAAGTTTCCAGGGGTGTCTTTGCAAAAACTAGGAATGGCAGACGCGCAGCCGTTGTCGTACAACCAAAATACGGGCCAAGCAATTCGGTCCCAGACTGATCTCTCGCGACCGCATCTGCCATTGCCTTCTCCAGAGCAAGCCTCTACCTATGCACAGAGTCCTACTGAACTGCCAACGCCGATATTAGGCTCATCATCGCCTAGGAAAGACCGAGTGACCCCTGTTCACACTCCAAAGTCTCCCCATAGGCAGGACTTGATACCGTTCAATGATGCCATGGATTGGACGCCTTTCTCTCCCGCTGGAGAGTCTCGGATATTGTTCCCGGCAAATTTTGACGCGATGATTTTCGGGCCAGATCGGACACAAAAGAGGCCGCGTGTATTCATCGCATTCGCGAACTCTTACCCAGCAGACGCCAAGGCTCTGGAGGAATGGCTATCCCAGCACATGAGGTCTCGTCAGATCTATGCTGACAGCGGAGAGAGCGACTGGACTGACTTCAAAGGCGAAATTGGGGACCAACCAGGCGTTATCATCTTCCACGAGCGGTACCCCTGTTATTGCGACATGCCTAGTTTATACAAATACCTTCGATCGGCATCTCTGTCTTGTTTCAAATTGTCATTCGGAGAGTCGAGCGAGCACCGGTCCGACCGGAGATCTGCCCTCACCAGACTCTTCCCTCGTGGCACAGTTCTGTGCATCACCGAGGACTCGATGAAGAACCATTCAGAAGGAGCGTTGTTGGCCATGAAATGGTTCGAAGACGCCTCGACCGGCAAAGCGCAGTTCTGGAAACTGGTACTTTTGCCGGATTTCTTGTCCTGGATCTTGCGTCGGATTGACGTGGTCGAGCACGAGGTTCAGCAGAGGTGGGTATTTCTCCTCGCTGCGTATCCCTCCCCGTGAGACGGGAAAGCTAACGTGCAAGCCAGATATATCGGCATGCTCGAAATCTCGTACAGGCTGCGTGCGCGCTCGTCCGAAGAGTCGTCCACCAAGAGGCGCCACCATGAGGACCCCGAGAAATTCATCAAAGATCATCCTGCGAGCGAGGACGAGGAACTCGTCGTGTCACCTAAAGGCTTGCCGGCGTACGTCGTCCCATGGGACAAGGCTGACATGAGTGCCGACGCCGTAGACGCACGGGATAAGGCTCTTGTCGAATATTTTGTCGGTTGGTCGGCCATGAATGCCACGAAGCATCGGTTGTTCACGGTCGTGGACACGAATCGCACCAACAAAACCGAGAACCATTCCTCGCATATTTGGTTCAGAGAGCCTGCTTCGTTCAAGCCAAAAGAGAGCAAGTGATTAGGATCTTTGGGCAAGAGTTGAGATCTCCTCGAAAGTCCGCAGATCTCCCCTTCGTTTGTGGCTGAGGCATATTGGCAGAATGACCGCATTGGACTGTCCTGTATCTTGCGCTATTGCTGGCCTCTGTTGGCGCGTACTCTCAACTACGGCGTGGTCGGGACGATAGGGTTAGGGCCTTGTCCAAGGTTTGGCGTAAGATTTGTGCGATGGTCTTGTCATATGGGCTACTGTATGTGGAGAATGAGGGCATTCAAGAGGCCGCTGATCGGACCGTCAGCGCGTGAAACATGATGATAATTCGATTCAATCCTGCATAAGGTATCGTACAGCACTGCTCTAAATGGGAACCGCAAAGCAGTCACCCTCTCGCTCATGGCAGTTGAACTTGTGCTCGTGCTCACAGCATCATTATTATTGTTGTCGGCCGTCAACCCTGGTTCCCGTGGACTTGTTTCGTTCATGAACTGAGCATTACAGACAGCCTCCACCTCCTCCCGCTGCCCCCCTGTTCCTAAACATGAGGCTGCTCTCTGAAGAAGTTATTCAGGGCGGGCTCAGCGAACGCTAAAAGCCAAATCGACCAAGAAAAATCCGCCCCTAGTCGCAGGCTGATATTATGTACCTTCGAGCTGGTACTGCGAATTCCGGGCGATCAGAGACTTATAATAGTCTACTAATACCTCTGGTTTCGGCACGATTCTCCATTCCATCCTGGTGAGAAACTCGAGCTCTAAAAGTGCGAGTTCTTTCATGCTCACGCCACCAACTCGGGCATAGGTCTTGTTCGTCCAGAACGAGTCGCTTAAGCCTTTGCTCGCCACTGTTGAGCTCGTGATGAGGAACCGGTGCACAGTGAGGCTGCTTATAGTAAAAGCGGGGTAGAGGGCGCACAGGCGATCAATATAATAGACCACGCTGAGTAATATAGGAGGCGACAATGTTGCGTGGGTTGTCAGTCGCTGGAGGTAGTCGAGGACCGAAATCCCAGGGGGTGCTCGTGAGTGGAAGCGCGTAAGCTGGCCATCCTTCAGTGGAATGGCATCGTTGTACCGGATCAGCTCCATCAACATGGAAGCTATCAGGACCACCAGATCCCGGGTGTTACAGTTTTCGTATTGCAGGGGCATTATCCGTACTGGCGGAGCATCTGGACGGGCCTTCTTCACCGGAGACTGTTCCACGCTCGGCTCTTCTTCCGGCACGACGCCATTCACAGGGGTGCGTGCTGCCGTGGCTGGTTCCACAGCTTGTCTCTTTATCTGCGCTTGCGCTGTCGTGATTTCCGGTCTCGTCTGATTCGGAACGGTGCCGTCACGGCGCTTCGTCGCGGACGAGAGAGGGGCGGCCTTGGGTGAATGATCCTCCTTTTCGGACAGTTGAAGTCCCGCAATAGTACTTGTGGGAGTCTGTGCTGCTTTCTGTTGGTTGGGGGGAGAGTATTGTGTGGAAGCATCCACCATTTTCGGGCGGGGTTGGACGCGGGGAGAATATCCGTAGCGGTCTAGGGATTTCGTGCTCGGTAACCTGCGAGGCTTTTGGAAATCGATGTCGTATGAGAGAGGGCGCTTGCGTGCGACGGGACTCGTCTGTTCGACGGCGGCAGGGCGAGAACTGGCAGAGAGTGAGGCCGATTTCTCATAATGGATTCGAGGAGACGTTGAGTATAGGGCAACGCCCGTCTCTCGGGCAGTCGCAGGTGAGATGTTAGGGGATAGGGATGTTGCTAGCATATTCAAGGAACTCCAACATCGGACCGGGTGTCTGGCGCCGCGAGCGGTTCATGGAAAGAAGCTGCCTCGCATGGGCAAGGTGCGAGGACTGCGTGAAAAGTCAGTCGCCGGCGGGTGATCCGATGATTGGTGCCGTTGCCGATGCCGCGCCGTCGGCCACGATGAGCCCTGCTGTGGCTCGCGGGTGTCAGTGGTGCTGGGTGAGGTCGAGAACGGAGTGCCTCGAAGGCCGCTATGCAAGGAAGCAGGGGTAGAGATGATCTTCAAGGAAAGATGGAGATTAAAGAGAATCGACGCAGGCGGGAGTGGTGTGTCATGTGTAATATCGTGCAGCGAGCGCCGTGGGTCTCTACATCCGAGCATCGATCGACACGAGCACGAGGCGACTTGGAGGGGCTTCAGTGGTCGATATTTTCAACCGCCGACTGAACCTTTTCTCAGGCAGGCCCAATGAGAGATATTGGGCGTCGTTGGGCAGGGGGGGCGTCTGACCAAAGTCGCATTTCATGCCGCGTGGTCCCAACGTGATGGGCGCTGTGTTGGATGCCTGTCAGACTCCCGCTTTTCTTTCACTCTCGTCTCACTCTCCGCTCTCCAGTCGCTCGACTCGCTCGTAGCCGCAGACAAAACAGCAAAGTACGTACGAGTACTGCATATGGCAAGGCTGCAAGTTCGATCCTTCCGTCAACTAGAAAACTCTCGTGCCTTTGACCACACCGTCCCTCCATTGCGCGCCCGCAGGGTCTTGGGCCCCACTGCACAGATTTCGGCTCGTTTTTCCCACAGGACACGGAAATATACTCCGGCCCGACTGAGATCGAACTCGTCCTCGTAAGCCGTTCACAGCAAATCCCAGACCCCACGGGAACCCCAACTTTACACGACACGACACGACTGGGTCGCAGAATCCCCGACTTGCGAGCCTCAACTCCTTGTGACCGATCGGTCGTGGACGGACATTCTCTTTATCGCATGGCATTAGCACGGCTTGCAAGGTCCGAGCTGCAGGATCTGGCGTCTGTCACTGAACCCTCGGCCCGGTTGCAAGTCTTGAAGAGAATCAAGGGCATCGTGACTGGTCATCTGTCTCACAAGCTCGAGTTCGTCCAAAATGGACTGATTCCTCAGTTGGCAAACGTCCTCGCCGATGTCACACAGCGAGGCTTCGACGCCGATGTGTCGACGCAACTGGACGAGCAGCAGGAATCATTGTTGACGCAGGTGGCCCAAGTTCTCTCTGTCATTGCTCATGGTACGTAGCTTGCATCCTCCTCCCGGCTGTTGAATGCTAATCTCGATGAGCAGAAGGTCCTCCGTTCGTACAGCCACTCCTCGAAACCGATGTTCTCCAGAGACTCGTCGCTTTCCTTCTCTTATCGCTATCCCCCAGGACCACCGTTGCCGTTCTGAAATGCCTCAATGCCGCCGCCGACAATACGCCGCCGTCAAGCCCCGGTCAATGGTCGCAGAATCCGCTGCTTTCGGATGTTCTGTATTCTAAGAGATATATACGATGCTTCGAGAACGTTATCGGAAATGCTGGTAATGACCTGGCGTCTCAGCAAGCCTGCGACGCTGTCCTAGCCCTTCTGTGTAAGACTATCACACATGACGCCCAGAAACGTGCGCTTGTCGACCACGGGGTATTGGATTTGCTGGCTGCCCGACTGGCATCATTTGTGGTTGCAGAGGGTCTCGTACCTCCTGGCTTAAGTGCTCCGTCGAGCGACGATTCGGCTCCAGCACCACTTCCAGATCCAGCCCCCAGCAGTGCGCATCTATCCCCTGTTCTGGAGGCGCTTTGCGTCCTAACCGAGGGCTCGCGATCGCGTACAAAGCTATTCTTGACTAACCCTACCATCAAATCCGTCTTCCCAGACTCTAAGCACGACTTTTCCCCGTCAGACATTCGGCGAGCGCCATGGGGAGCCAGCTATTTCTCGGGCGCTGCAGTCCCCAGATCCAGGCTAGAGAGCCCGTTTGACGCGCTGCTACCGTTTGCACCTGTGTCTGAGAAGGCCGATGCGTCACATCCAGGGTTTCCTCCCCTCAGTTCGGTCATGGCAATGCCCAAACGCCGGGCATCTTTTCTGCCCGCCCCTACCGGAGTACCCCACCTACCTTTGGCTCAGGATGTGGCTGACGACGTGGATGAAAGTGCTGTAATCCCCTGGCTGCTGTACGTCGTGCGAGAATCACGGGGGAAGCGGCGTCTTCTTGCGGCAAAACTCCTAGTCAACCTTAACAGCTTACACTTCGTCCAGAGAGACCGAAGCTTGTCCTTTGCGTCGTTGCTGGTGCCACTCCTTACTCGGATGCTGGACAACGACCAAGTGCAACATGACATATCTTATCTGCATGGCGGATCATATTTGTGCAGTGGTATGCATTTCACTCGCGCTGTGCCCGCAGTACTCGCTGCTCTTGTAATAGACAATCCGCACATGCAACGGGTAGCGGTCGAGGGTAAAGCTATCACCAAGCTGTCTCTAGGCCTCAAAGCAACCTTTGATGGACCGGCAGGTCGCAAGGTAACCCCCTGGCAGCCACACAAGCAGGACAGTATGGAAACAGACTCAACTACAGCCGCGACCTGCCTCGGTCCAGGCGGACCAACCTGGGCCGCTCGAAGAGAAATGGAGTACCGAGAAGGCTGTTTGAAGGCCTTGGCTGCGATTGCGCCATTCGAGGAAGACTATCGAGCGCAGATTTGCAATGAAGGTGTCTTACCTCATATCGTCCAAGCTCTGGAACCATACCAGGCGCATCCGGCCGCGGGTCCGGAAATGGATTCGACAGGAAACTCAGCTTCTGTCATACTGGCAGCATGCGCAGCAGTCAGGGCCCTAGGAAGGTCGGTGCGAGCGTTGCGGACGAAGCTGGTTGAGGCAGAGGTTGCGAAACCGATACTCAAATTGATGAACTCAACAAATCCCGAGCTGAGGATTGCGGCTACCAAGGTTCTCAGCAACCTTGCCGTGGATTTCAGCGCAGTCAAGGACAGCGTGGGCGAATCAACAGTGGTGAAAAAGCTATGCGAGCAGGCGCATTCGGCAAACGCACGACTTCGGCACGAGTCCCTATGGGCTTTGAAACAACTTGTTCTCAATGCTCCGAAGAAGCTGAAGCTTGAGGTGGTGGACGAGCTTGGTTGCAGTTGGATCAAGCTGTTAATCAAGACCGATCCCATCGATATTCCGGAAGGCGAAGTCATCGGTCTTGTCGAAAGGGATTATCCCCCAGCCACAACTTACAGGGGTGCCGGTGTTGCAGCGGACAATCCCCACGATGTCATCATGGGCGAGGATTCGGATTCAGACGGGGGAAGCGATGAAGCTCGGAGTGCCGTTGATGAGGAGGTGCCTTCTGATCAAGGCGAGTTTGACACGAAGCATACCGTCGAAGACGACACAGAGATTCAGGCTCAATTGCTGGATCTGTTGCGAAACCTCTTCTGTGGGGAGAATGCATCCGAGATGGTCCGATACATGGTGGACGAAATGGGTCAGGACGATTTCTTCCGCATCATGTTGGATCGACTTAGACCACGCACACTCGCTGGGCCGACCCGGAAGGAGAACTACACCACGCCGCCACCCAATGTCATCGTTGGGAAAGTCCTTTTTGTCCTTGTGCATATCGCTGCGTGCGATCCCAAGTGGCGGAATATTATAGCCTCGCAGTACGCTCTGCTGAAGCAGATTCTCACCCTCTGCAATCACCAAGACAGGGAAATTCGGTCGACCTGCTGTTGGATTGCGATCAACTTGACTTACGAAGACGATGCAAACGATCGAGCGGGATGCAGGAATCGCGCCATTGAGCTCCAGAAGGCCGGGTTTGTCTCGCATCTCCGGAAGATGGAAAACGATTCAGATTTGGACGTGCGGGAGCGGGCCAAAACAGCACTGCATCTGATGACAAATCTGAAGCTGATGGCATGATGTTTCGCGAGACATATAGCGGATAATTGTGAATTTCACGACCGATTTAGCGGCGGTACCGCAATCCGTAGACGTTGGGCGGCGCTCGAAGTCCCCAGCACTGGCAACGTGCCTCTTGAGTCGTTGATCGTGCATTGTAAGCGTCGGAAATCCGCAGCCTTGCAGCCTCGGCTATTCCATTTCCGCTTTTGTCGATCATTCGCCGCCAATCACCGATTGGTGGCTGTGCGCACAAGGCTGTGGTTTGTTTACTTCATCCCCACACTTGAGCATCTGGTGGCATCAGATCCTGACCCTCGACCAACCAAGCGCGGTATCACGAAAGGGCATCCATGAAGGCACATTCGAAGTCGTACCCTCGAGCGAAGCTGAGGAAGATAGTCAAAGCTCATTCCAGAAAACGCGTCGGCAAGACCGTTGATGCTCTCGTCTTCCTCAACTTCGTTCTGTTTATCGAGGAGTAAGTGCGATAGGGGGCATTCGTGACTGCAAGTTTATTGACAATCTCAGACTTCTGTCCAATGCATCGCGCAAAGCGCGGTTGAACGGTGAAAAGGTTACTGCAGCCAAGGATATTCGGAAAGCGACAATGGTACGTATTGGTCACCTCCAGTAAAATAAAGGCCAGAAATGTACTAATTGCTGTGGCAGGCGACGTTACGGAGGTTCAAAGGATGAGCTCGAGCTATACAGCGTGGGAAGTGCAGTGCGGAACGAACGCGTCCACAAGGAGACGCGCATGGCGCTTCCAGCTTTAAGAGGCACGGGCAATCCTCATCAGACGCTTCTCGCCCAGCAATGCGACGGTCGACCCAGAGCAGGAGCTGCTATCTAGTCGCAAGAGTACAAAATTCGTAACGAACGCCAGAAGTGAAGACCAGGCTGCGAGCGAGCTACATGACGTCGCGGTCTCGAAGGCCTTGCGTGCAATCAATGTCTTCGCATGGAATCGAAAACTGTTGCCTGGACATGCCACGACATCAAGTGAAGATCGTGGAAAGAGCATCAACCAGCGCGAGAGTGCGATGGAAGAGCAAGCACGCAGTCCCAGAGAGACGAGACGTACATTGGGGGCGATATCGCTGGAGGATGGAACGTGGATGAGTCATTGTTGACATAGAGCATCAGCATGGTGCCTGCTACGCAGTGAAGCCTTGCTCTGTTATGTATGGAGAACCTTCTCGAGCCTTGCGACAGGCGGGCGGAGTTGGAGAAGACGAGGCTTGGCAAGGGCGTCCATCGCCTGCGTTAGCCTACGTTGGCCTGCGTTGTTCAATAGCCGCACGCGAGCAACTTCTTCATAAACAAAAGCGTCTGCCACACCAGTGATACTACCTCTCACTCAGTCTCAGCCGCTCCTAATCCCTGTTCTTCTTCTGCTTGATTCCTGTAAACGCCTGTCTCCTCGACGCCTCGACATTCGTGCCAGCAGCTGCTTCACTGACTTCTCGCTTGACCAGTCCAGAAGCCCGTCACCGCAAGCGGATCCCCTGCGTCTGTACCATCATGTCGACGACCGGCTCCGTCCCTGTTGACACCAAGTCTGCCAAGAAGCGCAAGGGCAAAGGCGAAGCTGCTGGCGGTGGTGCAGTGACTCCCACGATCGAAGCATCGGCTCCTGCTGAACCCCATCCTGCTACCAATGGTGTCGAGTCTCATGGCGAGAGCTCCTTCATCAAAGATCTGGCAAAGTAGGCACTCTTCCGGATCGAGGCAGACCAAGGCTGATAATCTCGTGCCAGGAACATCCGCAACATCAACAAGAAAATCTCGTCATCTGCGAAAGCCGACGCTGTCGTCAGCGAAAACCCCGGTGTTCCCCTCGATGACCTCGTCGCCCAAAGAAAACTCAATGCGGACCAGAAAGCCCAGATCCTGAAGAAACCTGCTCTGCAAGCCCAGCTTCACCAGCTCGAAGAACAACTCTCCAACTTCCGTGCATTCGCCCAGGAGCTCGAGGAAAAAGCGGCAAAAGAGAAGGCGCATCTGGTCGAAGCCCACGAGGCAGAGATCGCAAAGGTCAAAGAGGAGGCCACACAAGTAGCTGAAGACACCAAGGCGAAGGCAGTCGAAGACGCGCTGCGTACCATCATACAATTTCTCCACACCGCAGCATCAAAGCGCCAAATTGAGGATGCCGAGTCCGACGAAGCTCATGCTTTCGAAGGTGCTCTACTTCTAGTCTACCAAGGCAATGAGGCTGCCCTGTCTACCTTGAAGAATCTAGTCTACGGCACTGATGACAAGGTCTCCGATGTGCATGGCGAACCTCTCGACTTCACCTTCGCCCAAGTCAAGGAGTCTTCGGCGCAGAGTTCACAGCCTGAAGTCGAAGACAAGGTTGCGGTACCGGCTGAAGATACTCCTGCACCAGAAGGGACGACTGACAGCACCGTTGCGAATGCTGGTCTGACAGAACTCGATGACGCTGTCGCCGTGCAGGCGGAACTCAACGGAGCCGAGGCCGTGCCGGACGCTGATATTGCCCCTGCTGCTCCAGAGCAAACTTCTGTCGATGCCGAAGCTGCCAACGCAGTTGCGGGAGGATGGGATCCACAGGCATCTGCGGTCACCGATACTAGCGCAATCAACGACGAGTGGGTGCAGGTTCCCCGTGACCCTGCAGAGACCGACACCGGTGTGACTGCTACGCCAGCTGCGCCAGTCCAGGCATCCAACAGCTGGGCTGAGGAGGTGGGTGCTGCCGCTACCAGCGTGGAAGACAAACCTGCTGTTGAGAATGATGGCTTCTCCGAGGTGCGTCGTGAGCGCGGACGAGGCCGCGGTGGACGTGGTGGACGCGGCGAGTTTAGAGGACGCGGCCGTGGTGGACGTGATGGCCACCGAGGTGGAGGCCGGGGAGGACGCGAAGGCCAGGGAGGCGGCAGGGGTGCACGTGGAGGCGGCGCCACCCGTGGCGAGAACAAGAGCTAGATCATGTCTACAAGCTCGTCCTCGCCTTGGAATGTGCCTAAGAACAATGAGTTGGTACGAGGAGTCTGTCCGTGGGTGGCTGTTCGCGATGGCACTTCTCGAATCTGGTGCCCAGACTTTTCCATCTCGGCCATGGCTTTGATACGGTTTTGCGGCGACCAATCGTCCGGCCAGCGAAATTCAGCGACATGTGACTTCAGCATTGCACGCATGGGTTGGGGGATAGGAAAAAGGTACCTCAAAAGTCCGGAAAGCGAGACTGTGCGATTAATCAGGTCGGTTCGGAGTATGCTGACTAGGTGTATTTCATGTACACTATCTGAAGTCTGACGAGCCAATGTCTCCTGGATATTGCCTCCAAACTATCCATGGATGTTTGTGGCGATATTCTGACGCGATCAGTATGGGTGATGGAGAAGAGGAGAGCAGAGTCCATCAGACTCCAGCGTTGTCGCCCTCGAGGCAGATAGGACAAATGCCAGCCATTGAAGACTCCTCTGACTGGATGTCGCTTGCTTCGTTCCTTTGCGTGATAATGTAGAAGGGGGGCAGCCACAGCCAGATGGAGCTTCCACCCATGCGATCAGGTCTATGGCTCCAGGCTCCTCGTGTGACCCGAAGAGCAATGGCCTTCGACCGACGAACTCTTCTCTCCACAGCACTAGTATTTCCATCCCATCGCTTATGTATGGCGTCGGTATTCAGGAAGAGCAATGGCCCTCGACCGACGAACGCTTCACCCACCGGCACAAGCACTGGTGTTTCCACCCCATCCTTATCCTTATGGCGTCGAGGCCATCTCGTCGCACGGCGGGCTTACTCCTTTCTCATGTACAGTGCATAGGCCGCATCAAGAATCGTACGCCAGATCCTGCACCCTCACCAGGCCGCTTCCCCACGCCACGGCCACGATCCCAGCACAGCAGGGATTCGGAACCCACTCGATGGCCGTGACGGCTTGCTCCTCTTCAAAGACGGCTTCGCCGTTGGCGATTTCTGCTTCTCCTTCGTTCCCGTTCTTGGTCTTCGTCTTTGTCTTGGCCGCCTTTTTCCAGCTGGGTTGTGGGTTGCCCACTTCGATCTTCTCGGGCTTGAAGCCTTCGTGGAACCGAGACACGCCCGGTCGGACGTCGTGGCCGTGGTACAGGTCGGGATTTTGTTTTTTACTCGTCTCCTGCGTCGTTTCATCGCTGTTGTGGCCTGGCTGTGTCTCCCCTTGCCTTTCGTCCATGTTATGGCCCGGTTGTGGTGAGAGGTGTCCTCCTTGACGGACCTCGACCTCCCCCTCCTCGACCTCCTCCTTCGTAAGTGCACGCCAATCGTACTCGCATATCTTCTGGATATACGCACCGACGGCTTTCCTGACGGCCGACCGGCGATACGGGAGAATTTTACGCAGATAGTTCGTCGCCAGCACTTGGCCCTTGGCGTTACCCACGAGAATGCACGGATGGCAACGCGACGCGGCCAGCGCGGTGGCGGCGCCCGTGCGATGCGGCAGCTTCGCCACCTTGAGCATGTGGGGGAACTGGCGGACGTGGTGGCACGCGAGCAGCGTGGCGGCGTTCCTCTCGACCTGCCCGTTGCCGCTGCGGTCGAGCGCGGCGACGAACGAGCGCGTGAATGGCACGTAGACGAGATCGCGGGTGGGGAAGCACGTCCGCGGGACGGCCACGCGGTCTTGCTCGGGACTGCGCAGGTCGGTGAGCACGAGGTCGCCCGAGGCGGACGCGCTGGCCACGAGAGTCGAGTGCGGCGGAGTGGACGCCGAGCATAACGAGATGATGTACGTGTGGTGGACTTGCTGGTGCATGTAGCTGACGGGACTGCTGTCGGGACTATGTGTCTCCTCGGACAGATCGTACAGATGGATGGATCCGCTGGCCGTGCCCAGTAAAAGGTCCGAAGGCCCGGCAAAGGTCAACGACGTGAAGATGGTGTCCGGGGGAGGCGGGATATCAAGACCAGGCCGCTCGATTCGAAAGGCCCTCGTCTGTTCCCTGGCCGGCTCGTCTGCGTCTGCAGGGACTGGCACAGCGACCACGCGGGCGTGGCCATCGCTTGACACGATCCCGAGAAGGCCGATGACCGAGTCGGTCGACGAATCCGAAGAGCCAGTGCCCTTGCCTGCTTCCTCGTCGAGAGGACACCATTTGAGGCGCCGGATGTTGCCCCACCTGGTTGCGAGCACGACGGCGAGTCTCGGCTGCCGTTTCATGGTCAGGCTCCTTATGCCATTGCTGCTACCTGTTTCAGCCGTGTCAAAGGCCCATATCTGAATGCTGGACGGATAGGGAGGGGATGGATGAAAGGCTGGCCGTTCGCTTTCGCCCTCAGCCTCGCCCTCACTGGCGTGCGCCATTCTTCTTTGCCTGGAGGTGCATCTCACAGATACGGCCAGGTACTGGATAGGACCTGGACACGGCGCCCAAGCTAGGCATTGCACCTTCTCGCCCACATTCAGTAACCACCCTTGATGGTACGCGCCGTCAGTGGGTGATTCGCCATTCTGCGCGGCCTGCGTCTGTGTGCTGAGTTGCTGATCCTTCATGGGCCAGGCCTTTCCGAAATCGATAGTAGAGAGGTACCTTAAATTATATTTCTTCTGTTTTCCCCACGGACCGAGGACGATGGGATGATCCGGCTTACCACGCACCAAGTACGTGTCGCGTAGTTCGGCCTCGTCGATGGGTCCCAGGACTTGATTAGTACGTAGCGACTCCCACACGCGGCTCGCTGGGATTGGGCGCTCTGGACCTTCAGGTCGCTCGGCGTTTGTCTCGCGAGCCTCTCGGGACCGCTCGAGTTCAATAAGCAACGTCTCTCGGCTGGGCAGTGTGATATCTCGACCGCGGAGCCATGTATCTCGCGCTCGAAGCACGTCACACAAATCGTCGACCCCCGGTCCAAATATGCCAGGATACGCCGCTGCCTTTGCCAAACCTCTGGTGATTTGTATGCCGCGGGATCGTGCCGTTTCAGTGGTGGGTGCAGAGACAGGGTGCGGTCGAGCAGGCCGGCTTGAACCACCTTCATCAGACGCTATGCTCATGTCTTCGTCATCCTCTGGTGGAGCGTCGACGTCGGACGACCCAGCGGACGCTGCAGACACCATAGAGGCGTCATCTTCGTCTTGGTCCAGGGCAAGGGCAGTGGCAAGGCCTCCGGCATCGGGTATTAACTCATCTTCTGCCTCGGACGATGTCTGGCTTTCGGCCGGACTCGAGCCAGACGACTCTGATGACTCGCGGAGCGTTCGCAGGATCTCCTTGTCCCATCCATCATTTGCGTATTTTGCATTGGCCTTGCGTTGGCGACCGGAGCGACGGGGCTCGGCCATGATGGTGGGTTTGGTGGGTACTCTCACTGTTCAGGACATAGAACGTGCAACGTTCGCCTTCAGAGCATGATCAGAGCTGTGTCTCCATAAGTGATTGACTCCCTGCCTGCCTTCCGAGGCTGACGTTGGAACAGATTGAGTCGGACGAGGTATGGCCCAAGTCATGACAGTTCAAGCTGATTTCAGCAGATGATGTAGAGCTTGAGTTGCACGGTACATAAGTGTCGCCCTGACACAGTATGTGCAGAACGCTGCAGTCTCAGGTTATAGAATATTGAAAAATCGTGGTCAATCAAGGTGAGAAGCAGTAGGATGTGACATCCTTCATACAGACGCTATACGCCCATCTTACGCATTTGTAAGCCGGTCAGAGACAGAAAAGCCATCTGTCAGACAGGAATCGTACAGACATCAAAGTTACAGGAGGTAGGTCCCAAGGTTGTTATTGCAGTATCGCTGACCCGATTGTCAAACCTCACGAAGGTCGCTTTACTGACCATCTAACAAGAAAGATACGATCCAATCGCCACTTTACTGACTATGCAAAAAGAGACCCGACCCCATTGTGACCACCTACTGCCAAAGCAGCACCGTGCTGAGCGGACGGAAGCCTGTTCGATCTATTGACCACCTGCAAACGCTAGCAATTCTCAGGCCTCTTCGCCTCACTCTTCGATTCGACCAGGTATTCTTCGCTCTCGGAACACACAGCAGTCAATCTTCCCTTCGTGCTGCTTCGAGGCAGGTGCTTGATGCCGCACAGTAGAGCAAAAGGTAGTTCCTGTGCAATCACGATGACGCGTGTCCCCTAGTCTAGTGCGTCCTCTTCCCATTTTACCAGTGAATCTTTGGCCAATGCAGTCTGGGCTTCAGTGACTTCCCTGCTGGTCGTCTGCACTTCCATTTCGACCTGGATCAGGTGCCTCCACAGGGACGCCTGGGTGTTGTCCAGCCATTGCGTGCTGATACTCTGCGCTCGCGAGCTCGGTCCCACTTGGTTCATGCTCTCATAGAGATCCCATATCCTTGTCCAGAGGCCTGCAAGGGTCTGCAAGGCTTGAACCCACCAGCGGACGGCCTTGTATAGCCCTTCGGTGTGAGCGTAGAGGCGGCGTTGCTCTTCCAGTAGCTTCTCGCCGAGTTCAAGATTGGCGCGGCTACGCGCAATCCGGCGACCACGGCGGCGGAGATATTTCTCCGTGACCAGAAATTCTTCTCCTTTGTTCCCTCTCTCTTTGTCTGCTCGAGCGTCGAAATTGGTCTCCCCGGCGACAACCTCTTCCGCGTACTGTCTAGTTCGCCGGATTTCGCCGGAGAGACGTGCAACGTGACTCTGGTATGTTCTGAGAGAGCCTCTGGCAGCGGAGAGGAGATTTCGAGCGGCCGTGACGTTGGTCTGTAGTTTGCCAAGGTGACTGGCGCGATCGAGATCATCAAGGGTATTGAGCAGGTGATTGAGCGGGTCGGGCTCGGCTTCAAGCTGAGGGTATCGCCCTGGCTCTGGCGCAGGCTTGGACGCGGCTTTCTCTTGAGTCGCTAAGGAGTCGAGACGAGGCTTTGGCTTTGGCTTCGACGTGGACTTGCTCAACTTGCGCTTCAACGGCGCGAAGGCGGGCAGATGCTCACGCCTTGAATTCTCCTTGTGTTTCGACGATGCGGATCCGGCGTCGCGGTGGGGCGGTGGGTTTGACTTCCCCTTGTGCTGAGGCGGCGCGGACACGGACCCGGGCACTGGCTCAGGCTGAGACTGAGACCTTGATGAGACCCTGCGCTTCAGTGGTACGGACTGTGACTTGGACTTGGTCTCTCGGTCAGAGAGGCGACCGTGACTATGCTGAGCGCCGGCCTGGTCGCGTTTCTGGCGCTTCGCCGAGGAATAAGGCGACATGACTATTGATCTTGTTTCAGGAGAGCGTCAGTAGCACCAGACCACTGCTAGCTGTGGCGCTCAGCGCTCAAGAGCTGAGGGAGATTGAATCACGCAGCGGGACATGGAAATTTTCACCCTTCCGCTTGAGTGACAAAGACCTGTCCGCCGGAAGGTGCAACAGCGAGGACTGACCGCCTCGAAGATGGTACATGGTACGAGCTAGAGCACAGAGGCTGAGTCGATCTTCTCCCTTGAGAGATGGTCCCGTTCCGGTGATCTTTGGGGACGTTTAGGAAGTCCCCGATGCGAACTCGGAATGTTTGCTGTCTGCAGAGAAGACAGCCCGGAGCCTCTGAGGATCGACGCTCTTGCGGCCTGGTTGCAGTAGCCACACTCGGCCACATCTCTTCGTCCTTTGGCTCTGTGTGGTAAGCGAAGCAATGTGAAAGGGCAAGGTGGTCGGAGTCGGATCGCATCTGTCTTTCGTGAGTGCTTTACTGGTCCTGTTGCGATCCCAGCTGTGAGCATCGAGTGGCAAACACAAAGGACAAGGATCGGATTAAAATGTTGCTTCATGTTCTCGAGGGTACGGTCGACCCATCAGATGATATCCATTGTAGCTTTCCTACGTCCAGCAATTCCCAGCCCCGTTCACGAGATCCAGGAGGGAGATGTTGCCTGTCAAGTTGCAGAGTAAAGAAATTGGCGGTGTCGTCGAGAACCAAACCCGAACCATGTGCCTTCCCGAATACCTAGCCAGAAGGAATTGTTACATTGTCGACGTGCTGAAGTAGTAATTGCTCCACAGATACTCGTAATCCTCAATGATGCCTCCCACCAGGTCCAACAAGGGCTTGCCTTTCAAGGACTCCGCGGCGCCATGGATCCATCCCTTGGTGACGTTCTCGTAGAAGGCGCCTCGCATGCCCCACCAGGCTAGATTCCAGCCGCGTTTCTTCAGCTCTTCGCGTTCCAGGGCGGACAAGCCATTTCGTGCGCCACCCGGGACCCTCGCAGCCAGGTCACGCTTCGCCAGCTGGCGGGCAAGGTACTCGATCGAGACACCTACCAACCAGGGCGTCCAATGCCGCTTCCACTTGCTGCCTTCGTAACCATAGGTCCGAGCCAGGCGTTGCATCAGCAGGGTATAAATCAGTGGACGCAAGGTATACAGCACTTCGGCAGCTTGGCCCCGCATCGTGGTCAGCCGATGAAGGAGTTGTTTGGCGGGCTTCACGTCGTCGGCTGTCAAGACATGATTAAGAAGATAAGCTGACACAGATTCTGGCGAGGGCAGGGTAGGCAGCGTGAGGCCTGTTCGGGGCATGCTGTACGGTTCATTAACAGACAAGGACGATGGCGCTTGTTTGCCGGAATCCGAGAGCGGCGGAGTTGGGACTCCAGCGTCTCCAAGGACATTCTTCACGTCGAAGTTGTCGGGCGTATACTCTTCCTCGACAAACTCCTCCTCCTGCTGTTCGGGACTCGTGGGCGCAAAGTCTTCTCGGAGCGGCATCGGTGGTGTCAGCGTCGGACGCAGGTTTGTCAGGCGCATCAACAGTAGACGGCATATGGCCTTGAACGACTCGAGCAGGACCACCACGCGCCATCGTGTTTTCTCTCCGCCACGCCGTCTGGCAATCATTTCCCATAGCAGTTCGGTATATTGTGCAATCTTCAGCACGGTGGCAATCTTGTTGTACAATGAGGAAGAAGAGGTCCAGAATGTAGTGTAACGAGCATGAAGGGAAGGTTTTGGTTTTTGCAGCTTCATATTCTTGGCCTTGAGCACGGTCGGCGACAGCGCCAGGATGACGGCGCGGTTCTTGAGGATATGATCATGGTAGATGGATAGCAGCTGCACGAAGGTGTGGACGGATTCCGAGGCCAGCTCGGTGTCGTGCAGCCTCGCGCCGGGCAGGAGGTATGTCAACGAGCGCAGACTGCTCTCGATGGTCGAGACCGACGACGAGTTCGAAGCGACATAGTTGGAGTATGTGGAGGGCAGGTTGACGGCTGCTTTGGTCAGCTCGGCCGAGGCGCTGGACAGGCAGTGGATGGTCGTGTGCACGCCGCGGCGGATGGAGGAAGCCGCCGTGGAGGCCATGATCCGGCCAGGCGGTGTCGTGGGAGAAGGCAATGGCAATGGGACGGCACTGGCTTCTTTCAGGCTACATCCAGCAATGGGTGATAAGCGATGGGCGATGGGCGATGGGCGATGGGCGATGGGCGACGGGGTGAGGAGTGACGGATCGCCAGCGACATCGTCGATAGGGCGCGTCCTCTGATTGGCTGCGCCGTCCGTCTCAGATTCCAGCCTCGGCATCTTCCTGCGCGGATCGCGATGAAGCAGATACGAGCTGCAGAGGACAGTGTATAGAAAACGTCCAACCTCTCAGCCCCGCCACAATATCTCCTGGACCGTAGCAATACTTCTCAAGCCCAGCACAGACCCTACGAGTTACGCTCCTACCCAGTACAGATGACAGATTGGATGGCGCTAAGGGCAAAAGAGCTGTAGCCTTTTCTGGTAAATGGTCGGCGGCAACTCTTCAGTAGCTCACTTTCTCGCGAACCTCTGCTCACAGCTCCCTTCCCTTCCCTTCCTCGCCGACGGGGATTTCCCATCTTGGCCATCTTCCCATCGTGCCATCGCCCATCTTCCCGTCTTCCAACTTCTTCCCGCCCCTGCATGAGCTGAGACAAGGCTGCCGCATCGCAGACCGAATGAGGCTGGCTTACCGACCCAACCATGCCAATCTGCACAAGTCGACTTACTCGCCTCGGACCTAGTCTCACTCGTTCGAGGCGTTTGTCTCGCCAACACTGCTGTTCGTCCCACTACCTAGATACACTGCAACTTGACAAAGTTTGGCGGAGCGATAACTGGAAATACTGGGTACACAGTTAGGGCGCCCTACCGTTCTGAGTGACTGCGAGCCCAGTCCAGGCTGTGCGGCGACGGATGGGCCCAAACAACTCTACTTTTGCCTTGAGTATTGACTGGCGTGGTCGATGCCGCTTGCACGAAACTTCCCGACAACCTTTCCGCCGTACTTGTACCTACTCGACAATAGTCTCTCGGCGGGACAAGAACGCAAAACTCTATTACCGACCACAACCCGCTACTTAGCCAGGCAATAATAACTAAATGCCTCCCGCACGGGGATCCAAGCGTAGCAGCAGCAGCGGTGGTCCCTGGACCTCGACTCGCGTCCTCAATTCATCATCGCCGATCGTCGGCGCCGACATCCACGCCTTTCTCATCGCCGCTGTCTCGCGCTGGAATGTCGCCAGTGACTCGTACACGGAAGCGGAGAAGCGCTTGCTGATCGATAGTCTGCCTCTGGCGTATCGCAAGTACGAGCTCGACCACGAGGGCCGGCTGAAGTGCCCGCTTCCCACCGAATTTGTGCTCGACGACCCCTACCTCAAGGCCGCGACACAGCGATTCAAGAACGACATTGCCGAGGGCTACTACGAGAAGACGTGGCAGAACCAGGCCAGGAGAGCCATGCACGATCGGCGCGACGGCAAGTTTGATGCATTCCTTCAGGAGCAAGCGGAGGAGACCTTTGGCGAACCACGCCTCGATGGAGACAACGTCGCCGACGGCTCGGGTGATGCGGACCTGGAGTCAAGCGATGGCGAATGGAGAGCAAACCCGGCCAAGGCAAAGCACATCGGGCACGGCGAGCACGCAATAGAACAACCTCAGGTGTTGCGGCAGAAGCGAAAGATCTGATCCGGATACGTGCGCCATTATGTCTTCGCGGTTGGCGAAGATACCTTAGGCCACGGGCGAACCACGCCTCGAAGGAGACAATGTCGCTGAGGGCCCAGTTGTTGGCCGCCCCTGGCTCTCTTTCCTGGCGGTTGTTTCGCTACGGCTGCTGTCCTGGCGGTTTTTTCGCTACGGCTGCTGCACTGACGAGGTATCGACGACACAAGCTCAAAAGTCGTCGAAAGGCTGTGTTTTCTGTACACAATACCACACCGGCCTACTTATTGTAGGTAGACGAGCAAGCCAGATCAACACTACACCGGCGTAAATCCTGCAGGTGGACGAGCAAGCCAGATCAATACTACACCAGCCTACTCAATATAAGTAGACGAGCAAACGAGATCAACAATACCCACTGACTCCTTGCTCCGTGGTAATCTAAGGATGGCCAACACGTCAGTCCCGGGCACCAGCTCAAGCGATAGATGGAACTGAAGACCTGCAGAAGAAACCCGCTCCGACAAGTTCAAGCCATCGGAGAGGACAGACAGGACAGGGTTCGGTCCGTAGCAGAGGTTCGAGGGAACCAACCGTCAACTTTCGTGCCTGTCGTGCCTGTGCTTGACGGAGGACCATCCGTTCAAGGGGGAGGAGAGGGGGGGGGGGGGGGGGGCGCTGCGAATACCGCATAGTGTACTCCGTACGGAGTACTATTATGCAAGTCAGTCCAGAATGGAAAATGGGTGGATTCGGTCCCAGGCTCAATGGAGCAAAGCACGCCCTTGATTTGTTTGTTTGACTTTGTCTCCTACAGTAGTACTCCGTACTCCGTACTCGTACTTTTCTCCTGCGGCTCTCCGCCGTCAGCGACTAACTACAGTAACTGGTCGGGTTGCACGGGACGCCCCTGTAACGTTGGAACCTAACCATGGCCCCGTGAGCGACACGTACTGACTACCTCGTACACGCAACTGGCACTTGACAGGATGTCCACAGGGGAAGCCGATGGCATGTCGACGGACAACCCTTTTCCCAAGAGGGGGGACGGTGGACGCCCACAGCTGCCTTGCCTGCGTGCCTGCCTGCCCATCCATGGATACCCACGATACCCCAGTCGTTGAACGCAGTGTCAAGTGGAGAGAGTTTTGAATTGCTACGGACCGTTCTCGGCGGGCGAGTGTTTGCTCTCGATCTCATGCAAGATTACAAGTAGGCAAAAGTTAAATCCCGCCGAGGAATGCCCAAGCTGTTTGGGCCGTTTTCGGAGTTCCAATCCTCTGATTTGATGCTCAAGATGAGGCTGTTGCGGAAGCGGAATATCGGTCCCCCACAGTTCTCAGTTTGCACTGACCCTTGGCCGTACAGGGGTGGAAGGTTTCCATGTGGCACCGAATCGGACGGCATCCCGCAGACGCGATGGGGTCGCTCTGGGTGCCACATTCCCACAGTGGACGGAAGAGGGTTCGGATGAGGAACTATCACAGTTCGATGCAGAAGATTATTATTTCAAAGTTCGGGGCGCTGACCACCCAGAACCGTGAAGCGTCCAAGAAAGGGGAAATAGTTTGTTTGAAGCTCCTGTCATCGTCGATAACTGCTGCCCGTTGACCGCGATTCTCCGCGACGGTCATGCTAGGTGTGCGATAGGGACGGATCGTCGGATAAGGGCCTGCGCCGAAGGAGGAAAATTTCTGGCGACTCCGAGCACAAGGCTGTTCCATTGTTCCAGTCTCGAACTTCGGCCTCTCCCTGGCGAACGAACTAAAGTGGGAAGCGAGAGGCACCAGGTCGGAAGAAGCCCAGTCTAGCCGGTTGTGGTACTTTTCTGGTGTGCTCGCCTGGAAATCCTTTCTGTCCTCGTCCGGGTGCGCTGCTGTCTGCCATCCCTTCGGGGCCTTCGGGGTGAATTCGAGTCGTACTTGGCCATCCTTGACTTGCCTGACCGACTCTTGCAGTACCCAGTACCCCCTATGTCACAGCCACCAGGCGGTACGAGACCGGACCGGGTGGCGCTGACTGGTGGGATTCCAGAAGACCCGACAGCGCGGTCCAATCGTGAATCCCACGGCACATCGGTTGCCAGTTGGGCAGACGAAAAGTGACAGGACGCCCCCAGGCTGTTGGCGATTGGATCCAACAGGATTCAGCAAGAGCGGCGCCCAAGACCAAAGCTAAAATGGACGAACAACTGGCCCGCTGGGAGACCAATGCAGTTAGTCGGGCACGGGCAGCCCATGGGGCGTGTCCCACCCAGACGACAGGGGGGTGCTGTCCAAGCCCGGTCCCAGGGGCCGGGTTTGCCAACCAAGTCGACTCCAACCACCGGGTTTTGCACTGATGCTTTCCGAGCAGAGCATCACGATTCCTGTCCACCCGCCTTTGCACGTCGTGATTTCGCGGCCTCAGTTATTGGTAGCCACCGAGCTCAATCATGTTCGTCGAGCGATCCGAGGTTCGAAAGCAATCCAGGAGTGGTTCGTGTCAGTCGCGTTGCCGAAATGCAAGCCTGCAACACCTGTTCCCAACGGAGCGATGAAACAAAGACATTCAGCGTCCTCGGCGTTTCCAGGGCCGATACGTTGACCGGGGAATCCTGGTCTCGGTCCACGTAGTGACGCTTTGCATGCGGGAGATGGTCGGCACCTGACCTGCTGCCAGTCTACCTACCACAGGATCTCCTGGCGGTCCGACGCGAGCTTACGGGAGTAAATGCCTCTGTCGACCTGTGTTTGCTCTGTTCGTGCGCGGCCTATTTGCAGATTCTAGCTTTGTGCGTTGTCATGCCCAACGGCAACGGGGGAGATATCTCAGTGCCTGCGCCCCCGGCGTGCGCGGTCACAAGGTTCGAGGAGTCGCAGCTGCAGCACCGTGCAGTGCAAGGCAGCCAACAACGAGCAGCCTGGGTGCGATCACTCGATCATGATCGTCCAGGCGGGGGAGGATTTCTCGACGAGGGCATGATTAATCCTGCTTGTTGTTGCGAGCGCCAAAGTGCGGTCAACTCACCGCTCCACGGCCTCACCGCCTCGGCTCAGAGCCAGCCGTGCGTGATGCTCGACGACGCCCAACACTGACATCCTGGATGTGAGCTATCGCCGTGCCATGCGGACGTAAACGTGACGTAGCTTTAGACGCATGTTCCAACTCGTGAGTTTCGAGACTGCGCGTGTTTGTGTGACACGTCCACCCGGTGGGCCTCGTTCCACGAATCCACCGACCGTGTGTTGAGACCAGCCCATGTACGGTACTGTGTATGCAATCCATTCGTCATGCACTCCGGGGAAAGTTGACTCGGTTTGTCACACGGCAGGTTCCAGTCTGCGCTCGACGGGGGCTGTTCTAGCGTGCAGGAGTGACTGATCGGGCGCATGTTTGACAGGTCCCTCGCATCCGCCGTCCGTGGCACAGTGCCTGAAAGCCAAGGGCAGCCGCGCTTGAGCCAATGATGGAGACGTGTGGATTCAGTCGCTGACTACCCAGGGCTAGCGGTTAGTATTAGAGCCTGCGCCCGCGCGAGAGAGAGAGAGAGAGGTTTCTGACCAAGACGACGACTCGTCCGCGGGCTGCATACCGGTGTGTCTGAACAGCAGCCAGCTCTCCGCGGGGCGCGGATGGCGGTGGCAGAGAAATCGTCGTTCCAGGGCTCTATATCATGTCAAGCCATCTCAAGCCAGCACAAGCCATGGCCCGCCGTGCTGGTGCTCCGCTATTCTTCTCTGCGCCCTAGTGGGATCCGAAAAAGACTTTTAGGTGACTTTGGGCCGCCTCCCCGGCTGACCTAAGGGTTGGTGGGCAGCGACTGGCGTGACCGGGCTTTGCATCGCTGTGATGATTATTGACAGTGACCGTGGCATGGCGGTTTCGGGGCCTGCGCAACAGGGTGCCAGCGCCGTGATAAGACTTTTGGACGAGGGGGAGAGCGACCGGCTATGTATCCTTCGCGTGACAACCTGCTGCTCCCTACGCCCGCGTCCGCCACTGTTGTTGACCGTCACCTCAACTCGTCACCGTCAGGAGCTGCCACCGCTGCACGAGCTCGACCAGGATACACCTGTTGGCCCGGCAGAGCGGCGGGGGCTTGGACGCTCGGCCAGTGGAGGACGTGAGAAGAGAGGAAGGTCTGAGGCACTCGCTGATTGGGATCTGGAGTTGCTGGACCAGCCGCCAGCGAGAGCCATCTGCGACTCGTCCGAGTACGCAGTAAGTCCTCGTAGCACACCGTCAACAGTAATGACTATCTGGGTTTAGGCTTCTGCCACCAACGGTGGTCTGGACGAACCTCCCAACAACATCTTGGGAACCCATCTCCTACTACGCTCCTTCGAGGCACTTAGGCATTAGTTCGCATATGTGGTGGGCTGTGGCCACCGTCTCCTGCAAAGGGCGTTTGACGCCATGATGCCTCGTCGACTCGCAGTAGCGCAGCCTAGTGACCTTTGCTGCTCCAGCGCGGTGCAAGCCTCTTCCTTGAACACCAGACTGGGACGCTGGTCGCTGACCCCTTCTGGATCTTATGCAGGCATCCACCGTTAGCGTGAGCCCATGGTCGTAATTGGAGCGCGAGGAACGGGTCCCTGTCCACTTTTCCCCCGTCCCGCCCAGCCCCAACGATAGAGGGACGATGATATCAGCTGCTCTGTTCTTAGCACAGGCGCGAGGGCCGGAAGTAAATCGTGCAGAGCGCCAGCAGCCGCGGCGGGCGGCAGAGACATTGGTCGTGGGCGAGCGAGGCGAAGTCCCCTGGTCCAGGACCAAGCTTCTCGATTGTTTGCGCTGCCTCCCCTGCCTGCCACTCCCGCTGCCACAAGCACGACGCCGAGAAGGGATGTGGACGGTCGGTTGCTAGTGCTCAGGGCCCTTTCCACTCTCTGCCCACTTCTGCCCGTCGGATCGATCTGTGGGAAGCAGACAATTAAAGGACGACCGCTCCCGGACGGGCCCGCCTCTTGACCGCTGCTTTCAAACTGGAGTTCGTCTCGGTATATATCCTCGGGGCTGCTGGGTGAACAATGCTCTTCGTGTCGAGATTATTGCCAGCCGACCTACAGGCATTGTGGTGCCGGCACTTTCCAAACCCATTCGACCGTGGAAGCTATTGCCTACTACATACATAACCACCCCGGCTGCGCGTTCCCGAACCCCCATCGGCTGGGAGTCTATTGTCTAGAAACACCGGCGCCTCGCTCTGGTCTCGCCAAAGAACCAACCCGCCCCGTACGCTGAAGCGAGGACGCTCCTGGTATTAGTACCCAACGCCACCCTCACTTGTGCTCGCTTTCTCAGCCTGATCCCACACGCCGGCCCGACTGCTTCTGTGCCTGTGTCCTTCGTTGCATTGTATGGCAGCACCCAGTGACCTTCGCCACCCGCTCCCCCACCACTGCTCTCTCACCGACGACTTGTTCCAGCCCTCACCGTGGATATCTCGTCGCTGCTCAAGCCGAACGACGAGGACGACGGCCAGTCGACGAGCTCTCCCGCCTCGGTATCTCGGTCAGAGTCGGTGCCGTCGAGCGTGGCCACCAGCGTGGCTCCTCTGCCACCCCCCCAGCCGCGGTCGGCTGTGCCGGCAAAGCGACTGTCTTCGAGCCTGGACCACCCCCTCCAGTCCCCGGCGAAGAAGCAGTCCAAGTGGTCGCCCGAGGAAGATGCCAAAATCATCCAGCTCCGCCAGGATGGTATGAAATGGGAGGACATCAGCAAGCACCTGCCCGGCCGCAGTGCCATTAGCTGTAGGCTGCATTATCAGAATTACCTGGAGCGCCGGAGCGAGTGGGACGAGGACCGTAAAAATAAGCTTGCCAGGTTGTACGAGAGGTATGTTGAGAAACGTCGCACCAGATTGTCGTCGGGGGGATCTCGACATGTCAAGATCTCTTGTACCACGATTCCCACCTGCCCTGTCATAATTTCTCCGAGTTGATGGTTTCACTAGCTGACTGATCTCCCTGCACATCAAGGTTTCGAGCGGACATGTGGGCACGCGTTGCCGAAGAGATGGCCATGCCGTGGCGAGCCGTCGAGGCCATGCATTGGCAGATGGGCGAGCATGAGATGGCGAAGCGGGCTGGTGTGACGCCCTTCTCCCTCGCCAACCCGACGAGCGGCCTCGAGTCTGCTGCAATGCCGCCCCGACCACCCCTGCGGCACGTGGGACCGCCGCCACGCGCCTTGCGACGAGAGTCGATGCCTCCCGAGACGAGCTTGCAAGGCCCTCAGCAGCTGCCCTCGCTCGCGGAATTGACAGCTGGACTTCCCGCATTTTCTGCACCACCTTACCACACCTCAGATCCCTTTCACCACCTGTACAACCACCCACGAGGCCGGAATGCTCCTTTTCGGTAACGAATTGTTTTGGCGGGTTTGTCTTTGAGCGAAGCGTGTTTCAATAAACCGAGTACACAGTGAGGCGAAACGATTCCGGGTTTTGATGATGAGCTCTGTGCTGTTGACTGGGACATCCGGGACTTGAGGCCAGCAGAAAGACGCTGTAATATAGTGATATTGATACCCAGCACCTCCTACTTCCGGACCGGCCACCGGCGTAAGGAGATAATGTGATTCAGTGACGATCCTGACTCTTTGAAAACAAGGTGGTGGGAGCAGCCGTCACACAGCGCCGGTCGTGCTTGAACCTTTGAGCAACCGTCCCGGTCGTCTCAGCAAATCTCGGTTGGAGCAGTGCGAAGGGAGAGACCTGCGATGGTTCAGTCCTGCCGGGTGATGATGACCCACCAATTGTCGCGATCGTATCCTTCCTTGACCACTTTCCCCCCCGCCGCGATGACATCTTGCTGCAGTTCACCCTCGCGGTACAAGTGATAATATCGCTGGTAAGTTGTGGGTGTCGGCGAGCAGGTGCCATCAAGCGGCCCTTGGGAGCCATGCTTCGCCGTGGGTTGCGTGTTGTGCCCTTGCTTGAGAACCCAGGGCACAAGCACATCCTGTTCGTCGCCGTGATCCCATCCTCTACGACTGTCCTTTTGTTCCAGTGCCCAGACAAAGATCAACGCCTGGCCGCCACCACTGCCCGGCACACTCGACTTCGCCGGTGGCTTCAGAGTTTTCAGGATTTCCCTGATGGCCTGGACTCTCCGCGCGCTGTTGGAAAGGTGGTGTATCACGGCAACGGATATGGCAAAGTCGAACGAATCGTTCGGATGAGGGAGGCTGAGGATGTCGGCCACCACGACGCTGTGCGGTTCGTGCTGGCGAGCGATCTGGATCAGGGCATTCGACCTTTCGAGGCTGTCAGTAACGCAGCGAAGGGGTAGGTACCGCGGCCTTCAGGTACCTGTCCGAGGCGATGATGAAGATGTCCTTGTTCACAGCCAGGTATTTCCCATTTCCGCACCCGATGTCAAGGCCGGCCGAGCCAGCGGGCAGATTGCGCAAGAATTCATCCACAACGGGCCACGGCTGTCGCACTCGTCAATCCCGTACTGGATAAACCATCTTTAGTCCCCCCCAGCGACGCACCTTGTATCGGGTCGAGGAGAAGTGACTGGCAATGTCTTCGTAGACCTCGTGCACATGCCTTTTTTCGTATTCTAGCTCTGTGTTTGCGCTGGTCTCGGCCATGGCGTCCCGTTCGCGTAACGATGTCGCAGAGCATCGATCCTCACGCAGAAGTGTTTAATGGCTTACGAGTGGCTGAAACCACCGTTGAACGGGGCAGAGAAGTTGCTGTTGCGCAGGACGAGAATCATCGCAACTCTGCGCCGTGCTTCGCAGGTGGTTCGGAAGACTGTAGACGTTCCAAGGGCGCACTTCGATCTCGATCTGCTAGCCGAGAAGCGGCCCAGATCCGAAGACGAATCTGTGCGGTGCACCAATTGGTGTCTCTACACTGGCTGGAACGATCGCACGGGGCACAATCTCATCGTTGGCCGCACGGTTTACACGGAGTAGACGTAAATGCGAGGCGCAAATCTTTAGAAGTCACGAACAATATGGCTGTTTCACGCTCAACGTATTCGGCGTCTCTATCCAATAATACGGTCCACATGATCATTGTCTTGCTTTCATGTACAGGCATCTGCGAGTATATAAACCTCTTCGTGGTCATCTCGCTCTTCGAAACAAGTCAACATCGAGGATCGTGCATGTAGATTCGTTCACTCTTTCTGTACGCAAAACATCTCAAATAACGCCCACAGCCTCTCCCCTGGGCAAGGCCTGTGGTCCACCCTCAAAAGACGCAAACATGGTGGTGAGACCCGAGCTACGGATCATCAACGCCAGGACAATCGCAAGTAGAGGTATCTGTACGACGTTAGTCCCGGAGCGGATGAGAAGGGTAGAGGAGGAAACATACCCAGAAGAAGAACAATTTCCGATCCCGGCTGAGTTCGACTCTCTCAAATGGATTGCTGACAGGAGCAGCGACTCTGAGGGAGGCTGAGTGTGATTTAGACCCCTCACCTTGTGATTGTTGCTCGAAATGGAGATCGGCTGCAGCGTCGGCAGCTGCTTGTAGCGTGGAAGACTTCTTGATGCTCCAGTCTTCGTCGGTTTCGACCCTTTCTTCAGGATAAAGATCCCCGTAAGCGGGAGGCGATGAAGGCGCAGGGGACGAGCTCCCTGTCAAAGTCTCCCACCACCCCTCCCGCTGACTTGGTTGTTGACGAACACTTGGACGCTGGGGGAAAAGGGCGCTTACCCGGCGAACCATGGGATAGGCCTGGTAGTCCTGCAGCGCAGCCAGGGGTCCGTTCAGCGTGGCAAGGCTGGGCATGACCGACTGCGCGCTCTCGTTGAATTGTTGCAATTGCGCAACCAGATGATCCCGCCATGCGAGCATGAACGCCGATGGTGCCACCGCTGGTGCCGGATTAGACGTATTCTTTGACGAGTACTTGGATCCTTGTGAGACGCTTGGCTGCATACTACCTCTCCGCGATTGTGGGACGCTAACCGTTGGCAGCCGGCCAGTGTGCGACCGAGAAAGGTCAGGCTCTTCTGAAGAAGCCCTTGTTGGCGTCTCGTCATCAAGGCTGTCGGAGTCGTCCATGTCGTCAGTATCCGTAGCGGGGTATTGATTAGAGGCATTTTCCCAGAACGAGCGAAGAGAAGACGAGCTCCGGCTATGCAGTCTCAGAGGTGTCCCTCCAGCACTCCGCGATCGATACTGGTCAACCCTGGTCATCGTTGCTTGATACGCTAGTAAGGACGTCGCGAGGTCTGCAGGAATAAATTGGCGGATGCTGCGAGCCTGGTGGTTGGCACCAGCCAAGCGAAGCCGGTGAATTACATGCGTATGGCCGTTCATTGCGGCGTGGTGCATCGGCGTGTGACCATTATTGTCGACCATGTTGGGATCGGCTCCTCTGGATAACAGACCGGCGACAAATCGGGTGAGCCCCAGTGACGAGGCCAGGTGCAATAGCGTGAGCCCAGACGGACGTTGTAGCTCCAATCTGGGCGCTCTAAACCGTCTTTGGTCGTCCATGTGCTCTAGGAATTGCAACATCATACCCTCCAGCTCGAGCGAATCCATTGATGCTCCGCCTGCGTGGCGCTGATGTCCACCGCCCATGCCATAGTTGCCGTGTCCGAGCCACATCGAATGAGACTGCCCTTGAAGTAGCTGCTGGGCTGCAGAATAAGGATCGTCAGTCGGATGCTGCAGTTGTTTGCCTAGGGTTCGTAGCGCTAAGCGGAACATCTCCAACTCGCGGTCATCGACGTAAGTGAACAGTGACGGCCTAGTTTGGGATTGTTGTGGCACCGTAGAATATTGAGGATGGTCGTGCTTAAACAAAACAGGGACCACCCCCGGCTGCAAGGCTGGAGGAGCAATGCAATTTAAACATTTTTCTCCCCAGAACGTCGTGGTCGTAGCTTCGGTATCGCCAAACATAACCTCAAGGCCTTGATAGAAGCCATTCCCGAGAAGGGTGACTTCAGTGCCTCCTGTCACGGATCCTTCTGCAGGAACTAACTTGTGTATCAGCGGTGGCGGCCGCCGCGTCGGATGACCCAGAAGCTGATTGTTGACTGCTTGGCCAAACGCAGCATCTGCTGCACCGAAGCTGTTCCTCGCAGAGCCCGGGCTTCCAGGCCTGCTCGGCTGCCGAGATGGCGGTGCTGATATCATCACTTGTCGCGACATATTGTCGTGGCTGACTGAGCGATTGATATTGGCAGCAAAGGAAGGGTCCACACCGTTTGGCGTCGGAGGACTATTGCCATACGGAGCTGTACGTGCCGCGGGAGGCATCGCGAAGGGACGATCGTGGGGACCCATATAAGACGTCATATTAGGAGCGTATGGAGATGAAGCAGCGGTATTAGGTAGTGTAGAGGGCGGTGGATGTGGGTGCGACGTGTCGAGCCGAGTCATTGTCAGTCCAGAAGGCAATTTTCCAGAACCACTCTGTTTCCGTCGCTTGATTGAAGGACCCGCAGGACCACTTGGCGACGCAGGCCTAGAAAGGTTACGCGGCGTGAAGTTCGAAGCAGTCTGAGGCGGCACGGCCGAGGGAATTGCGAATGGAGTGTTGGCCGAAGGCATTGAGAAGGTGGGATTGAAATTATGCTGCAGTGCTTGCAGGTCGGTCATGGAGTAAGATTGCCTTGACATTTTTGAATTGACGGCCGGCGCTTGAGGCTGGTGCTCATGTTCGTTGGTTGAAAAGACCCCAGCACCTGGCAATTGCTGTCCTGGAGTCGGTAAAGGTGCTGGCTGGTTCGGAACCGCCGAGGGAGGGTTGTGAGTTTTGTGGTCGTCGGTGATCATGATGGGATTTGTCAATGCCTGCGCGATGACCTTGTCGTGGCAGTCCTTGATGGTAAATATCACTTGAAATCCCATTTTCTCGTTCTGGTGCCGACAGTAGCAGGCGATGCGCATTGGGAGCTCCACCTGAACTGCCCCGGGAGGCGTAGACGACGCATTCTGGCCCTCTTGGTTGCTGGTGTCTCGAGGAACTTCTACCCATTCCTTGACCTCGTTGGTGTTGAATACAACCACCCTTCTCTCTTCGTCTTTCTGGAAGAGCTCTTCTTCTTCCGGCTTCTTCTGCTTCTTCCGGGAAGCCCTTTTCCTCTCACGCTGTATGCAGCCAGGACAAATTTGGACCTCACCACCATTCAGGGGTTTGTCCTCGTCGTCTCTCGACGAGTCAGACTCCATCGAAGAAGCAGGGCTGGGTCGAGTATATGGGCCCAGCTCTTCACCCCTCGCGCGCGCCAACGCGCGCTGCAATTTCGCCTTGTCCTGCATCGCACTCGTACACACCAAAGCTGTATGCAGCTCCAAGATCTCGGGTGATCGGGCAACCTCTGGCTTGGCTAGGAATTTCGGTTTGGAGACCGTATGCCTCGGTAACCTCAACTTCCTGACGCCGGTTGGAAGGAACGAAAGCGTCATCTTGATGGGTATTTGCGTCTCGACGCGCGACTTGAGCGATGTAGGATGCACCGTCAACGTAGGCGAACCCTCTGACGAGTTGATTGTCGATGGCGGAGAGGAGATGTCTTTGGTGAAAGTGGAGGGAGTTGTGCTTGACTCCGGGTCGAAGGTGAATGCGGCGGTGGAGAATTGCAAGTTGGGCGAAAAGGTCGCATTGCCGGGGGAATCGCCGTTCATGGTGATGTGATTGAAAGTCTCCTCCAGTCCGGATGACGGAGAGTGCTTGGTCCAAGGCGACTGACCCTGAGTAGCTGGAAGCATAGCATTCAAAGGGGACGCTTCTCTTGATCCAGCAAAGAAGAAGTGCGGTTGCCCAGTGGGTGCTCGTGTACCCGATTGCTGTTTTCCATAACCCGAGAAATTCGTCGATCTGCCAAAGGGCTGATTTACGAGCGGGGTCTTGGTGTTGGGCACTTTGTTCATCGTCTCGAGCCCACTCGGTGTACTGGCAGCCGTCTCAAAGTCAAAGGCAGAGGCCATCTGCTGGTTGCTAACCTCGAAATCCTGGTCCATACCAGCCATCGAAGTGTCCCCAAAGAACTGCTCGTTTGCTGGGATCGAAAACCCATTTATTCCACTTCCCCAAGAGCCTTGAACGGTGTCATGTGCAGGAGGAGAGGCTGTCGAAGCAGCCGACATATTCCGTTCGTCCTCCGCAGGTGAATCAGACGATGTGCTGCTGGAGCCGGATGCAGACCCCCGCGAGCCACGCATAAATGCGCCATCGTGGGAAGGCGGGCTAAAGGATTCGGATTCGCGTTTTATTGTGAGATCATTCGGATTCAGGAAGCCTGCAGAGAGACCTGTCTGGTCGACATCAGGAGCAGGCGTTCCCAAGAAGGCATCGAAGTCTTGCCCAGCGAATGACGGGGTCTGTCCCAAGCCAGTCTGGAAAAGATACATGTCCTCATCGTGAGCCGTCGCCATGTTGCCGCCCGTGTTCTGAACTTGGAGGCCTGGAATTTGTCCGTCACCGCAACACCCCTACGCCATCTCTTGCACCACTCGGCGGTTAGCCAGCACGGTAAGATGCAGCGTGCGTCGTCTGCAGCCGGGAGACCTGGTCGCGTCGACGAGGTAGTCTGCGCGGAGCTTGGGCTGGAGAGGCTGCCAAAAGATTCCGACTCGACCAGTTTCGCAGTGCTGGTTTGTGGGATGTGTGGTGTGGCTGGGCGGGGAGGCGCGCACCGATCACGTCCTTGATGATGCTGCCAGGACTCAGCGATAAATGCGCTGTCAGGTTAGCATGTACTGAGTAGCGGAGCAGTAAATCAACCGAAACGTACGCAGCTAAGCTGGTAGGACCTCAAGGTGGTCGGTGATGAAAGAACACAGTTGTTACGCAGTAATGATTAGTGAATTTGGCTATCCTTAGAACGGAACTCGATCAAACTTGCGGAGAGGCGGAGTTATCTGTGGGCGCGCCGAGGACCCTCCGGGCAAGGGCGCAGAGGGAATTTGCGCCTATCACGCCCAACCACCAACTGACTCGGGAGGGCATACAGTAACTACTGGGTACACCTAAGCTGCACTGCTCCTGACCGCTGCTTAAGTGCACCGCTTTAGCGAGCCTCAAGATATCGCCTGCATCCATCTTTTGCACGAACACAGCGTGACCGTGTCCCGCGCAGAATGATGCCCTTGGCCGCCATTGTGCTGTGAGGACGCAGTCGTCGATCGTCTCGCTACTCATTCCAGTTCGCTCCGACTCCGTTTCTTCACTTACATACAACAGGCGTCATATTGCAGCGGCTGCACTCGCGGAGCAAGGGTCTCGCGAAATTCCACTATTTCACCATTTCAATTAGCAAACGAACACACCCGAGCGTGGCAAAAGGAAGCTCGGCGCAGACACAATACGAAGTACTTCAAGAAGGTGTCACACTTTCCACGGAACATATCAACATCGGCCTCGAGGGTCCTTGGGCATCGATACTTCCTGTCACATTGTGTTTCAGGCGGCGTAGCTGATGTTTGCCAGTTCGCCTGGCCTCTATCGACGTTCCCATGCAATTCCTTCGAGCGTTTCCAATTCTCGAGATACCTCCCCATCGGGTCTCTGGCAAAGACCCAAATTGCCCCATACGTTTGCTTGCGCCTTTCTTATCAGTGTACCAGCCTCTTACAGCTTGTCCGTTCTCCCGCAGCCGTTGCGCAATCCCGTATTCCACGCATCCACTCTTTTGCATATTTCGATACGGGTGGCACGACGCCCCGGGTGAGCTCTCGCCCTGTGCCGCCTCCAATCAATGAAGCCAACCGTGGACACATGGCGCTTTTCCCCCTCTTAGACAACCAGGCCCGTTCGAGCGAGGAGTGAATACTAGCAGAGCCAAAACTACGTTGAAAGGAACACAAGAAAGCTTTTACGGTCTCCGTCGAGCCTTTCACTAGAGCCTCATCCCTTGAAAATTTTCCACTTGTTGCAGTCTGAAGGGAACGGCGCATGCCTCTCTCAAGACACCGGTGCTTCTGGCCACATCAGGGCACCACTCTTCCCAGAATCCACGGGCAAGATCTGTCCAGTCAGGTTGCCCGCGAAGTTTTCGCTAGCAAGGAACAAACAAGCTCTTGCAACAGCTTCCAATGGGACCGCCTGCTTCAAGGCCACGGTTGCTTGAGCCTCACGCCACAAGGTGATTGGGTCGTCGTCGCATTCCTTTGAGAATTGCTTTGTCGCAACGGGCCCCGGGGCAATGGCGTTGATACGACATCGTGGATGGATGTTGACTGCGTCGCGGGCAAGAGACTTGACCAGCCCATACTGAATCGCCGATTTGGAGGCTGCGTATGCGGCGCAGTCTGCCACGCCAAACGTGCCTGCCTCGCTCCCAAAAACAATGGCCGAGATATTGCGACTTTGAGGTGTCGCGTGGCTCTGGATGCCTCGGAGCCAAGCGCGACACGTCAAGAAAGTGCCGTCGAGGTTGACGTTCAAGATCCTCTGCCACTCCTTCAGCGGCATGTCGACAAGAGAATGGTGCTGGCAGTAGGACAAATCCACCCCGGCTGCCAACACGCAGGTCGTGATCACGCCATATCTTTCTCTGGCTGATTCCAGCGCGCTCTCCAGGGAGGCCTCGTCTGTAATGTCGGCCTGATGTGTCTGAAGCCGTTCATGCTCAAAGGGCTCTCGTGGGCGCACGAGGTCAAATGCTGACACATATGCTCCGGCCGCCAGGAATGCTCTAACCAGCACGGTCCCAATGGCGCCAGAGGATCCCGTGATCAATACGTGAGTGCCGTCCAGGCCTAAACCGACGTCAAACGACGCTTCGGCCATCAGGAGAAATCGACGATCGCAAGTAAGAAGCAGGGACAAGTTTGAACTCTCTCGCTAAATGACATGGCAAACTCTGTTGGTGTTGGTGCAAAACTAACGGCCACTTATTGATAAACATGGCCGGTGCCGATACGTACCCCTCTCGACAGGGCACGCTAACTAACTGCTCTCCACTGGCCCGCTCAACTCGATCCAGTTTACCGTGCACTGTCGTCTGAAAGCTCTCGAAAAGAACTCTTTAAAGTTCGTGCTGGGCGGCGGTCATCCTCGTACAACCGTGTCTTCGCCAAGTCTGCCTCAGAGACAACCCTACCACCGACCATGGCGGAATCCAAGAAATTCGACCTTGTGTACCGTGGCACCTATGGCCATGACCTATTGGGAAACGTCTGTTTCGTGGTCGGGAGAGGACTCGACCCTCTTCTCCAGCGCTATTTGTTGAAGAATTCACCTCTACCGAAAGTCGCCTCAGCTCTCGGCCTGCGTGCTTCAGTCCCGGCCGTCACTGGCGGCGTTCCCCTCGCGTCAACGGGCCTGACACCATTCCAGACGGTCATATGGTGCATGTCGATCGGCTCGGCGGCGAAACAGATCTTCTGGAAATTCGTCGTCGCCAGAGAGCCCATCTATCCCAGTACGGCGTTCGCAATCAGCTTCTTCAACACGTTCCTCAACACCTTGAATACGCTGGCGTATAGCGCGTCGGGGAGCAACCCGACCTACTTTCCGCCCTGGAGTGTCTACGTCGGAACGGCGCTGTACATCACGGGCATCCTGACCGAAACCATCTCGGAACTCCAGCGAAAGAGCTTCAAAAGTGACCCCAAGAATGACGGCAAGATCTACACCGGAGGACTCTGGTCCCTCGTCCGCCACGTGTCCTACACGGGCTATTCGCTGTGGCGGGCTGGTTTTGCCATGGCAGCGGGCGGTCCTCTGTGGGGGACGTTTGTCGGGCTGTTCTTTCTGAGGGATTTCGGTACGAGGGCCATCCCCGTCTTGGATGAGTACATGGGGAAGAAATACGGCGAGCAGTGGACGCAGGTCAAGCAGAAGGTGCCCTACGCCTTAATCCCTGGAATCTGGTAGAGAGGAGAGAGAGAGAGTGCATTATCTGGTGCGTGCTCAGGATTTGCGTTCAGCGAGCGGGAGTTGCCACAATTCGATCTTGATAGTTTCCATACTCCATACTCCGTAGACTGAGCGACTGTCGAAAATAGCCTGAATCTTCCCGCTCACACGGGCGCGCCAGTTGTCTTGTAGAGGAAATAGCACAGGGTCTTTTTTCCTGACTAGATACGTAGTATATGCTTGAGATTCCGCGACGAACCCCAGCCGCCCAGCCACTGTGTATTTCGAAGAGCAGCTCCAGAGGCAGGGCCACGTCTGGCGAAACTACAGTACTACGGTACTCTGTACCAAAGTCCTAAGTTGGCTCGATCCCCGATCGATCAGCGTCTCGCAACCGGCCTGTGCTGTACTCTGTACTCCGTCCATGTTTCGTGATACCATTATATTTCATGAGTTCGTTCGTATACTCCGTACAGGGGTACAGGGTACATCTGATATTAGAAAACAATAAAAATTTTCCACAACCCACCCCTCTAATCAAGGCACGCCTTACGGATCTTAGACCGTCCTGGCGGATGGGCCAGATCGAGTGCTCCGGCCGACCGACTCCTCGCTCTCGTCGTAGCTGGGCAGGCCGTCTTTGTTCCTGATGACCTCCTCTCTCCTGCTGCCGCCCACCTCCTCCTCGCCCCTGCTCCTCGCCCTTCTGATCTCGAACCCGATCACGAAGAACAGGTAGAGCAAGACCATGGTCGCGGCAATAACGCCATAGGCGATCTTCACTTTGGTGGATGTCGCATCCGTCTGGAATGGACTGAACGACGCCAGTCGGATGCCTAGGCCGCCGTTGATGATGGCAAGCGCGATGAGACCACGCCCGAGCCAGAGGTGGACGTGGCCTGGTGCTGTTCGGCCGGGCGGCTTGGTGGGCTTGCCGCTGTCCACGTTCTGGGCGCGTTTCTTGTAGATGGAATGATGGATGGCTCCGAACTAGTGTTGGGCGTGTGTTAGCATTGAAACGGAAACGCGTTAGAGGACGACACATCCTAGGTCTGGGAACTTACGATGGGTTGGAAGAAGGCCAACGCCAGGATGGCAAGGCCGAGTTTCGGGTGAGGGTCGCTCCAGACGTCGGAATACGGGTCCAGCTGTTGAGCGAGCCAGATGCCCATCCCAGCGGCGACCACGTAGATGACATAGCTGAGGATCTGGCCGACGGCGTGGATCTTGAGCACGATCGGGTTCTTCAGGTTGAGGCGGAGCAGGATGGCCAGGGACGGGATGAACATGACCCAGACGACGGATGCCAGGACAGCATGAGCGATCAGGATCCGCGTTGCCTTGTCGAATTGGGCAGGGTCCGTAAAGAGAGCGCCCTGCGTGACGCCGTTGGAGGACGAGTCGTCGCTGCTGCCGTTGTCGTCCGAGTCGTCACAGTCGCTCGCCCAGGGCGGGCAGCCGTCGCGATCATTGTTGCCGCCCCACCATCCGTAGCCGAACTGCGCGTGAGCGGATGTTGCCAGCAAGGCTGCGGTGTACAAAACGAGTGTGATGCTTCTTGCCATGGTTGATGGTTGCCCGTGAATTTTGATAGTCGTGATCAAGACACAATGCTGTTCAACACAGAGGCGAGGGCAGGAGAAGGAGAAGGCGTGAAAGGGGTTCCAGAGGCCATAGTCCGTACTTCACCCTGTGTCAAATGTCCGCGATCAACACCAGGGGGGGCTGGCGAAAGGATCAGGCTGCGTGTCTGTACCGCAGTCTACGGAACACAAAGCTGGGGCAACACGCCAACGCCAACAGCCTCCGACCCAGAAATAGGAGCAGCGTCCCCCGGCCACAAATCAGCGTTGGGCATGTGCGGGCGATGAAGCTTCGGGCTTCTTGGGGCCGCGTAACTGTGCCTGGATGGCGTCGCGTGATTGGCGGATGTGCCTGTGGCAGTGTCTTGCCTGAAACCCGCTGACCAATGTCGTCGCTCTGACGGGCTCAGCAGTCCGATGCTCCGACCTCCATTAACTACTGTTTATCGACATTTATTTTCCACAACTGCTGCGAGTTCAGCACTCGACGACGTCGGAGGATCTTACAAATTAACCATCGAGAACACAAACCGGTGATTATCGGGATGACGTGTGTCACGGTAGATATCTGACCTGTTCGTCTCAGAATGTCTCTCTGGCATAGAAGCCAATGTGCGAGATTGTTCGAGGATGGGCACGTATGAGAAGAGCGGTGCAGACGAGCGTCCAACTTCACATTGCTGTGTCAAAAGCGACGAGCTGTGCTGCCTCCTTAAGCAGAGCACCGGGATCGAGGTCTTTTTAGTGGAAATTGGCGCAAGTATCTGGCCAGCGTCAATCTCCCCCGCGCCTTGTTCGTTGATGCGCCGCAATACGTGCTGGCCGCAGTGAATGAATGAAACTTTTCCCTCGCAAGCGAAGCCGTGTTTGCCTCAGCCAACCCTTGCCCCTACGGTCTGCTCTGTTCACGTGTGATCTGATCCACCCCGACGAGATTCCTGGCAATCTTTCTTTACTCGTCTCCAGCAAGTCCCTTCATGGCTGAGACCATTTCGGGCTTCTTCCACCGTCAACTGATTCAAAAAGACCTTTCGCCAACCACATATGGTACACCCGGGATGTTGAGCCATCGCTGATTGGGGAAATTGAAAAACTTGGCGCAAATTGTCGTCATTTGCTTGAATGCGTGCCGTCATGTCATCAGGATGCTCGCTGCGAGATGTCTCACGCTGACAATCCATGGGGACCATATTTTTGCGTGAGTTGGAAGAGAAAGGAAAAGGGCTAGTTGCTTCGTCAAGGCTGCTCTTGCACGCTCCCTAGTTGGGGCAAGCGGACTGCAAGTGCCCCGGTTGCTTGCCTGCGTCATTGAGTCAGCAAGTGCTGCATTCGAACGGGTCGGGATTCTCACATTTGTAGCAGATGCGCTCAGAGGTGGGCTCGGATGGGCAATCTCGAGAGAGATGACCTTGTTCGCCGCAGTTCTGCAGAAGGAGTCAGTATGAGGGGCGTTATCTTTCAGGGAAAATGACCCACATAGCACTTCTGGACCCGACCCTGCGTGCAGTCACTGGCTTAATGTCAGCGGAATGAAATCTTGTGTTGCGATCGTCGTACTTACCGTGACATGTGACCAATTCCCCCACAGGACTGGTTCACGAATGTCAGCCTCGCTCGAAATGCACACAAGAGAAGACTCACGTAGCATGTCTGCCCGCCGCCGCCACGGTTGTAGCTCCCGCCGCCAAAGCCAGAGTTGCCGCCGCTCGTACAGTCCCTGCAGAGTATTAGCGAATATCTCACAATACAGGTTCTGAGCATTTGCCGACCGTGCTATGTGGCCCTGGCCGCCGCAGCGATAGCATTCTCGACCGGCTCCGCCACCGTAGGAATTACCACCGCCGTAGGCATTTCCACCAGCAGCGCGATAGGTGTTGCCGCCAGCGCTGCCCCACCCGGCGCTCGAGTCTCCGACAGGAGCAGCCTGAGGACAGTCGCGAGCAAAGTGACCTTCATTCCCACCTACGCACAATGAGGATATGTTTTCTTCGAGTTTCGTTCACAAATTTGACTGACACTTGTAGCATGACTTTGGCTTGGGAGGTGCTGAGCAATCTTTGCTGAGGTGGCCTTCGGCTAAGGGATGTAAGTACGCGACATTTCTGTCATCGAAATGTGCAATGTACCTCCGCAATTGTAGCTGCAGAATGTCAGTGAAAATGAGAACGTCAAAAAGAAGGGTCCTCAAAAGAATCGGCTCACCAAGTTGGATTTCCCTTCTTGGGGCAGTCTCGGGCCTGGTGCGAAGAATCGCCACAGTTGTAACAGCCTCTGTCCATTTTGTGGATTGGTATTCTTTCGTCTCTAGGCGATCAACTGGGATTCATCGGTCAGTGACTTGCGAAAAGAGACAGGGTGTTGAGCAAGGGTATGACGGTACATACCAGACGGACAAGTTAGGGAGATAATAAGGAATTGAGACCTTCACGACCAGGGAATTTGCGCAGTGAGTGCTTCGTTGAAATTGTAAAATAATGGAGCAGCTGAACCTGCGCAGAGGGATGGGAATAGCTAGCGCGGATTGGCAGAACGGGCGGAACAATTATTCGCCGAGGTGGGCATTCACTGACGTCATTGTTGAAGTTGGCGAGATTTTACTCGTACTTGTAGTGATCGTACAGCTACTCCGCAAACTCGGTATGAATTCTCGAATCCGCATTCTGAAAACCTTTCGCTATTTTGTGCCCACCTTCCAGCTACGAGGTACTGCGAACTACACAGACCACCACCACCGTCTTGATCCTCCCATAAATTGGCTCGCAACGGCCCTTCCCATTGGCCTCGCATACCCACGGGCAAGGATATGGAATCTTATTCGTCCACCATTCCTTGGCTTACCTGACGTCCAGAATAAGTCTCGATAACAGTGAGCTTCTATTCTTGCCGTTGCGCGGTGTTGTGCTACCAGGGAAAAGAAACATATGTGGCCAGTGACGGAGGTAAATGTAATGAGAAGCTGAGGGCTCCTTGCTCAATATCCAGCTGCTGTAGGCTGGGAGACGCGGCGCAACGCGTGGCAGACTTCTCCAGTCAAATTACTAGGTAATCTTGACAATGCTGTTTGGCCGAGGTCTTTTAATTTCAATTTATCTAGTCGCTACGTAAAATCGTACAGGGCCATTATTTGTGTGTGGTCTGCTGTTTCACCCAGCACAACAACCTGGTGCTCATCAAACCCCACCCACCGTCTATTCAGCTCGAGTTCGTGTTTCACCTCAGGCAAAGCAAGCCCCAACCCAGTACCCCGTCGAGCCAATGCGGCTGCAATACCCGACAACGCCTCGACAGGTCTGATCCGAGTGCTTGTTTTGGCTGGGAACCCCGTCATTACGTTTTCTAGTTCCCACACCCGTACTTCGTCTCCACGAGAGCTGATCGACACTGCCTTGCCCCTGTTGTTGACCTCGGCACCGGAAACGGCAGAAGTGTGACCCCAGAGCCGTCGGCCTGGACCGATCTCAAGACTGTCCTGGTTCGAGGTCACGAGGAAACTCATCATAGTATTGTCCGCCAGCGTGCCAATCAGGTATGGATGCTCATAAGAAAGAGAAGTTGGTGGACTTCTCATCTGAGGATGCAGTGCTAATGGCATGGAGCTGGTGAATCGCGTCGTCATGTTGAACTTGTTCTGTCGCGCAGTCTCCCTGTCTAACGCCGTCTCAAGAGTAGAGGCCAGTCTGCTCCCGAGGAAACGTCCATTCGCATTCAGTCGGATCTCTTGCACACCCATGCACCACCCAGAATGGAGTCTCTGAAAAGCGTACGCAACCGCAGCAATGATGCCACTAGGCGCGCGTCGGAGAGATACCGATATAGGCGAAAAGGAAGCATCCGACTGAAACCGCGCGACAGTGGATATATCCTGGCAGCATGAACTCGGGGAGGCTGCGGTACCCAGATGGTAAATGCTCAGAAATTTTGTTCTAGAAACTGTCATTGCGTAGGGATGGGAGAGCGAAACGGCTAGCAAGGGCCCGTCGGCAGATAGATGAGTAAAATGGACCTCAAATTGGTCCCGTTCATAGACGTAGACCGACCACGAGCCATCTTCGAAACCAAGCAGAACCTTGACCCGTCCGCCCACAGTTTCCGTAGACAGACAGGTTGCTCCAGATGTCGTGTCCAGGGGGAAATGTGCTCGCAAGGTCCTTGTCCCTTGTTTCGACGACCAAGCTCGAAGCCCTGAGGGGTCGACAGTGAATATGACGCCGCTGTGCACTTTGGCAATTACAGGGCGAGCGGGCGGGCGCGCAACTTCCAGTTCATGAAGTCTCGCTTTGCCATTGGACCAGTTTGTTTTAGTTTTGAATCGACTCTTCCAGTCAATCGACTCCCCACTGATCGCTACCACCGCAGGCGCCCTCAAACGAGGCCTGGTGAATGTATCGAGGTATTTCAATTTCCAAATCCCCCCGTCCGTGGCAAGGGCTCGCATCCGGCGTGACACGCACTCGGTCCGCAGTAATTCGCGGGTAGGTAGATAGGAAAGGATGCGGAGGAGGATTTCGTCGCTAATGTCGAGCAGATTTCGTCTGGAGCCTGTGCGACTTCGCTTTGCACGAGCATACTCTCCGCCGCCATCCTCGTCGCTCCTCCTTCGCTTGGGCATGTTGACGATGTTGGTTTGAGTTGGATTGGGAACGTGAGATGGTCTGGAATTGGGCATCCCAGTCCGAGAAGCACGAAGAGGATGGCTCGCCTCGCTGCCTCGCGCTTGCCCCACTTTCCGCTGCCGGTTAAACATCGGGCCCGACGCGTTCGGTCGTGTCGGTACAAGACCTCGAAGAGTTGGGGGCTTGACAGATACTGATACCTGCTGTACATAATCCACGCGACCAAAATATACATAACATGTCCAGCTCCGCGAGTTCCTCTCTCACGTCGACGTTGGTACTAGCGCTTGCGCAGAGTGAGGCACTCCAGCGGCAAATAGGCCACGCTCAAAAACTCATTGACCAACTAAAGCTGGAGAATGAACAGCTCCGGCAGGAAGTTCAGGGGCTACGCCAGGCCCAAGCGCAATTGCAGACACCTCATCCAGATCTGACAATTCAACTTGACCAACTGTTTCGCAAAGATGCAGAGAAACAAGCAGAGATTGACAGTCTTAGAAAGCGTCTGGCTCAACCTTCTCATGCGCGGACACCAAATGCCTCGTCGCCAGCTCTTTCAGGGGACGACCAACCACCTTTGAATGCGTCCCGGAAGCGAGCTAGGATCAACAGCCCGGGAGACAGACCCCTGCGCGATATTGACGCGAATTCGCCGCCTGGCGGCCGGCCCCAGCAACTCAGAAAGTCCAAGGGAATGTTCAGGGATAGAACGACTGAGGCTATTTCCCTGATCGCAGAGGACGGTGTCGATTGTCACAGTGATGACGTGAGGCCGAAGACGAGAACACCTATCGATCCCGGCAGCTCACCCAATCAACGTCTCCAGGGATTGTTGGCAGCACCTAGCGCGGCAGCCCCGGTAGCAAAGGACACTCCTCGTCCTCGGTCCTCGAAGAAGACACCCATTCAAGGTAGAAGAGCAGAAAACAACGAACCACTTAGACGGCGTCCGCTCAATGGTCTCAACCTCTCCCATTTCAAGGTCAATCCGAAATATGCCTCAGGCCTTGATTTTCCGTTCCGGGAAGTCGTCCGAGAGAAGGAGGCGAGGAAGTGTTTGCCGGGCTGCAACAGGGCGGAATGCTGCGGCGCTTCTTTCAAGGCGTTGGCGATGACGCTCCCTCCGGACCCTAAACTATCAGAAAACGACTTGTTGCTTGAATTTTTGGGACCAGGCTCGGAGCAGAAGATCAGCAGCCTGACACCGCTGGCGCGAACCAATCTAGTGCATGAAGCTAGAGCCAAACGGCTAGCAAACGCGTATGGCAAGATGCACAGGGCCACCTTCGAACCGCCGTCATCGCCACCGGCCTTCTGGAATGTAGATATCCCTAGCACCCAGGAGCAAGAGGAGATTCGAGGGCCGGCTATGGCAAAGCAAAGGGAGGAGGTTGAGAACCGATATCAAGAGGCTCTGAAAGGCGGCCGCTGGCTGTTCGCAGATGAGTGAGAGGATACCAGGACACCAGAGGCCGGCCATACCAGCTGTTGACAATGTGACCGACGTCGGCGCGGATGACAAGTGCTATAAAATGTAAGCCGAGCCAAGATGACTACGGGCATAGTATCTACAGACCAGCGTTGGTCGCAATGTTGGAGACGTTCACCCGAGTAAGAAATGCGGCACTGGATGCTCGAGTTGATAAAGAACTACTAGGATCTGGGTTACGACTCTCCATTCCTAGGCTATCATAAAATCTGTCCAGATCACTGCACAGCTTGCAGGAGGTGGCTAGCACATGCGACTTCACTGTTACGGTCACAACGCCACAACCACCTCAGCACGACTGATCCCCAAGTTCATGGCACAATCTAGAGAGAGGAGATCTCCCATCATCCTTCCTCTCACACATTCTTAACGCCCCTGTCACTAGGTCCCCTCCGACACCTGTTCGCCTCACAGTCATGGTGGACATCCTGCACCAGCCCGACCGACCGCCTTCTTGATGCTCGCCGGCACTGCGCCAGCAGACGCCCCTTCAGAACGATCTCCAGTTACTTCTCAACTAAGTCTCCACAAGATGGACAAATTTACGAGAATCGAATTGACGCACCCACGTTCACCAAAGCCCTCGACTACTTGCGGCGGTCCTTCGTCACCTATGCTGAACCTTGCGCCCAGCAATGGCCGAATGTGCCTTCCACATAGGAGCCTGCAGTCTCAATCATTGCCTCCTACTCCGACGAGGCCGAGGAGTGGAATACAGACAGGGATCGATGTGCTTGACTTGGATCAATTTAAAATTCCAGCCGAGTTCAGTCTTAGCTGGTACACCGACAACCTTGGCGCAGTGATTCCAGTCAAATACCGTGCCAACAGAAAGGACATCACAGACCCTATTCACAGAATCCTGGATCGGGCTTCCAAGTATCACAATGACACGCGGCCTCCGAGAGTGGAGGCGGTAAAGATCTACGACCGGCCGGCTTCCAGAACCACCTGTCGACAGCTAGCATCTCTCATTCCAGCCGAGTACTTCCCACAACAAGGGAGCAGTATCGTACGATTCTTAGAAGGGGTTACAGGCTACATGAGAGAAAAAGCTGGCATGAATCGCTACACACTTCCGCGACCAAACCGGAGCTCTTGCATAAACCCGACTTTGGTGGCGGAGGCACCTCATTCTGCAGGACTTGCAACTCCTGGGAAGCGTCGAACCATCAAGGAGGAGCCCGATCGGGACTCTAGCGCAGTTGGATTGATAGCGGGATATTCAGAAGAAAGTGCTATCAATCTAGACTCGGACGAAGAAGCGGATACCATCCTACCATCGGTGGAAAGTCCGGAGCGCATCAAGAAGACGAAGAGCAAGGATTCATCCAAGAAGTACAAAATTGCTTCGTCCTCGGCGTCACACAATCAAGCGACCGAGGTTGGAAATGTCGCCGGAGCCGCTGAGGTGTTTTAATCAGAGAAGTCTAAGAAACCCTCGTTGAAGAAACGCAAGCACCTCCAAGAAGGTGCTGAAGGTGTGGGCGACACTCAACTCACTGATATTGCCACCCTTGTCAAAACGAAAGAGCCTTCGGCCACCAAGAAGCGCTCAAAGAAACCCAAGAGGGCCGAAGAAGCTGGCGAAGCTGCGGAAAATTCCCAACCCACCGACTTTGTGACCCCTGGAGATGCCAAAGGGCAATCCGACTCGAAGAAATGCTCAACGAAACGTCAGGACAACGGGGAAGTCGCTGAAACTGTTTCCTCCAAGTCCACGAAGGGCTCCTCTTTAAACAAACGAAAGAGGCCCAATGAAGTCGCCGAACGCGAGGATGATGCTCGACTTACAGACATCGCATCCACTCTGTCCCAAAGATCCTCCCCAACAAAGAAGAAGCATAAGCGTTTTGAAGAACCAGCTGGAATTGAGGGCATTGCCGATCTATTCGAAAATGTAAACCCCGCGCAATTTAAGAAGTCGACGAAATCCACATCAAATCAGAAGAACAAGGATTGTCCAAGTGGAAGCGATGTGGGAGACGCACATGCTGCCCCCGTACCAAGCATGCCACAAGCTAGGGCCAAATTGAAGTCACTCAAAGCCTTAGTACCAGCGGAACCGAGTTCGCTTTTGTCGCGCATCGAGCAGAAGCGAAAATCCCTGCTACCACCGGACGCATTGCCCTCGAATGATACATCTTCCGAGTCCAGCGTCGAGAGGCCTTCTCCGCCAGTCGAGAAACCCACGACTTCCGACCATGCTGCTATCGGAGGAGATAAATCCGCCGATGGAGCTGTCGATGACACTAGCTCTTCTGACGACGACGACGACGACGACGACGACGAGGACGACGAGGACGACGATGAAGACGAGACACCTCAAAAGACTGTGCGCCGCTCCACCGATAAGCTGCTGAGCGAAAGGCTCATGGCAGACAACCAAGCACTGGTCGAGAAACACACAGAGGAGATTGCCGTGCTCAAGCAAGCCGCGAAAGGGGGACGTCGAAGAATGAGAGAGAGGTCCACAGCCAGGACCGAGCACCACCGGCGGCAAATCGCCTCCTTGAGCACCGACCTCGCAAGGCTAATGGACAGAAAGCAGGCTCTCGAGGACCTGTTGTGCAAGAGAGCCGGCATCGACCCACTCGACCTGGAGCGAACCTTGGTCCGTGTCGGCGAGGGCCTCAACACTTATCGACGATCCTTTCAGATGGCCCACAAGTGCGAACGAGAATAAAGGAGCAAAGAGCCGAAAACCCAAGGGGTTTGCCAGTCGAACGGTCCAGTCCGCAGCAAACACCAGCCACATCAATTAAGCCGCACGCCGTGCCAGTCGGTCGTCTGAACGTCTCCACCGAACTGCACTCAGATCAGGGGCTATGTGCGATCTGCTGATACGAACGACCGTCTGCACGACTCTTGCATGCGGTTGGGAGACGATGAAAAAGAAAGAGAGTTGAGGAACGTACCATAGCGAGCAGAGGAGACCTCGGGCCACAAGACTGGAGACCCTGAATATGCTCCGTCCCGCGCACCAGGCAGCGTGAAGCACCCAGCATGAACAATAAAATGCCCAACAACTGAGCCAACATGATATGTCTGGAGCTTAAAACTTCTCTCGTCACATCCAATTGCACGCAGTTTCCCAACGAGTCTCGACTGTATCAGCCTTAGAAACCCTGTCGCCCCAGTCGCTATGCCTGTCGACTATTCTGACGTGGCTTCAAATACTCATTTACTGCATTGTCTGATGTAATCTGGACACATAATGCTACCTATGAGCTATCAATCAATGCTGCCTGATGCTCGGACCATTCCAAAATGCTGATGGGCTTGCTTCTTTGTTCCAGTGCCGCCGTTGCTGTATGTGCATAAAACCGTCACCCACGCTGCAAAGTCGGGCACGGCAGGTTGTGATGCAAAAGACGCAACCCGAAAAAAAGATGAGAATGACCCGGACAATTGACTCGTTTCTGTCGGATGAAAAGATGAGTCTCGCCAACAATGCGAATGCAGGATCCGGAAACACCCGCTTTCTGATGTGTTTCTGTACACACGAATACCACACAACGTCCTCTCGTCCCATATGTACTCATGTTTCTCTTTCCTCCTTCTTTGTCACTTGCGCGGCTGCAGCGCACTCAGCTATCAAAGATCCTGCTCTTGTTGTTAGCAATCACTTCTCAGATGGACCAGATCGAGAAATAGCTTACGGGGCAAAGACAGGAATGCCGCGTGATTCAAGTGAATAGACGACCCTGCGTGTTACGCGTGGGTTTGAGATCACAAAGACAGCTTCCGCCTCAGACTTCACATACAATTCGTAGGTGTGCTTGACTAGGTCCGGCCTTCCAGAGACGGTGGTGTTGATTATCATCGCCTCGGGATCGGCTCTGAGCACCGTATCTACAACATTCTTGGAATAAGTGACCTCTGGGGTTGGCGTACTCCAGAGTATCCGGCAACAAACATCGCTCTGACTGAGTAGCGACAGGATGGGGCCAATACCTGATCCTGTGGCGACCAGGATGAGTTTTCGAAATATTGGGGCCACGTGCAGAACTCCCAGAGTGGGGATTCCTCTCACCCACAGGGCGGTCGGAGGTGATCTGATGAGCCGGGATGTCCAGTCGCCGGCCTTCGACACGAGAACCGAGAACCCAGGGCCGTCTTCGTCGGGGATCCCTGCAAAGGCGTGCCACTCGAGAAGTGGATTGTCTGAGATTCGAGGAGCGGCACAGAGAGGCAGCTTGGTATATGTGAAGTGCAGCCGGATCGCATGGTCCGATAAATGTTCTGCATTCACCTTGACTTTCCTCAACCACACCCAAGGTAATGCAATGGAGATGGTGGCGATCAAAAGGGTCCAGAAGACTGGGCTCCTCAGCACGGCCACGCTGGCAGGTTCGGGCGAGTAGACGTCGTGCACCTTTGCGTCCGTCAAGAGGGCGAATTCGACCCAGAATAGGGCCACCGAGGTCCAACCCGCAAACCGGTGTACTAGCTCAAACTGGTTGTGCATCCTTGCCCGTATGGCAGGATGCGCCATTGCTATTATGGAGAGGAGCAGTACATCGAGGAGAACGGTGATGATGGGAATGCTGCTCTGGTGTCTCCGTATCCCTCCGGATTGGAACGAGTTGACAATGGATACGTTGAAGAATGCGAACCACACGGTAGCCGACATGGCGGCCCCACTGTGTACACCTCCGAGATGATATATCTTTGCAGATAGCCGACGGATGCGTAAGGGGAACCACTGGGGACATTTGCCGAAGACCCAAAAGAGCGTGTTGATGACGAGTTCTTGCCGCATCAGTACACTGACGGTAAGGTTGATAGACACTGCAGACGCCGCGCGCTCCGGTGACATCGAGACAAGCTTGTGCTGTGCAGCCAGAACAATGATGGCTATGATATTCGCCGTCAAGACGAGGGCGTTGAGGCGTCGATATACGGAGAAGATGGTCCACCGTAAGTTACGCAACAGGCGGGTGTACTTTTTGTCAGGCATCTGCATCCCGGGTAGTGGGTTCTTTTCGAGGATGAGAGAACCTGATCTGGAAGACCCTTGATCTTGTGCTACCGTAGTGTTATGCTGGGCGAGATCTGAGTCCGCCGCAGAGGACGTGGTAGGACGTTCGCCATCGATTTGTGATATACAATAGTTCGGAATGTCGCTCAGGTCCGGCTGGAGATCTCGGTCATTGGTGACCACCGTGTCATCGCCGTGGTCGAGCCGGATACGGTGTTGCTGGGACTCGAGAGTGGGAAGAGGAGGAATAGCACTGGCTGTCATACTGAAAGATCTGCTTAAAAGCATGAGCAAGAGTCTCGACGATGCGCGTTTGCAGTGGCCCGAAGGGGCAAACGCGACTCCCACGGTAGAAGGGCTTGTGTAAACCACGTCCAAACCCACCGGCAGTGAGCCATCTGGACTCCGCGAAAGTGAATCGATCAAGCAACCACCTTGAGTCATGGCAACAGGCGATGTATGAAGTTTTCCCTTGCAGTGAAGAATGTGCAGGTCAGGGGTGAGGCAGTCAGAAGGCGGAGAGATAATAGCAAATGGGTGCTTACTAGGTGTCTTCAACAGACCGTGGATGCCGTGATGCCGCCGAGAGCGTACAAGATAAGATGAGACGGGATCATCTGCATGAAGGTACCGTCGTGCCTTATAGCAGTGGAAAAGGTACTGGGAAGCGGAAGCGGTTGAAGTCAGGATCATAGGAATGATTGTTTCTGGTTTCCGGACAGGTGAATCAGACAGGATGATGGTGTATGGGATATAACTTTTTCTAGAATCCCAGTGTGATCGAGTAGGGAGCAGGTCAAGCGGCGAGTGACTCGGTGAGTGAACTAGGAGGGAGCGGCGACGGGTGATGGAGCGGAGGAGTTGCAGGTGACTCGAAAACGTGGGCAATGAGAAATCATGCGGCCGATCCCGCAGGATGACAGAAACACCGTGAAGCGGCGAGCTCGAGGTGTAGCCGTCCCGTGGTTAGCGAGCCACACAAAGGGAGCCGGTGAGATGCCTGGAGTGATGTCTGCGAGCGAGATGCCTGGTGTTGGTGGCAGTGGAAGTGATGGTGCAAGCCGTGTGGGTAGTTTGTGCACATTGCTTTCCGATGCCTTGGATTCATCCTCGATTGGGAATCAGCATAACGCATGCCGACGGAGATCCCAGGAACGATTGACCCATGACCTTGGGCCGCGGCGATCGATCTGGACGGGGGATAAGAAATGGACCAGTTGGGATCGCAGTTCCGGTAGCCAATTGATAGAGTCTCCAATATATTGAATTGAGCTTCAATGCTTCAGTGACTCCGCAGGCACGACCTGCAAGCATCACGAGAAGTGATGCCTGAACGAGGAAAGACTGAACCAAGAGCACTGGCCACTCAGCACTTTCCCATTCTTTGATGTTCCCCATCACCACCACGTCAAGCACGACATGCTCACGGCAGTTTCTCAACATTCCCACCAGCAGGCAGGATACAACGGGATTTCTACACTGACTAATCGAGCCGCTGTCAGATTTGCTGTGCAGAGCAGAGGGAGGCAAGGCGAAGACGGTGTTGGCATGAGAAACCCACCGCCTTCATCTCAACGGCAACCGGTGAGCAAGGCCATCGGGATGGTATGCGTTGGAACCGGCTGTGCTTCTTGCGCATTATGACGGTGGCTTTGTCCGGCGCTGATGTTGCTGTAGCCCCTCGTAGTCGTGACTGTGCTCGAATCCATTCACTTACCATGAAGTGACCACGAAGTGACCCTTTGCTCCGGCCCCAGTAGCAGCTGCCTCTCCGGTCAGATGGACTTCTGCTCGGCTGCTACCCATCACAGGAACTCAGCTGCGTTCAACCTAGCGCACATTGCTCTCCGTCCATTGCGCAACCACTGCCTGGGGCAGCTGTACCATCGGATGACCACGTACACGACTTTCTTCTTCGTCGTGCTGGATAAAGCGTGCTTCTTGCAGTTATTGTCCTACCTGATGATCCCTCCATTGTGACACCTGTCTTGCGTCTCTGCAAGCCTCTGTTACACAATGTCTTTCTCCAAGGTTCCCCCCACGGTTGTCATCGATTCTGTCTGGACCTCTTGCAAGTCCGTCCCGATTCCATCGACCGACATCCTCACATATACCTTTGGCAATCTCAGTCGATATGACGACGATACCCCGGTAGGCCGCCTGAGCTCCTGCATGTATTTGTGTTGTTGCTGACCCTGCGCCCTCGTCTCCAGATCTTCATCGATGCGAACCATCCGACCCATAGGATTCTCGCCAAACAAGCCCTCCGGACGGTTCGTCAACTGATCAAGGGCCTGAAGGCGCTCGGCTTGAAGGAGGGGGATTGTGTATGCCTGCACGCCTTCAACAACGTATGTCATACTTCTGTTGCTCAAAGTCGGCTGCTGCCGTCTTCTGCGCTTCGTTTCATGCTGTGCAACTTGACTGACCAGAGCGCTGTAGATCTGGTATCCCTTGATCTGGCTGGGAATCATCGGTTCCGGGGGTCGTGTGGTCGGATCCAATCCCAGATACACCAAGTCCGAACTGGTTCATCTGCTGGATCTGACCAAGCCAAAGTTCGTCTTCGCTCAGATGGACTGCATGGATCCAATCGTTGAAGCTGCTGCCGCCGCCCAACCCAAGATTGACCCCTCCAACATCTTCAGCATTGATCCTACCGAGGACTATGCCCGTGTTGCTGCCACGATCGAGGCCAGGTCACCCATATTCGATGGCCCTTGCAATGTTTTAAGCCTGCCCAGAAGCGACACCCCGCCTTTCCGTGGTCACTCCAGCTGGCGTACATTGCTGCTCAGAGATGAAACCGATTCGCCTCCTCCCACAAATGACGGCAAATTCGACCAAGAGAGTATTGCAGTGTACTCACTGACCAGTGGTACGACTGGCCTCCCAAAGACTGCCTTGATCTCACATCGATCCGTTGTTGCCCAGACTGCGCTGCTTGAGGATCAGTTTGGCGCCACACCATATCAAGTACGATCAGCTGCCCGCTCGAAACATCATGGAACCCACACTGACACCTGCCACAGCCATCACAGCTTATCTGCCTGCCTGTCTTTCATGCGTTTGCATCGCCCCTTGCGCTGGTGTTACCACTCCGACTGGGCATTCCCACATTCTTCCTGCCCAAATGGTCTCTTTCGGAGTGTTTGCGAGCGCTTGAAACGCACGCCATAACCGATGTTCCAATATGTCCGCCAATTGTCAGTGCTTTGACCCAGCTTCCAGTTTCAGAACACCCCCGACTCAAGAGCCTCCGACATGTCATGTCTGCCGGAGCCGCTTTGCCTGCAACGGTACAAAACAAATTATACCATGTGTTGGCCCCCGAGGCACTGGTAACCCAAGTTTGGGGTACCACAGAGGCAGGATGGCACAGTTTCGGTGACCTGCAAGAGAGAGATTATTCGGGAAGTGTTGGCCGGTTGCTGCCAGGTGTTCATCTGAAGCTGATTTCGGAGGACGGGTCTGTAGTCACAGATGAGGGCAAGCCAGGCGAGGCGTTCATAAAGACCCCAATGCTATTCTCTGGATACCTGAAGAACAGTGAAGCGAACGCGGATGCTTTCGACCCCGATGGCTTTTACCGGACCGGCGATCAGCTGTATGTGCAGGACGGCAAGCTGTACTACACCGACAGGATCAAGGAAACCATGAAAGTTCATGGCTGGCAAGTATCACCGACAGAGCTGGAGAGCGTTCTGGTCCAGCACCCTGGGATTGCGGATGCGGCTGTAGTCGGCGTCGCTCGAAGCAACTTGCTCGGCATACCCGAAACGTTTCCCACTGCCTATGTGGTGCGCAGCGCCCTCAAAAGTGGCTCCCCACTGACAGCGCAGGAGGTGAAGGATTTCATCGCCGCGAGGCTGATCTCATACAAGCGCATCACGGGCGACGTTAACTTCATCGAACAGATCCCTCGATCCGCGGCTGGAAAGATTCTCCGCCGGAATCTACTCCATGGCGCACGATCTGAATGAGCTCAGGACGCTGACAGTGGAGAGGTCAATCTTTTTGAAAGTTACTGACGGAGCCAGTCAGGTCCTGTGTCTGAGAAGGCGAGAAAAGGCATAAGCGGCCAAAGGCCGGCTTCACAGAGCGCGGTCCATTTCCCTGGAAGTTGTCACTGAACAGAACCCATATCTTACCAAGAATAACAACAAAGCATACCGCCATTTCGTTGAATGTGGTCAAGAAATTGCTGCAAACGAGGGTTGTGTATGGCGCAGAACTGCTGAGGGCTTCCGAATCCTGTAGTCCCCGCACAGAAAGGGACGTTGGATCTCAAAGTCGGAGGCATACTTGAAGACATAGATATCCAGATACACCTCCAAGCGCCAATGTATGAGAAGATGCAAGTATTCGACGTCTGAGGATGGATAGGGAGAGATGAAGTAGCAAACAATCTCACACTTGGCGAGCTGGCAGCTGGGCATGCCTATTCTGTGCCTAGTCTTCGCCTATTCTTGACCCTATAGCGCCTAGTCTTTCCATCTTAGGTTCAGCTTCAAATGACATGTCATTCGGTGCCGGTCTGCGCCATTCGAAACATTGCGCATGGACCATTCTCGCGATCTTCGTGCATTCTGAAACACCGATCGAGTGTTATTTCCAGGTCTCTCGTCTGGATTCTTTGGTCAAGGATCTCAATCGTTGGCCACATCTTACCATCGGAATACAACCATAGCGCTCAGATCATAACCAAAGTGCGGGTTCAATCACACACAAATCTTGCAGAGTGGCTCAGGATAGCGACAACAGGCATGTCTCTGCAAACACCAAGTGACCTGCCCGTGCAGGTCATCGTGCCCAACGACACCAACCCATCGGGGCCCCCGCTACTCTCTGCCGAACGTCGCGTCACACCGTCGTGGACCGTCGCGCAATTCAAGGCCAAGCTCGAGCCCATCACAGGAATCCCGGCGTCCAGCCAATCTCTGCGTACTCGGTCCTTGCTCGACGATACGTGGATTCAAATCGACAATGACGCCGACCTGCTCTCCACTCCACGCTACGGGCTGAAGAGGGGTTCGGAGATCCAAGTGATCGACCTGCGTCCCCGGCACGAGCGGCAGAACCTGAACTTCCTCGCGGCCGATCTGAGCTCGGTCGAGAAGTACCAGATGCCCGAGGACCGGTACGAGAAACTCGAGGACTCGGTGCTCGCGTGGAAACGGCGGCAGAAGCTCGGGCGCTTCGACCCGCACGCCAAGTCGCAGGACCAGGTCGTGCAGGAGCGGCGGAAGAAGGACGAGGCCGAGATGGCGGCCCGGGGGATCCGGACGGGCCTGCGGTGTCGCGTGGCCAAGGACGACGGCAAGAGAGGCGTCGTCAGGTTCACGGGGGAGGTCCCGGGTCTGGGTGGCCAGAGGGAGGAAGGGTGTCTCTGGGTCGGCGTCGAGCTGGACGAGCCCGTGGGCAGAAATGACGGGAGTGTGCCCGTCGAGATCGAGGGCGAGGATGGGAAGCCCAAGCACGAGACAAGGAGGGTGTTTGAATGCCGACCAAAGTACGGCGTGTTGGCGAGGCCGGAGAAGGTCGAAGTGGGCGACTTTCCGCCTCTGGATGATTTGATGGACGAGGATATGGAAGAGATTTGAATGGCTTACGCCCCCGGCTCGTCGAGGCATGCAACCACGTGGCCCCGGTTGAAGCCATGTCCCAAGCCGCGCCGGAGCAGGAATGAGCCGACAACCATGTGATCTCCAAAGTTGGGCGACGCTCAACTGCCACGATCATTGGTGTCCCTCCGGACTCATCGACCATACGAGCAACTCTCAGACACACTGAGGACGAGAGAAGGGCAATAGCAGAAGGGCCGGGTCGTCCATCGGCAATGCGAAATGTTAGGACACTACGAGAGCGAGATCTTGCGGGCCCGTTTTCTTGACCGCTGAAGGCAAAGCCATGCTGCCGTCACGAAGATGAAGTATCGGAGAAGTCTGATCACATTGTCGACTCTGTGTTGACGAGCTCTCGAGAGGGTTTTCCACCGAGACGTCATCTGGAACTTCAGACATACGAGCCCAAAGCATGCATGCTGCAATTGCAAGGGCAAATTCTTCGACATTCGTCTAAACCCAGGCCGGACTGAATGGTCGACCGATCGTCCCGTCATTACGTTTGTAGCAGAAGAGCGCGCTATATATCTCCTAACATTGTACATGAGCACGTACGCGTGGATATCAGTCCTGAGCTTCTGTTGGCGCAGATTCACATGCCTGACTAAAGAAGATTCGTGCTGGCTTGTCCATCTCGTTCTCGATGGAATACTGGTTACCTGTGCTCAAAGTTAGTTTTGCTAATATCCAAGGCCCACAGGATACTTCGGACTTACCACGTGGAACTTGCCAGAACCCGCCCTTGCCGATGCTGAATCGGTTCATGCTCCCAGTAACTTCGCCGCCCAATGGGCCCACGGTAACCGTGACCCTACCCTTGACAACGAAGAAACTCATATGCATCTTGCGGCTATTCTTCGGTCGCTTGATGCCGCCAGGGGGAAGGTCTACAAGTCCGGTACCAAAGAACCTTGTTGATAGCAACTTCGCATATCGGAAAGTAGGTCCGTCTTGTGAACCTGAGCCTTTGACTTCTCGGGTCGGGATCGCTGCAGCTGCATGAGCAATTTCAATCTCCTCCTCTTGCTCTGTCGGCGCTTGTTCAACATTGTCCCAGATAGCGACATTGCCTCGCAGCGTGCCGGTCCCGGTCTCCCATGGCTCGGCGTCGGGATCTTCTGGGATATTGCCCAGTTCGAATTCGGAGTCCGACCTATCATTTGTGTCTTGTTCTGCGTCTCCTCCCTCCTCGACGGAAGTCCGCCGCGCCTTGCTTTTGCCCTTTTTACCCTTCTTTTTCTTGCCTTTCGACTTCTTACTGTCAATCCTTTCTGCCACTTCTTCAGAGCGCACAATCTCCTTGATGCTGTTGAGTGGGAAGCGCGCTCCATCCGCCAGACTCGCTCCGCCCGGGCTCGTCCCGTACACACATCGTTCGTTCCGCCAATATGCCAAGGGCCTGACACTGACGCGGCCGCTTCTTGTGTGCATTATGCCATCGTCCGCGGGAGTTTCTCGTCGCAAGATGTACAATGATCTCGGAGGGCCTGGCCGTGCTCTGACTTTCTCAACAATTGCCTCGAGTTCTCTCTCCTGTCGAGAAGACAGTTTCAGGTTCGTATTGATGTCTCTTAGAGGCTGCTTCCCCTCTGCCTCTGCTGATAATGGTTGGGGACTCGGTGCTGGCGGAGTAGCATTTCTCGTTTTGGGAGGTCGTCCTCTTCGTTTTGCAACTTTGTTCGGTATCGGCGAAGCAGCGGGTTCGTCCTGGTCGAGCGCGTCGGATTTTCTCTTCTTCCTCGAGTTTGCTTTGTTTTGTGATGCTGGGGGTGCTGGCTCTTCGAGTGCTTGGTCCGGCTCGGTTTCAGCATCATCAAAGCCTACACTCGGGGCGCCCAGCTCCTCAGAAGTCTGCCGCAGGTGCGGCGTCGGTGTGGCACCTGCCGCGTGCTCGCTTGATGGGGGGACATCAATGCCAGCATCTACAGCTGCTTCGACGTCTTCTGTGGCTTCATCGTATGCATCAAAATCGCCATCCTCGATAGAAGGAGTGATTTCATTCTCAATCCGCCGTAGTTCTAGACTGGCTCTTGGTTTGTGCAGTCGGCTCGGAGTGATAGTCATTCTGTCGGCGAGGGGTGACTTCCGCGGACTGGGGCTAAATCGCCTCGGTTGTGTCCTCTGCAACGTCCGGACAGAAGCAGGCTGTGGGCTTTGCGCATCGTGAATTAGTGTTGACGCCTGCGGCGGGGTATTTTCATGTTCTTCGATGTCTTCATGTCGCAAGCTCTTGGCCGCAGAGAATATGTCGACGCCATTGCTCTTTCTTGCGGCACCACTAATACCGCTCTTTCTAGGCGAGGACGAGCGGAGGCGTCGAATTGGCGTAGTTCGGGCCGACCGTTGCGCGGACAGTGCCTCAATAGGAGCATCTTCTCGCTCAGTCTCCAGCACGACCACGTTCTTCAACGGTGACGGTTTCCGAGGCGATGAGAAAATACCCGAAATCTGCTCCATTCCGTATGCATCAAGAGGTTGCTGGTCGAGAGTGACTCCGGTGCGCCTGTGCCCGGTCAGCGACAGCTCATACTCCCGGTATCCTCCACGCCCTTACCTTCCTGCCTTTCCAACTGCCGAGTAGTCGACATTGGCAGGTCCTCTGCGCGCTGCGAGTCGCGAAGCCATGATGGGCTCGAATAGGCGGCCTTGTAGCGGACGATGCGGGTCTCAAGCTCTTCGCCTTGAGGAATTGTTCAATACAATTTGAATGTTTGAATGAAATGAATGCGAACTTGTTGTCTGTAGAGCCAGATTGGGATTAGCTCGGTGCTGGCAAGCGGGGTGGAGACGAGAATATTATTGGCTGGTGCTCGGACCCATCAGTGGACGCGTCGCGTCGCGTCACGTTCTTTTCCCTCGTGTCCAGCACCTTCATGAGAAAAGTGACTCCCAGCCTTCCGTGCAGTAAGATATAAGAGTCATCATGGAAACGGACGAGATTGCCGTCTCTTCGGTATTTGTTCCGCCATCTGTAAAAGACCATCACGATGAGCTCTTGTCTGGCAAATCCTATGCCCACTACAGCGGCATCCCTGAAGCGATCACGACCAGGAGTTCGTCCTCATCTGACCCAGGAACATCATGCGTCCTAGGCGTCGATGAAGCTGGTCGCGGTCCGGTAATTGGCCCGATGATCTACGGAGTGTACTACCTCCCCGTTGACATACAGCAATCCTTGCTCGCCGACACATATCACTTTGACGACTCGAAAGTGTTGACTCCGGCCGTCCGAGCAAATCTGACGAAAGCAGTCTGCACCAACGATCATGATCTGTTCAAGTCATCCGGTTGGGCAATCAAATCCCTCTCGGCCCAAGACATTGGTGCTGGAATGCTGAGATATGGTGGATCGTACAATCTCAACGCTCAGGCCATGGATGCCACCGTGGAGTTGATTCGGGGGGTGCTTGATCGCGGAGTCAATGTCACGGAGATCTACGTCGACACTATTGGAAAACCCGAAGTCTATCAGAAGAAGCTGGCGTTGATCTTCCCAACGATCAAGATCACCGTGGAGAAGAAGGCCGACAGTCTCTTTCCTTGCGTCAGTGCAGCAAGTGTTGTGGCCAAGGTTACCCGAGACGTCAGCTGTGAGGCTCTCCTGGAGGCATATACGCAACAGCAAGCTGCCGCATCTCCAGACGAGCAGATGTCTTGGGGCTCAGGGTACCCCTCAGATGCCAGATGTGTTGGCTGGCTCAAATCCGCGATCGATCCTGTCTGGGGTTTTGGAAATGAATGCAGGATGAGTTGGGGAACGGTCAAAGACATGCTCGAGCAGAAGGACGGGCCGGCGCGGAGAGCAGATTGGCCGGACGACGCTGACGAGGAGAATACAAGGATCTCGCAATACTTCGGTGCCAATGGAACATCAGCACCAAAGACGGAGAAGGATGAGTTGCGGTCGTGGTTCGGGACCAGAGTCGGACAAGAAGCATTTTGAAGTCGTCGACCAATATCTTCGACAGACAGCACAAGACTCCCGTTCTTCTAATCTATCCTAAATGCAGACAACCTACCGCCAATTAACGCCACGCCAAAATCGCGAGACACCAGTGCCATCGGCTCCTTGGTCACAGCTTCGCCTTCACCCATAGCCCTTTCATGGCGCCCTCAACACCAGGGAGGTTGGCAGGCCCATCATAGATATCCCGCTCCACCGCTCTGGTGTTGATGTGCAGCGGACCTAGATCGGTCACCCTGGCGGCACCCAATAACCGCGCCGCAGTGGCGGTCTCGTCTCTCAAGATCTCCAGTACTCGTTCGACGCCTGCAATCCCGCCTGCACCGAGGCCAAACAGAGCTGCCCGGCCGATGCCAACAGCCTTCGCTCCCAACGCGAGCGCTTTAACAACGTCCGTGCCTCTCTTGATCCCACCGTCGACGACGACATCGATCTTATCGAACACCTCTGGGCAATACTTTCTTATCTCCAGCAATGTATGCACAGCAGGCGGGGCAGTATCCGCCGCTCTACCACCATGATTCGAGAGGATGATGCCCTGGACCTGGGGCGTGTGCTGGGCCGCGATGTACGCATCCTCGTGACATTGCAGACCCTTCAGGATGATGGGCTTGTTCGTATGCTTCTTCAACCAGGGCAACGTCTCCACCCACGTCAGTGTCGGGTCCGTCCCGAAGAACAGCGACTGGCCAATTCCACCACCGCCTTTCAGCTCCGCGCCCCCAGCGTCCTTGATGGCCTGAGAGGTATCTTCGACGACAAACTTGCCTCGCTCGTCGTGCTCTCTCTTCCCCGGCACGGGCGCATCCAGCGTCAGACAAATAAACTTGATGGCGTCCAGCTTGTTGATTCTGGCCAGCATGTCTTCGCTCTTCTTGCGCTCGGTCTGCACGTACAGCTGCCAGCCGAACACCTGACCGGGACCGGCGTCCTTGACGATCTGCTCGGGCGTCATACTCGCGTTGTTGCTGATCATCTGGATGGTGCCAAATGCCTTGCACGCCTGTGCGATGCCCCATTCGCCGTCCGGGTGGGCCAAACGAGCCATCGCCGCGGGAGAGACAAAGATGGGCAGGTTCATCTTGTGGCCAAGGAAGGAGGTGCCGAGGTCGCAGTCCTTGCAGTCCACAAACACGCGCGGCCGCAGCAGTATCTGCCGATACACCGTGTTGTTCAGGTGCTTGCTCACCAGGTCGTCCGCGGCCGAGTAGTAGTAGGCCCAGCCCTTTTTGGACAGCTTCTTCGTGGCAGCCTCTTCGATCTCGTCGAGGTTCAACATGGCCTGAAGAGGCTTCTCGATCTCGGCCTCGGTGTCCGGGGCCGGTCCGACCTCTGTGGCTGGCTTGACCGGCTCGGGCAGGCTCTTGGGGTCGATCGGTCCGATGCGCGCGGATTCGGGCAGGTTCTCTTCGAGCGTCCCTGGAGGGTGGATCGGGTCGTACTCGTCCGTGGCATCTTTGCCGGCCAGTTTCAGGATGATCTGCGACCCGCCGGGATGGTTGGGGAGGAAGTCGGTGACGTCCCAGACGTTGCCGTACAAAATGACCCAGCACGAGTCTTTCGACGTGTGTTTCTGGACTGCCAGAAACCCGTCAGTAGGAATGATCGTGGACGGCATTATAGCTGCAATCGCGGGGAATAATAATTCCTTGCTCACCCTCTGTGTAATTTATGAGCTTGGACATGCTTGCTGTGCTTGCTGTGCTCGCTGTGCTTGCTTGTGAATGCGCTTCAAGGTGCGCGTCGTCACACGAGCGGCCGATCTCTCCTCGAGATAGGTGTGAGTACGTGTACGCCACGACAAAACGAATATGAGGCAAAAGCGAAAATGAGCTCAAGACTCAAGCGGCAACGACTATAGATATATACGAGTACAGGGTCAAGAGAAAAGCAAGATCTAGGACATCATCTGTATCTGAAACGGTCTTCGAAAAGCTCAGATCTGCGCCCATCGTAATGCGGAGTTCTCCCTGTCGATTTCCCTCGTGCCCTCCCCCCGGACAGCGTCGGCGATAGATCTGCCGAGAACAAATGGCAGAGGTATGATTGGACGGGATTAACCCCGGTGGGGCGTCGCTCTCGGCGTGCGTCGGGCAGAAAAGCGACGCGCACGGCACACGACGCTCACGACGGTGTGGGGACGGACCTGGACGGACCAGGCGAGCCAGGCTCCCAGGGCAAGCTATGTACTGAGTACGAGCAGGCACGCTGGGTTCCAGCCACGAGTATGAGGACAGTCCTTACACTTCTGCGGACGTTGTCCGTGCAACGACAGACCCTGCATTCACCCGCCTCCGCTGGCGTGCGTTACGATGGTGTGGGTAGGTTGGTAGGTACCTAGTGGAAGACAGCCATCACATCGACTACGTACTGTCTGCTACAGTCTGTATGTACGGAGTACCTCAATCGTCCTCCTCGACCCTCCTGACCTTGACCCGCAAATGGCCCTTCGTGCTGACCACAAAGTTATCCTTCCACTCCATGTCCTTGTCGGTCGTGTCGAACGCCTCGAGCTCGAATCGCCTCACCATGTACGCCAGGTTGAGGTATAGCTCGGCGTAGGCCAAGTTGATCCCAATGCACGACCGGGGCCCCTTGGAGAAGGCCATGAAGCGGGCCTCGAGCTTGGGGGCGTCCGGAGACAGCCATCGGTCGGGATCGAACGTGTGAGGCGAGGGAAAGACCTCAGGGTCGAAGTGGTAGCAGTAGCAGACGCTGGTTATTGCAGTCTACGAAAGACGCGAGAACACGAGAGTCAAATGATCAGCTTTTTTCCCCGAGTCTCCGAACGTTCAAGCAAAGAATAGGGGGGGTTCCGGATTGATTATAGGTAACTGTATGTACTTACTCCGCCAGGGATCTTCTGTCCGCACAGTACGGCCCCGCCTTCGGGCACGACACGAGCCATCCTACATTAGGTGCAAAGGTTCAATGTCAGTCCACATTGCAGCGTTAGGTAGGTCGTCTCGGTCCGTTTTCGGGAAACTCAACTCACCTGCCAGGCACGCCCATGCTCATTCGCAGGGCTTCCTTGACGACGGCCCTCTATTGAATATTTGTCAGCTGCAGCAGTTTGGGTCACGGTCGCTGAGTAGCATTGCTCACCAGGTAGGGCAAGGTCTCGAGCACATTCGTGCTGACCAGCTGCTCGCTCTCGGGCTCCTGGATCGCCTCGGTCAATTCCTGGCGCAACTTCTGCAGACACCCTTTGTTGTTGATCAAGTGCCATGTCGCAGTGGTCAGCGTGTGGGCCGTGGTATCTGTGCCCGCGCCGTGGAAGGTGAACGCGTCCGCGGTCATCTGTCTCATGCTCGGAGTCCACGTTCGTTTCTCGCTGGGTTTCGCCCACGCGTCGAAGACGGTGGGAGTTCCATCTACAGAGCCTCCGTTCCGCATGATCCTCTCGACCTTGAGTCGGCATTGCTATGACACACAGAGATGAGCTCGTGGTGCAAGATCCATGACAAACGCTGGGGAACGCTTACCTCGGTGATCCAATTCGTGGCGGCGAGGGCCGGCATGAACTGGTACTGTCGTTCAGCCACACGCTCATTAGAGCACGGCACAATGCTGGAGAGAACATACCTTTTCCTGCTGCTCCTTGGTCAATTTCTGCAGTTGCCTTGTCAACCACGGCATGAAGTTAGGCCAGTACATGGCCCACTGGGTAAAGTCAAAGTACGCTTCCAATGCGATCAAGATTGAGGACTGGAAGCCCTTCACGTCAAGCAGTTCGAACCCATTGTCCGCGAACATGTAACTTGTGACGACGTCGCTGGTGACGCTGCGGAAGCCCATGCTCAAGTCGATGGGCTCGTTGTTCGAGGCCGCCGACTCGAATTTGGAAAGAAACTTCTTGATGCGACTGTGGATCAGTGGCTCGAGGCGGGTGATGGCGCCCTTGGAGAAGTAGGGTTGGTACGCATCGCGCCAGGGTTTGGCTGTTTTCAACTCGAGTTGATTGAAAAATCCGTCGGCCGCCTCGTTGTTATCTTGAAGTGTGAGAGACCGTCAGTCAACTTGCTCCAGCGACGGCATGGCACAAAGTCTGCCATGGGCAAAAACTCCGACTCGCGCGAGGGGATAGGCCTTGTGCTGACTCGTGCGAGACCAACAGCCACACATCGCACCGGAGGAAACTTTACGGAGACGGCCAAGACGTACAGTTGTCGCGGTGTCGAGGATAGCGCGTTCCGATCTTGAAGATTCTGTCGCGCTGTCAGCTCGGCGATGGTTACCACGAGGCTGGTGAATTCTCACTCATTGTACGCGGCAATGTCAAAGACATGCAACTGATTTGGGGTGATGCGCACAATTGGTCCTGGATCCATCAGTACTGGCCGTCAAAGGCAACCCCCGGATCCTTCCAGTCCTCACCAAACTTCTCGTGCAATCGAGCAAACTGGAAGATGTATGATGTCCCCGGCCTCAAGTCATACCAAGCCTGATACGCGGACGAGATGGCCGCCAACTTCGGACCAGGGAACTTCGCTAGGGGATGGAGTGTGACTCGATAGATGGCACGGAAGACGAGGAAGGCCACCACTGCGGCAACAGCCGGGGCCGGGTACGGAAGAGAGATTGCCATGGTGTGCTTGACACTGACACCAGAAGAGTGAGGGCAAGGTGGACGTATATATAGAGATAAAGCAGGGCATCCTCCTGAACGTGGGAGAACTCACACCCGGCTTTACTTGTAACCACACCCTTGACCACTGCAGCATCCATACGAGTTACCTTGTCTTGGTACGTAAGGTAGGGCCTGAACTCCATGGCGCTGATATCTCGTCGCTTGTTCCTCAGCAGACCCGACCTTGGGTTCCGGTGCCCTATGACTGGTGGTCCCGGGCGGAGGCGTACACCGCGGCTGTAAAGAGTTGTAAGATAGTTCTGGGGGTTTTGTCGATCAGTATACCCAAATCGGGTAAACGCAGCGGGGACCTATTAAGGCATACGGAGTACTGTACGCAGTACAAGCGAAATCTAATCATTCGCTACGGAGAAAGCGGTACTCCAGGAATCAATCTGGCATGTGCAAAGGGTTTCGAGAATCAGGCGTCCACATGATGGTGCAACGCGTAAGCCGCAGGAGATATACCATCGTAGCCCCGGGTGAATGTCACAACTGCTGCCTCGAGCTCGACGTCGCAAGCTGATCATTAGCTAAGAGCAAATGGATCTGAGTGAAGTCAGCTACAGAAAAGTGCCACTGCCGCAAAGCTAACGGTCTTGAGAAAGGAGCAGCGGATGACAGGGACCACCATCGAGAGGTCGTGAGTCGTCTTTTGTATACAAGCCTGTAGTATACAGTCACCTTGCCTAGCGGCGGCTGTCTCCGAAGATCTAAATAGATCGCAACTGGGAGTAACACACGCAGACGGGACCGGGGATCTCTGCCGCGATTCAACCAGCTAAAGTGGTGAATAGAATTGTGTGTCTCTACAGGCACACATGGGTACAGCATGCCACGGAGACGGGAATATAGTGAGTACGACGCTCGGTTCGTGTATTGGTCCCCGATGTGCTGACTCGACCCGTTTCAGCAAAAGGTACCTGGGTATGTATAATGATTAATACACACATCAGTCACCCATCCATACCTGATCTATCGGCGACGGAGGATGTCCGGGTCAGCATGCTGGGATGGCAATTGTACAGTATGCGACCGGTCTTCATGGAATACTGGCCGAGCCCGGATCTTTGTACAGTATTCAGCTTGGAAGCCGGCCACAGCCCGCTCTGGGGCCGGAACTGACCCAGTAGTCTTCTGCCAAATTCCAATCGACTGATGGGTCGAGTCGTTTGTCCTTTTGTCATCCACTCTATCCCTGGCCGTGGTGACGGTGAATGCGGCTCGAGTATGCTGCTCACCGGCAAGACGGCGTGTAAGTGATACAGCTCGGGGTCGAGGGACCCGGTCGTGGTGGTTTGTGGTCCTTGAATGCATCGCTAGTGTTTCTCACTCGAACTCCTCATCGATGCCTTCCTCCATAGCTCGTTCCATGGCCTCGAAGGCTCTCTCGGTCTCCTCATCTGCTTGGTCTTGTAGATCGCCTCCATCCTGCCGCTCCTTCTTCGCCCTCCTCTCGTCAGCTTCCTCGTCGTCGCGAACTCCCACCGCCCGCCCACCCATAGCACCTTCGACTGCAAGACGATCGGCTGCGATGTTACCCGCATTCTGGGCATGGCCTTTGACCCAAACAAAGTACGTGAGCTTGGCGAGCTGCTCCCGCTCCTCGATTCTCTCGCGAATGTCTGCCACCAGGTCTTTATTCTCCACCGGTTTTCCCTTGGAATTCACCCAGCCATTCTTCACCCAGTTCCGATACCAATTCGTGACACAGTCGATAGCATACTTGCTGTCGGTGTAGATGGTGACTTCTCTGTGCCTGGGCGCAATGTCCAGTGCTCGTAAGATGGCGGTCAGCTCGGCGCGCTGGTTGGTCTGCTTGCTGCCCTTGAGTGCCTCGGAGACATTTCTGTAACGCCAATTCGTTAGCTTTTCTTTTTCTTCTTCGGTGTCATCGTCGTCCTCGCCATGCTGTCGGTCCTTCATCGATCCATCGTCATAGCCCCGTTGACGGACAGCCCAGTCCATGGTGTACAGCGGCTGAAGCGTCTTGGAGGCAATGTAACGAAAGCGCTTGGGCTTGGACTTGGATATGAGTTTGGATGGAGAGTTGGCATACTTTGGATCTTGGGGTCCGAAATAGACTCCCACTCCTGCCCTGGCTCCCGCTCGACCATTGCTGAGACTTGATCCGTCGGTAAAGATTCGAAGCATGCCTGGTGGATCGGGGACTTTGGTCATCACCTTAGTCTTGCTTTTCTCCTCTTCTGTGCGCTCGACAATCGTACCGTCTGCTGCCAGTCTGATGTTGGGGTCGTATCCATCCTCCGCCCCCGGCGGCAGTGGCCCACGACCAGGCTTGTAAGAGTTCCCGTCCTTGTCGGTGGGAAGGGAGGCTCCGTTGACCTGGAGACCTGGTGCAGAGTTTTGAACAATCAACCGCCGTATCTCTTCTTCGGGCGTGATATGGTCCGCGGGATCGGCGCCATTGGCCGTTGTGCCTGCCGCGACGAACGCCTCTGCCTCTGCCCGAGTATTGAATTTCTTGTGTCTCGGTTTCTTGATGCCGCGAATCTGAGCCTGGGCCTCGGTCCACTCGGTGTAGACGCCGGGCACCCGTCCGTTCTGAACGGCGTAGAACTTCTGCTCTCCGACACCGTTGGAGGTTGCCAGGGATTTCCCATCCATGAAAGCTTGAGCCTCGTGAAGTGATTGGAATGCTTTGACTGTGACAAGATTAGACCTGACAGCGCCGAGCCCACGTTCATTCACACATACACACCGCGCCCCTGTGTCCCTTGACCTGGCTCAAGCAATCCGCCCATGTCTCGTAGATCCCCGGCGCCTTCCCTTGTCTGACAGCGTAGAACTTCCGCTCCGTGGTCCTCTTTCTCTTGACACCCGCCGCGGCATTCATGGTAGCAAGGCCAGGGCTCATGCGTGAGGCATTGTTGGCTTGATGAGGCTGTGCCATGAGGAGCGTGCGGTATGGTAGGCGGAGGATCCGAGCAGCCCGTCGAAGTCGCGACAGATTGCCCTCTGTGTGTGGAGGTAGAGGGAGAGCGTGTAGGGTGACGGGGACGAGAAGGAGAAGTGGTCAACGGCCAAGGTCAATCATCTGCGTAAACGCCTGGGCGGCGTTTAAAAGGTAGACGGTAGGTGTCAGTGGCAGTGAATTCGAATCCACACTTGAGGCAATTGCAGAATGGTCAAGCTGGCAGTGCGAAGGGGGAGTTGAAGGTGAAGTGCAGACAGGGGCGAGCGAGGGCCAGATCGGTAACGGGACTGGCCTCGCCCCAGGGTTACGAGTAGGAGCTCCCAGGCAAGAGGGGAGGGTAGGTGCAAGGGGGAAGGAGGGAGGGTACGTTCAGGTGCGGTCTCTGGTCTGGCAAGCGGGGGGAACTGTGGTCGTGACAGGCACCCACCTGGTTCCTTTCGGTCGAAATTGGGCAGTCACGGTAGTCGTACCCAGTACTGGGGTAGTGCAGTGATGGTGTTTGGCTGGAGGATGCAGGGAGTGGTGGAGTTTGAGGTGGGAGGGGGGAGGCGCGGAGGGCGCGGAGGGGATGTGCCCTCAGGTGGTCGGAATTTATCTCTCCGGCCAATCCCCCCTGGGGAAGCCCATCTCCTGCAGGAGCTACAGTACCTCTGACAACGATGATGTTCACATCTGGTTACTATGTACTGGAGTTACACAGTCTATAAAGCGCCGCAGCTACCTGGACGGGGCAGGGTCAAACCACATCTCCTCCTTTGTCCGCCACCTTATCTACCTTGGTTGCCTCCAGCTCCGAAGCCTTTGACAGTTCTAGTGGTCTTCTCGAGACTCCCTTGCTCAGTTCAGTACCTGCTTGGCTGTCCATCGGCGTCATCGGCGCTGGCGAACCTCCTTCCGGCGTATCTTCGATGATGTTGACGGGCCTGCTGGGCTCCAGCTGACTTTCCAGGTCCATCGCTGTCGTCCTTGTGGACTGTCCCTGCCCGATCATGAACACACCGGCGCTTGGTTGGCGGTCCCGGTCTCTCCCGCGGCGGCTGGTCTTCCTCGGCCGTAATTGACTGGTGGAGCTGTGCGGATGTCTCGGTCCTATATGCAGGTCTGGTTCATCTTCGCTGGCCTCAGTGCTCAGCGCTTGAGACATGGTTCTTGGAAGGTGATATCCAAGCTTGCCCAGAGGGATGGAGAGACCGTGGACGACGATGCTGCAGATGGCCAGAAACCAAATCACCACCCTCATGATCTCCTCGAGCCGTGCTGCATCTTCCCTCACGACGCCGTCCACCGTGACGTGATGCAGGAAATCGATGCTGATGTAGAGATAGAAAATCGCCGAAACCCCAATCGGACCGAAGAAGCCCACGAACAAAGCTTGCTGAAACTGTTCGATCTGGCGTATCTTCTTGTGCATTGCGAAAACAACGGGCAGCCGCCGGAAAAGGAGGATGGTTATTCCCAGCAGGATCAACCGCCAGATGGGAATGACATCGTTGTCCCGGAAGGACACCCAGGGGCACACGGCCCCGAACCAGAGAAAGACGGATATGTTGAGCAGCATGTCGATGGTGGGCTGCAGAGAGTCGTCTTCGGTTTCGCGGCGGAACCTGAGCCAAGTCAGCAAGGACATCCTACAGCGCGGTGCTTACAAGCTCACCAGTCATCCCAGGTGAAGGCGTTTCCGGCAATAAAGCACGCCAACACGTCATCAGAGCCAACCATACCGCACGTGCCTGTGATGAACAGAGCCAGCGTTATGGCAAAGACGAGGAAGCTCTCTCGATCGATGAACTTCCTTTCTTCGGCGAAATGGAGGAGTTCTTTCGCAAGCCAACCCACCACAGCACCGTAGACGACACTCAGCAGGATGGTATATCCCCATGTCTCGCCGAACCAATAGCCCATGGCCTTTGACGCACCACCGGGCTGGCCCGCCCCTCCGTGCTGGACGTACTTGATCAGGTACAGGGCGAGGAACAGGAACGGGTAGCCCAGACCATCGTTCGCACCTGATTCCGCGATGATGATCTTCTGTAACGGCTTGGGGATGTTCTTGTCCGCAAATTTGCCCTTGACAATCGAGTTGGACAAGACCGGATCTGTCGGGGTCACACACGCCCCGATCGCTAGTGCGTGGAGGAAATTCAGGTGAGGAACAAATGCCCACACCAGCAAACTGGCGCACAACCACATGCCGCACATCCCCGGGCCGAGGAGGAGTGCTAGAGACCTCCATTCCGTCCGAAGGTACCTGTCTGGCAGCTGCACGCCGGCAAGCACAAGCTGGACGCCCAAGACAAGGCGGGTGAAGTACAGGTTAATGTAATCGAGATTTTCTTCCGAGTGAAGTGAATATTGGTCCGGCCTGATGAGGTTGGTTGCGTCGGGCCCTAATATGACACCCGCCACCAAAGAGATTACTTGAAGGAGATGTCAGTCATAGCGACTCGTGCACAAAACTCTGCGCCACTCACATGCTTCTGACAGATAGAACCGTTCTTTCAGCAAGTAGCTGACGAGAGCGAAGACGGTGATGAAGCCACCCAAGGTCGCCGTGACAATATTGAAGTTTGTCAGAGCAAGTGTCGGCATGGTGGCGACCGCGTGGAATGAGGCTTTGCGCCGAGAGGGGCCGTCTGAATGTGACTTGGCGTGGTGTCTTGTTGATCTCGTCCAGCCGTTGGAGTGATGCTTGAAACAGACCAGACAATTGCTTGACAGGCTTGGGTAGGTGTGGCTGTGGATTCGAAGCTTCCAAGCCCTCGAGTGGTCTGTTCCGAGTGTATCAACCCGATTATGGAGCGAGTACTGGGAATTGACGAATCGTCGCAGAAGTTCGCAGAGTCTCCTGCTTGATTCTATACTCGCTAGAGCTCCAAGAACAAGCGCCGTGGTAGGCAATCGTTATTGTACCGTTCTCTTCATGGTTCGGTGCACAATACGGGGACCAGCGAAATGAAGACGGACGTTTCATGCATACGGCTGACGCCAGCATGTGAACGTTTCCTGCGTAGGAATTAATGACCGTGCAAAGGCGCCCGGACTGTCCGAACGAAAGAAGTCCAAGCCGTCGAGACTGGAGCAAGTAATCTGGGCGAAGTGAAGGGGAGGGGGCAGGGCTGGGACGGAGACACGGAACGATGTGTGTGCAAATTCTTCTCATCGGCTCAGACACACGCTCTTATCAGCAATGATTAACTCGACGACTGCCCGAGCCTCGTAAGAACCGTCTGGGCAGCACCATCTTTACCCAGTACTCCACATCGGTGGTTGAGACCAGGCACGCTTCCCAGGCGACTGGTAGGAATAGAGGAGAATTGCTACGCTAGCAGAACTCGCATATGACCGTGACTCCGACGTGCGATGCCCATTGGTACAGAAACGGGCCTAGCATGAAGGTGTGGCGAGTAAAACCGTTCCGTCTTGCCGGCCAGGATTTCCAGAACGACGCCCCCGGAAAACTGATATCATCTCCGTCATCGCCTCTCTGCCCAGCCTATTTCCCGAATTTTCAACACCAGATACGAGTACCCGGCCGAACGCCATGCTGAGGGTCGCTGAAACTAGAAAGGCCGCCGTGTGAGATGCTGCCGTTCCTGAACACCCGCGCCAAATCTCGACATCTCAATCTCCACGAAATGCAAATACTTTCTGGGATTTCCACGAATCTTCATCTACCAATCCACCCATGAGTTGATTCGAGTAGGAAGACCCGGACGCTGTTGCCAGTAAAATTCTTGCCTGCAGAAAGCCCGAAACGAGTATTAGTCCAGTTGTAGTAAATGTCATGGTGAAGTGACGGAGCAAGGAAGGCTGGCCGTGTACCAAAATTCGGTATGCAAGTATAATTAATATATCCAGGTACGCCATGTGCCCATGTCAGAAGGCGAATGCAGGTAAGGGGTATCAGGCTCAATCATGCAAAGGCATAACGAAAAATCAGGTTTGTGGGTCAACTGCTCGCCTCAATCGGTAATCTGGTTCGTGCCGGAACGCATCGACCGAGGCGTCATATCGGAATGCCTTGAAGTCGACGCCATATGGTCTCTTGAGAGATGTCAGCCTTTTCCCAACCCGACAGGAGTGGTGTCGCTTACCGGTTCAAGACTGTATACCATCCCCAAAGGGATATCAAGATCGCTGATATCTTCTTGTTTGAGGCCCATGAAGTAAGCCAGTAACACTCGACATATGCTTCGATGGCCAATAATGAGAACGTGGTCTGTCATACGTTCGATCTCAAGAATGACTTTGCCAAGTCGGTTGATAATGTCGAGGTAGCCTTCTCCGCCGGGACCAGGGTATCGATAGTGCAGCTTGTCACGTTTACGAAGCTCGTATTCGTGAGGACTTTTGTCCCGGATCTCTGCGTAAGTCATGCCTTCCATTGATCCGGCATTGAGCTCGTCCAGCATTCGCATCTGCTTGATATCGTAGTCTTCGTCGCTGAACCACTGGCTAGTCTCGATACTTCGCTTGAGCATGGATGTCCAGACACAGAAGTTCCTCTCCTGAAGGGCCTGGGCCGTATACTCCGGATTCGGCGGCGTCGTATCACCGGGAAGCGGAGGAAAATGCATGTTTGCCTGCTTTTCCGCCTGATAATTCTCCCACGCATTTCTCTGTTCGCTGATGAATTTCGCCAAGGCTTGGGCATATTTTTTGCCATTGTCGCTCAAAGAGCTATCACCACCGATCTTACCATTAACGTTGTCCATTGATTCACCATGTCGGGTGATCCAGATCTGCCGCGGAGCCAAATTAAAGTTCATCAAGTAGGTGACCGTCTGAATGGAAAGAAACCCCTTCACTTGATGGGTAATCATTTTCCGACCGACATCCACCATTGAGCAGTATGCCATGTTGTGCTCCTCTTCAAAGTCGTCTAGTTTCTGGTAGGATCTCTCGTACTGTTCCACGCGGGCTTGGAAGTCCTTGAACGAGGCCACCGGATCCTTGCCCTTGTAGTCGGGACCGGACAACTTCAGCCGCATATTTGCTTCTAGCAGGTTCTGGTCCTGACAACGAGACTCCACAAACAGGATGTTGATGTTCTCGTCCCGCTCGCGGATGTGTTTGACGAGCGACAAACGTCTTTCTCTGGTGTGATTTGTGGCGTCTAGAATCCCTACCGAACCACCGTCCTCCAACACGTACTTGAGAAGCTCGTCCAAGGCTTGATGCGCGACCTGTTCTCTGATCTGCTTGGCCTTAATATTGTTAGGATCGAAGAACTGAGCAGACTGATCAATGGGCTCGGGCGCAGAGAGCTGAATCGGGTCCTTGTTGTCTGCGGCGATCGTGGTGTTACCATTCATTTGCAGCGGGCTAATGGGATCCGCTGTTATCTCGCCGTTTACAAGGATTTTGGTCTCGATTGCAGGAGGTGGAAGGAGTTCACCATGATCCACCACGCTCTGCGGACCGAGCGTGGTGGCGCTCATGCGGCGTACGGACTCTCGAAGCGCGGCAGTCGTTCGATCTGGGATGGTCGGACCTACGCCAGCAGCCACTCTTCGACGGTCTCCCACGTTGAAGATCCTCGTAGGGTGCTGTAGCCAATTCAAGTATCGAGCAATCTTCTTGACAATGTAACTCTTTCCCCTTGCCGGCAATCCGACCATGATAATGATGAGTTTTGCAGCGACATCTCTTTCTGAAATCTGACCATTTGGTGAAACCTTCGATCGAGTTAAGCCAGGGATATCGAGCGTTGTCGCACGAATTTTCGGTGTTGCAGACCCTGAGGCATTTGAACTGCTTCGAGCATGTCTACGCCAGATGAGTCAATGTTGCTAGTCGCACTATTGAGTAGCTATAAACTCACATTTGAGGACTACTCGGTGCACTGGGCGCTGGGGTATCGGTCAGCGCCCTTCCAAGGGCGTTTGCGGGTTGGGGTGGGAATTTGCTTGTCGACGTGTTTGTCGCGGATCTGCCAAATGCGGTCTTAGGAGGAGGCATCAGACTCGAGTGGTAGGCCGCATGATTGACCGAGTCGCTCTCATGAGCAGTGCTCGAAGCGTTTGTCCTCATGGCAACGCGAGCAAGGTCAGAGTACGCTTCGCTGATGCGACGTGCACCGGTTGGGGAACTCGGGGTATTCGAGGCCGTGCTAGGCGACGAAGTTTGTCTGACACCTTCTAGCAGAGGCATTTAGTACCGACACAGGAAAAGAGAATCGATCTATACGAGCGCGAACAAGAGGAAAAGAATTAGGAGTCAGAGAGATGATCTGACAGGGCTCCGGGCAGGTCTTTGAGTGAACGGTGGTGCAGACGGGAGTCACTGCCAGTGCGACGGCAAACAGCAGCCCGCAAAAAGTAGCCAACAGACCACGGAGGACCTGTTCCGTGTGCGCCGTACCTGGATCGAGCAAAAGCTCCTCTGTTCCTGTTGAGAGTGTTTTGACTCCAACTGCGACGGACAGGCAAGTCACCGAACGGTGAAAACCCAAGTAGTGACGTCGACGGCTGGCGCGCTATTTGGAGGCGACCAACACAGCTGCTTCGGGGAAATAGGAGCGAGGGCGTGATAACAATGACTGATCTCTGGTGCTGATAAGATTACTGTTTGGTGAATCCAAACCTACATATGTACTATGGACGGAGGATAACATGTTTTACTCGTCGGACATCACTATATGTGTCAGCTCGTCTTCACTCAGAGCCTTCTGAGGATTGGCAATACGCGGTATATCATAGTCTATGTGATGGTATGAGTAGTGCTTAGGCACCAAGCTCTCAAGCTGAACAGCTCCTTGTTTCGCTTCGTCTTCGAGGCTGGGATCGTGGTTACTGGTCTTTTAAGCCCCGTCCACCCCGGCTGCCCCGGCTCGAGCCCCGGACAAGTCAATAGTGGTTATCGAGTCGCTCCTCCCAGGGCTGAGGGTCGAGATTTCAGACCGGCCATGGCGCGTCAAATCAGGCGCCTCAGAGTCTATATTTTTAGGCCGTCACGCCCCGAAATGGAGATCGTCCAGGTCCCGGTCCGGCTCTGCGGGTCCCGGACCCTCAATGGTTGGGGCTCGATGGGGGCAATGCACGAGTAACGAGGACTTGGTACGGGACTCGTGGGGGCACTTGTCGTTTGCTTCACCCTGTTTCGGGGCCCGAAGACGCACTACTCTTTGGAAACAATTCGTGCCTCTCCGGACGCAATACGGGGTGTTTACTCCTTAGAGTGTAAATGTCATGGCCATCTAATTACCTCGTACCTAGGTAGAGAGCCACAAACGAGATGGAAGAGAAACAGTCCGCCGACGCCTCGCTATTGCATAAAAACATCCACTCGAAAAGAGTCAAGGTCAAGAGGGAGAAGGAGAATCCCCTTTTTCGGCTGCTTCTCGTTCTTTCCGCATGCGCGACTCGGCGGCTTTTGCCATGATCTCGCGACGACTCAAGCCAGCATCGTTCGTTGAGCCTCCGAGAACGAAGTCTCCTCCAGTCCAACCCCCATGGTCTGCATGTTCAGCCTCTTCGTATGAGTCGTTCGGATTGTAAAACTCCTCGCTTGACAGTCGATGCCCTCCGTGGAGTGTGTCATTGCGCTCCACCTCTTGCTCGATCTCCTTAGTCAAGTTCCAGAAGTTGCGGTCATGTTCTCCCCAAACGTTGTGCGATAGCTCGTGGCAAAGGGTCTTGCGTATGACCTTGTAGTCGCGATATCCGTCGTATGCATCTGTCCGCAGTCGCAGTTCAATGACCTCGCCGCGGTTGCGGTTCAAGCCAAGTGTCTTTGACTCATGAGTGGTATGTTCAGCAGGGTTCATTTCCGTCAACAGGCCTACGGAGAAACGGTGCTTGCGCATAGATGCTTTGATTCCCGGATCGTTGGCCAGTCGCTCGAGGTACCTCCTGCTCTTCTCCGGATTCGGCAGGTACGTCAAAGGTTCGATGGCGTGAAATGTGTAGGTGCTCTCCTCTTGGACCTTCTTCCAGTCCCGCACTTTGTTCGCTTTGACCGGCTTGAAATTGCTTGGACGCGTACTTCTGCGACTGGCGGCGCTCAATTCGGCCATCTTCTTGACTTCCGAGTTCGGCGTCCCGACCAGCTTTATTCGAGTGGTCGGGGTAATGAATTCGCTCAGTTTCTGCTCTGTAAATGGGTGCTTTAAGAACCCCGGCTTGGGCAGGAAAAAGAACGATATGCGTTCGACATCTGCCCCAATATGCGCCGCAGCTCTTGCAGCCAGCTGGCTGATGTTCTCGTCGGGAACTTCCTCAAAGTCGAGGCTCTCGTCTCTGTACTGGATCTTCATCGTTATGGAGGCAGTTTCGGGTATGGGCACTGGAAGGAATCGAAGGTTTTCAGTCTCCCGACTGGCTGTATTCCAATGGTATATGATGCGATGCTGGCACCTTCGAGGGTCCCGTTGGGAAAAGGTAAAGACCGGGCTGATGAGACATGGTAAGACATTGCGAGCAGTTGAGTCTTTGGAGAATCCGTTGGAACTCTTCAAGATGACAAAACAACAGGCGGCGCAGATGACGTAGACAACTTACAAAAGGGAAATCAGCCACACGAGTCAGTAGCCGAGGCTCAATGCATAGAACAGACCCCACCCAACGAGTCGTGTCATCACAGATATTTTGGCGACTTTCCCCAGACCTGGTTGTTGTGCAGGATCAACACTGAATGGAAAAAGCCATAAGGAGAAGAAGTCATCTAATCATCGGAGAGGACGTTCGGAGTCGGAAATCTCTGAGGGCGGCATTCAGTCCGTCGCGCCAGTATGACGTTCTATGTAGGCCGGCATATTTAGTGCCCATTGACGCTGGCAACCGGAATACTCTCTGAGCCTTGGAGATGGGACGTTGGATCTGCCTGCACCGACCCGTTGCCGTTATTTTGGCAACAGTCACCGTTTGCATACCTCCCGACCTCCACACTGGCAAGATTCTTGTTTCCGGGCACGTCCAATGCTGGATTTCGCTCAAAGAAGTCTGCAGGCCGCAGATGAAGTTGATGGATCTCCACGGGCATGACAGGCCAGTCTTCTACACGTGGATTGTGTGTGAGCCCAAATACGTTCCAGACAACCACATCCTCGTTCTCGACCTCGTCTTTCCTGGCCACCATGTCAGCCACGCCACCCTCTTCTTTCTGAGATCTGTAGAACCGCGTTAGTACTGGCCACCCGCAACCAAAACTTATGGAATGTCTCAATCTTCCAAGAGGAAGGAACTCACTGATTTGTGAACTCTCCGCCCGCGAACAACTCGTTGTCTCTATACTTCGTGACCCACACATGATGATGCGCAAACGCGGCACGTTTCGCCACGATGGAGTCAGGGTCGGCAAGGATGAGCTGGCTTGGAGAGGGCATGAACTTGTACGACACAGGCCGTTGTGAGATTGGGTTGATCTTGCCGGGATTGGCCATCTTGATGGTGAGGTTGGTGAAGGGGGAGGCATGGATCGAAGTTGACTTGGTGACCGGCTTGCGAACAACGTCGTATCCATTGCCGTGGGGGTTTGTCTTTGGGTTCATTGGAATAGGTAGGGACTCTTCAGTGAAGATCGTGTTGTTGTGGCCATCAATGGCAGGGTCGATCCGTACAGCGAAGATGTGCTGATGGTTCTGGGCAAGGGCGCCGGGAGAGACAACATTGCCGTAAGGGCTGGTCTTGCCAGGGTCGATGTTGACCACAGAGACAATGCCGGTAGCGCGAGTCTCCACAGTGATGCTGGAAAATTGTAAGCTAGGAGAGTAATATCCTAGGTCCGGGCGACTTACCCTCCCGCTTGATCGAACTTATAAGCGAAGATATATTCGTAATTTGCCAGAGTAATGATGAATTGCACAACCAACTCCCTAGATCTGGTCACAACGGCGCGGTTGGTTCTGAAGTTGGTATGCTTCCAACCAATTCCGTTATCCTGCTCATGAACGCAAACGACGTTCTTGGAGACTGATGGCTTGCCCTCTGTGTCGACTAACATGGCGTCAATATATTTGATGACACCGAGGCAGTCGCAGCCCAGAGCAAGATTATTGGCGGCTCGGCCTGCGCCCGCATCGCCAAAATCGAAAGCCTGCTTGCGATGGAACGGTGGTCGAGGGTCGCCGTACGGTACGGTCATTTCCGATAGACTGAGACGGTATAGCACGCTACGGCCGTCGTAATGAACGTCGTGTAAGACTGCACACTCACGAGGGGTAAATCTGGGAGAGCATTGTTACTCCTTCGGCACATCAGTGATGGGAATCGCACTTACCCAACCCGGAATCTCCATTTCTGCCATTCGATCAGAGAATCATCGCTGACAGTAAATGACGGTCCATCCGGCTGCAACACATTCAAAGGCTTCAAGTCACTGCGGAGAGGGGTGTCCAGCAGTTCAGGAACGTATTCGGCGGGTTGGCAATGCTCAAGAACATTCTTCCCAGCTGTTCCATAGTTCAAGCCGTCTTCAACACCGCCAGTGGCAAGCCGGTCAATGCGAATGATTTCTTTCTTGTACGTGTCCATGACAGGGATGATGGGTAGAGGGAAGCCATAATGGTTGCTGTCGGGGTTGCCGTTCCGTAGCTTGGCAAAACACAGGCCTTGGATATATCTGCGACACGTTCTTAGACAGCACAGATGGCGGTAGCATGCAACCCGCTTACCTTGGAGTGACTTCTCCGACGTCAGGGCCCCCATAAGGCCAGGGATCGATGGCGACCTCAAACTTCTCGTCGAGATTGAGTTCTTTGACGGCCTTCTTGAACAAGTCGGACTCCACACACACGTGGTTGAATTCCTTGAACTCGTCCAACGTCAAAGCCTGTTGTGAGGTCCTAGGTACCCTTCTGTGCTCTACCTCCTTGCCAGAGGCGATATCGATCACTGACTCCATGTACTCATGGCTTCGATCCTCATGGATGACATCATATTGGACGCGAGCCTGTCGGGCAGGTCGAGGAGTGTCGGCCGAGAGGGTGCCAGCGTGCTCGGCATCGAGAAACTTGACCAGCTCGGCTTTAGCTGGCTCAACGGCAAAAGTGTTTCGGAAAATAACAGCGGCCTTACGAGCGTCGAGTACAGCCTGTCGAGCAATGTTGACCTCGTCGCCGCTCAGTTGGTCCAAAGGGTGCTTATGAATCCTCTTCGGGACTGTGTGTCCATTTGTTGCAGCCATGATGTAAAAGATTAAGAATTATCCCCGGATAGATTGGAATCTGGACCTTCGCATGTGCTGCGTGCGATGTGAAACCAACTGGGAGAAGAATATAAGTCGTGGAAGAGAAGAACGAGCCCACCTTGTCACTGGCAAAGCATGCTCATAAGTTCATACACGTCGATGGCGAGGAGCGGAGTTGTCCTCTGCCTGCGCCAAGTCACTTGCATCCCTCCACGCAAACGCCTCTCCGCCACCGTCCACAAGCGGGAAAGATAAGGCAGAGGCCAGACTAAGGTATCACAGTGAGACGCATCTGGCCCCATGGAAGTTTATATTACCATATTGTAGACACGAGGGAGCAATTCACGGCGAGCAAGTGGACTCAAGCGGATGGTGTTCGATTACCAGGAGGGGATGATGTCGAGACTCCCAGAAACTCAACGCCTCAAATGGAGACGTTCGGCCAGTCATTCGCGGTCCTCGGCTACACATACCGGATTCGGAATGCGTGGACCGCGATCGGAGTCTCCTCTATCAAACGATTCATTGCAGACGGCCTCCCGTTACCTCATTCTCCTGGCCACAGGCGTGCAGATTACTCGTACTGTCGAAAGTCGCCGGCACAATTTCAGGACCCCTTGCTCGTGTGAGCTCGGCACAGACTGCAGAATGGCAAATAGGTACTTCTGTCTTGGTGACCCGCACTGCCAACCGTCACTGTCTCTATGCAACTATCCAACCAGACCCAATAGCGCGACTCCGGCTGCATCCTCTTACGGGAACTCATCGTCCTCATCTGTGGCCCAGAGCGCCTCGTCCAGCAATTCCGCATGCTCGCCATCTGTCACCTTGGATGCTCCCACCAGCTTTTCGGGTTCCGTGATCGAAACATTACCCTGTGCTGCAATTTCATACCGAATTGGTGGTTTAGTGGTAGGTGCCCACGGAGCAAAGACTACTGCAAAGGTCCGACTTGGGTTCTTGTCTTTCCAAACGCTGCCTCCCGCATATTCCTGTCGCTCACTTTCCATCTTAAGGACAATGCGAGCAGAAATCTGATTGGCCCACGCTAAGCCGAGTGCTGGAGTCTTTAATTGCTCGTGCTGCGTGTTCCCTTTGTCATCCCCCCATCCTGTAAAGAAGCGCTGTTGGTGATCCAGGCTCTGTGTCTCCTGCCGACGCTCTGCCACTGCGGGAGGCAGATTCTGCAAAGACGCGGCAGGAGAAGAGGTCGCTGCTGGTGAGGAACGAAAGAGATTTTTAGAGTCGTCGAAGCGATCTGATACTTGATTCGTGACCACGACCGCGACATCGTGTTCGATAGCAAGCTGTCTCAGCGTGTTTCCGAGATTGGTCAGTTCCGCAGCTCGATCAACTAGCTGAGCAGCTGTGCGAGTGCCGTATTCCGCGCGGAAATTTGCCGTGACCGAGTCCAGGACCACCAATCCGACGTTATAGCGCGAAATCGCAACAGGTAGTTGGTAACGAAGGATGTGTTCCTGCGCTTCTAGATCAGTGACAGTGATTGTATGAACACGGTCAAGCGACGGTCGTTGTTCGGGGAGGATGTCAGCGTATGAAGAAAGCATCTGATTTAGTCGCTTGGTGTTGAGAGGTCCTTCAGAGGTGATAAAAATCCCGGCTTTCCCTAGGCCAACTGGCGGGGCAAGCTGGACCGAAAGCAACAATCCCAGAACGAAAGTGGTCTTTCCGGTGCGAGATTCCCCCACCACCTCCGTAATGTAACCAGGTCGGATGCCCCCGTTCAGTGCCCTGTCGAAATTCAAATCAGAAGTGCTGACCCCGGTTTGCTCATTGATCTTGGTCCCTGTTGCCTCAAATTGACGTTCGCCCGGTGTGTCTGCTGTGTTCTTGCGCTTCCTTTTCACACCCCTCAGCGTATCCTGCTGAAGGGCCTTGACGATATCTCTCACTAGCCTGTCAACGTCGCGCGGTGGAAGGGGGCATAGGCGCGCGATCTCAGTAGGTGCAAGGGCAACCAGCTGTGAAACCGAAACATTGTTTTTATCTAGGGAGTGAAGAAGGTGGGTATGGGGTTTGAGGTCGAAATCCGGAAGCACATCGAGCAAGTCCATGACGGCGGCATTGTTGGCGGAGCGCGGATGTTGACAGCCATTGTTGACTCAAAAGTCATGCTCTGCCACCATTGTAATCTTCTGCCGGGCTGCGTGCATCGATTCTGAACGTGAAGGAAGGTCGCGTCGAGTCTACGGAAAAATGAGTCGAAATTGATCGCGCCGTTTACCCTTGCGAGGAAGGCTTCATTTGGCACAGGTCCAAGACTGCACTTAGTTTCCTGTCAGTCGGCAATGGCAGAAGGCGCGAACGAAGCCGAAAGTTGGTGGAAAGGCACCGGCGGGGTTTGCGCAAGCTCTGGCATTGAGACTCGAAACTCCTAGCGCGCAGATCAGCCAGGCTCTCAGACGATGTGGACTGAGCTTCCGAGGTGCTTTATGGGGCCGAACATCGAAACCGGTGACAAGTTTACGTATCCGAGTTGGGCTTGATGAAGGGAGCGGGCACCGGTGTTGGAAGCAACTGGAGATGTCACACAAGTAATAATATGCCCCAGAACTACTCCATATTGAATGCCCTCTTTGGCAACGACCTATTTCTAGAGCGATTCATGCGGGCCAGAGCTATCGATCCCTATGTCGTCTGCTCTCACAGTGCTCGTAACTATACAGAGTTGAATAATTGGCCTGCTTTCCTTTTGTTTGCCTACCACGTCCTACTGGCAGACGCGGTCACGACGGCCCACCTCCATTGAAGGCCAGCAACATGGACTAGCGTGTCTCCGCATCGTCCCCAACTACTGAGTTATACAAATCAATCGTTCAGATCCTCATTGTTGAGCTGAATACGGAGTACATCGCCGCCTAAGCACCAAACAACCGCGTACACTCGGCATCAATCCACAGCGACCCAGAATCGCTCGCGTGCAATTCAGCACAATGGCTTCTGTTGCTCAGCCATGGCTCATATCTAAGTATGCGCATGCATGCCATACCCTCTTGGATCTGCCCAATAGCTGTTTCAGACTAATAATTCTTGCTTCACCACAGGTTCATTGATCCTCTGTTCGCGATCGGGACTGGCCTGGCTGCCACGGCATTGAAGATACAGAGAGAGCAGCGCGAAAAGTATCCAGAGCAAGACAATAGTTTCCCGGCGCTTTGGCACAAAGCTCTACGGCTCAACAGGATTTATTGGGGTTATGGTGATGAGGCCGCGAAAAGGTGATTTGAGCGCAACAGCTCGACGAACTTCAGAACATCTGGGACCGCAGAGTTCACGATGATCATGTTGACGACACCGGCCAAGTCGCTACACAATCACCTACGCAGCAGACAAGGTTCTGAACAAGATGCTGCTCAAAGCTCCTGGAAATATCCCTCTGGTGTTCGAACCTCTCGATAGCTACCAGATCGCAGACCGCTGGCAACACCTCGCTGGAACGAACGTTTGTCACCCCCCAGCATAAGGTCGGCGAACTTAATCTCAACTCGCCAACCTGCTGGTCACCCTCATTCGGCTTCCTGTAGCTGACTCGACCTTGGGTGAGCAGTTCTGGTTGCATCTGTCCAAGGTCGGGCTAGACGAGAGAGACCCAGCTATGATTCGCTCTATTCTCAGCGTCCAGAATTCATATCTAGGCACCAAGGCGTTCGGGTTTCAACGAAAGCAGTCGGTCCAAAGTCTGGATGAGACTCGTAGCAGAGTTATCAGACATTCATTCCAGATCGCAAAACAAGCTCGATCGCCATCACCACAAAACTGCGTTCCGGTGAATGGAGAACAGCATTCGATCGAGATGAAACCCCTGAATAGTGGCATAACAGATACAGATCTCCACTTACAAAGAAGGCTTGTTTATGCTATTGCTTTCGTCCACGGTGTCGAAGGCGCCTGTCATCACGCCATCAGCACATTCGACAGCAGAAGCTGGAGCCCATTGGAATCTCCTGCTTTCTTACCACTGGTCATGTTGGAGGTCGAGTGCTCGACGGCAACGGAGGAGAGCCAGCAGCACCACTCCAGCACCGCACATCTCTATCCGCAACCCATCAGTTGTGTGCGTCGGACAGAAGATCTCGAGGCAATGTTACAGTTGCAGGAGACTTCCAGAACGACGTTCACTTGGAGATTTGTCAGTGGCCTTGACCAGCATAGCACAACCAGTTCGTGTTACAGGCGTATTCATACTTGACCGCACCCTACAAGCAAGGCCCCGCCATGACGGACATTCTCGGTGGGTGATGTGGTGCAAGTCTTGTTGTTCGAATAAATCAGTCGTGAAAGCCTGAAGAGAGGAGGGGTCGAAGTTCTACTAAGTAAGAGGTATAAAGGAAGTGTCTGACCGATAATCCTTGATTTCATGAGCCTTGTTTTGTACATCGCCTACTCGCAGACCCTCGGATTTTGTTCCCTTATCGAGCTATTGCCTTGCACTTTCACCTTCATCACGGATACGAAACACGAAGTCCGGTCGGATTCTGGCACATCTTGTGCTAAAGCCATTTGCCGAGAAAAGTAGCATGGAACCGTGAAGCGGCCACAGCAAAACCACCCTACGACAAGAGCCGCAAGAGCTAGACGCTAGAAGAACGATTTGAAGGGGCAAGATGGATGAGGACGCAAGTTGCGCATACCCCGAGAACTGTCAGGATCCAGAATGCATACCCTTTTTGTTGCGTGGCTTCGTGTCATGATCCAGGAACAACCAAGAGCAGCGTTACAAGCCCTACAACCCAGCCGACCCCATTGTTTCTCTAATGTGTACACTTGACGGTGAAGTAACTCTATTTCAGAAATCCCTCGGCCTGTATAACTAAACCATTGGCCGCATGTTTGGAAGGTAAAAGGCGCATCTTGCTCGCTTGATGATACAAGCGAATCTCAGATCCCGCCGACATGCAGGCACATGCTAATGGGCACCCGAATAAGGAGCATGCGTGTCCACGTTTGCCTCACGGTCCCGTTCTTCCTCCGCTTGTCGAAGCAATCTGGCTCTTTCACCCCTGGACGCACCGACTGTCGGCCCGCGAAATCGCTCTCGGTTCGGTCGTGGTGCCATATCAACGAAGTGCTACTCAGAGTCAGTGCATCTCCCGGTCAAAAAAATCTATGGATATGCAAGATCTCACCAGGAGCAGCCAGTTGAGAAGACTTGCCAGTAGAACGAGGCCGGCGATAACCTGTTGCTGCCGCCGCCACGGTTCTACACATCGAATCGTATACCCTATCGTCCTCTCACAAGCTCTCACGTCCACATCATGGCTTGGGAATGGCCACGCACGATCATGGAGTGAGTTGAACCCACAGCATCGCAGACCTTGCTCAATGGCACGGACTGCATTCTCGTTCTTGGCTCGGAAGAGGTGACTCAATTGGCGCTCAAGGCCACAAGCCAACTAATCCGAAGGGACGGCATAGATCGAAGAGAGCACGAGAAGTGCAAATGGGAGGTGTGGGATCATATGGCGGAGACCTGCTGCGAGAAATGACACAGTCCCTGTTCTAGCATTCATGCTGAGTCTTGCCAGAAATGCTATGATGAGTGGGCCGAGGATGACGGTAAATGCGTTCAGGATGGGGAGCGCGAGGGGCATTGGAAGCGACAAGTGTACACTCCTAGCCCAGGCGATACTGCAAGCCGAAGGGGGTCAGCCATGTCACGCAGGTGCAACAGTTATGAGGGGGGACCAGGACAGCTTACGCTGAGAAGACAAGAATGATTACGGCGGTAGCGAGCTAGATATACGTGTGATGTGAGCCCCTGGCGATTGCAACCGCGAAGCAAAGAACATGTTTCATTTGAGCGGAAATCAGAGAGGCGCAACTCACCAGGACTCCACGACGACCGACATCGACACAAGATCTTTCGTTGGCATCCATGTTTGGGCGTGCCGGGGAGGGCGAGATGGAAGCAGGACTAGTAGAAAAGAGATGAACGAGATAAACAAGTTTCAATAGCACTGATATCAAGTGAAGTTGGTCCTGGCGGCCAAGAGGAGAACAGATTGGTGATGGAATGAAGATGGGGGTAGCGATGAAAAAACAGATACATCATGACAAGAAGAAGTTCACGTAGTTTTCCCATTGTTACACAGCATAGAGGGGCAGCGGTCACAGAGCAATGAGGCTGACAAGGATAGTCTGTGGGAGTACGGAGTACGAATACCCAGTACATAGTGATCGCAGAGGTCGTGTCCAAGTTGATGTAGCAAAGTGGGGAGATGTTAGCCCATTGCACTGCAGCCAATCGAAGAGTCAGTTGGAAATCAAGCGTTAGTGATTTCCAGTTTGTCTTCTCATGGCCACACCACAACATTACTTCGTACGGCGCTTCGACTCTTCTGTAGCATCCACCGACTCTCAAGAGGCAGCTGAAGTTGGAGAAGGACATGTGTTTTAAACCCTTGGAGATGAACAACAGCAGCTAAGTCAGTTGGAAATAATCAAAGCGGCTCTCGGCCAAAATGTCCACATGCTCATTTCAGTTCCTGTTCTCCATCGCCTCACCTGGTTCATTTTGTTATACTCAATTCACTTCACAACAACTGCAGACATGTGCATTGAGATGATTACAGTGAATATGGATCTTGGCAAGGCCGAGCACCTGTCCTTCGGGCTATAAGTATCCCTTGAATCCCTCGTCGTCGTCGTTCTCATTTACCCTTCTTGGTATATTCTCGTCACCAGCCCGCTTAGTCTTTCTCTTCATCACACTTGCTGACCCAAAGCGACAACAACATCCCACCATGGCGTCGGGAGGACGAGGTCGCCAAGTCTCTCTTCCCACTCATCCCAGAGTGAGCGGAGTCGACTGCGGCAGCAACTGTCGGACAGCTGATGGCTTGGCCCTCAATCACGGAGGCGGGCAAGGCAGCATGGCTACCCCGTAAGTATCTATCCTCCGCTAGTCAGTCCATCAACTTTGAGACTGGCCGTGTGTTCGGGATCCCAGACAAACCGCGAACAACACAAGTGCCTCCCAGCATGCAATCATCAAACTGGAGACGGATATTGAACAGAACATCCTGAAGACATCTATGCACAACAATACGAGGCTCCCGCTTCGGCCTGCCTTCGGAACGAAGGGCAATCCCATTACACTCCTGACCAACTACATGGCGCTTGCTTCTACCGGCACAGTGATTGCGTATCACTATGACGTCGAATTCGGCAAAGACTTGAAGACGAATCGACCCATACAGTATAGAGAAAGGGCCCGTTTCATTCAGCTGCTACTAGCAGAACACTTTCCCCAACACAGTCCTGGAATCGTCTCTGACTTCAAGTCGACAATTATCAGCAACAAACCTCTTAAGATTGATCAGCGGGGTTATATAGTTGCTTTCCGGGCCGAGGAGGGAGCGGCACCGGCTGAAGATGCTAAACGATTTCTGTTACGGATCCAGCAGAGAGCAGCGATTACTATCTCTGATCTGATCGAGTACCTGACGTCGACAACTATCGCTGGACCGTTGAGCTCAAAGGAGGCGATCCTCAACACGCTGAACATCATCATGGGACACAACCCAAAGGCGGCACCGCAAGTCGCCTCTGTGGGTTCAAACTCTCACTTCAGGAAGGACCTCCCAGAAATAGCGACATACAACCTTACCGCTGGCATCACTGCTTGGCGGGGTCACATGCTAAGCGTCAGAGCAGCGACTGGAAGGCTGCTCGTTAATGTGCAAGTCAAACATTCGCCATTCTACAATCACGGTCCTCTGGCAAGCCTGATGCAAGCATATTTACAAGCCAACCCCCAAAACAATCATGGGCTGCACAAGTTTCTCAAGGGGATCTGTGTCAATACTACGCATATCGTCCACAAGAACAAAGCTGGCCAGCAGATCCCTAACATTCGAGCTATTCTTGGTCTTGCGGAACAACATGAGGGGGGAAAGCTATTACACCCTCCAGTCGTGCGTGAAAACGGCGCTGGACCTCAACAGGTGGAAATCTATATGGAGACGACACCTACTACCTCCATAATCCCACCACAACCATCTACTTGCGGGAACACACCCCGTCCCACACAGACACTGGCGACTGGAGTCTACATTAGTCTTTACGATTTCTTCCGCCAAAATTACAACATAAACCTAAACCCGTCGCTCCCTGTTGTCAAGGTCGGCAACCGAGATAACCCAACGTACTTGCCGGCAGAAGTATGCCAAGTTATCAGAGGCCAACCGTACAAGAAACAGTTGTCTCCGACGCAGACGCAACGTATGATCGAATTTGCAGTACGACCACCTGAGCAGAACCAGCAGTCTATTAGAACGGAGGGCGCCGCCATGCTCATGCTAAATCAGAATTTAAACAAATCTCACGTGAGTTCTATCTCTAAAGGCATTCCTAGAGTATACTAATTATTCCTAGGCGGCGTTTGGCCTGAGCGCGAATCCCTCTTTGATACATGTGACAGGGCGCGTTCTAACACCGCCGAGGATCTACTACCGCAATGGCCGTGAAGCATTATTACGAGGTAGTAAATGGGACATGCGCAACGCACAATTCGTCGAATCCCGACCACTCAACAAGTGGACTTGGCTTATAGTCGCTACCAACGAGGACAGCGGACCATGGAAATCTGAGGCAACTTTTCAACAATCACGAGCATTAAACGATTTCCACGCCAAGCTTGTCGAAATGGGTATCAAATGCGCAGGGCCCAAGCAAGGTATTCGTATCACAGTCAACCCTCGCAACCTTGACAGCATTGACGCGGAAGTCGGCGGTGTTCTCCAGAAGTTCCCCATATCCCAGGCAGAGCTGGTGCTTATAGTGCTGGTCACCGAAAGTCCACTGGTCTTCCGTCGCGTGAAATTCCTCTGCGACGTCAGGGAAGGGATGAGCAATGTTTGTGTGGTTGCCAGAAAGTTCGATCAGTGTAAGCAGCAATATTTTGCCAATGTCGCTCTCAAGTTGAACCTCAAGCTTGGTGGCTGCAATCACAAACTCGGGAGTCGCAATCAGACCGCGATGCAAAAGAAGGAGAAGAAACTAGGAATCATCGAACTCGGCAACACGATGGTCGTCGGACTCGACGTTACCCATCCCTCGCCTGATTCATCGCAATCTGCTCCTAGCGTTGTCGGCATTGTCGCATCTATTGATGGACATCTCGCTCAATGGCGGGCAGAGATTAGCATTCAAGAGAGCAGAAAGGAAATGGTGCTATCTCTCGCAGAGCTCATGGAAGGGCGACTTTTGAAGTGGCAACAACACAACGGGGGCAAGCTTCCTCTCAACATTATCGTAAGTGCATCTTCCTCCGAGGTTTCCTGGGGCGCTATTTGACGCATGGCTGACGGAGTTGACTAGATCTACCGGGATGGTGTTTCGGAAAGCCAGTACCAACAAGTTCTGGAGGATGAGCTGCCGAGGATCCAGTCGGCGTGCGCAAAAGTCTATCCTGCCGCAAAGATGAGTCCTCCGCGTTTGGCGATCATCATCGTTGGGAAGAGACATAATACTCGCTTCTACGCACCATCCAAAAAAGGGAAGGTCGAGGATCCGCAGTGTGGGACTGTGGTTGATCGCGGCGTCACCGAAGCGCGCCACTGGGATTTCTTCATGCAGGCACACAATGCTCTGAAGGGTACAGCGAGACCGGCTCACTATTATGTCGTCTATGATGACATATTCAGAGGTTTCCAGAAGCACCAAGAAAGTACAGCCGATGGGAGCCCATTCAGCAGCGCCGCCGATGCTCTTGAAGATCTGACGCACAACATGTCGTACACATTTGGACGGGCCACCACCGCTGTGTCCATCTGCCCTCCGGCATACTACGCGGACCTGGTCTGTGATCGAGCCCGGCTTTACCTGAGCGAATTCTTCGACCCTTCGTCACATGCGAGCGTCTCGTCTGGCAGCAGAACCGGCGGTCCAGATTCAAGCATGGTGAGACTGCATGCACGCACGGCCGAGACAATGTTCTGGATATGACGGAGATCCAGATGGGAAGCAGTCACGGGAGATCAGCGAATGATTGCGGCGAGGCTTGCTGGTATCGAAACCCGGCAAATTCCACGAATTTCCTTTCATTTGTACATGTTCATTACACTCGAACAATCTCGAGCTTATGGGTTGGTGCTGACAATTTTGTTGTCGGGCAGGGAGGGGAGTGAGAAATGAGTCCAGAGAGAGGAAGGCTAAGGGAGTATGACACAGTAAACAGGAAAAATGATGCCGAAAAACAGAATTGGTGCTTTTCCCATACAAAATACCCAACACCTTGTACGATTAAGACTGCTCATGGTTGCCTCAGCTAAACATTGCAAGCCACGGTTTCACAGGATGTCCACAGGTTGACTGGCGGTAGAAAATCCAGCGATAGGATGGTCGTGGGCCGATCGATGTCCGAGGAGGCTTCACTCAGAGCGCACTCGGCAGCTACTCGTACCTAACTGCACCCGAAGGTCTTTAGCTGTCAATGCCAGTCTCTTTCTTCTCGAGCAAGCCACCCCGGACATTCACCGAAGAGCCTGAGGAGACATCGAAGGGCGTGGTTATCAGTCCCGACCGGCCAGCAGGAACTCCCCATCAACTCCTGCCTGACCTGGAGTGCCTGGTCTCGAGTCGCTCGTAAAGTTAACACGTTTCCAGGCAGCAGGGGAAACGACCTTCCTTTCCGGGCTACGCAGTCCGCTTACTTGCCTGACAGCGCGAGCCGGAGAATTTTTTGATTTCATCGTCAGCTTTGGATCGGCTTCCCTATGAGGAAGGTCGCCAAGTGCGCTTCAGCTCTTACGAGTACGGGGAGACATGGCCAGCTCCTTTATCCATGGTCTGATCTTCAAGCTCCAATGTCTGTGCATGCGTGGACTTCCAGATCGAACATCCGGTCGCGCTAGGTAAGCCGTAGAGGGTGGCCCAGTCCATTCTAACGCATTACTTTTCAGTTCGATGATGTTTGCATAGCCGAAGACTACATTCGACGGTTCTATCCCGGGAGGCGTCTGGTTCTTTTGGATATCATCGATCGTGCTTTTTATTCTCGTCCGTTGCAATATCCCGCACGCTAGTACTGAGCATCCCGACGACTCTTGTAGAATCCCAAGAGATGACAATGTCAGAGGAAGGCAGGGCGCCGTTCTCGCACCCCAGTCTCCCGGGCGAGGCCTTTACGTGGTACAAGATCTGGGGTGATCTCAGCACTTCCTCGACGGGGCGGCCTCTCTTTGTTCTTCATGGAGGGTGAGTGACTGGCCGGCCGGCCACTCGCAATCGACGTCGGACCATGCAGATTAACGGGCAATGACAGCCCCGGCATGGGACATAACTACCTGGCGAACTTAAAGAACCTCTCCACGCAATACAAAATCCCCGTGGTCCTCTACGACCAGCTCGGATGCGGCAAATCGACGCACTTTCGTGAAAAGAGGCTCGACACTGCCTTCTGGGTGCCCGAGCTGTTCATCGCGGAACTGGACAATCTTCTGGAGCACTTGGGCGTTGCCGGCGATTATGACCTGCTGGGTCAGAGTTGGTGAGTGCCTCCCCCGCCGCTCCCCGAGACCTGCATCGCGCGCTGGGGAGTGCTGAAGACTGATTTCCCCCGGCGGGGGACGACAGGGGAGGGATGTTAGGCGCAATGTTCGCCATTCGAGGCCACAAGGGCCTCAAGCGTCTCATCATCTCCAACTCGCCTTGTAGTATGAAACTTTGGGTCGAGTCGTGCAACGAGTGGCGCAAACGGCTGCCCGAGGACATCGAGAAAGCGCTTCAGAAGCATGAGAAGGACAAGACGTACGACGACCCCGAGTGTAGGTGTCCGGCGGTTCGCGCGCTACAGCTCGCACGGTACACACGTGTCCTCGATGCTGACGCCGGAGGCCAGATAAATGGGCTGTCGAAGAATTCTACAAGCGCCACGTGTGCAGGATCTACCCGTTCCCCCAGGATCTTCTGGACACCATGGCGAACGTGGAAGAGGACGACGTACGACTTTTGCCCGCTGAGTACCTAGCTGTGGTGAATGACAAGGCGTCAACTGACGAGCATGCTCGCAGACTGTCTACTACACGATGAACGGGCCGAGCGAGTTCACCGTGGTTGGAAGCTTGAAGTAAGAACTCTTTGCATTCTGGCTTGTCTCTGAAGGAGAACTTTGTGCTACCACCCATGGGCTTTCCCAGCTAACAGTTGACAGGACTTGGTCAATTGTCGATGAAGTCCACAAAATCAAAGTACCCTGCCTCGTGCTCAATGGCGAGTGGGACGAAGGACGAGACAGGCGAGTCGTCTCCATATCCCGTGTTTAGTACTTGTGAGGACTTTGTGCACTGACGAAGCTGTGGCCGATAGCTGTGTATATCCTTACTTCTCTGGCATCCCCAAGGTGAAGTGGTATACCTTTCCCAATGCAGCCCATTGCAGTAGTAAGTGGCCATTGCCTGAGAACCTGTTATCAACCGGAGTACGATCCCAGATGGGTTGGACGACCTCTAATCCGGGCTGTCTGGGAGCAAATTGGTCCCTCAAGCTGTGGGCGCGTGACAGCTACTAATTAACATCCTAACAGATCTCGACACACCAGAGCATTATATGTCGGTCGTGGCGCAGTTCTTGAAGAGTCCAACGGCGTGACGAGGGTGAACTGCCGGACACGTGCAACGAAGTGTGAACAGAATTGACGCTCGCCCCCTTGTACGGCGAGGGCTCGAGCGTCGTCAGAGCTTTGAGACACTCGAGATTGATTCGTACGTATCAACTTCAGAAGGGACTCGAGATGACGTATCAATCCGCTACAGGGCAAGAAGGAGACCGGTCACCCGTTGATGTTAATGCTGGCATCGGCCTCGAATTTGTAGACAACATCGGTTGACCTGGCAGAGATGTCGCGGTCAATTACCTAGGCATGGATGAGCAATTCGTCTCGATGAGGTGGAATCACATGAGTTGCATCTGGCCGCGATCATTTCACCAAGGGACTGTACGAGGTTCGTGTGTCGTGTTTTGATTCTCTCGGGTGTTTCGTCTTCATGCCTCAGTGTACGTATTTTGATCTTTCTCAGAACTTAAACGGGCCGAGTACTTAGCAACCAAGCTCCAAGTGGTGGACTTCACGACGACCGCTACCCCTCTGGCATTTTCAGTAGCGTTTCTCGGCTTCAGTCTCTGGTCATATACGCTCGGACGGCAATAATGAGTGATGAAGAGAAGCCAGATGAGACACATACCGGCGCACGCTCTTCCTCGCATATCCAGCTCGTTCTTCCCGTCGAGAACAGTGGTGTGCGCATGGCACTTAACTGTGATTTAGATCTAGCGACAAGATTATCCGCCTGTCCGTTAGAAGTTAGCTGGCAGAAGAAGGAATAGTAGTACAACAACAACGTAGAAACATATCATCAAAGAGGATGGGAAAACCATAAAGTTCCTACATCCAAAGTTTTGGTAACGCTGTAACTGCTGCTGATTGTCAAACAATGATTCCTCCGACGCACGGTGGGAGCAAAACGGTTACGACATGAGGTGGCCGAAGCCTGCTGCCTGAACGCGGTCCTGAAGACAATCTGTGGTGCGGGTTCGATGGGACAGCTGGCTGGATGAGACGGATGAAGTGGGTGAAGTGAAGATTCGTCTGTCGACACGCTTTTAAATAAAAGTCGACTTTTCCCCAACGCCTCGCAAAGCTCTGTCCCCGGTCTCGTTCCAGTACAACCCGTCGCCAATTCTGAATACCGGGTCCCCAACGAGGGTCAACCGCCGTCCTTTTTATATTCCCCAAACTCGAGGCCGCTCTACTCGCAGTGGAGGACGGCGCTGTCCGGTGCGGAGTGATGCCCCTGTCAAAACCAATAGATTTCCATCTTCTTGTAGCACAGTGGGAGATGACCTCCTTACACGACATTCCCGAAAGCAGGAATCAGAACCTGCGCTAACCAAAATGAAAAGACGAGCTTGGGGCCTGTCATGAGCATCTTTGGCGTAAGCCCTTTAAAGAAGGAAGTGAAACCCTCGTTCTTAGCCATGCGAGCCAAGATCGAGAACCCCGACTCATTGGTCTCGAAGGAAGCCGCTTGCAATCTGGTTTTAATGACATCGAGAGGAGCAGAGACAATCAAGCTGGCGCTTGCGCCCACCACGGAAGCGACAAAGTTCTGACCCCAGGTGCTGCTCTGTTGTTAACTTCTGTTTCAGGCTGCGCGGATTTCGGCGGGTACTCACGCTGCATTGTAATCTTCCAGCTTGAACAGCTTCTCCTTCGCCCATGCTGACCCACCGAAGAGAGCGAAGGAGCCAGGGGCGTTTCGTGCAGCGGTCCAACCAGCTCCCCGATACAGGCCCATGCCTTCGTCGGCCACGATCCGGAAGAAGCCTCGGGAACGGAACGCCTCTGGGTTGGTCTGTCGCTTGATCTTGAGGACGTCGAGGGGAAGGAGGACGATCTCGCCGATGCCGATCAGAGAGCCAGCGGTCGCATTGAGTATCGCCTTGCCTGTTCCTTTGCCAAAGGCCTTGTCGAAGTCCTGAGAATGGTGCTGGGTCAGATAATCACGCACAAAAGGCTGACCGCCATCTGCGACTCTGTTAACACCCCATACCAGCGCTGTTGCGACAATCATAGCTTGAATAGCTCACATTTGTATATTCTTTGCAAAATCTTGTAGCCGGCTGCATAGCCTAGCCCGGGAAAGAGAGATGTGAATTTTGTGACCGCCCCAGCTGAGGCGTAGTCCTTGAATATGACTTTATTGAGGGCCGAGACGGATGCGACCTGCTTGTGGTTAGTGATTTGCGATGACCGCGATAAGAGCCTCGATGCGTACTCTGGTAGAATTGCTCATCAATCTCTTTGCAATTGTGTCGACAGGGTGGAACACCATCAGCTCGGCGACACCAGCAGAGCCTGTATTGTGCTGTCAGGTCCGACGGTCGCTGTCTGCGTCACAAGCAACGGACGCACCTGATCCCAGTAAACGAGCTGTCCCCGATTCTCGCTTGTATTCCTTTCCAGCCATTCCCAAGGCTGGCGCCATGGCGGGAGGCGACATGGTTTATTCAACGTTCACGCGGAAGGATCGCGCAGAACGGTCCCGCGAGGTTGATAACGAAAGTGAAGTTTTAGTGAAGAAGGTTGCGATGGGTTCTTTTCTATGGTGCTGCGACTCGAGTAGCTGCCAGGATTCGAAGAAATCGGACAAGATATGCTACTCAAGAAACGAGATGAGGTGAAAATTATGCTACAGAGTCGGCGCAAAACGTGCGGGATAGAAGGAAGCGAGCAGTGTTTGTTCTTCAACTTTTTTCTGGTGGAGAAACGCCAAAGGGGACGAGCTTTGGGCGCATGCGGAGAACTGCTGGGCCTCATCTCCGATCGCAGCCTTGCCCAGCCTCGCTTAGTGAGCCATACTATCTCAATGTGCCCTGTATCTAAATCTCATGTCCCTCAAATATCGTCTTGTCAAAATGACAATCACGGGCCCACCAACGCCATCGCTGAGTGCTTCACCGGCCGAGCATACTACGCTTGGGCAGACTCAAGTTTGATCCGCGACTTGATGCTACCTGGGTCCTCTTCCGCCTTTCTTTTACCCAACACGGAATCAGGTGTCGCGGTGCGGCCAATTCCTGCGACTGGAGTACTAACTCCATCTTTGTCTCTGCCTTTGGTCACTTCTGTATAGCAAGACAAATGGTAGATCCGGTTTCCAACTTGTACCGCGTCTTTCCATATGAAGTCCTGCACCTCCTCGCTCCATTCGCTTTTGAATGGCTCTTGATCAATAGGACATGGTAATGACCGTAGAACCGGGTCGGCTGGAGCTCGCACGAAATCCTGTGGCTTCTTCTTCGCGACTGCCGCAGCGGGATTTCCATTCCCATCGGCTGGCCCAGCCTCATCTTCGTACTCTTTGGTCGCAATCCATTCTCGTTCGTCGACGTACCAACTCCGATTCTGGCCTCGCTTCTCCGCCTCCAGCATCCTAGCCTTAGTCTTGAAGTGCCAGTCCAGGTGTCGCGCCTTCTTTTCTCTGCCAGCTTCATCGGACATGAATCTCCTGCCACAAGTGCTACATTGGTTCGGTCGGGCATTCAAAAATGCAACTATTTTTGCCGGCCGCGAGATTCGGATCGAGGCCGAAGTCAGTCTTACTTCGACGTTCGCATCGAGGGCAAAGTTGGGAATAGCTGGAACAGGCGGTGTCACTCCCTGTGGTGGAGTAGGTGCCGCAGACAGGAGCCCGGATGCTCGGAGCTGCGCAATAAGCGGATTTTCGCTTACAGGTGGAGGTGCCGGCACGTTGTACTGTGGGGTGGCTACACCAGACTGAGCTGGTGGAGGGTAGTTCGAAGGAAATGTTGCTTGCTGCTGGTCCGCAGTTGCACGGAGGAGCTCGGCTAGATTGGTGCTATTGAACAGGGCTGTCGGGGCTGGAGTAGGGACGGGAGCTTGAGCAAGTAGAGGAGTGGGTTGGACAGCTGGTTGGGGAGGGACATAGGGATTGTGAACTGGCTGCACCATCACTGGCAGTGGAGATTGGTGGTTGATAGCCCTCTTCTCTGCCATCTTTTGCGACACTGTGTTCCGTATATCCACCAAGTCACTTTCGGAGGCGTTGCCGCTGTCCAAGATCTCCTTCAAGGTCTGAAGACTGGCCAGCTTCCGTTGAGCTCCAGTATCCAACGGGTGCGTTGCGCATTCGATTTTGGCATCAGTAGTGAGGTCGTCAATATCCGCATTTAGTTTCTGCAGGTTGACACTACTTCCAGCAAGGAGCCCAGGCTGAGGAGTAGGAGGCGGATACTGGGGAGTCTGCACAAATGGAGGCGGCTGAAAATATGGAGCAGGGGCTGACTGTGGCGGATAGGGCAGACCGTACGACACCGGCGGTGTTTGTGTATAGGGAGTCGCAGGCACGGCTATCTGTGGCTGAGGGCTCCGAACCTGTGCAGCGAGACTCGGCGGAAGCTGAGGTAACGACTGGGGCGGTGTTGGTGTGTGACGGTATGGCTGAACAGAAGCGACTCTGGCAGTCTGCCCCTGGATAGGAGTCGACTGATATCGGTTGCCGCCGGGCGTTGCACTCCGAAATTTGTTGAGGCTGTCGACAATAGTCTGTGTGCTTGCAATGGGAAAGACAGGAGTGGTAGAGAGTGACCCAGGTACTGGTTCTCGCCAGGTTTTCAGCATCTCCTCGAGCTTCCGGCGAACAGCAGCGTCGACCTGCGAGTACGCGAGCATAAAGATCTGATGAAGATTCCGGCCAAAGTAGACCGTGTAAGGCGACCCGACATTTTTGGCAATCGAGTCCAAAACATACAGAGCGGGTAACTTGCGTGCTGGAGGTGCCTATCAGCGGTCAACGATTGCCGTAAGAATCTCTAGCGGGTGACTTACTCTGTTGATGTGATTCTGTAGGACTCTGGAGATTGCTTCGGCATGCTCGATGTTCTCTTTTGCGATCAGGGTCAAGTTCGAAATCTGATATCTGTCGTTCGATACAAGGTCTTCCAAAGAACCCTTGTAGTCTTCGGCGACCTCATCTGACGGCAGACCGGACATGACGGGAGAACGAGACTGAAGGATCGCAAATAGAAAATAGAAATGGGTCAGGCGCGGCAGAAGCCTGGACGGGGACTCAGGACTCGAGCTTTGGCAGAGTCAAAACGAGCAAGCGCCTGAGGGATGACTGCGTGGAGGCCAAGCAGTGACCCAACGTCGAGACCAGACACGTTTGCGTCTGTGCGAGGGTAGACAACAAGAAGAAAAGTGTCGTGGTATCTTTTGCCTATCTAAACACATGCAAAGCGGCGCCCCAGGTATGTGAATCTCAGGTTCCCTTCTGTTCCAGCTCAACTTGTCACGCTCACCGCCCAAGACGTGACGACCTCTCTGGTGCCTCCAGCCTCTCAGAGCATGACAGGCTGCCGTAGGTGACAGCAAAGGTATTGAACCGCTCGTGAAGGAGAGGTAGCTGCAAGATGGTGGAAGGAACAATCTCGACGTCTTCGCCCTCCAGCGAGATTCAGGTCTCTGATGGTATGACTGCGGCGATGACCCAATATTTGGGTTTGACAATTGGACGATATGGAGAATTACTGGAGAGTGACTTAGGCGAATGCTCAGTCTCAAGAAGCAGAGAGCCGGGAAAGGTAGAAAGCTTCGCAAGTGGCAGAAGAAATGCGCTGATGACAGTCTGAGCTGATTGTGAAAGCAACTTGTTGGAAGATGCGGAAAGAATAAGGACAGAAAGAGGCAGCCAAAGCCGACTGGCCGCCTGCGGAAACTTTAGTCCAAGCGCAATGATGCTATTCCGTCATCCTAATCATGCCCACCCAACGCCCATTCTCTTCCACCTCAAGAGTAACGAGCATAGCCAGTATTTTACTCGACACTTCACGAGATCTCTTCCCATATCAAAGAGTCCATCGCAGGATCCACGGAGCCTTCAGCACTACCAAATCTGCCAACCACATTGCCCGTGCACTAGAATGCGTCTACCGGCTGTCTTCTTGCTCACCTTGTTCGCTGCGGCGTTGGCACTTCCTCCAGCACAGAAGCCCGTCGTGGTGTCATTTCCTGATGACACGCCCGCCTCTATCATCGACATGGCCATTGCGGAGATCGAGAAGGATGGCGGCATCATCACCCACGAGTATGGTACGGTTCAAATTCATTCGGCGCTTAAAGGGATGTATCGCAGGCTAACGTGTTTACAGCGCTGATCAAAGGTTTTGCCGCTAAAGTCTCGGAAGTAACGCTGAACAAGATCAGTGCAATGGCTGAAGCATACGCGCCATATATTGAGGATGACTACGTGGTCAAAATTGATGGTTCCACGGCCTCCCCTCAATAAAGAGGATACTTGTTTGCCACAGAGTTCCTGAATGATCGAACAAAGGGGATTTGTTGCTACAAGACTGCATGAAATCACGGGAGACGAAGTACGCTTACTGTTGCGACGGCATTGCTGGAGTTTGGGTGCTGGTTACCGGCGGAAGACACCTGTTGGGGTACAGATGCTATCTATTCAGAGGCGTAGATGGCTCCTTTCGTCGAAGGAGTGAGCGTCATGGTATCATTGTCCGCGAGCCACTGAGTTCAAAGCATCTCCGTTCTCGCTGTCGTTACCCTGCTCTCATGGCCCGAACGATCTCCGGCCAGCCTGCTCCGTGTAGTCTTCTCGAGCGGTTGTAACAGTCCATGATGAGACTCCCGCTCGACCTGCAAGGCCAAACTCACTATCAGAACCGTTGACTCAACCACAGTTCGTGAGGAGCATGACCAATAGAGAGAAATACCTAGACACTGGGCCAGTTGGCATGATTATTTCAATATGCACACTCCTCCTGTTGACTTGAAGAATCGACCGGAGGAGCGCCGACGTCATCTTAGCGCGGACGACCACGACACATCCCGCGCCGTGAAGGATCCACGCCCGAGTCGCGTTCTCACTCTCCTTGAAACTGAAACCATGGGGCCATGCATTGCGCTTTGAGGCCGAATACTCCACGACTCCCGTGCAATAATGAAATACCATCAAGTTAAACATATTCCCCTCCCATGGCGACCGAAGAAGCCGTTGCTGCCGGACTTCTCGATTGGTTCAACAGTCTCGCTGTCGCAGAGGCTGTCTATACCGTAGACGACTTCACCAATGGTGATCTAATATGGAAGGCTCTACGTGCGCTCGAATATCTCCCTTGGCCGCCGTGCGGTTACTGATGGCGACCAGAACAGATTGACCGCTTCAGCTTTCCTGGGAGGCTTCCAGAGAACCCGGACACGGATCAATGGATCAACAAATGGACCAACCTCAAGCACATCTACGATGCCCTCTCCATCTTTCTCGTCGAAGAGTGCAGCCAGCGACTGCCACTCCCTGGAGGTCGACCCGACCTCAAGGCTATCGCTCAGTCCTCCTCCCTCAGCGACACCGCTGCCCTCCTCAAGCTCCTTGTCGTGGCTGCCATCAATTGCGCCGACCGCATTGAATACTTGAAGCAAATGCAAGAGCTGGCCGAATCTACCCAGGAGGTTTTGATGCAGACGGTGCAGGAGGCGGGTGAAGGTGTGGGCGTTACCGACGACCCTGAAGCTGAGAGCAGCCAGGTCGACGACCTAGATGTTGAACTGCCAACATCACCTCGACGCTCAACCGAAATGGAGACAGTTCTTGAGTCGGAGGAGCGGCTTGGGAAAGTTATTGCGGACAACCAACGGATAGCTCATGAAAAGCGGGAGTTGCAAAGACTACTTGATGAAGCACATTCTCGGTACGAGAAATTACAAGAACGCTTCGACCTTGGTCAGGACGAGTTGCGGGAATCCAACGACCGTCTCGCCGCCGTTCTTGCCGGCAAGTCAGACATATCGACGAGGCCGCTGGACTCGAAACACGACACATTGATAGCAACCTTGGAGAATCGCGTGCTCGAGGCCGAGTCGGAGATAGAAGAGCTGCGTAAGAACAACGAGGTCCTCAAGATCAAGGCTGAGAAGGCGCAGAAGCTGCAAGATGACTACGACGAGATGAAAATCGAGCGAGATCGTTTGGCGCGGAAAGCAAATACGGCAGAGAAGTACAGGCAGAAGCTGGAAGCCAGCCAGGACCTGGACAAGGAAAACAACAATCTGAGGGCGAAAGTGACCGAGCTGCAGAATCAATTGAAGCAGTCTGATTTTGCCCGGGCCAGCTCGAGTGATCTACAGAGAGAAATCGACGAGTATCGGCGACTTTTGCCCAGCATCGAGCAAGAGAGGTACGAGCTGAATGAGATGAAGAAGAGGTTAGAGTTCGACTATCATACCTTGGAGGCACGCTACCACGATTCCGCCGAACAACTATCCCGACAGAATCAGGCCGTGGAAGAGCTCCAGTCGAGGTTAAGAGACTACGAAGACGGAGTGACTCCTGCTCCTAGAGAGGAAAAGCTTTCTGAGCCAGTTGACAAAGATTTCGAGAAGGAAGAAGCAGAATTGGCTGAATCGGAATCCCGGCTTGCTGCGGTCTTGCTCAACGGCGACGCTGTTCCCATCACGACCAAAGATAGCGATCTTGGTTCCCTCCACGATGTGGAGTCACCAATCGCTGGTCTCAACGATGCGGATACCATATCAGAAGACGAGCTCAAGGCTATCATGTCTGCATTGCGTGCCCAAGCCCATGCTGGCACGGCCACAGAAAGAGAAGCGTCTCTTCGAGCTCAGAAGAAGATGATCATCGCTATCGAGCGCCAACGAACCAAGAACCAGCTCCTACTCGAGCACGTCCAGAAGCAAGACCAGATGATCAAAAGTATGCAGAACAAGATACAAGATGATGAAAAGGCCCCACAGCAGAGATTGGAAGATGTCCCGCCTCCTCCACCACCGAAATCTGTCCCGGGTGCCCCTGTGCAGCCTCTAGATGAAGAGTCCGAAATCGAACGACTCACGAACCAGAACACTATCTTGCACCGCGAGCTCAAGCTTATGGCATCAGCATGGTACGACCAGAATCTGCGTCTGGCGAGCATGAGCTCTGCTGCGTCAGCACGAAGTCGGGGTAACTTTGTTGAAGCCCGGGGGTTTTTGGGGCGACAGAGGCGAAGAGTTGATGCTGCAATCGCTGGCAGAGCTTCATGAGAGCGGAGGGCACGGCAGAGCCAAGGCAATCACTCAGTGCGAGGCGCTGCACGAGACGCCGCCTATCTGTATAGACCGTTGTGACGGACGAATTGAACCATTGCACAACTTGAGCCACGAGTATCTGACATGACGGATGACTGCCATCCACGTCAAATGTGACCGATCCGTTGGCTACTATCACGGTGTCTGCCTTGCTCGTCCATGCACCTGCTGGCAACGTTCGACGGTGAGATGCGGTAGAAGCCGGTGTCAGCGACAGGCCGCTCCCTCCTATGACTCTGGTCTTGCCCTTGTATTTCTCTTGGACATCCTGCCACTCCATAACCAGATCTTACATGACTTTTCTTGGCTTGGTACTGACCCTCGTTTTCCATGCGAGACCATGCAAGCTTTAGCGCAGTCTCACGGTCGATTTGATATCTCGCTCGTTGTATGCTGGAAGGCTATGTGTATGAACTCATTGCATTTCTTGACATTGCAAGTCCGAATTATACCATTGCCGGCCCAGGCTTAGTGAGTCGTCTCTTCACTCTCGCTTCCGTTTTGACACAAGGCACTGCACCCATACGGAAAGTCGTCTGTCACACCATAGAGTACACTCAACCCAAGCCGGCCAGTTTACCCTTCATCGCTAGGGACTTGGTTTGGCACGACGAACAGTTGTGCTGCCACCACCGGAAGCATATCAACGCGCAACCAGAGGGCTCTACGGATCAGTTCATAGGCAAGAAACCGTCACGGAAATACACCTGGGATAGCCTCCATCCCTCATAGCATTCAGTGGAACGTCTGTGCGTGTGTCCTTACGAAGCAGAAATCTGGCAAAGGCTGGCTCGGCGACGTCTGCTGATGACTGGAACCTGGAAACCATGAAGGTCTGGAGCGTTGATGGTGACGGGGACTTGTGGCTCAAGGTGATATTGCGATATGCCCATATTGGGTTTGGCGAACTCGGTGCTCATGATTACTGGGAGGGCGTCCGTCATATTGGAGGTAGGCCACAGAGCACGACTTCGCAAATCTTCCATAGTTGGAGTGCTCGTGAGTGCTCCGCCCATCGGACCGGCGCACCGGTTCCCCAAGAGCATGTCGGCTCTCTGGTGGGGAAGTCGACACACAACTTCTCGTCTACATAGTCTCAGATCATCGTCACCGGGTGTGCGAAAAGCTAGTCAAAACTGACAGCCTGTCGAAGACCGACTTCCAGTACTTCTCGCTCCCTCCAACAATGGGTTCCTTGGGTAACGATGAAGTCTACGTGACCGTGTCCGCTCTGGAGGCAGGACAGCTCACCTTGCCTGAAAGTTTGTTCATAACGGATGCGGACCCAGAGAAGCGAGCGACCGTACCTTCGTTATCATTCCTGATACAGCATCCCTCCAAGGATGGCAAAGTCACGAAACTAGTGTTCGACCTTGGGCTGAAGCGTGATCTCTCCAAGTATCCCCCGGCCCAACAAGCCCACATCGCGAATCGCCAGCCGACCATCCTCCATCCCGATTGTGCCGACAGTCTGCGGACGGGGGGATTGGATCCTGCAAAGGACATCGACATTGTGATACTCTCCCATGTGCATTGGGACCATGAGGGTACGCCAGACGACTTTTCCCGGTCACAGTTTGTGGTTGGGTCCGGGACGCTGCATCTCCTCGCAAACGGCGCGCCGCCGCACTATCCCAAGGAGATTTTCAATCCAGACCTCCTACCCAAGGACCGGACGAAGGAGTTGCCGCCCACCTCGGGAGACAGCAGCACGGCGGCGAAATCTCAAACAGACCACACCTGGAAACCATTTGCCGGGTTCTCCAACACGGTGGACTTCTTCGGCGACGGCAGTGTATACATCGTGGACAGCCCAGGCCATCTGTTCGGCCACGTCAACTTGCTCGCGCGTCTGAGCCATACCAAGTGGGCATACTTGGGCGGTGACTGCTGCCATGACCCGAGGATCTTGACCGGAGAAAAGGGCATTGCCCTGTACGACGATGGCCACGGTGGACTGAGATCCGTCCACGTGGACACGGAACAAGCGCGCCAGACATTGTCCAAGATCGGCCCACTGTTGAAGAAGCCCTGCCCAGTCATCCAGGGGGACGGAGGCGAGCCGGTCGAGGTGGAAGTCATTGTTGCGCATGATGGGGGCTGGAGGGAGCAGAATCGGAACAGGTTTTTCCCGGGAACTCTGTGAGACGCACGCTGCATCCAGGCATGCCTGGGGGGAACGCACGTACGTGGGTTGCTGGAGCATCAGCCAACTCGCTGCCTTTACTGGAAAATCCAACGCCATGCGTCCCAGATCGACATCGCCCATGGTTGTCCTCATTTGTGACAAACCAAGATTAGCATTTCAGAAAGACTAGAAGAAATGTCTGATGGTGTTTCTCCCGCCATCAATGTGCAGAAGTGTTCTGTCTCGCGGAGCTCTTTGATTCCATCGTCCCAAGAGGGTCGATATCTAAATCTCGATACTTCTTTGACAATCCTACGAAATATGTCCCCCGCTCCGTATCCGTCGGCATGGTGATTTGCTGCCAACGACGAGTCTGAGCGGTGTGTAAGTAATTAGATATTCGCAGAGTCGACTGTCTGGATCGACTCGCTTGCTCGACCGTAACCAAAGCCACAATCCGCTACGGTCGAGTATATGGGCCCGATCCCCGAGGCAGGATTACCACACCCGTTCGAAATATCCCCTTCTCTGCATAATTGTCTTGCGTCTATGCTTCTTGCTCTGCCTCATAAGCTCCGCAAGCTACGGGCCGCGGAAGGTATGTACCACTGGAGTGGCTCGTCTAGAGTGAAATGATGTCTATCTTTTACTGTCCAACGGGCTCTCTGCACGATGGTCCACTGGGCGCAACACGCGATGTGATACATATCGTCTGACAAGTTCTTATGGACCTCGAATCAAAGCAAGACATCAAACGCGCAATATCCATGAACAGAGGCATCTCTCTACGCCAGTGGATATCATAATCGTAACCAGCATCTCCGACGAGATACAGTCCGCCAAATGCCCTTAGACAGGTCTTGCATGTTACCATGCAGCCACCTCTCAGATATGAACGTGCCCGGATCCTCAAGAGGCTCGGCGTTTGTGGTGATATTGGTATAGTTGATGGCGAAATCGGTGCATTTCACAAAGCAGAACCGTTCGATCTCTAGGTTCTAGGTTAATTCATGCCCCGGCATCTAGATCAAGATTTTTCTCCCCCCTAGATATCTTCCTGATGTAGGCTAAATGTATAGTGTGGACTTCTCGTTGTCGAAATTCGGAAGCATCTCAGCACTGCGACGAAAGAAGGCACCCTTCAATGGCACATATAATAACGTCGTACTCGCCACGTGTAGACGGACTGACATGACATAAATTGAAAGTGAAAGCTGCCGGCGGGACAGCCGCAGACGCAGACGCAGACGCAGACGCGAGGGCATTCGACCTACAGTACTTACGGCATCTGCTCCCATGGCGTGCTCGTGGCACCTCTATTCCCATAAAGCAGGGAGCAAGAAGTAAGTCACAGGCTTTGAAGCCACATTGGTGTCTTGACACTACTCGTATTGCTTGCTAACGCCCTCTTGCGTGGGTAATAGTGGTTGTGTTCACGTATTGGCCCAGCAGGATCTTGCTCGCCTTGTCCTGAGACAAATCGAGGTGTCAGAGTATTGACTCGTTGAGAAGGACACGTGCCGAAGAATTATCATGATTCCACAAGTCGACGCAAAGGATGAGCTTCTATGTGTCAGACTGCTGGCTTCGGGGACTTTGCTCCCGTCATGCGAGCACGCTCGCAGCGACATCCGAACGGCGGACGAGGCTCGTGCGTGTGGATGTCGAGCACGTCAGAGGAGGTCAGGCACCACGTACAGATGGGTTTGACAAGTGATGATCTTGTCGCGGTGCAGGGTCTCGCCAACAGTTTTGGCTTTCTTGAGCCCCGCCATGGTCCCTTTGACGCATGCTTCGGAAGTGATGCCACGCTCGGTGACGCCGAGCCTGTGGAAACCACGAGGCTGACGTACGAGTTACAGCCTTGTGTCTGGAGAACCTCACACAGCAGCGCTGTCGGGGAAAGCCCAATGTCACTCCAACCCCGCGCTTTTTGCCCTTGTGGTGTGTGGTTAGCCTCGGCTGCCCCCATCTCCAATCGCTCTCTTTCCCCAAGGTGCCCTTTCGTGCCTTCTCCAAGCTCACTCTCGCCAACTCGTTCTTCGCTTGTGGGCTCGTGGGGAAGTTCCTGCACCACATCTTCAGTCACGTCTCCTCCCCGTGTCAATGTACGTACTTGCTTCGTCCACATGGCACTGCCATGCCGCATTGCCGCGAACATGGTGATCCATCCATTTGGAGTTTCTTCGGCTTCAAGTCCGAGGTGGAGAGAATATGTTGATGGTGTGAATGTGCTTGTGAGCAAGTGAACATCTCACATCTCAACTGCATAACAGTCAGTCCCACGAGGCTGAAGCACCCTCTGGAACATCGCGTTCGAGACACTGAACTCGTAGTCGCCAACTGATTGTGACTTCTTCTTGAGTTGTCCGTCAAAACCCATTCTCCGTAACAGGAATTCATCCCCCTCGTCGAACAAGATGTCGTATTCACCGGACTCGACAGTGGCCTTCATAGGTGCGCCCCGTTCTCAAGCGACTTACTCTCCCTCCCTAACAGTTATGAACAGGCATCGGCGTCATGGGCTACTCCATGGCCGCCAATCTACGCTCAAAGCTCCCGTCCTCCAAGCTCCTTCTGATCTGCGACGTCTCCCAAACCCTGCTCGACAAGTTTCAGAAAGAGAATGGGTCCAAGGGCCCGATCGAGGTCGTACCGAACGGCTACGAGGCAGTCCAGAGGGCGAACACAGTCATTACCATGTTGCCCACGGCGGGTGCGGTCGAGAAAGTATACCTGGACGGAAAGTCGGGTGTGATCCAGGGCGCCATTGACGCGAGCAAGAACGGGAGCCCGCAAAAGAAATTGATCATGGAGTGCGGAACCA